CAGCAGTGTCTGAGGGGTTCATGATGGGCGCAACAAGGACAGACGCGCAGAGGGGAGAGAGAATGATAAAACGCGGTTGAGAGGGGTAAGATGTCCAGGGGAATAGAGGTCTTTAAAATGGACTGGCCAAGGTCGCACAGCCGATCAGTTGTGCAGTGAATGAGAGTCTGAGCGGGAGGCGACCATTATCGCTTGTTTTGTGCCACCTCCAATCATGGAAGGAAGTGAGCGCAAGTTGAGTTTTGGTGGAAGAGCCTACTTATCGGCTGGCTGTCCTCGACACAGTCGGGGGAAAGTGAGGGTTCCTCCACGCCATATGGTGCCAAGATTCTGCCTTATCGCCGGTTGTGCAACGAGAAACAATTATTATTCATGTCCCCTCAGTGACCCGGGCACCCTCTCGGTCATGCTTTCCGGGGTATCAGCCAACGAGGCCGTGGCATTTGTCTCAGCTCAAGCTGGGCACTCTCCCTCATGGCCACCGCGATAAGGCCAGGAGAACAATCGGATTGGTGCGTGGGAGTCGAGGTGGCTTGGCAGGTCTTGGGAAAGGAAGTGGTTAATGTGGCACTGGCGGAATGTTGGGCTTGGCTGGCAGGCTGGGGTGCAACCTCACGGCTTGGCTTGACCGGAGGCACCAATGATGGCTTTGAGAGAATTGACACTGCACCAATCCCCAAGATTAGGATGTCAGGGTCCTGATGCCACCACGCGACCCTATCGGAGTAGCCCGACAGTCCCTTGCCTTGACTCATGGAGGGTCGTTGTTACACCATCTCGGACTTTAACCTCAAAGGGGCCAAAGAAGGAAAAAGTAAGAGCGGGAGCCCGACGGAGGATGCTAGTCATAAACGTGGAAATATACCTGTTCCCGCCACCACAGTTCTTGGTGACACTACCTTTCTATGAGATGATACGCTGGAGGGGTCGTCCGGCCAAGCGATCATGTGCAAGTGAGAAATTTATGCTGTCTAGGACAGTGTACATACACTCCCTGCATCTGCCATCATTTTGGACACCCTGAAAAATTGTCGTTGATGGTCTGACTATATTAATTTCTCGAGAGGTCCAGAGGATTGCGACAAATGGGAACGGAGAATATAAGCGAGATGATGAGGTAAAAAAAATATGGGGTAGCTCCTTGCTTCCCCGCATACCAACCGATGATCATTGCCGACCAGGGATTCTTACTCAACCCAAAGAAGCCTGTGGGGTGAGACACGTTCTAGACTGCCCACGAAGTCGTAGGGGTTTGCAACGAGCCTCATGTAACAAAGTCTCTATCTCTATTTGCATCTGACCACACCCCTCTCAGATTCCATGTGGCCGAGGCTCGATGCATTGTGGAGATCCCTCAACGCTCCGGACCTGCCATATGATGTAGAACTGCTTCTCCACTACTCGCGATGTTTAACAATACCGCAAAAGACTTCTGATACTCAACAACAGCGTGTAAAACCTTCTAAATGCTATTCTTTTTTTATATGCCATCAATCATCCACTGTATCGGCAAGAAAGTATGCAGAGCTATCGTTGTCAGCATTCTATCACACTGTCAGTACCCTGTTTAGGAGTATATGATTATCCCGTGCATTAGCGATCAGACCAATGGAGTGGGTGACTCTGTACATGATGGTGTAGTGCCTGCATAACGTGGTGAAAATTATGTAGTATCACCGGTTGGGAGTATGGATATAGATAAGCATTGAGCTTTAATTTCTCCTATTCAATGCATATCAATCCACATTCATAGCCTGGATCAAGTCCCTTCACCAGATAATTTTCCAGCTTCATGAAGGCATCCCCCCGGCCTCTGATCTTCCTTGCTAATCTTCCCCACTACAAGCAGCTAAAAACATAAAAGCAATCACATACAGGGTCGAAGTGGGGCAAGTGAAAAGAAAGATTATCGTGCCGGATAAGAGAAAAATGGGTATCTATGACAATATCTCCCAAATTGTCGTTAGCTAAGAGGAAGAGCAAGATGAGCGTATTACTCCCACAACAAGTCTAACCAACGTGCGGCGGCACCATGGAACAACAGCTTCTGATAATATGGCGAGGGGGTAATGATAGAAGATGTAGCATGTCCAACTGGACTGAGTAATTTGAGACCGATTAAATCTTGCCCTAAGCTTTATTCTCCTTTGATACACTACCGCATTTGCCTGCCCTCGGGGAATAATAATGGAATGTTTCTGAGGATGGGAATGATCAATTCTCACATGATTATTAGCATCTAATTACAATGCGAAAAATGCTATGTCTTATCTACATCACTCATCACAGCGGTATATAGCTATCAAATCATACTCCAAACAAAGTAAACAAACCAACTCCCATGGCAATAAATGCAGAAAGCCAAGTATACGAAACATCCATGATTCTTGATGCCGTACTACTCGATCCACCACAGCATTTCCCGTTGTAAGTAACGTTGTTCATTTGAGCTGCGACTTCGAAGACCGAGCCTTGGACGTTGCCATCGTTATAGTAATCGACGAGGAGGAAGTTGGGGGGACGGTCCCATTTTGCTGTTACAAAATGGCAATGTCAGTATGTCGTCCTCTCGTATATGTGCTGTGCTGATGATGGTATCTCACCCCGACAATTGTTCGCCATCAATCCTAGACTTCCATACCCCGACACTGCATTTGTCTCATTGATCTGCGCGGTATCCGGAACGAGGATATCGATCCCCTCAAACACGATCTCAAGATTCAGATTATGGTTGATCATGTACATTCTCTCCTCTGCCTGCGCAGCCGTGATCCCCGGGGGCCGCTGCACTGTGCAGGGGAAGGAAGTATTCAGCGGCGAGAAAGGCGTCTCCCACATCTGAGTGAACTCGTCCAAAATGTACGGGATAGCAGTCTGATTGGCCTGATAGTCCATGAAAACGACAGCGCGATTACCTTTTAAGATCATCTCCGATAGTGTAGGCCAATCGTCCAGACTCATAGGGATTTTCCACGGCTCGTACACGTAGTCGATGAGACCGGAGTTCTCGATGGGAGTGGTAAAGTTCCAGGGCGAAACGTAATCGGAGTTGACGATCAGGATGGTTACAACATCGTAGGGATTTTCCTTCATCCAGTCGGTCACGGTGGTGAGGTACTCTTCTAGGGTGCCCATGTTTAGGAGGTCGCAGGAGGTGTGGCAGAGGTAGATGTCGTTTTCGTAGTAGTGGGCTTCGAAGGATACTGGATTGTTTTTAGCGGTGGATTGCTAGTATCGGAAGGTGGTCCTTACGCATGCGCACTCCATCCTCCAGCTGAGTCTTCACCTTGTACATCTGATTCGCTGCGATGTTGTTCTTCTTCACGAAAGGACTGTTGTGTGCCGTGACCATAGTAATGTTCGAGTATTGTCGGCTGCAGAACTCGGTGTAGCCATTGCAAGGCTGCGAGTTGGCTGGCTCGGTCGCAGTGGTTGTCGAGGTGCTACTGGAGTTGCGTGTGCCGGTGACCACCACATTTGTATCCGTAGTCGTGGTGGCAGTGGTGGTGCCATTGGTAGAAGTGGTTGTATTTGCCGCGGTGGTGGTGGTGAAGGTCGTTTGGGAGACGCTATCTCCGACCGTGATGGTAGTGGTGTAGCTGAGATAACTACCGGTAGGAACGGCAGCAGCAGTTTCGGTGGTCACGACAATAATCGAATCGCTATCGGTTCCTGAGTGAGTGGACGAGGCAGATGTTGTAGAGGCATCGTCGGTAATGGTGGTGACTTCGCTCGTGCTCTTGGCGCCCACGTGGATTCCCCGCAGCAACAGGAGAATCCAAAGATACGCGATCGCGAGCATCGTGATGGTGAAGGAGCACGCGGATGAGGAAAACAGATCAACCCTAAAACATCGCGGCCTCACGAGATTTTATTGAAAGATCTTCTTTGCCACTGAGGCTGCCTCGGAGCCGATCTCTTGGCCAATCCACAGATTGCGCATCCCCAGATCGCGGAGATTCCAAAAGTGAGTCTTACGGGTGACGTCGGCGGTGCCGCGCAAGAAAAGCTTGGCTGGCTTGGTTCTTTCTTATTCTCCCGCGCAGCCCAAATCCATCCCAAGCAGTTGCATATCGTTTGCAATCGCTGGCAGGCTTTCTACGTGTCTGACATCATCCGAAATAGTTACACCAATTGTTATTTGCCCCTATGCCTGGCTTCGTCTATTCAGAAAAGGTGAGGGTACCTGACCGCGAATCTTTCTGCCTAGGGATGTGGTCCACGGTTAGTCCGCGTTTGCTGCAGAGTCTTTTTCCGGTGGGACCAACCACCAATCCTTCTTCGCGCATTGCAAGCCTGACAGAAGGAAGCATACTAATGCAAATTACTTAGGCATTGTTCTACACTGACGAAGACTAACCTCCCATTATCGATAAGTCAACTGATTCGCTGTGCTGCTAAGCCACCCGTAATCATTGCTGCGACACGTTCAGGAACAACAATGCTGAAAGGCGTGGCACCCATCGGCGATCGGCTGTGCCAAGTCAACCGGCGTAACTAATCATCTACTCCTGACTTCCGGCCCCATCCTTTGGGTTCGGACACGACACATCGCTTTCATAGCGCTTGCCAACGGCGAATTCGTTTCATAATCGAGTGCTGCTGCAAGTGGCGTCCAATTATTAGCCCAGGTCCTATTGCATCTATGCGCCGGGGATTATAGAAGCCAATGGCATCACGAAGGCGCCTATCGCAATCTGATGCCAAGCAACACCTGAAGGACACGACGGGCTAGATGCGTGCCGGATGACCCGGCAGAAGATGAAGCCGTGATAGTCAGGCAGCTGGATTACCGCAATTCCATTTATGAGGGCGTCGCTTCGAGAATGCCATGTTATCGCCCCAATCGCAGGTGGGTCAGCACGACGGCGGCTCGTCCCTTGTGGCCCCTGGCGAAGGAGCTTCATTTGAGAGCTCCTTTTAAGGGGCAATGCCCCCTATCTTTGTAGTCCCTTCTCCTGACATCTGCACGTCCTGTACTCGTCATTCAGACACACAAAATGTTCGGCAGTGGCTTGATGTCGTGGCTGAGGCCCTCCGAGGCCGTGCCCGAAAGCAAATGGAACCCTGAGACCCTGACGATGGAGCAGCCTGCTAGCCCGTCCGGTCCCTCCATGGAGCGCGTCATTACTGAGCAACCGGTATGCTGAAATATCCGTAAAGTCGGCCATGGTCCTAACAAGAACAGCGCACCGGAGAGTCCATGCAGCTGCAGATCCGCGGTGGTGGTGAAGGAGAAGTCTGCTGTGGAATGTAAGTCTTCTGCGTCCAATGAGGGGATGGTGCTAACTGATTTAGTTGCGCTGGTGTCTGCTGCTTTGAATGCTGCGAATGCTGCTGCGATTGTTGCGGCGACGACGGCCCGGATGGTCCTCCCCCTCCTCCTGGCCCGCCCGGACCTCCATGAGTGAACAATGATTAGACTTGGAGAACGTGGACTCCGATTGGAAATGGACTATCTATTTAATAGTATTGCCAAGGCTTTCTGATCGGCAAACATATTGTCCTCCCGTGGTGACTGGTTTCTCGCCTGATGTGAATAGTGATTATCAATTTATACCCTTCGTCAGCACTGACTGAATAAGAACATACCTCACATTGCCCTCATTTCTATGCTGGAACCATGCAGCTATTGTTAAGCCATCCAGATCGATCTTACTCACGGTATGGGCTGACTTTGTATCACAACCCATACCTGTCGACCGTCTAAAGTGGGGTCAGTGACAAGCATGATGCCGGTCAGCATCATCAGCTCAACAAATTCTAGCCAACAACGGAGATCAGTGGTCCGACATTTGATGTAGAATTAAACCCGCACACGTCGGAATGGCTTCATTCTCGGTCTTAGTTTCCCAATCGAAGCTGGTTCAGCGCCCAGACGCGGAGCGTGGGGGTGGGACCCCGGATTTTCCCCCACAACCTTGGCTGTGGTTGGCACCTTTTCATTAGCTTCCATCCTGTGCGCAGATACTAGAGAACTCTACATCATGCCATCGAGGTTTGTTAGTTAGATTTGTTAACTAGCTGAGCGGTGTAGGTGCATGCCGTACGGTGAGTTTGTCTATCTTTTGTATAGCCGGAAGCCGAAGGTACCCCGCGTCATGGCTATATAAGGCTTGTATATCCCATGCTCTGGTAGATGGGACAACAAGAACGGAGATCCGATAGAATCATGGTGCAGGGTGTGGCTTTTGGACTGCTCGGGCTAGCTGCCTCTGCTTTGGGCACTTATGCGCCCTACTACGCGAATTTGACATGGGAGCAACCACGGACTCTGTCCAACTGGTCCAACCTTACCGTCGAGACACGGACAGGGACGTTCATTGGTATGCTCAATGACACTTACCCGGACGTTCGACAGTTTCTGCGAGTTCCTTATGCCAAGGTAATTCTCTCGCTGTACACATGTCATACTGTGTCTGACATGACCAGCCTCCTATTGGGGACCTAAGATGGCTTCCTCCTCATCGGCTTGACAACTCAAGCAGAAAATATGACTCCACCTTCTATGGCCCAGGTAAGTAGTCTTCCATACAACTATGAGCAGTTCCAATTAACCCGAGTTCAGCCTGTCCACAGTATGTTCCAGCAGAGAGCGATTTTTGGAATGAATATGAACCGGAGAATTTGCTGCTCAATGTCGGCGAAAGGCTCAACCAGGGCTCTACGGCATGGTCCTCGTCAGAGGATTGCCTGTCCCTAGCGGTGTGGACTCCATCGTATGCTAATGAGACATCCAAGCTGCCAGTTGCGCTGTTTGTCACGGGAGGTGGTGGCATCACAGGGGGTATCAACATTCCGTCCCAGCTGCCCTCTGCTTGGGTATCTCGGTCTCAGGAGCATATCGTTGTTACCATCAATTACCGCGTCAATATTTTTGGCAGTAAGTATTTGCTCTATATTTGCAAATATCAGCCTGACATGCATAGATCCCAAATCGCGTGCGTTGAATGATACGTCGCTTACGCTGATGGATGTGCGCGCTGCTGTGGAGTGGGTATATGAGAACATTGAAGCGTTCGGTGGTAATCCCGAAAATATTATGGTCAGACTACAAGTTCCCTCTCACATGACTAGAGCTAACAGTAAGCAGCTATGGGGACAGTCACAAGGTGCTTTGCTGACGCATCTGTACACTCTCGCATGGCCAGAAGAGCCTCTTGCCGCCAAGTTCGGCGTCATCTCCCAAGGAGCATCTGCCACACTCAACCTCTCTACCACGCCCGATGTGTACCAAGACTTTGACATCGTGGCCAAGGGACTAGGCTGCAACTACGGTGATAATGCCGAGGCCGAGCTGGAGTGCATGCGTGGGATTTCCTGGGTGCAGATCGAGGAGTATATCAACCGCTACAATAGCTCTCCTTCTATTGCTTTCACGAACTATATTCGTATGTACCCATCTTGCTCTTTTAACTGCCCCTACTAACAATATCAGCCGATGAGAAATACATCTTCTCCGACGAAAGACAGCGTTACCTTGAGCGGAAGGTTGCCCGAGGCCCGTCAATTCGATCTGACACGGCGCGAGAATTCCCTAGCACAAACACGACCTCAGTAAATATCGAAGAAGGCGAATCAGACTGTCTGGCGGTGACTGACCTTGCGCTACGTGCGTCCATTGGGCTCGAGACCTATCGCTACTACTGGGCTGGTATGTCCAATGACTTTCCATACTGAAGATAGTGCTAACATAAACAGGCAACTTCTCCAATATCAGTCCCGTACCGTGGCTAGGAGCATTCCACTGGACCGACCTGCTGATGATCTTCGGTACGTATAATCTGGACGTCGGCGAGATCTCGCAGTTGGAAGTCGACACCTCTGCCACGATGCAAGATTATCTACTGGCCTTCCTAAAGGACTCATCCACCGTCAGCGAGACGGTCGGATGGCCGTTATATCTAGGCAACGAGACCAACGGGGGACTCATCCTGGAGTTCGGTAACGGCACAGCAGTGCGGACCATCACAGGCGACTGGCTCGACGCGGGATGTTTCAATTCATCTATCCCATTCAGAATCTGGGGGTAGCCTATACACACTATTGTAGTATATACATCATATCCACAAATCCATCTCCACCTATATACATAAACCCCAACTGAATCTACAACAGCGCCTGGTCCTTCTTCCCCTCCCCCTCTTTAATTTCCCTCGCCTTCTCCCCATTCATCTTGGCACTCCCCTCTAGCCCATATAGCACATCCGCCGACATCCCGGGAATAACCATCTCAAACGTATCCTCAACCACCGCATACTGAAAATACCCACACCTAGCAATCGGCTTCGTCTTTCTCACATCCAGAATCCCATCCGTAAGCACCCTTTCATCAATATGTACGCCCACCACTCTCCCCACCACAACATCCACCGTCCCCATGGGCGGATTCCCAGGCAGTCTCATTGTAGAATGATACACGCACTCGAACCGCACCGGCGACTCCTTCACCATCGGCACCTGCACCGGAAGAACAGTAGATGGTTCCGCGGTCAGCCCGGCCTTCTCGAACTCATTCACTCCGTAAGGAAACTGCTGCGCCGTGATATTCATCGCTTCGCGCAGGTCATAGGTCGCAAGGTTCCACACAAAGGAGCCGGTAGATTCGGCGTTCACGACAGTGTCTTTTCGGTCTCCTGACACAGTCTGGTTGCTGCTGAAGAGAACGTAGGGTGGGTCGAAGGTTAGGTTTGTAAATTGGCTGTAGGGGGCGAGGTTGGGGGTGCCGATGGGAGAAGTTGTGCTTATCCAGCCGATTGGGCGGGGGACGACGCATGCCTATAATTTTCATTGTTTTGTCAGTATTAATAGTGTTTGAGTTTGAGTTTGAGGGAGTTTTGCGGTGTGGTGGTGGTGGTGGTGTAAGATGGTGAGGGGGGGAGTAGATATGCGGGGTAGATCATTGAATGAATTATTGGTCAATTGAAGTTGTTGTTGGGGAATCAACTAATCACCTTGAATGGATCATGGGGCAGGCCGTGGTCGGTTTTGCCGGGTTGGTAGAACATCTTCTTTGAGTAATGTTTCTTTGGAAGGTTATCCTGCTTGAATTGAAGCATGCAATGCAGTTGGGCGATGTTATCATTATATCAGCTGCCCCGGGAAGACGGCACGGCAAAGGAATGGTACTTTGTACGGCTGTCCAGGCCTGACCCGGGTTCCGAGAATGGTGGGGAAAATGAATGCTGTTTTGCTGGGGGGATGGCGATCCCCGAGATGCCCGACTACCGAGATCGGCTGATAGATGTGCAGGGGAAGGGGGACATTACTGCTAGTTGCATAGGCATGGTATTCATTGAATTAATATTCCTCAATAAATGTGGATAAGTCATGTGTTTAAACGGGGAGAGTGTTGTTTGTTCACTGTATTAAGAGCACTTCGGGTAGTCTTATGCAGCCTACTAAGTACGATTTAGGAAGTCTTCTAGGGAGTCATCTTCATGTAAAGCAATTGCATTCTAGCCCAAACACATACGTATAGACGAAAAAATCTGCCTCTCAGTGTCTACCCTTCTTCTTGGTCTTGGTCAACGCCTGACTACTCAAAACCATGTCCGACGGCGGAGACGTGAAAGCACACAACCATTGAACATCAACATCCTCGTTATAACGCAGCAAAAACTGCTGCAGCCCCTCCATATTTGCGTCAAATTTGTAAATGTTTGGCCCGTGCGAATTCATAGCTGCACCGATGAATGTATCAACGAAAATATACCAATTCTTGATATCCTCATCGCTGTAGAGTCTGATGTATTCGCGCACAAACACCAAAGTATTGCACTTGGCACCAGGCCACTGCCAGAATTTCCAGTTACGGAAATTCTCCAGGCCAGAAGACGAGCTCAGGAACTGATGGAGGTGATCGAAGCTAGTGGCTAATTCCAAGCCATTGATCAGGGCCTCTTTGACCTCTGGATTCATCTCCTTCGTTGCATCGTACTCACGATTGGCATTGTGTAAGTCTGGGTCCACAAATTCCTCGATAACGTCCTTGAAGTGGATGATGGCACGAACAACGCTCTTGAGTTCCTGTGCCGTCCACATACCCTCCGCTGGCATGAAGTAGATTTGCAGCGTGTCCATGTTGTCGCTCTTCACTTTGAACAGTTTATCCATCGTTTCGAAAAAGTAACCCATGTATTCCAGAGCACGGTCACCACTCATGATGGGGCTTGTTATCTTGGTGTTCCCTGGTCTAGGTTAGTATAATAAGGCATAGAGGATAAGTAAAGAAAGACGTACAGTAGGCATCCATCCTTGGTTGAAACATGGAGTTTATTGGGTTGTAGTCCAGGGTCCAGTTCCTAGGATCGGCTCCTTCCTTCTTGTCATAGAGACTGAGCGGTCTCCCAAACCCTTCATTCACATCATTGTAATGGTTAATCAGGTATTGAGCAAGTTCTCGGGCACTGTCGAATCCTTCCCTGGAACCCCTGGGCCAGAGGCTTCGGAAAAAGCAAATAGAGTAGCACAGCATCGTGTACTATGGGCGTTGGGAAGTATGGGTAAAATTCTTCGAAGAGTTGGAAACTTAAAGAGAACAGGAATAAGACTGAATCTTAGAACATTATGATGATTTGGAAGAGTAGCGTGTTGGTTATATATGTCTGATCAGCTTTGCATTTTCAGGAGGACAGTATTGAAGCATGATTGTGGTTATTGGCATATCCCGTAATGCTTGAAGTCGTGTTCATCCCCAAATGCCATTTTTGCATCTTGGTGTAGGTTTAGAGGGCTCTCCAATTGTGGTTAATGCACAAATGTGAGACATCAACGGCAAGAACATAGGGAAGAGCGGCTCTATGCTATGGCAGATAAGTGGCCGTAGCTATCCGTGAGAATGACTATAGTATAGGATTTGCTGTCGGAAGTTTCAACTAGGATGGTGGATAATAGAGTTCATTAAAAGAGGAAAGGCTATTCTGACTTCTGATGAACCTAGTCTTTGTTCAGCTCGGGTCATACAGCTTTGTTCTCCCCAGATCTCGAAACTCGACCCGAATCAGGCCAAGGGAGTGCAACCACGCCAAGATTATTCTGGGCAAACACATGAGCATTAAACCTTCTATCAACGATAAGGCAATCTGTCAGTTGCAAGTAGTGTGCCTTGGCTCAGTCGCCATGTCAATCACCCAGAAACACCGTCATCCAATCTATTTCCCGGAATTGCCCATTATACACTTGATCGTTGGGGGTGCCTGATTATAGCTCTCTTTGTCTCTTCCGTCTTTTTGTATGCACTTCTTTATCCATGGTCTTGCAGGGCTTGATTGAGATCCGTGTGGGCTGCTAGCTTGCTATGAGGTACGGACCACAATGCAGAGAGATATAAACATAATTGCAGACCGCAGGTAGTGTCAGCTTTCAAGGCAAAGACCAGGCAACATTTAGGCAGGTACTATGGGTATCTCGTTCGACCTCTGCATGTCTCTATTCGAAATCAGGATTGTATCCTTGTTTTCACCTACCATGTTCTTCATACACCGCGCAGAAAGGAAAGAGATGATCAACTTACCATTTCGTTTATCCTTTCCATTCTGAGATGACGCTCATGAGGCACACGTTCTGAGCAAGGCTTGCCATGCACAGGTCAACTGTAAATTCGGGTATCTCTTGCAGATCCTCCTTGTAGATATATGTTGAGGTTCCATTGATCAACGTGGGCAGATCATTTAGAACGGTCTCGATCACGATGTCTCGAAGCCCGCGATCCGTCTCAATCGTTGAACAGTAGACCTCGTTCACAGTTGAACGGAAGAACAGTCTGTCAAGGTCACGCAAGAAACACTCTTTGAAATGCTCTTTTGCCTTCTCTTTGAGGTCCTGGATCTGGAAATATTCTCCTTGCTCGTACATATGGACATGAAATTTCGAAAGTCCACCATTTGCCCCAGATGACAAGGTAGTATGTGGGAAGCTTCGAACGATCGGACTGGGGATGGGGCTGGGATGGCCAAACTCCACTGTAGGAGAGGTGTCTATATCGCTCAGTCTGGTGTAATCTCCTTTGTAGAGAAACTGTAGGGTCTTTTCAAGATAAATGGGCTCAAGCTCCTCTATCACAATCTTTCCGGAGGATTCCTGAGTTAGGACGTGCATGTGTTACTTGCGTTCTCATTATTGTAGAATCGAAAAACGGCAGAAACCTACAATGAAGCTGCTATTGCACGCGCGAGAAAAGTACCCAGATTGAGGGCACACGACGCATTTATGGGCTGGGAACACAACATCCCCGCAAACGATGGTTAAGTCGCTCCATGTAGAGCTTAAGAAGAGGCTAGTGGACGTGAGATGCTGTCGATAAGGATACGAGTCGTGCTTACTCTGAAACGACTTTAGTTGGCCCCTGTGGCCTAACATCGACGCTTGGAGATGACATCTTGTAGAGAGGAACTTGCCGCTAATTGACGGGTGTTATATCAGTGCTCGAGAGATGTAGAGGAAGGAATGAGAAAGGGGTGAGAAGAAAATGGGAAGAAACTGAGGTCGTATCTGTTTGGCTTGACAATGTAAAGCGCATATGACGGCTATTTCCTGAGTTAAAGTGATAAGCCTGGTTGTTGTGTTAGTGAGCAAACTGACAGCATATGACCACTACGCGTAATTGATCAATGGACGCAAGAGAGTACACAAAGAAAATGGATTGAGTTGATTGGATCCCACATCCACAAGGCAAGGCCAGAGTCTACCTCTTAGCCGTCTTGTTGTACAGATACACTTCAGATCTGAGTGAACTCTTTTACCTCCTATTTTGTATCAAGATTTCTGTGCAGGCTCTTAATGCAGTTATCGAAGCAAATTCCGAGATGTAGTCAATAATCTCATAATACTAATCTGTAGTCTTCGTTGTTTCAGTGAAGGGTTTGCGATTGACCAACATCATTTCCACCAAGCAGTCTTTGTCTGAGCTTCCACTCGTGCTTGGTAGTGGAAGCATACCCTGGCATTCATTATGACTTCACTTCTGCTATTTTCTGATGATCAGATACTAGCCAAGAGCTGTAAGATGCAAAGGAAGCAAAATTCTCACACAGATCTCTATTATATACAAATTATAAGCTAGAATTGAACACAGGCGAAGATGCAAACGCACTTTGAGATATTCTCTGTTTACTTCTGAACTGTGTTGCCGGAAGAAGGTGGCTCCGGATCCGATGGCAACACCGCCACAGCATACACACAGCTACAAGCAACTTGATCGACTGCTACTCTTCTAAAACTTGCTTCCGTGTTGCATGGTGCATCCCCTAAAACACTGTGGGGCAGCATATTCAACGTTCTTCAACCCGGTTGATCCGTACTGCCAATCCCTGTAGGGAACAAGTCCACATGGCGAGCTACCGAGACCCGAGCCCGAGTTCCGAGCACCGACCCAAAGTCTACATGTTGAAAGTTCCAGATCATGAAGGCTACTTGTCAAAGCTTTTGAGGCAAACCCGACTTAGCCGGCGAGTATCAGCATGTCTGGCTATAAATGCCCTCGGAGGGGAAGGCTGGTTTGCGAACAGTCCATTCAATCTCCCTAGAACATCACTACACTAGTATCAATCAATATGTCTGCGCAACCTGCTCATCTGTGTTTCCGCTCCTTCGTCGAAGCCCTCAAGGTCGACAACGACCTTGTTGAAATCAATACCCCAATTGACCCCAATCTCGAAGCTGCTGCTATTACCCGCCGAGTATGTGAGACCAACGACAAGGCTCCTTTGTTCAACAACCTCATCGGCATGAAAAATGGCCTCTTCCGTATACTTGGGGCTCCTGGCTCTCTCAGGAAGTCGTCTGCTGATCGCTACGGCCGCCTTGCTCGTCACCTAGCCCTCCCACCTACGGCCTCAATGCGTGAGATTCTCGATAAGATGCTCTCCGCCAGCGATATGCCTCCCATCCCTCCGACCATTGTGCCCACCGGGCCATGCAAGGAGAACAGCTTAGATGACTCTGAATTCGACCTTACCGAACTCCCCGTTCCTCTTATTCACAAATCGGATGGTGGTAAATACATCCAAACCTATGGCATGCACATTGTGCAGTCTCCGGATGGAACCTGGACCAATTGGTCTATTGCCCGTGCGATGGTCCATGACAAGAACCATCTGACCGGCCTGGTTATTCCCCCTCAGCACATCTGGCAGATTCACCAGATGTGGAAGAAGGAAGGCCGCAGTGACGTTCCCTGGGCTTTGGCCTTTGGTGTCCCACCCGCTGCCATTATGGCCTCTAGCATGCCCATTCCCGATGGTGTCACCGAAGCTGGGTACGTGGGAGCTATGACGGGATCTTCCCTGGAGCTTGTTAAATGTGATACGAACGATCTATATGTCCCCGCTACCTCAGAAATCGTCCTCGAGGGCACACTCTCTATCAGCGAGACAGGCCCAGAGGGACCTTTCGGTGAGATGCATGGTTACATCTTCCCCGGAGATACTCATCTCGGCGCCAAATACAAGGTTAACCGGATCACCTACCGCAACAACGCCATCATGCCCATGTCTTCTTGTGGCCGCTTGACGGATGAAACGGTAAGTTTAGTCCCTGTCCTGCCATTTATAGCCAAGGACTAACACTGTCTAGCACACCATGATCGGCTCTCTGGCTGCGGCGGAGATCCGTAAGCTCTGCCAGCAGAATGACCTCCCTATCACTGATGCCTTCGCTCCTTTCGAGTCTCAAGTTACCTGGGTTGCTCTGCGGGTCGATACTGAGAAGCTACGTGGCATGAAGACGACGTCTGAGGAATTCCGCAAGAGAGTGGGAGACGTCGTCTTCAACCACAAGGCCGGATACACCATTCATCGTCTGGTGTTGGTCGGTGACGACATTGATGTCTATGAAGGAAAGGATGTGCTCTGGGCGTTCTCCACCCGTTGCCGTCCTGGTATGGACGAGACTTTGTTTGAGGATGTTCGTGGGTTCCCCTTGATTCCGTATATGGGACACGGGAATGGGCCCGCCCACCGCGGCGGAAAGGTTGTGTCCGACGCTCTTATGCCGACTGAGTACACCACTGGTCGCAACTGGGAGGCTGCTGACTTCAACCAATCTTATCCCGAGGATCTGAAGCAGAAGGTGTTGGACAACTGGACGAAGATGGGTTTCAGCAACTAACCAGACCTCTCGTCTTGAGACTGATTTGTATAAATGTCGCAAGTACATGCAAAATATAATACTTAGAACACAGAAGTGAATACATATTGTTATCATTCTTCCACCCTCCACGCTACTATTTATCGTATGCAAGTAAAGAATTAACATGGTATATAAACATATTTAAGTCCCTAGATTTTCAAATACAACTAAACTTAGGGGGTGGGACCAGTGGGGGGTGAATTATTTCCATACTAAATAACATTTGGGGGCTAGTGTATTGTTACGACTCGCAGTACTATGATCTCCCGCGTCGGCTAAGTCTCCAGAATATATATATATATAATTTTATCCATTTCATGGCAGCCTGCAAAAAGATTTCCTCCACAACATCAAATTCCAACGCAATAGGCCATCCCTAAGTCAACAATTCTTTTCATGCACATTACCATTTCATTAGAGTTTGTACCCCAAATTGGCTTCATACCAATTGCTGACTCATCTCGGAACCGAGGTGCCGATCAGATCCGCCGCTTCGACGCTCTGCGCGACCAACGTGACTATATCGACCTATACCCCAAGAAAGAAGCAAAATAGTTCCGCAAAATCCTTCCAGAAAGTATGAGCTTTTGAGGTTCCGATACACCGGTAGTAGAATTATGGGCACCCCGATAGATCGTGAAGAGATTGACCGCGTGCTGCGAATGAAACGCAATCAGCGCGAGGCTCGAGCGTGTTATCCTTGCCGCCAGCGCAAGGTGAAATGCGACAGCACTCAGCCGTGTCGAACATGTCGCCGACGAGGCCATCCCCAAATATGTGTGTATGACCAAGGTTCGTCTGGGTCTAAAAAGGCTCGTAGCACCGGCCAAAGACGTTCCTCTGCTGCTTCTCGTGGAACAAATCAGACACCAACCGCCGAGCAGGCATTCGATGCCGAACCACAATCTCTGCCCTCAGCGCGCAGTTTACCAGAAGTCCAGCCAGAAACAAGACAGTACTATAGTACTCGAATCCCGTCTTCCGATGGCCCCGATAATGATCTTATCTACTCGGGCGACAACTCGGTATTGTCTTATTTGCGCAACCGGACGCAAGATACCAATGGCTCCATGACCCGTGAGGTGGGCTCTGTTCTAGGCCTGCAAAATACCTACGGCAGTTATCCATTTATGGACTTTCGGACACCCCAGGACCGGTGGAAGGAGCTTCTACGTATTATTCCGCAGCGAGCGGAACTGTTGAAGTAAGCACATCTTATTGTTGTTTTTGGTAACCTCTAACGGATGGCAGGTTCTTCCATTTCTACAGAATATCAGCTTACCCTTTCAATCCGATCATACTTGACATTGAGAGATTTGAGCAAGATGTGTGTTCATACCTCAATGCTCTTGCAGCAGGAGAGCTGCAGAACACTTCAAAGATTTGCGAACGTTGGGCCACTGATCGGTCTGTCGGGCTGATCAGCCTGCTACTTGCGGCCTTGGCTTCCGGTGCGCATTATTCTGACCTGGATTACATGCAAAGAACAGAGCTATGCCAGGATTTTGGTACGTAACCAGTATCTTTACCTATGTATGTTTGACTAAACAGGAGAAGCAAAACGATCCTTTCAAGCTCTTCGACTAGCCAATTTTCTTTTCCGTCCGACGATGGATATAATACAAGCACTTCTAATCATAGGAAACACTCTGCAAAACAATGGCCAGTCTGATGCAGCATGGGTTTTGTTAGGGACAACAGTCCGTCTCGCGCAGACATTAGGTCTTCACACAGAAAAGAGTGTAGCACGCCTACCGGATCATGTCAAATACAAAGCACGAAAGCTATGGTACATAAACCATGCTACAGGTAACGACACAAGCTGACGCGGCTACAGGTACACTGTCGTTTGGCAAGATTGCCTGCTCTGTTTATGTTACGACCGGCCTCGCGTAGTCTCTATGACCGGGTGGGCTCCAGATTATTCAATCCTCTCGAGCAGCGAACTATCTTTCACAGAAGCTATGTATTTTCTATGCCAAACTGCCTTAAATATGATCACAACAGACGGACCGGAGATATCGGAAAATGCGCGACAGCTTGACATTTTGGCCACGATTGATAGCCTCAACCAACGCACTCAGCCACATCTGCGTGACCGCCAGGAATGCAAAAACCTCCAACACAATCTGGAGCACCTGGCGTTACGAATGCACATGTCTCTAGTTATTTCCGTCCTGACACGTCCAGCACTGAAGCGCACTGTAATGCAAGACGCGTCCTATGACATCTTGCGCACCCGCGCCAAATTGAGCCTGATCGACGCCTCTAGGGCCTTTTTGGATTTTCAGGCTCTGAGTGTGGTACCCCTCCGAAGCTGGTCAATGGTGCACACGGTGCTTAGTTCCACTTTACTTCTCTGCATTTGGGAGGAGACCCGAAACGATCCCGAGTGTCGTGATTTACAGCAAAAGGTGATTGAGGTCTTTTCTGCCGCTGGCACAGTGGGCACAGTGGAGAACACAGCATCGGAGAATGGGCAATGGCTATCGGAACGGCATATACGAGCGCTAATCACACTGCGCAATTCGGTCCGAACGGCAGTCGAACGTGAAAAGGAGGAGGCAAGCGTTGGGACAGAACGCGCGGAGCAGGCCCAGCCTTTTTTTCCTGTCTATGGGTATGTGCACCCACTATTGTCTGATAAGTGGAGCTGTGCGATGGATGCTGATTTTGCAGTATGCCGAACGGGATCCCGGATGACTTCGGTCAAGACTTCTCACCAGCAAGCTATCTTGACTCCATTATGAACGGTATGCTGAGGCTCCCGACTATTTATCGATCGAACTAACCGTCGTAGTACCCATGTTTGACTTATCCCAAGAGCTGGGTTTTCTTTGAGCTATCCATGACGTTATGCGGCCCCTCGGGAACGGTACTCGGTGGTTCGGAGGCCTCGGACTAAACGGCAAAACGGGGCCACACCAAGATTGACCATAACGCAGGGAAGGGTCCGAAGAGAAATCGAACCCAGCAAAAAGCTTTCAACTCAGGGACTTACTGTAGCTACCGGGTTGCCACTGGGCTATATATATACTTGACAGTCCAGCTTCCTGACGGCTACCATTGCAGTCCATACAGTCCATACATCCAGACAAAGCAAACCACAACGGGAACTTTCAGTCTACGCAATTGTGCCTACCACAACACTACATATTCCACATCAACACATATGTTCAACTCACTTCTATCCGGTACTACTACACCAAACTCCGGCCGTGCATCTCCTCCCGCCAGCGAAATGCCCATCGATAATGATCACGTGGCCGTTGCCCGTCCAGCTCCCCGCCGCCGCATTGTAGTAGCCATGACGGGTGCCACTGGAGCCATGCTCGGCATCAAAGTCCTAATTGCTCTGCGCCGTCTAAATGTGGAGACACACCTGGTGATGAGTAAATGGGCGGAGGCTACGATCAAATACGAGACTGACTACCATCCCTCAAACGTGCGAGCGCTGGCCGACTATGTGCACAACATCAATGACATGGCCGCCCCAGTATCCAGCGGCTCATTCCGCGCGGACGGAATGATTGTGGTACCGTGCAGCATGAAAACATTGGCTGCTATCCACTCGGGCTTTTGCGACGATCTCATTTCAAGGACAGCAGATGTGATGCTCAAGGAGCGCAGGCGGTTGGTGCTAGTAGCGCGGGAGACGCCATTGAGCGAGATCCATCTGCGAAACATGTTGGAGGTTACACGCTGTGGGGCAGTCATCTTCCCCCCAGTACCGGCGTTCTACATCAAGGCCGGAAGTATCGAGGACCTCATCGACCAGAGTGTTGGACGAATGTTGGATTTATTTGACCTCGACACGGGGGATTTTGAACGTTGGAATGGATGGGAAAAATAAGTTTTCAATTTGGACTGAATTTTGGCGGCATTTCTTGTATAAAATTAAAAGGGGCGTTGACTGGATTTTGGTACTTGGGATTTATTCTTAGCTTTGACTGTACATAGTTTGGGCGCGGTTTGATAGCCGACGATCGGCCGACCCACGAACCAGATTTGCATATGATTCCATTCCTTCAATTTTGGTCGGAGTCCCAACCCGCCTTTCAACCCCAACAACTACAAGCACGTTGTGTTTGCTACATTGACTCACTCGATATTGCTGAACCATGCAGGCCGCCCAACTGAGTTATTACACCAAGCATGCGAATCGGAAAGTTCGACAAAGCGGGTGAAATGTCCGAGTTGGCGAACCAAAGCGCAACGGTCGAGGCTCCTTTCCCCGCAGAGGCAGCCATTCTGCAGCCTTTGAACTGCGGGGGAAACGGCATTTGATCAACTCGGCACTGATGCAGTGACCAACAGGATGTTAGCAATGTTGGCCTAATATATTCTTACTGATCTGCTGATACGTCCCTCCCTTGCATCAGCCTCGGTTTGCGCATGAGAACGGGTTCGAACGTTCCTGGGCCACCCGGTTGGCGTGATATTCTCCGCCCACGCTGTCTGTCCCCCTGATGGGAAACCTTCGGATTAGCGATCATCAGGCCAGTTGGCTATGAGAATAGGGGCTTTGCTGTCTTGATGCCTAAAATGCAGGTCTCATAGCAAGATCCACAGCCGAGGAGGCACATGGCGATGTCGAAACCCATGGGAGCTGATTTTTCGGTTCTCGGATCGTGCTCCAAGACATAGAAGGATATTGAGCACTTGAAACGAAGGGGTGAAAAATGGAACTGTATATAGAGTTACTCCCAGCCCGATCCGAGAGCCTATGACCCATAGCGGTACAGATCATGGCCATCATGAAGGCCCTCCTTTGGCTCTCCCTTTCCCTCGCCGTCTGGGCGACTCCAGTTCAACGGGATGCAGCTCCTACTGTCACTATTGCGCATCCATCGGCCACCGTCATTGGAAAATCTGGCAATGTCGAGAGCTTCAACAATATTCCCTTTGCGCAGGCCCCCACAGGCTCGCTGCGTCTGAAGCCCCCACAACCCTTGGAAACTGCCCTCGGCACTGTTCAGGCCACAGGAGCCTCGCAATCGTGTCCGCAGATGTACTTCACCACGGATGAGAGCGAATTCCCGACATCGGTCATTGGCCTCCTCGCTGATCTCCCTTTGGTACAGTCGGCTACCAATGCTCTCGAGGATTGCCTGAACATTGACATTCGGCGTCCGGCCGGGACCACCGCGGACTCGAAGCTGCCTGTGCTGGTCTGGATCTTTGGCGGAGGATTTGAACTTGGTTCAAAGGCGATGTATGATGGTACAACGATGGTATCATCGTCGATAGACAAGAACATGCCTATCGTGTTTGTAGCAATGAATTATCGCGTGGGAGGCTTCGGGTTCTTGCCCGGAAAGGAGATCCTGGAGGACGGGTCCGCGAACCTAGGGCTCCTGGACCAACGCCTTGCCCTGCAGTGGGTTGCCGACAACATCGAGGCCTTTGGTGGAGACCCGGACAAGGTGACGATTTGGGGAGAATCAGCAGGAGCCATTTCCGTTTTTGATCAGATGATCTTGTACGACGGAAACATCACTTACAAGGATAAGCCCTTGTTCCGGGGGGCCATCATGGACTCCGGTAGTGTTGTTCCCGCAGACCCCGTCGATGGGGTCAAGGGACAGCAAGTATATGATGCGGTAGTGGAATCTGCAGGCTGTTCCTCTTCTAACGACACCCTAGCTTGTCTGCGTGAGCTAGACTACACCGACTTCCTCAATGCGGCAAACTCCGTGCCGGGCATTTTAAGCTACCATTCTGTGGCGTTATCATATGTGCCTCGACCGGACGGGACGGCGTTGTCGGCATCACCGGACGTTTTGGGCAAAGCAGGGAAATATGCTCGGGTCCCATTCATCGTGGGCGACCAAGAGGATGAGGGGACCTTATTCGCCTTGTTTCAGTCCAACATTACGACGATCGACGAGGTGGTCGACTACCTGGCCTCATACTTCTTCTATGACGCTAGCCGAGAGCAGCTTGAAGAATTAGTGGCCCTGTACCCAGACACCACCACGTACGGGTCTCCGTTCAGGACAGGCGCGGCCAACAACTGGTATCCGCAATTTAAACGATTGGCCGCCATTCTCGGCGACTTGGTCTTCACCATTACCCGGCGGGCATTCCTCTCGTATGCAGAGGAAATCTCCCCTGATCTTCCGAACTGGTCGTACCTGGCGACCTATGACTATGGCACCCCAGTTCTGGGGACCTTCCACGGAAGTGACCTGCTGCAGGTGTTCTATGGGATCAAGCCAAACTATGCAGCTAGTTCTAGCCACACGTACTATCTGAGCTTTGTGTATACGCTGGATCCGAACTCCAACCGGGGGGAGTATATTGAGTGGCCGCAGTGGAAGGAATCGCGGCAGTTGATGAATTTCGGAGCGAACGACGCCAGTCTCCTTACGGATGATTTCCGCAACGGGACATATGAGTTCATCCTGCAGAATACCGCGGCGTTCCACATCTGATGCCATTGGCGGAGGGGTCCGGACGGTCAGGAACTTAGCCTTATGAGATTAATGATGGACGTGTCTGGCCTCGGAAAAGGATATATGGGGATCATAATAGTACTAGCCATATTAATGAAGGGTATATACCACGCGTTGGACCTGCGTTATAGCTTCCCGTTAGTTATAGTACCATCGTTATACCAGCCAATCAAGGCACCACGCACGACCGGGGACGGCGAATCCCCGGGAATTGAAAGAAATTGCATCCCAGGCCAGTGAGGCCAGCGATTGGCCACATCTCCAAGGCACAGGGCCATTCTGCAGCGCTGGTGGATTCATCGCAATTTCCCCCGGCCCGGCCCGACACCGCTATAGGCTGGTTCTCCCACACCATCGGAGATTCGTCGCCTAATGTCTCGTCCGTTCACAAGCTGAAGAGCTTGAAGTGGCGAGATGCCTCTGCAGGAATTCAAGCTAGATGCTAAGCGATATTGCATGGCAATTTGTGTTGATGCATGTGCTTCTTCCTTCAGCTTCCCCTCGTGCAGATGAGGTTTGGCTATAAATTGAAGTGGTTGGTCGGGGTTCCGTGAGGGGCTGAAGTGCTTCCTCCCTTTTAGACGCAACTGAGAGCCTGAGCTTCATCCCCAGCATCATTACTCCTCAGCAATGTCGTTCCGATCTCTACTCGCCCTGAGCGGCCTCGTCTGCACAGGGTTGGCAAATGTGATTTCCAAGCGCGCGACCTTGGATTCATGGTTGAGCAACGAAGCGACCGTGGCTCGTACTGCCATCCTGAATAACATCGGGGCGGACGGTGCTTGGGTGTCGGGCGCGGACTCTGGCATTGTCGTTGCTAGTCCCAGCACGGATAACCCGGACTGTATGTTTCGAGCTCAGATTATGAGTGTGTCATTGATCGATTGATGCTGACTGGCGTGTCGTTTGTTGTAGACTTCTACACCTGGACTCGCGACTCTGGTCTCGTCCTCAAGACCCTCGTCGATCTCTTCCGAAATGGAGATACCAGTCTCCTCTCCACCATTGAGAACTACATCTCCGCCCAGGCAATTGTCCAGGGTATCAGTAACCCCTCTGGTGATCTGTCCAGCGGCGCTGGTCTCGGTGAACCCAAGTTCAATGTCGATGAGACTGCCTACACTGGTTCTTGGGGACGGCCGCAGCGAGATGGTCCGGCTCTGAGAGCAACTGCTATGATCGGCTTCGGGCAGTGGCTGCTTGTATGTTCTCCACCCCCTTGCGTCTGATCTGTGACATATGTAGCTGACTGGTTAGGACAATGGCTACACCAGCACCGCAACGGACATTGTTTGGCCCCTCGTTAGGAACGACCTGTCGTATGTGGCTCAATACTGGAACCAGACAGGATATGGTGTGTTTGTTTTATTCTAAATTTCCAAAGATGCGCCAGCAGAGCTAACCCGCGATCGCAGATCTCTGGGAAGAAGTCAATGGCTCGTCTTTCTTTACGATTGCTGTGCAACACCGCGCCCTTGTCGAAGGTAGTGCCTTCGCGACGGCCGTCGGCTCGTCCTGCTCCTGGTGTGATTCTCAGGCACCTGAAATTCTCTGCTACCTGCAATCCTTCTGGACCGGCAGCTTCATTCTGGCCAACTTCGATAGCAGCCGTTCCGGCAAGGACGCAAACACCCTCCTGGGAAGCATCCACACCTTTGATCCCGAGGCCGCATGCGACGACTCCACCTTCCAGCCCTGCTCCCCGCGCGCGCTCGCCAACCACAAGGAGGTTGTAGACTCTTTCCGCTCAATCTATACCCTCAACGATGGTCTCAGTGACAGTGAGGCTGTTGCGGTGGGTCGGTACCCTGAGGACACGTACTACAACGGCAACCCGTGGTTCCTGTGCACCTTGGCTGCCGCAGAGCAGTTGTACGATGCTCTATACCAGTGGGACAAGCAGGGGTCGTTGGAGGTCACAGATGTGTCGCTGGACTTCTTCAAGGCACTGTACAGCGATGCTGCTACTGGCACCTACTCTTCGTCCAGTTCGACTTATAGTAGCATTGTAGATGCCGTGAAGACTTTCGCCGATGGCTTCGTCTCTATTGTGGTAAGTCTACGCTAGACAAGCGCTCATGTTGACAGAGGGTGCGTACTAACAGAATTAGGAAACTCACGCCGCAAGCAACGGCTCCATGTCCGAGCAATACGACAAGTCTGATGGCGAGCAGCTTTCCGCTCGCGACCTGACCTGGTCGTATGCTGCTCTGCTGACCGCCAACAACCGTCGTAACTCCGTCGTGCCTGCTTCTTGGGGCGAGACCTCTGCCAGCAGCGTACCCGGCACCTGTGCGGCCACATCTGCCATTGGTACCTACAGCAGTGTGACTGTCACCTCGTGGCCGAGTATCGTAGCTACTGGCGGCACCACTACGACGGCTACCCCCACTGGATCCGGCAGCGTGACCTCGACCAGCAAGACCACCGCGACTGCTAGCAAGACCAGCACCAGTACGTCATCAACCTCCTGTACCACTCCCACCGCCGTGGCTGTGACTTTCGATCTGACAGCTACCACCACCTACGGCGAGAACATCTACCTGGTCGGATCGATCTCTCAGCTGGGTGACTGGGAAACCAGCGACGGCATAGCTCTGAGTGCTGATAAGTACACTTCCAGCGACCCGCTCTGGTATGTCACTGTGACTCTGCCGGCTGGTGAGTCGTTTGAGTACAAGTTTATCCGCATTGAGAGCGATGACTCCGTGGAGTGGGAGAGTGATCCCAACCGAGAATACACCGTTCCTCAGGCGTGCGGAACGTCGACCGCGACGGTGACTGACACCTGGCGGTAGACAATCAATCCATTTCGCTATAGTTAAAGGATGGGGATGAGGGCAATTGGTTATATGATCATGTATGTAGTGGGTGTGCATAATAGTAGTGAAATGGAAGCCAAGTCATGTGATTGTAATCGACCGACGGAATTGAGGATATCCGGAATTACAGACACCGTGAAAGCCATGGCCTTTCCTTCGTGTAGAGGACCAGACAGTCCCTGATTTACCCTTGCACAAAGCACTAGAAAATTTGCATTCCAGCCTTCTCTGCTTGCTCTGCTGATATCACTGTCATTCAATGCATAGCCATGAGCTCATCTTAGATCCAAGCACGTAATTCCATAGCCGAGGTCCACAGTGGAGCAGCAACATTCCCCATCATTGCTTTCCCCAGGGGCCTCCCAACGACTAAATCAAGAGTATATCTCTACCGTCCAATAGATCGTCTTCGCTTCAAAATCTTTGACAATTCCAAGAGGGTCCCCATCCATCAAACCCAGTTCAATAATAGCCGAGATGCATGGTGGAGTCAATTAGGCAGTATTGCTGGAATGTCGGGGCCAGTTGGCCCGGTGGTCATTGGCCGCCTGTGATGCCATCTGCCACTAAATCCGATCATTGATCCACCGCCCACGAGGCGCGTCTTTGCTTTTTGCGCGGCGTCCAGGTTCAGCTCTCTCTGCAGCTCCAGTCCAACGCTGACTGACTAGTTTACCTACTGGTCTGATCGGCTCCATCAGAGCTATGGCGTTATCCCGTGCCGTTGCTGCGCAATCGCTATCTTGATCGCAACCTTGAACTCACTCTTGTTTTAATAGTGATCTTGGTGACGAAGCGTCGGTGAGTGACAACCAACATCGTGCAAGGGAGATTGATACGGAATTGTCGCTCCCACCATGATGTTCTTGCCGGCTTTGTTGGCCCTATTCGTGGGATGCGATGCCCTCGCTGTGCAGCAGCAGGTATTGCTGGATGAGGAGCCATCGGTCTCTGCACGCAAACCCAACTTCCTCTTCATTCTCACGGATGATCAGGATCTCCGGATGAATTCTCCGGCGTATATGCCGTATACGCAGGCGAGAATCAAGGAAAAGGGTACCGAGTTCTTGAACCATTTCGTCACTACCGCGCTTTGCTGTCCGTCGCGCGTGAGTCTTTGGACGGGAAGACAGGCTCATAATACTAATGTGACGGATGTGAACCCGCCTTATGGTATGGACACTGCTTCGATCGGTCTTGATTCTTCAGCGTGGTTACAGTTGCTAATGCGGCATAGGCGGATACCCCAAATTCGTCGCTCAAGGCTTCAACGAAAACTTCCTCCCCGTTTGGCTGCAGTCCGCCGGTTACAATACCTACTACACGGGGAAGCTGTTCAACTCGCACAGTGTCGCTACCTATAACGCGCCCTTTGTGAACGGTTTCAATGGCTCCGACTTCCTCCTCGACCCCCACACATACTCCTACTGGAATGCGACATACCAGCGAAACCATGAGCATCCGCGGAGTTACGAGGGACAATATACTACGGATGTGATGAAGGAGAAGGCATCGGGATTGTTGGCAGATGCGCTGGACAGTGACGCGCCATTCTTCCTGACGGTCGCGCCGATCGCACCGCACACGAACATCGATGTGGAGGGGCTGAGCGGTGCGGGTGGACCGAAGATGACAGAGCCGCTGCCTGCACCGAGACATGCGCATTTGTTTGCTGATGCAAAGGTGCCGCGGACGCCTAATTTCAATCCGGACAAGGTGTGTGATATCCTGACACAGTGGTGGGGACGGACACTGACAAGAGTAGGATTCTGGTGCGGGGTGGATCCAAACCATGGAACTACAGAACCAGACCGTCATCGACTACGAAGACCATCTTTATCGCCAGCGTCTGCGCGCCTTGCAAGCCGTCGATGAGATGGTGGATGCGCTTATCACGCAGCTGGAAGAAAGTGGGCAGATCGACAATACCTACATCATTTACAGTGCTGATAACGGCTACCACATTGGCCATCACCGTCTACCCCCCGGCAAGACAACTGGCTATGAAGAGGACATTCGCGTACCATTTTACATTCGCGGACCTGGCATTCCTGAGGGAAAGAGTGTTGACCGTGTAACCACGCACATTGACATTGCACCTACACTATTCGAGCTGGCTGGGGTTCCCTTGCGAGAGGACTTTGACGGGACTCCGATGCCCGTGTCGACTAGCAAGAAGACCCAGTCAATTCTGCATGAGCATGTCACAGTCGAATTCTGGGGTCACGCGGTGCTTGAGGGCGAATACGGCTCCATCGGTGAGTAACCTCTCTCTTACTGCCCCGGAAACATCCATCACTGACGTAACCAGGACCCGGCGGCTTATCCATCATGGGAAACAACACCTACAAATCCGCGAGAATTTTCTCGGAAGAATATAACCTCTACTACTCCGTCTGGTGCGACGGTGACCACGAGCTGTACGATCTCTCAGTAAGTGCCAACCAATTCCCGCACCATCGTAAAAACAAGGAATCTAACAACACCAGACGGACCCCTACCAAATGAACAACATCTACACCCAACAAGACAACATCCACCTCCTAAACAGACCTCTATCCAGCGTGATTGATCGCATCGACGCTCTCCTTCTGGTTCTGAAATCCTGCAAGGGTAACACATGCATCCAGCCGTGGCGGGTTCTCCACCCGGACGGGTCCGTAGAGAGCCTCAAAGATGCACTGCAGGTGAAATACGATTCTTTTTACACCAACCAGCCCAAGGTGTCGTATTCAGTATGTGAACCTGGGTACATCATTGCGGCTGAAGGGCCCCAGGTCGGATTGCAGTATAGAGATGGGTTGAGTTGGGAGGCGTGGACTTGACGATTCTGTCAAGTATGAGTATGGGTACGAATAATGAGCGTTATTGCTATGTATTTTTATAGATAGTTTATATATATATCATGACTAAACTTGAGAGTCATAGAATCAATGAAATGACATGGCGAGTGTAGATCACGATAGTCATGGTAGCTGAAGTGGGCGGATAGCCAAGAATAACACTAGAATCAGATAACAGGAACATCACAACCGATCACACCATAGATAATATCCAAGGAAGTTTAAATAGCCGAGACAAAGAGAACAGAGACAAGACACATGGAACAAGAAAGGCACACCCGGTAGATAAACCCTGGGACGGGCCCGAGTCCTTATCCATAGATCAATTTCACGGGAACAAAACCAAAGTCAACAACAACCACCACCACCACCACAACCGCATCAATAGAACCGGTGAAAAATGACACCATCGAATCCTTCACCCTAAGTAAAGCCCTGTACGTAGCATATCGCTTAAGCACAAAAGTAGTAGAATAGATATGAGCCCGCACGCGCGGCCAACGATCCAAACTAGCCCTGACATCAAAGCCAGCGGCGATTGCGCCATCAAGCCCCCGTCTCACTTCATAGTGGAATTGCGGGTCACCTCACTGATTGACTGTCTGTCTAGACACACTCACCCACGCATGCTGTCTGTGCCCAGAACGTGGACTTTGGCTCTTCCGAGCTAGAGGATTAAATATAAGTAGATTGGATGTAGGCCCGTATTTTTTTTTATTTCGTGTGACTCGGAGATTTTATGCGTTGTGTTGTTGAGCGGAAAAAGGAATATACTTTTTTTTTTTGTTCTTTTCTTTTTCTCTCTATTGCTTGCCTTGGATATCCCTTGCATACGGTCGGTTGCTGATTGACTAAGGGTGCTGTCTTGCGTCACTGAACTGCTGCTCAACCTCTGTCTGGTATTCCTGTTGTCGTGATGGTGGGGAAACAGTTCGAGTTCGAGGACCAGAGGGATGGCATCGTGCCTCCCTTGGAGGAAAAGAAGGTCGTCGATGAGGTCTATACCGATAATGATGTTGCGTCGGAGGAGATTGTCAAGGACTGGGATGATAAGGAGGAGGGCAAGCTGCGGAGGAAGTGAGTCGTCACTCTTTTCATTCACTGCCATATAGGTATAAGCATATACTGACTGGTATATAGGATCGATATCATCCTCATCCCCATTCTCGCTCTCGCTTTCTTCGGCCTCCAGATTGATCGCGGCAATATCAGCGCCGCTCTTACCTCCACTATCACCGAAGACCTAGGTGTCACCACGAACCAAATCAATATCGGAACCCAGTTGCTTTCGGCTGGTATTGTCATCACCGAGATCCCGTCAAATATTATACTTCAGCGCATCGGTCCCCAGGTCTGGTTGTCGGCACAGCTGATCGCTTGGGGTCTGGTTGGCACATTCCAGGCTTTTGTACAGTCGTACCCGGCGTATCTGGCCACGAGGTTGTTGCTGGGACTGTTGGAGGGAGGGTTTATTCCTGGTTTGTTTGGTCGTGCTCCTCGGTCTATGGTGGTAGGGCTAACGATGGGTTTGGTACAGGTGCCTTGTACTATCTCTCGACATGGTATAAACGACCTGAGATGAGTTTCCGGACCACTCTGTTCTTCTATGGGCAGATGTTTGCCGGTGCAACCTCGAGTCTGATCTCCGCTGGCTTGTTGAAGCTGGATGGAAAGTGTGGGCTTGCGGGGTGGAGATGGATCTTCCTGGGTATGCTGTCCCTATGCTTCGGCATGTGTAAAGGAGGAGAGCTAATGAAGTGTAGTTGAGGGCCTGATTACCATCTTCGCTGCCATCCTGTTCATTCTGTTTATTCCCAAGAAGGCAGGTGATGGAAGCCCTCTCATCAGCATGGGTCGCTGGAGTTACTTCTCCCCCCGCGAGAAGCGCATCATCCTCGACCGTGTTTTGCTTGACGACCCTCTGAAGACACGAGAGCATATCAAGATCACTGGCCGCGATATCTGGAAGACTGTCACACAGACCACGACGCTTCAGCATATGTTGATCACATTGGTGGCCATGTCCGCCTTCCAGGGCTTGAACACTTACACTCCCAGCATGATTAAGTCCTTTGGATTCAGTGCCGTCAGAGCAAATGCTCTGGCATCAGTACCAGTTTATGCTAGCATTGTTTGGACAACAATTCTGGCTTATTCCTCGTATGTGACACGGTCCTGTGGTGGGGGAAGTTGGATGCTGACTGCCGCAGGGACAAAATCGGGCATCGCGGGCCCTTCGTCCTCCTCTGTATCACGTGGAACGTCATTTCGTATGCGTGTCTACGCACCAGTCCTACAGATGCATCAAGCTGGCACAGATATTCTGTTATTGCTTGTGCTAATGTAGCCTACTGTAGCATGCAGTATGTGCCCTTGGGTCTTCCCTGGTATCCCGGTTGATGCTGATATGCTGATGTGGATAGTGTTCTCAACGTTGGTTGGCTTTCCTTCTATTGCAAAACACCTCAAGAGCGGAGTATATCTATGGCGTACGTGCTACACTTACCTTCAGCAGTTATCTAAGAAAATTCTTGCTAATGTGGTGGCAACAATAGGTTGATCGTCATGTCCGCCAACCTTTCGGGTATCTCTGGGGCCCAGATCTTTCGATCCTCGGATGCTCCCCTTTACATCCACGGCCTCACGGCCATCTGTGCCTTGGCTGCCGCCTCATGGGTCCAGACCTTGGTCTTGAATCTACAGTATCTCTTCAGGAGGAAGAAGACTCAGGCTGGAACTGTCTAAGAGGCTCATCTGGGATGATGCAGGACCATGTATCCTTGGACTTAATGATGCTACGAGATAGAAACACTTAATGATAAGCTCATACCTTCACACTAGCTGTCACTCCCCCTCCCTCCGGTCAATTCCTTCGGGCTTTTCCTTTTGTCTGCGTGGCAAACTGGCCGTTGAACCCCCCCTCCCCCCTCCCCTTCCCCCCGTAGCTGAAGCCCACGTCATCACCTGGCCATCTCCGTCGAAAAAGACCTGATCTCGCTTCCAGTAGCCTGAGTCAGCGTCCGCCTGGGAAGGTATAAATACCCCCTTCTTCCTCCTGGAAGTTTTTCCCTCTTTCACTCACTCTCATGCATCCGCCCGCCTGGTCACCCCCCAGGAGGGGGGTTAGTCATCACTTATATATTTGACTTAACTAAGCCTCTCAATATTTGAAGAGAGCAGAGAAACCCTAAACATTGAGCACGACGGGGACATGCTCGATGGGCACCTGACTTGGAGAGACAACGAGTACCCAGATTGACGAAGCCATCGCTAACGGTTTACCGGCAGCCGCCCGTTGCATCGCCGATCTGTTCTTGCCGGAGACCTTAGTCCTCCTTTCTTATATAAATCTTTATTATTCATATTATTATATCGCATGTTCCTTTATACGTCACATGTGCATCTCTGTGCTTGTGGTGCCTGGTAACAATGGCGGTGGTGGTGGTGGTGAAAGTTTCCACATGAAGTCAATATTGCTCTCGCTACTACCGCAGCACTTCTTAGCTTTGCTGCCTACCACCAAGTCTTTGCACCTCGCCCATGCATGATGGATCTTGTTATATGACTCCTCTTCTTCCTCTGTTCTACTCTGTCTTGTGGGCGTGGTAGCGGATTACTTGTCACTGATGTCATTCTTGGTTCTTCGACTCCTGCATCGTCGGTGAACGGTTCCTTGACCACAGACAACCTGTGTTTGATCTGTGCGAACAATCGAACCAGTGTGTCCAACTGGTGGATGTTCTAAGCACTCGGCTGATCAACCCAAAGGATCCTATCAATACTTATCGTCAACCGGTCTCCGCCCCCCACATCATACTGCAGTCGTTATGGAGGAGATGAAAGGATATCATGCTTGTGTACCCCTTGCATATATAATCCTGTTGCATTTTATATTGTGTCATTCTACGTCAGCAATCATGTTGCGGACTGTTTTATCCGATACATGTCCTACATCTATTGCTACTACTTGTCTCGCTCTACTGTTGCCGCCCACACCCATGCCAGCCTCGTTGTTCATCTCCTTTATATCCTTTCCTTGTATCATCTGATCGGTCGATAAGACCCTCCGAAATCTGGTGCGGTCGTCTTCCTACCGTGGCACTTTCTCTCTCCATTTATGCTCCCTCACTGTGCCCCGGGCTCGAAGCAATTCATTGCTGGCATCGGCTTTGACCATCTCTCACTTTGTTGGTTGCTCTGCTTCGACTTCCGATATCATCTTGAATCGCTGGTCACAAGTTACCCCACACAACAGAACGGACAGAGTGCCCGAGGTTTGCTGGCAGGACAGGGTAACACTACCCTTGCTTTTCTGCGAGCGGGTCATGAACCGGAGCATTGGCGAGCTCCAAGTAGCCCTGCGTGGGGTTAGCGACATGCTTGACCTCGCCTCCCATAGTGAGCACATCCTTCACCAGAGTCAGGTTGGGCTTCGCATAGCTCAGCAACCATAGCTGAAGATTCCCACATACCAGCTTGGTCTTGGTGGGTGTAGTCGATCAGACCACCCGACTATCGCTAAAGCTCTCGAAACCCCAATCGTTCTTTCATCAACCAATGAACAATAACATTGGGGTCCTATATATCGACGTCTGCAACAGAATCGTCCTGTTGCTCTTATCAGACCCAAAGTTCAACAGTGTTTTCATGCAACCATGAACACCATTCTTTGGCTCTATATACCGCAGTCCACACTGGTCCGCCTGGTGCTGTTCAACATCATCATAATACCCCGCTATCTGGCAACAGGATGACTCACGTTTCCAGACCGTCTGGGGTTTTGGGCAAGGAACAAGGGGCGCAGCGGCTCCTTCAGCGCAATCTACAAATATCACATTCTTCGTATCTTCGTTGACAGTATCCGGAGCTTTTCAAATTCAACAATTGCTTTCCAAGCCTCTCCAAGGTTTTCGGCACCAAAAGTCATACAAAAATTTTACAAACAACAAAGTTACTCTGTGCAGCCATTCGGCACGAACATCTGCCCGCCCGCCACTCCTCGTCTTCCGGTTGCTGGCAGGTACCTTGATATTATCTCGATTTTACGAAGGCAGAGTGGCGCGAAGTCAATTTTCTACGCGATGAATTCTATACAGCAATGGCCAAAGGCGATTGGAGATCTCAGGTATCGCCCCACTGCGGTAGGCCGATTGTCATAGCATTTCAGACACTCGGGTCCTAGTTAGGAAACGTCTCGCAGCACTTCATTCCTATGCAGGAGTCTAGTCAAGGTTGGAATGGTCAATGGTCAGATGATGAAAAACCAAATGGGAAGAGGACAGCTTCTGAGAACTCCTCTGAATCTGCAACGACGTGACCCCCGATATATACGACTTGACTTGCATGGGCACTGTCGGGTCTTAAGCTAGTCGAAGAAGCCCATCGGAAGTGTTCCTGGAGCTTCCCATTACTTCCAATGGTACGTCATACCATCTGACCTGATCAGAGCGCGTCATATCAGTATTAAATGCTGACCACTCTAAGCAATGCCACCAGACAAGAAGACGATCGTGACAAAGAGGCCACTTAGCCATGCAAGTGCGTGTACCATCGAGCGAAATTAGCGCCACTTGGGATGACTACGGCGGGTTGAACTCGTCACTACACCCTACGTCTTGACAAATGAACATCCACGGAATGCACTAAGCCGTGGGAGGGTACGCCGTTAAGAAACATGAGCAACACTTGTGATGAAACTCAGTTCATCGTTGGTATATTTTGCGGTAAAGTACGATATTGAGAACACATACCCGGATATTCGCTTCCCTACGCCAGAAAAGCTGTACCAAGGTAGTAGCAGATCTGTTACTCATGATAGACAGTTCGAAAAGGTTACTGTGTCATTCAAAGAATCAGCTACTACTTCTGCTGTGACTTGCGACCCACTATATAATGCGTCTTACTGTACGCAAAACTCGAAACAAAAACATCAATCAAAGCTCCTATACTACCGGAGTTATTGCCACCCCGACACCAACGCAGCGAGCAGGTATATATGATAGCCATACATCACGGAAGTCGGCCTTGAACTTAGCAAAACCGTTGCAACCTGCCTTGTCTGAGCGCCCTGAAGGATGTCATCCGCTGCGACGTCAGCTTCTACCTATTTTGGTACTAATGGAGTGTTACTACCTACAAGGGGCTGGCCCCGCTACGTGGGCTCTAACTCGTCTTCGCCGGTCTAAACCTCCGATACAAGCTCCGAAAGTAGATTCGAAGCTTTCCTAAGAGAAGTGACGAGGCAGTATGATGAAGCCGAACAATTTGGTCCTCCGCCAGACCTCGTGGGCTAATTCAGCGTCCGATCCTTCAAGCCTGTAGCGGCGAGTACAGCTCTACGGCTATAAACCAATCGTATATACGTCTCTGTCATCGGCAGTGGGCCGGTTCTCGCTTCATGTCTCACTACGACAGCAGCGAGTGTCGATAACGTCATCCGCCGATAAGCGAACTGTTGACACCTATCATTTTTATATTCATGTTTGAAGGATGGTGAATACCAATTCATAAAAAACCAGATACTATAGTGGCCACATGACTACTGTTGGTCTGTCTACCACAGCGACCACGTCGCTTTGCTGGCACCATGGTACTCATGATAAGTCGGTCCTGCAATCGAATCGTCTAACGGAGATAATTTCATAATCTGCGGCGAGCTTCCGGGCCGAACGAGCAGTATCGTATCTCAACGATGGCCCTCGCATCCCTCAGCAAGCCTGGCATGTACGGCGTCTATCGGATTCGCACATGTAACTGGGAGCAGCTGCAGAAGCCACTTCGATGTTTCGGCTGACTTCTCATCTCACCTCGTGCTGCTCTTGGGACTGCAAGACACAGTGGTGGCAACGAGAAAGTATATAGTTCGTCCTGACGAATGAACAACAGCAGGATGGGGAAGAAAGGGATCAGGTACAGTCCGATGAGGACATTGATGTCTTCTATTGTTAGCGGCCTCAAGGTGTTCCCCATGCTTATGGGCCGGTAGTATTCCTCCGGAACAGTTGAGTTTCCTACCTCAAAGAAACGCAAGCAGTCTCAAACTGGTGCTACACCCATTTCTGTCACACAAAATTCCAAGTTGCAGGCAGGAAAACCAGCCGATGCACGGACGACCGGTGCAGCCTTGGGTAGGGCCTTCAAGTCTAGTGTCTTCGAAGGTCAGCATTGTTGCCAAGGGTTTGCGGCATAAAACGCCCTGAACAAACACATCGCAGAGACACTAGGTTGAGGAACCTATTCTACCCCGCTGGAGATAGCTTCCACAATTGCTTTGTGAAGGACGAAGATATGGAAGGGGAAAGTTATATTAGAAGCTTGAATGATTGCGAGTCAGAATACCTGTGGCGAACTGGGGAAGCAGGTGAGCTATCTATGGCGCTCTGGTAGTGGGGCAGCTGGCCCAGTTCTATGCTTGTGCGGGCGAGGGTCCAGGCAACTATCAAGAAGTCATGCGCTGGATGCATCACCAAGCGCAGCCCCAGGCGCAACGCCAAGAGCAGGCTGTTTCTAGCAGGCCAAGGAGAGCGCAAGCACATCCTTACAGTCCGCCTCCTTCCTACGTTCAGCCGATCACGTCCATTTCCCCTACACTGAATATGTCAGCAGATATGTCATCGCCTGCGATCATGTCAGCTTCAACTTATGTTGGTAGTGGAATGCCACCGCCTGCAATGCGCAGGCCCCTTAATGTGGACTCCAACTGGTCTACGCCAGTAAATGCCCTTCCAGGGTCTTTGTGTTAGCAAGAGGGATTCAGCTTATGGTCGACTGGGCCAGCAAGGGAGCTACCTATGGCGCACTCGTGGTGGGCCATTGGCTCTGTTTTGTGATTGTGTTTATGATGGCTCAGCAGAAGTCCGATTACTGCATCTTCGAAGAGGACGTTGCACGCCTATTTACTACTTCTCTCTTTCTTGTATTTCCCTGGATTTCCGATCCGATATATCCCTTCTCCAATTTTGTCGCGATTCCTTCTGATTTAAATTATGCAAGATAGTATATAAGAACATAAGCTAAGGATAAGACAATACATAACCAGACAATCAAGCCAATCATCATCCAGTTCAAGTAAGCTAGATTGCGACAGTATGGTCGACTCTATGAAGATCAAATCAATCATCTTCTTAGTGTCCCCAATAAATTGAAGACACATTCTGCCTTGGAAATATAGCAAATCAGAAGAATCATTACCTCAATTTGAAACCCTGTAGACAGCATTGCACCCACATTTATTCAGAGACCTCGTCAACAGGAACATTCCTCGCCGCTACTCGCGTCCTCGTCGCCCCTAGAATCTAGGTAAACGCCTATTTCAGCGACATCCACACCATCCTCTGCAACCGATGACACGGATTCCTCGTAGATGTGATATGTATCCTAGCAGTGGTGGTAGCTTCGAATTCCGACCCCCGACCATTCATTCACGTTACCGTAAGCTTCCATAAGGAGCGGGAACTCCGCAGAGTGCTACGTTCTTACGGAGGGGGGAGGGGGATATTATATTTGTGAAGTTTTCGTGGCATTGGTAGATTAATATAGTCGGAAACTGAGAACTTTCTCTCGGTCGCTGTCGAAGACCCTGAGCTTTGGAGCGCTGTATGGAATTGGATCTCTGTTAAAGTGTTCGTTCCGTAGATGGCGATGGGGGAGGAGTGTTGCCGGCAGCCAAGTCCTGTCCTTCGATAACGCCTAGCCGGGAGAAGCTACTCCGCCCCAGTCAACTACGCCAGTGCTAGGGATAGCATTCGCCCCTGCTAATATTGCGATCATGGTGTATATAGTACAGGAAGAGCATTGAACAAGTCTGAAATATTTTCAAAGAATTACTAAGAAGCTGAAGTCGATACACTTGGCTCGGGCATACTGAATCCATGTAGTACCCGGCTCCAATTCCAATGACCAGAAGGTCTTGAGGAACGAAAGAACGCGGCTCCGATCAAGATTACCACTCAATCGAATCACATTCATCATGGCCTCCTCGACAATGTTCTGCATCTGTGGGTTGCCCCTAGACTCTGTCCCTGTGATGAAGAGTGGCCAGACAAGGTCCTGAGCAACCGCGGCGCTGCACGAGAGGGGCAGTGCGTGTTCGAGAAGCACACCAAGCGAAGCTTGTATGTACTCATCCGGGGATACGCTGTCGGAAAAGACACGGTGGGTATAGATAAGCGTGGCATGATAGAACATGTGTACTAGGCATTCGAAATCATGCCGTGCCTGGACAGTTTTGAACTTGATTGTGTGGTTCATCTGCATCATCCGAGCTTTGGCAAATTCTATGTCCAGTAGTGTGGATTCGATCGGGACGGGTTGCGAGATGGACTGCATAGTATGAGTCTGTCGCTCGGCACGCGTCACGCTATGCATGATTCGGATGAAATCACTGAATACTGTGACATTGTCATGCGTCGGGAAGTCGTCTTGGAGCTGATCGACCGGATCGAATGTTGTTAATCCGATGTAAACTGACGTGTAGTAGTATTCGTAGAATAGGAATACATCAGCGATATTTGTATACAGTGCACTGCTGGCGGATTGCATGTTCCACTGGACAATTTCGCGGGCGCATTGTATGTGTATTCGCCATTGAGCAGCCGGTGCTGTTAGTAGTTCAACATTGTATAAAATGAGAGCGGAAGCTAGGATATGTCTCGCTTGGTCTCTGGTTTGAACCGCGGTTGGATCCTGCAGTAAGTCTCGCATATCCCTCGACAACCAAGACAAGGCCACATTCTGGTGGTGACGGGAAATGGCTTCGAGTCTCTGCGCCCAATGATGGTCTGTTGGGTACTTGGCCGCAAGGTCCTTTGAAGCGAGAGCAAGCACCGAATATCGTACAGTTGATGAGTCGTGCGATAGAGGTAATACTAAGCTTCTCCAGGGATTGTGAAGGTCATCCACCCACGCAAGCCTTGTAGCGACGCCTCGATCGAAGTGATCGAGCAACTGAGTAGTGAGGCTGTCGAAGGGTGAACCGGGCCAACGGGCCGGTAGTTGGAGGTCTGCATGGGGCACTGCGATGCCTGCTCGGCGATAAAACGCCTTCTGTGATATCTGGGAGTCCTTTCGGACTGGTATTGCCTGTCCCGTCAATTTACCCCTGCTTGCCACTCCTTGACCCCATCTTAGGTTGATCCCATAACCGGGACAGCGAAGATTTCGTGAAAAGCACTTTCGACAATGGGGCAGCGTTCTATCACAGGAGATACGACGGGTTCTGCAGACCCGGCAGTCTGAGTGGTCAACGGAGTTAACTCGAGTTCCTAGCTCGGGGGTTGACTGGGTTGAATTACCTTTAGCTGAGACTTCCTCGGAAGTTCGATCGGCGGTCATGTGTATTGGGAAGCGCAATAGAGTAACTTCAGTAGATCGCCCAGCCAGGTGTTATAGTGTATTCTCTAATGGAAACCATGCTGCGAATCTAGCGACAATGCTCACAGCATGTGAATTAGGGTGAGCAGAGCAGAAGGGTAACCATCGGGCAGGTATTCATCAGCCGATGCTCTGGTGATCAGATGGATGTATAGCAGAGTTTGAACTTCCGCGAAGCGAAAGGCACGCACTGTTGCCACATTGCTTTGTCACCACTGTTTGGTGTGACGATGTTTGGATCGAACCCCAGAGCGCCAGTCTAAACCCGTAAAGGAAGCCAAGATGTGAGATTAGACTTTTAGTGGGGTCAGCTACCCGTAGCAAGAGGAACAAGCAAAACCCCAGGATAACAGCGCAATCCAAGTTGTGGGTTCTTCCCACACTCCATATAGTGGACACCTTGTTGATCCTTCTCCTTTGGCTTGTCCATCTCAAAATTCTCTGCAGAGATGCAATGGTGGAGTACGACGAGGAAGACAAGAGTCAGGGACCTCTTCCGTGTGGGTCAGCAACTCCCGAGCGTGTGTCTACGGAGCTTCCGAGTCTAGCGTCTATGAGAACACTGTATGATACATAGAAACTGCTAATCTACCGACAGCACTAGGCCTAAACAACATGAAACTCCTTGAGATTCATCGTCTCATCCTCCGCCCTCTTCAAGTACTCCTTCTGCAGTAACCCCTTCAAAAACGGCGTATAATCAAACACCAAGTCCCTTAGCTTTGCTAACGGCCAAGGTAAGCTATGGAACATATTACTCGTAAACCGAGCGAACTCCATATGATGATTCACATCGACGCGCTGCTCCTCGAACAGCTCAAATCCGGCATTGACAGCTTTCAAATCCGTCAAATCAACTCCATCCAGCGCCTTCGCAAGGAAATACCCATCCTCGATGGCCATACCCATTCCGTACGCCGCATACGGCGAAACAGGGTGCACCGCATCCCCAATACCCACAATCCTCCCAGAAGACCACTTCTTCATCGACGGCCGATTGTAGATATCCCATCGATACACCTGCGTATCGAAATCAGTAGCCTCCACCAGCTGCGGCATGGGATCCGACCAGCCCTGCAGGATTTTCTCTACATGAGCCCTGGGATCGTCGGGGAGCTGCTTTCCTTCCCAGGCCGGCTCGACAACCCACCACTCGAACCCTGGCTTTCCATCATGCAGCATAGGGAAGAAGCTAGCCTGGTATTGCCAGTCATGCGAGATGACACCAGTGTTGGCAGGTATCCCAGGGATGTGATCACACCATGCGAGCCATAGCCGGATGCCCGTGTGGAATAACTGGGGATCACCGAATGCCTGACGCGAAACGGCAGATCGAATGCCATCCCCTGCGATCAGTATATCGGCCGTTACTGGTGCGGTGTTGCTATCCTTGAACTTGACTTGCACCCCACCCTCAACTTCCTCGTATCCCGTCACTTCGTGATTACAGAAAACGACGCCCTCCGGGACGAGGTCGAGCATTTTCTGAAAAGCGGATGATCGCAAGACGCCATACTGCCAGCCCTTGATTCCCATCCGTCTTTCGACTTCGGCATTAAATGGCAGCAAGGCCCGTTCCTTGCCCCACTTGTTCTTGAAGTAGGTCGACGTATAAGATCCGAAGTTCTCGAGGCTGATTCCATAGGAACGCAAGATTGCAAGCACGGGAATAGAGAGGAGGACTGCGCCTCCGAGAGCGCGACATTCAGTCTGGCGCTCGAATACTCGCACGTCATAGCCACGTTTGATGAAAGCCAGCGCTGTGGATATGGCGCCCGGACCACCGCCTGCGATGGCTACCCGTTTGCCGGGGCGCCAGGTAGACATCTCGAGGTACCGAAAGAAATGAGGAGGTGAAAATGAAGGGATAAAGCTAGGAGAGCAGTACGAAAGACTTGAGGCGTATGTTATATGAAGAGAATGTACCTGGCGATTCAATATATAGGACAAAACTATGGGGGAAACATAGTTAATTGTATAGGATTGCTTACTCAGCGGAAGCCGGAATATTCACGGGATTTGGCTTCATTTCGACACGGCACCAGGGCACCTCGCAAAACCCGAAGCAATCAGGTTCGCTCCGCTTGTAGCAAGTGTGTTGCAGATAGAGTCTCGTCTTTACTTCCTGGAGTAATGATCTGAGGTCGTAAGAGGACTGCTCGGTATATCTTTTGTAGGATTGATTGATCATCTCGGGATATCAATTGCACGGGGGATTTCCGAGGTGAGCAGGTTAGTAGTTATTCAGGGATCGGTTAATATGATAGTTGGCCTTAGTGGAGATATATTTTTCAAGGTTATGATCTGCTGTTGCTTAAGCTTAGTAGGGTTAGGAGCACTCGATGTTCTATTAGATGATTGATTGGTTCTAAGTTCAACGTCTTGCTTGTATAGTGGCGAAAACCGGCCTGGTTGCTGGGGGTATATCGATGCGTATGACACTACTCGATATTAATAACAACAATTCCACTCGGTATCTGTACCTAGCTATTAGGCTGTACTTGATGTTGAAACATTAACTCCACCCAGGGTCAGCTGACCCTTCGCCTCTTCTTCCTGCGTGGTCTCCGACCACCAGCCATGCCCTTGAGACGAGATAGATCAAATGCATACATTCATCCCTACGTTTTGACATTGAATATTGACACACTGATTGTCTTCATCGAGTACAGTTGGACTTGTTGACCGGGCGCCTTCAGAGAAATCAGCACTTCAATCTCAGTGGAAAATCAAGACGATAAAGCGCACTAGACAGCGAAAGGATTGATAGTGAGAAAGCGTCTATGAACTGCGTACCATCTACTGGTACAATTATAAGTACGGTATGTCGTCTATTGAAGGGCAGGGACACATCCCCTCATGATACAGAACATATTACGTGGTGTTTGTGGGCTGCACACTTTGCGTTTGTTTGTATTCCGTATCAGGAAGAAGGGCCCAAGGGGTTATGCATCATCATCTAAGTGTACTACGGCTCGATGAGAAGAAACCTTCCAGAAACAGAGATTACCATCGGCAATCCCAAAGAATGATTGCTCGACAAAACCAACAACAAAGAACTCGGGAGCATCCACCCGTCTTTCTTGTCAGCCTCGCAAATGGCCGCAACAAAGAAATATCTCGATTGTTCAAAAAATAGTCTTCCTGCACATACAGTTTCAGACTTCTTCTTCCTCATCCATACAAAGACACTATAAAAGGATACTTAAGCAAAGGAAATTCCCTATTCCTCATTCCCAATCCACGTCACCTGTTTGCTATTGATACAATATGACATCTCAAAATGTTGCTTCTCGATGCCTAGCTACGCTAGTGTCAGAGTACGACCTTTGGCACCTTCAAGAGCCATGCAAGCAGTGGATAGATTTCTGCCACGTGAACGGGATCCCATGGTGCGGCATCACTTCTCCAGACGACAAATTTCCCGGTCACGAGGATTTTGAAGCTCAGATCACTGAATCCTGGGCATTAGGCGCTCGTAACGAGAAGCGTATGAAAGGTCTAGTATATTCACCTCTGTCTTCACTTATTCCTCATTAGTAATTGCTATGATTTAGCGCTAACACCATCTCGATATATAGCCTACGAATCCAAAGTCATGATCTGTAACTCCACCATCCCCAGAGCAAAAGAACCCAACAACCCCATCCCCATACGCATCTACTACCCCATAGCCTACTATAGCCAGCGAGGCTCCGCTGAGCCGCTCCCCCTATACATCCACTTCCGAGGGGGCGGATTCCTCTGCGGAAATCTGGACACTGAGGACGCCATCTGTTCCGCAATGGTCACTGACCTGACCCCTACTTGTCCTATCATCGTCATTAGCATCGAATACCGAAGTACGGTTGATGCACCCTTTCCAGCCATGTATCACGACGCATGGGAGGTATACGAGTACATGCAGAAACGGATAGAAAAGTTCCACGGGGATCGTAACCGCGTCATTCTCGGCGGGGATGACTCCGGCGCTGCGTTAGCACTGTGGGTTGCTCTGTTCGCAAAGAAAACCGAAGTAGTGCCCAGGCAACAAAAGCTTAAGATTGTGGGGTTGATGTTATCTACACCGTGGTTTCCGCATATGGATGAAGAGAAGAGCGCGCAGACTGAGTTGTCGAGGTATCAGTGTTGGAATGCGCCGTTTCTGCCAATGGCCATTCATCAGATGTATAGGGATATGTTGGAAATGGAGGCGTCGAATTTGTCGCATTTTACTGTTGGGGAATGTTCGGACTTCTCGGGGTTGCCGAGGACATTTGTACTAGTTGCGGGGCAGAGCTTGTTGAGGGATCAGGCCTTAAGGTTTACGCGTTGCCTGGAACATGCTGGGTAGGCCTTTATTATTCTTCTTTTCCTTGTCATCTATATACGTGGTGCTGACAGCGTACTAGTGTTCCACTTTCTATCGAGGTATTTGCCGGAATGCCGCATGATTTTCGACGCATCTATGTCTTGCCAGACGCTGATGTCGCAAATGCTATGGTTGAGGATAATGTTAGGTGGATTCTAAATATGCCTCATCGTTTGTATACGGATTAATAAGTCATAATTTGTGACTTAATGCGCTCATTCTTTCAATTGATATGTAGGCTGAGTGAGATTGCCTTTGCGTTGTCTCTTTGTGAAACATGCGTTGCAGCAATTGTATGATACGGCTAGCTTCCATCAACTAGAAAACGCCGTCTCGCTTATATGCGCAAACTCCTTCTGCTCCTTATCGTACCAAACTCCATGTTTTCTCCATTCCTCATTGTCCGAGTACCTGTCGAGGTACCAGGTGATATTGCCCCCGGAAAATTCCGCATCAACGAACCCACATCCTAAGTACCCGAACCTATTCCCACTCCAGTATTCAATCTCGTAGTCGCTCAGCGTAGGTGTATTTAGTGCCTCGAAAAATGCCAATCGAGAGCCAGGCCAGATGGTAATTGGACCATCAACCCTCCCCTGCTTGAACCAGCTAGAGCAAGGATCAGACCAACACGTCCGCGGGAAGTATGTCCGAGCGTGCTCTACAAAGTCACGGACTGCAGATTCCTTCGGGCTCAGCCGCCGGATATGCTCTCTCCGCATGCGCTTGACAATCTGGATGAAGTGGTTCGTCACGTGGGATATGATAGGGAGAATGGACCCATGTGCCGCAGGCGTAAAGGGGCCTCCGTACATGAAGTAGTTCGGGAAGCCGTCGACACCAACGGTCAGATAACTTGTCGGAGCATCTTTCCATTTATCAGCTAGGCTAACGCCCTGCAGCCCGATGATTGGGTATCGTGGTCGGAACGACGTGTCGAATCCTGTGGCGCAGATGATGACGTCTACTTCGTGTTCAGTTCCTGTCGCGGAGTCGATGAACCCCTTGGGTGTGATGGATTGAATCCGTTCCGTGAAGACGGTTGTCTTGTCGGAGGCAAGAGCTTCTAGATAGCCTGTGCCTGGTGTTGGGCGTCGACAGCCTACGTTGAAGGTCTTGGGGATTATGGCGTCCTTGACGTAAGGCTTCGATGCGAGCTTGTCGGACATGCTCTTGTATGAGGACTGTTGTAGTGTTAATAAATGGACTGGATGCTTCTGTAAGGGTACCTACAGCATTCGCTTCGTCAGATTCAGCGGTATTGCGGAGCGTGAGCTTGGCGCGTTGATTGAGCTCATGCTCTACTGACTTGTGGTATCGATGGTACATTTCGGGGTCGTTGTTGAAGTCGGTCTTCTGTTCTGGGGTATCTGGATTGCATCAGAGTTTATCTTATGTGGCAGAGAAAGCAGCATACAGTCAAAGTTCCGACCGTCCTTCCCGGCGTAGCGTTGCGCAAAGGCAGCCGTGATCCAGATTGGGGTTCGCACCCAGGTGTATAGGCGTGAGACATCGTCGAGAATAGAGGGAATGACTTGAACGCCAGAACTGCCTGAACCTATTACTGCTACACGCTTGTCTTTCAGATCGAGCCCCTCGGGATAGGCTGCTGTGTGGCACAGGGTTCCTTCAAATGAGTGTAGTCCCGGCGTGTCGGGCCATTTCCATGAGCTGCTCCGAGGTTAGGAGGATACATGTGTGGGAGGGTAGTAAGACGCACTTGAGGAATCCAGCTCCGTTTATCAAGACATCACATTCATCCTCCAACTCCATCGCATCTTGTTGCAGCTTGACCACCCATTTACTCATGTCCTCATTCCAAATCGCCGATATCACACGGGTATTGAGCTTGATATACTTCATCATGTCTTCCTCGACGACGATTTGCTTCAGATACTCCCAAATCTCCTTTGCACTCGAATAGAAGCTCGACCAGTTTGGGTTGGGACGCCACGGGAATGAATAGGCAATGCTAGGCACATCGCACGCACATCCCGGATACCGATTCTCATACCAAGTACCCCCGATATCTGCATTCTTCTCGTAGCACACGATCTCCACACCCAGTCCAGCTAGTGCCGATGGGGCATAATGGAGAAAGTCGATCCCTGATGCTCCCGCCCCAATCATGATTATCTTGAGCGGTTTTCCCAGTGGAGGCTCGTTGATGAGATGACCATAAACCGTATAGCCCCGGTCGGATGCTCTGTTGAGCTCCGCATGTTGGACGGGTCGAGTTACTGAGGAAGGATGAGGCCCTGGAGTATTACTTCCAAGACGAGTGTCCCCGGGTAGACCATATTTTTCGAAGACTGGGTTGGACTGCACGGTCGGATCAATGGAACCCATGATGAAGGGCGAATCGATCAACTTATGCTTGAATTAATTGAGTTACAGGTGGAGATAGTAGCCAAACTTAAGCTGGAGGACGTTATGCGGGCGCACCGACGATCCAATATATAACCTGCCATCTGGCATTCAGCTATCACCATCCCTGTCACTCAGCTAGGCCTATCATGTGAAAAAATTGGCCGAGCCCTGGACGGTCGCGATAGGGCGCATTAGACTGTTCCTTACTGTGTACTTGGTGTTTATCAGTGGACTGGAACCAAGCGTGGGGTTTGGTGCTGCGAATCAGTGGGAGGGGCGAGTGAGGGGGTGGATGGCACAATTTTGGACCAAGTGGGTGGATGGATACGCGTTGAGCCAATACGGGTTACGCACTGGGTATCCTCGGTGAAACCACCCCCATCTTGCATATATAGAGCGCACAATTCCTGACATGGTCCCAAATCCATCGCGTTTAGGAGATATTCTGGAGGGTTATTTGATTTTGATTCTGTAAAACTATCTGAGGAAAACTGCAAAATGCTTGAACTTCCAAAGTCCGACCGCACAGTTCGGGTGCGAATGGTCGATACCACCACTTTGATGACCGTTGATACAGGATTCCTCATACAACCAGTGCAGCCGGGCCATGAGACACTGAACCTGACCGATGTTGCCTTTCTTATAGAGCATGAGGAATCAAACCAGAAGGTCATGTTCGACCTCGGCACGCGAAAAGACTACTGGAATCTCCCTCCAGTAGTGCGCCAGCCTTTTGATCAAGCCATGAAGTCGGCGAGAGTAGACAGGGACGTCACTGAGATCCTTTGTGAGAAGGGAATTGAATTGCGAGACATTGGTAAGTTGTTTCCGATTACACTCACACGAGTTATCGTGACATGTGCTGACCGTGTAGGGTCTGTTATATGGTCTCACTATCACTGGGATCATATAGGAAACGTCGCTCTGTTTCCCACAAGCACGTCGTTGGTTGTAGGCCCAGGGTTCAAATCCCATCCTCATCTAATGCCTGGCTTCCCGGACGATGCCGAGTCTCCAGTGTCAGCGGATGCCTTCGTGGGGAGGGACGTGGTTGAGCCTGACTTCGCAGACGGTTTAACGATCGGAGGGTTTCGTGCACAAGATTTCTTTGGAGACGGTTCGTTCTATTTGCTAGGTAAGCAACCGATCTTCCTGTGGGAAGATGGAGCTGCTTACTGTATGACTAGACACGCCTGGACACTGCGTCGGCCATTTATGCGGTCTTGCCCGGACAACGGCTGACACCTTCGTTTTTCTTGGTGGTGACATCTGCCACTTTTCGGGAGTCATAAGGCCGAACGCCAGGCTTCCACTACCAGACACCATCCCATCAGAGGTCTTGGACAAAGATCCGTTCTTTCCAAGTCCATGCCCATGCAGCATTTTCACCAACAGCCACCCGATAGCGAAGGTTGACCCAAGACAAGAACCCTTCTATGAGGTCTCGGGTTACGAAGGAAGTGCTTTCTTTGACCCAGCGCTTGCGCAGAAATCTGTCACTAAACTTTTGGACTTTGAGGCATCTGACAATGTTCTGATATGTATAGCCCACGACACTGATCTGCTACTGCATCTTCCCACGTTAAATGACTCGCCTTCCTCCGACCTTAATTCATGGAAAGAGAAAGGTTGGAAGGAGAGGCTGCGCTGGGGATGGGTGAATGAGCTGCCACGTGCTGGTCGTCCTGGCAGGAAGCCACTCGTTGAAGGCTATTGGCGTGATGGTAAGATATGGGAAGAGGCTGTGCAAACGCTTCGTCGCAAGTCAGAGACGTAGAGAATCGATCACCTGCGGGGAAGCATCATGAGTTGACCATACCTTACATACGGAACCTCCATTTTAAGGCACCAAGGCTCTCTAAGCTAGGCTATATAGGAGAAGGCTGAAGGGAATGAGAACGAATCTTCTCTATCCTACTAGTACCCCTTCAACTCTAAGAGCGATCCACTTACCTCATGTACCTTCCTTCTTTAATACTTTCGGCACAAATCAAAACAGATAATGCGCTTTCCCTTGGGCATATCGGTAGAGATATCTAACCACATGATCAAGGAAACTAAATTGAGTGTTTCTCCTTTTCGATAAAGTGAATATCATGCTATGAGATGACTTTTAGGCATATTTATGAAGTTTGCACTACCCAGAAACCACAAACCAGCCACAGGGCGAACTCATAGTACATTTCGCTAAAATCAATCCTTTTCTTACTTCATCCTCAGTTCCTTCACGTTTATCTCTCACCTATCGCTCAAACAGCTTTCATTATACCTGTCAGTCGTTCATATTTGGCTTCGCTTGTATCAGGATCTACCTCAACATCACTACAACTATGTCATCGAGAAGTGCCCTTCCGCCATTCATCCACGACCTCATGAGCTCTGAGCAATACAGTGACCTCAAGATTCAGTGTGGAGGAGAAGAGCACCACGTTCACCGAGCTATCGTCTGCCCCCAATCAGAGATATTATCCAATAAGTGCAAATATCTGTCTGAGGTGAGGATAAACTCCTATAATGCCTCCATACGGATCTGATGGGGATCCTACAGGATGCTCCGGACGCAGTAGTCCAGGTCGAAGGACATGATGTGGCGACGGTTAGGTTCATGATCGACTTTCTCTACTCCGGAGACTACGCGATTCCTGATCAAGGTACATAGACATGTGTGTTTAAGGGTGCTTTATTTCCACTAACATGCGTTTGGCTAGAACCAGCCCAGGAAACTGAGGTAAACATTCCAACGGACGCTCCAAAGCCCACGACAGCCGAAAGAGTACGGCCACACATTTGCGTTTATATTCTTGCGGAAGAATATCAAATCAGTGACTTGAAGGCGCTAGCAACGACTCGCATTGGCGGAGCGATAGAATTGCCGTGGAATCCGAAGGGATTCGCGGAGCTCGTTAAGGAAGTCTTCGAAAAGGTCGATACGCCAATACGACAGAAACTAGCGAAGGCCATCAGTGAACATATTGAGGACTTCTGTCAGGAAGATGTATTGAAGACGTTCATCCAAGATGAACTCAGCAGGCGCGTAATTACGGCTATGAAGGCGAGATACGAGTGGATCCATCCACAGTTGATGGTTACTCAAGAGTGCCTCGCGTCTGCAGACGAAAAAGTCGCCAAGCTGGAGGCTAAGATCGAAAGACTACAGAGAAAGGTCAGCAGGATAGAGGCTGGTATAGAACAAGGGCACAACCTGCTTCACAACACACCCAATTGCCGTCACTGTGGAAAGATGTTCCTGGCCAAGCTTGAATGCAGAGGTGCCATGGAGAATGGTTATGTACTTCGTTGTGCACAATGTCGGACCAAGCACAAATAGGTTGGACCCCTTCATATTAGCTTACAGAAGTCTTATTGCTAACATCTAAAATATACGAAGAATGAAGCTAATTTGTGCGCATGCTTCAGTCTAAATCCCGTACTTTCTCTCTGCTTGGTCAGGAGCAGCTATATATCGCGGGCTAGACGCAACTCCGAGAAAGGCGAGGTGCACCGGTGTTGACGGTCCTCATCACCTTTAAGATCGTCAAGCAATATATTGCAGCTAAATGGATAGACCATCGGCATATCAAATTAGCATTGTTTGAAACATCAGAAGTTGCTAAAGCGAATGGCTAGCGAGACAAACGAAAACCCCAGCATGGATAGCACGATCTGATGGTGAACGACTAAAATCGGGTGATGATCAAAGAAATCCTATTCTCAGTGCACGACGGATTCTGAGTCATCTTGAGGATCACGAGCATGTCGGAGAACGCCTTGTCCTCTGAAGTAAACTCAAACCTCAATGTCCAGTACAGAATCTCCTGATTTTGGTATGTTACTGGACCAGAAGCTCTATAAGTAATTATCAACTGGATTGCTCTTGCAGTTTTAACTGGCCCTTTGGATAACCTTCCATTCTGCGGTCCAAGCCAACGGTGATCGGATGGTTGAGGAGGTCTTATCAGCTGGCCAGCCCCGATCGCTAACACCCCGCACGATAATGAAACCCAGGTGTTATTAGTACTTCCTCTAAATTAGTGCCGAACAAATCCACGAATACCATAGGGTGCGAGGATTATCTATCCCACTGGTGTGATTTGATCTCCTGCTGTTTCCTTTTGGGGATAGCGCACTGACTGCGGCTTGCCTTATCGTCCTTCAATTTTGTCTCTACATATATCTACTAGCACGCTTTTCGAGTACTAAGTACTGTGCCAACTTCACTCAAGGACTGACTTATTCAGAACAATGTTAGGACTCTGGTGTGCTGCTATTCTCATCCTTGTTTTTCTTTACCAGCGACTCTCGAGCCCCATATCTAAACTCCCTGGTCCTTGGTATACCAAGCTCACAAGTCTGGTTATAAAGTACCATGAGTTTTCGGCTAGCCGTCGTGTGTTTATCCATCAGTTGCACAAGCGTTATGGCACTATTGTACGGATAGCGCCCAACGAGGTCTCCTTTGCATCCTTGGATGCCATTCGAGAAATTTACGCGTCAGGTGGCAGTGGCTATGACAAGACGGAATTCTATGATCTTTTTCGGCAGTTTGGGATCAAGTAGGTTGCGCATTTTTAGTTCTTCCCCACGTACTAATCCGTCTCAGGACCATGTTTTCTACACTTGACAAACAAACGGTAGGATAATCATAGTGGACTGAGACCTCATCAGCTGACCTTTCAAAGCACAGTGAGAGAAAGCGACAACTAGCCGATCGATATGCCATGTCCAATATACTGCGAGAACATCACATTTCAGCGATCCGACATAGCGCTAAAGCTTTCGTGTCCAAGTGTGCTGCTGTGGCGAAGAGTGTGGATGTCTATGTATGTAAGGGCTTCTGATCAGAGCTGGCTATGCTAACTTGCTTAGGTCTATCTACATTGCTATGCACTTGACTGCGTAACACACTTCATGTTTAGTCCTAGCGGATTGAATTCTCTTACCGATGATAGCGACTTTGAGCTGATGGAGGAATTAACGTACCATAACAGCTTGCAAAGTATGTTTATTTCTGTGGAACAGGAAACCTGCTAACGACTGCAGAAAATCTACTTCCTTACTACCTGCCACGGCTGGCACCATATTTCCCTTCTTGGCTGCTACCCCGTCGGGCCCCAAAGGCCAATATGTACGTCCATAGAGTCACGGCCCAGACCAACCCAGACGAATATAGTCTCCTTGCTCGTCTCTTGCGGAAGGATGCATCACTGTCAAAATCGGAAGCAGCAGCAGAATGCAAAGACCATATGGCGGCAGGAATCGACACAACAGGCGACGGCTTGTGCTTTTTGATGTGGGAGTTATCGCAACCGCACAACTTTCGATTCCAAGACCGGCTTTATGAGGAACTTCGCTCAGCACCAGAAGATACCCCTATTGATCGATTGCCGTACCTCGATTCCGTAATCAAGGAGGCCCTACGCTGCGCACCGCCAATTCCAATGTCGTTCCCTCGTTATGTGCCAAGGGGTGGCAGAACGATTGATGGAGTATTCATCCCTGAGGGCAACATTGTCAGCTGCCAGCCGTACACTGTACATCGGCTGGACACAAAGGTATTTCCGGAACCAGATATGTTCAATCCGGATCGCTGGATGAAGGATGAAGGTTTCAACGAGCGCAACCGATTGTTCTTTGCCTTTAGCACCGGAGGAAGAGGCTGCACCGGAAGAAAGTAAGTTAACTCTGTCATTCAGCGGATTAAGGCCTAACTTTTGGAAGTCTGGCGACTGTCGAGATGAAAATCCTTCTCCAAGAAGTTTACTCTCGGTTCCGGACAACAGTGGCCCCGGACATGACTAGCTCCATGGAGATCGACGACCAGATCATTGCTTCTCGGCCGAAGGGACAGAAGTGCAGGCTTATATTCACTCCCCGTGAGATATGACATTCATTTGCTGAAGGCGCAAGGTGATAAATTGGGAGAACATCGGCCATCGGCACATCGTCGGTGTTAGTCCGTCCAACGCTGGCGCGGACAGCCGTGGGGGGTGGAGATGCCCGGTCCGCTTTGGATGCGGGGTAAGCAGATCAGGGGCGAACGCTACGAGATGAAGTCAAAGATAGCCATCTATAATTTAATTTTCGGCTGTTCATACCGGCACTTCCTTCAAAAAACACTATAGGCCTCGATCCCACCGTACTCCTGGTATTTGGTACACAATACAGAGCTCGGAGAACCGAGGTTTGCCCTCCCAAGAGCGAACGTCTGCATTTTCTAGTTATAAGTACCCGCTGAATCATCGATATCAGTCCAGTATGGTGCCTTTCGATCCGATAAATCACTTGATATTATATGAATCTATGACTGAATAAGAGTCCTGTCCACACCATGCACATGCCTTCCCTCTCAAACTGGGCCACAGCAGCCCTCCAAGCCCTTCTTCTGTGTTCTTCCAATCTTCCTGTAGCTACCTCCTCACCATCTCCCCCAGAACTATCATTTCTATACACAGCGTATGTCGAGTGCGAATCAAGTCTCATGAACTCGCCGGGACCCCACGGCGTGCGACGTACAATCCCAATCGTGGGCGGAAACTTCACCGGTCCTAATTTATCCGGTAGTCTACTTCCACACCCAGAACTCTCACACGAAATGCATTACTTACCGACATTCCTTACTAGGCAAAATCCTCGACGTCGGCGCCGACTGGGGCCTAGTCGATCCTCAAACTGGCATCTTCACTGCAGACACGCGATACAACTTCCGGACCGATGATGGCGAAAATATCTTCCTGCAGACATCTGGTCCGAAGTCTCCCAGCGGACAGCTACATCTTCGCCTAGTGTTTGAGACGGGAAGTCGAAAGTACTACTGGTTGAACAATGTTGTTGGTATGTTGGGCTCTACAGTCTACAGTACAGGTCGGATTCTGATGGATGTGGTACGCTAATATCATGGATAGCTATTGGAATACTTACCAATGTGGCGGAGACAGCTAATACCAGTCTTCTCAGGATTGATGCCTGGAATGTGAGTTGAATTGGCTTGGTCCTGGTTATTTATGTTGGAGCTGACGTGTGGTGAATGCAGATGGCTACGGATTGGAATTCGACGAGTTTCGTAAACCCGACTACTACTACAACTGACTGAGACTCGGAATATAATGAAGTATTTCACGGGCTGTCTGGCATAATTGTTGAAGCTGCTGGGGCGATTGACGAGCAAAGAAGTGAAGTACTGATGCCATGGGTTTGGCTATAGGTCAATTCGGATAATATCCACGGCGCATCTAAAAAAATCCAACAAATCACTTCTCGTATCACATTTAATATGCAAGCTACCAAGTATATACAAGAATTTGATTTCTCTGCACGGCAAACCGGGATTTTCTTAGGTAGACTGAGCAACTGAGCTGATATGCGGGATGCCGCCGAATTCGGCGCTGCTCGGCCGACGCCGTGCGGGGTAAGCCAGTGATAGCGTCGAGCTACTCAAGTCTAACCGACGCACCTAACCAAGGTCCTCATCTGTGTCATTTTCGTTCCTCGCTGATTCCCCCTGCTACTCCTGAAACTCTACTTTCTACTGTTCGACACTAAAGTGACTCATACAATGGCTGCGGAAAACCCTCCCTCGCAGAGCCGTCTTTCGACGCGCATCTCCCTCCGTTGGGTCCCCGAGCCCGCCTTCGAAAATACTGACACGATAGTGATGTCGGTCGCCGGCTGGTATGTTGACCTTCGCGTTGACAAGGCCTCCTGCGATATCGACTGGGCTATTGCGGGCCAGCGAGTTGTCGATGATGCGGATTCCAGTATGGATGACTTCGAGCTAATTCTGTCTCTGAGAGGCTAACAGTTAAAGGTCGGGTGTCGTTCACCCATGAACTCGATTCCCAGAACTCGTTTGATGCGGTCGACTGCGGTACATTCTCCACTCTTCCCAATGGCGATGATCTTGAGAAGGGCTCGATGCCTCGTGCGGACCTCCCTGGCTCCCCGGTGGCGGAATATGAGGAAGTCTGGCGTGAGCTGAAGTTTCGGCAAGGCCCAGAGGGCTCCGATAAGGGTCTTTCGTGGGTTCTTGAGTCAAAGCAGAAATCCCTGGAGGAAGGGGAGGAGGCTGAAGTGGAAAGGACTTTCCTTGGAAGAGTCTGGGGTACATACCTGGCTCTGCGCCAGGTTCAGATACATACTCGTCCCAGAGGTTCATCTGCGACTGTTATCAAAGAAGGAAGGGAAGTCAGTGCCAGGAGGGAGGAATGGGACTTTGCTTCCGGTTGGCAGCTCAAGTACTCCATAGGTCCCGCCGGAGCTCAGCTACCATCTCTGGCCCAAACTCTCGACGATGGATCATGGCAGACTGGTCAGACAATTACACTTGAAGGTAAAGAATACATTGTCAGAGGATTCGAAATAATAGTCTAAGGTGCGTCACGTTCGTCTATATACTCATTACTCTATATTATATACAAGTGATGGTTGCTTACAGCTCGTTGCTCAGGACGTAGCGGTAGCGGGCCTTGCCAGCGTCCATCTCCACAACGGCCTTGTTGGCGTCCTTCATGGAGCGTTCCTCGATCCAAGGCTGAACCTTCTTCTCGGCAGCCAGAGCCAGCATCTCACGGATCTCGTTGGGGCCTCCGATGAGAGAACCTCCCAGCTTGGCACGCTTTCCGATCAAAGCGAAAGCAGGGATCTCAAGGGCACCATCCTCGGGAGCACCAACCTGGACGAAGCAACCGTCAAGGTCGAGCAGAGTGGCGTAGTCCACCATGGGCATCTGCAGTATGTTAGAACGAGTCGAATACAATACGAAACGCGGTGAGGATGCATACCTTGGAGGACGAGACGGTAGAGACGATCAGGTCGAGGGAGCGGGCGTTGTTCTTGGCCCAGTCGGCATCGTCATCAGTGGCGATGTAGGCGTCAGCGCCGAGCTTCAGAGCGTCCTCCTTCTTGTTGTTCTTGCGAGAGATGGCAACGACCTTGTCGGCACCAAGGGCCTTGGCGAACATGATACCGAAGTGACCCAGACCACCAACACCGATGATACCGACGCGCTTGCCGGGAGCGCAGCCGTAGTGTCTCAGGGGAGAGTACACGGTGATACCACCGCAAAGCATGGGCGCAGCCTGGGCGGAGGGGATGGCGTCGGGGATCTTGACAACGAAACGAGAGGGAGAGCGGTGGTAGAGGGAGTAACCGCCATAGGACTTGCCGCCGTTCTGGTAGACGCCGTTGTAGGTGCCAACCATGGAGTGGCGGCAGTACTGCTCGAGGCCAGAGGCACACTCTTCGCAGTCACCGTTGCGGCCGCGGCAAGAGTCGCTCTGAGCACCAACACCAACACGGTCTCCAACCTTAATATCACCCTCGGCTTCGGAGCCAACGCGAACAGCGACACCGACGATTTCGTGACCGACACAGCAGGGGTACATGGTGGGGCCCTACATCTTGTTAGTTTGGGATCAAATGATTGATTGAACGAGCATGCATACCCAGCCGCTTCTGAGAGTGTGCAAGTCGGATCCGCAGATACCGCAGTGGGTGACCTTGATGTCGACATCGGACTCCTCCCAGGGCTTGGGCTCGAACTCCTGCCAGACCATGTTGCCGACGGAGTTCTTGTCAAGGCCCATCCAGCCCTCGAACTTGTAATCGGAAGCAGCCATTTTGATTGAGTGATTTAATTGAATATGGAGATTTTGATTATCCACCGAGTATGATTGTTGATTCCCCAGGGGTACTTGTGGTCTTTATATACGGATCACTTGCAACCAGGACAACGGGACAGGATTAGAAATCGAGCAGACTCTGGTCCACTTTGATTCAAGTCGGATGACAGTGGAGACATGTACCGTCCGAAACCCATTCCGATGACATACGACGGTGATCTTGGGCCGACCCTGAATATGCTACGCCATCGCATTCGCACGCCCCTTAATGGCCGGTAAGCGTATCTGGCAGCTTACCATTGATCCTACAGCTGGCGCGGTTCGCCGCAATCGAAGATTTTTCAGCATGAAGCTTCCTGCCACGGGGCAACGGCATGGAATTTGGTTGAGGGGTTTCATTGGATCCATTTAGTACAGGACCCATCCTAAGGTGGTGAGTTCCAATATTCGGGATTGGGTTCCATGGACCTGACGCGCTAACGGCCGTCTGCTTACGGTCCACTTGTCTTTAAGCGGAGTTAAGAATAAGATGCTGACAGGTCTTTCTACACAGCAATAGGATGATGAGACTTTCAATTATCTGAAGAATTTCGATATACATCTTCCGGCCATGTTTACAATTCCAATATATCCCAAATTCTCGCATTTGCGACCGCGATAATCGCATCAATCGCTTTCGAGTGACGCCGGTGACCGACGATATCTCCGGCGCTTACACCCGCGCGGCGTTAACAAATGTGGTTTTGGGCTAGTGCCGATCTTTCTCCGGCCACAGAAGGTGAGCCAGCCTCGGCAGAACCGGAACCCGGATTTCCAATTCCACAATTTCGAAACTTCTAGAGCCTGAGCCACCCGAGCGGTCAGCCCCTGGGATGGCAGTCGGCCCGCCACACGTTGTTCCGCGATTCTCTCCAATAATAGTAGATTTGTGGTATGGCTGCAAAGCTTGATCATGCCTAGTCACTGGAAACTAGCCACTGGAAAAGTCAGATTGATTTTGGAGGCGGACTGGAGGGCTCTGTGACATCATTCTCGTCCGATAAGACTTGGGCCGGAGATAGCCGTTCTACTCCAGATGACTGAAACAAGCTGATGGCTGACGGTGTCAGCTACAAGTCGAGTCCGGGCTCAGCGAGTCTACTATTTGACTGCTGACGTGCTCGATGGTTTGGTGGCTACATGCCAGTAGAATTCTAGACGACCGCCGATGCTGAGCTGTGAGCAGTGGCTTCGGAGAGTATCAGTCGTAAAAATATACTTCTATATGTCTGCACAGAGTACCTTCCTACGCACTTCATCACAAAAACCACAAAATTGGTTGGATTTCCATCGTCAACCATTATCTTAACCCTCATCAATGAATAATAAACTCAGCACACGGCACAACAAATGATCACCAACGGCCTGCATACTCAGTTCATAGGCACCGGCTCCCTCACCAAAAAATAATGCGTCGTCGGCTCCGTTCCCCCAAATTGTGCATACTCCACAGTAATCTCATCCACAACCTCAAACCCATGATTCAAATACACTTTTAACCCTGCCGGCTCAGACATAACATACGTCTTCATCCCATACTGATCCGCAACACGTACTCCGCTCTGCACGAGCATACTTCCCACCCCTTGTCTCCAGTAGTCAGGATGGGTGGTGAGGTATTCCAGCGCTATACAGATCATCAGCATTAGCCATACACCCAACATAACAACATAGAAATAAACCCATCATCATTAGAAGAAGCAAACAGGATGGATGAACATACTCAGCACCTCCTCACCCCCCACAACATCCCTCAACACCCGCTCCTCAACCTTCTCCAACGGATCACCCCTAAATTCCAATAACCCATCGCTCTTCATCCCCTTCACTCTTCCCTTTTCATCACTTCCAAGATCAAACATCCGTCTATATTCTTCCTTCTCCTGAGCCGAAGGCTCGGCGACTTGTGCGGACAGCCATACGTCGTCTCGATTCGCCAGGGAAGGAGGGAGAGTCCAGCGCGCGTAGCCGACTACTACCCTCTCTCTACCATCATGGTCCTCATTCTCGTTTCCGGGGGTGGATTGTATGTCAGCGGTGGTGGTAAGGACGACTTCATGTCGTCTGACATCCCGAGATGTACTCAGCGTATGAGGAAGACGAGAAGTAGTGGAGGAGATGATAGTTGCAGGGGTGGTGGAGGGCAAGAAGAGGAAGGCCCAGTGCGGGTCTGTGAGGCGAGAGAGGATCATTGTTTCTGCTAGGGTGGGGGAGTGGGAGGGGTGCGCGGGGTGGAGGGTATATTTTGGTTCTGATGTAGGGGACATTTTCTTGTCTTTTTAGGGTGAGTTATAATTGTAATTGTGGTTGTGGTTGTGGTTGAGAAGGGTATGGATATTGGTGGTTTGTATAGTAATTGTCTCGGGATAAAGACAGGTGGTCTTTGGGGTACGATGCTTATCGGGTAGTATTTTGCAGGATTCTCGGTTGTAGTTTGTCATGATAGTACTTAGTATTTTAGAGTTGAGTTTTGAGATGAGGGTCATGCTTGTGGAGATGGTTATTGGCATGATGGTAGATGTGAAATTTATGTAGTAGTTAGTATAGGCTACACTGGTGGTTGATACATACATATGTTCTTCGATGTCTGGTAGATCGCTCATGCATCGAGTGCATATGTGCTAAGCGGCAGGAGATGTCTAGGTTTATTGCTACTAAACTCCGGCTAGTGCTTATGTTGATGGCTACCAATGGTGTTGCGAACATTGTCACTGTGGAGTGAGTCTGAAGGCGCTAAGTTGGAGATAAGAGCCGATGGGTATTGTCTTATGTGCACACGTCATCCGTTAGAGACTCTGATGTAGGGCCTACTATAGAGTCTATTGATTTAGATACATCTACGCGTAGGTCGCGACTGTAGAACTGGCCATGTGGGTGCTTGCTGCTTTGGGCGAGGCCTATGTTATGCAGGTTGGCGTAAGTTCTTTAGAACCCGAGACACTTCACCGATTTGCTGGTATAGTATTTGCTCAATTGTCGAGTCGTAAGATTATATTATATTATTATGTATTACTGTACAGAGAATAATAAACGCGTCCTTGGAAGCATCACTCTTGCCGCATCTTCTTTCCTCGGGGACCGGCGACCGTTCCCATTAAGACTGCAACCCGTTAGTCAAGAACACTGACAAAGACGAGAGAAGAGAGACTCACTATCCCAGTGCTTAAACGAGCTAGAGTAGTTCCCCCGGAAGTACCGATGGTGATCGTCATGCCAGTCCGATCCTCCCCACAGCGGGAAGATCCGTCTCAGGCTCCAAGGGAAATCGTATCCAGAATGCGCGTCGATGGCCTGGAACTGACGCAAAGCCACCCAGGCCAGCACAGTCATCAAATGCACTTCGCCGGTAAAGTAGCCCAGAACCAAAGGGGGTCCAATCGTGCCCAGGCCAAGAAGCATGGTCTCCCACGGGCTGGCGTACTCGGCCGTCAGACCAAACGGCGCGGCATACTGGTGGTGCACCCGGTGAATGGCACGATACAGAGGGCCCCAGTGAAAGGCACGATGGAGCCAGTAGTGGTATGTATCTTCCACGAAGAAGAAGATTGTGATTTGAATGGCGAGGGTCTTAAGGTCGGGGAAAGGAAGGGCGTATTTGAGACCGAAGAGTTCCATCATCGGGTGGAACAGAACGATCATGGGCATTTCCACAATGAAGTGGATAGCAAGAATATATTTCACACAGCTCCATTGTTCCTTTGCCGATGGGGGCGCCTTTTTGTCCTGAATCTTGAAACGGTGAAATAATGTAGGAAGAGCGTCGGCGATAATCCACGGGATGCAGCGGGCGAAATAGAGGATTTCGTGGGCTAGGAAGGTGATGATGCCTGTCGGAGTTAGTAGGTGACAGAGACAATGTATCGAGGCGGTGTACCAGTTGCAATAATGTCATTGTCCCAGTAAGCATAGTGTGTCCACCACGCCTTCTCCAGGAAAGTCAGTTTCGGGTTTTGGCTCGCCAGGGCATAGAGCTCGGGATATGATGCCGCCGCCGGTGGCGCAAAGGTCGAGTTCATGTTGAACTCCATGTTAGTGTACAAGCCTGAGTGCTTGCCCTCAAGCGCGCTTGACAAAAAAAATAAACGCTTGCCAGAATCCAGTATATGTACTTCTTAGTACAGTTGGTGACTTCCAGCCCTGGTGGGTATCCGGATGGTCTGATCCGCCACACCACTCGGATGCCGGGCTCGATCGACTGACCAGACCCCGGGCTAATTAATCACCCAACACAATTCGATTTCCGCCCCCCCTGACTGGCTCCCCAGATTTGGCTAAGCCCTCGTTAATTCTCTGATACGACCCGGGATCTGGACTAACGTAGGCTGCCGTGTTGGCTAGTCGCTAGTCGTCCCTTTGACCTCAACGCCACAACAGCATCAGGCACGGACATTAGTTAGGGGCTTTGACAAAGGTCGAACGACGCCGGATGCCCGAAACCCCGGATGGTAGCCCAGCAAGCTATGAGGCATCTTCCGTACGAGATCGGCAACAGAGGATTCCGGTATGCACCCCAGGCTTTGATCCACACCAGTCATTTTAGGAAAGCTCATTCCTATTGTTTCAAAATTCCCTCATGTTGCCACTCATGTGAATGAATTTCAAAGGGGAGCTGAACCGTGACACTGTATCATCAGGGATAATGAGCCCGGCCTTACCGGTCACTGTCAGGCTCATTGCGACTCCAACAATGGCGACCGGGTTCCTTCATACCTGCAAGCCTCTCTTCGAGCCTAGTAATCACATGCATAGAATAGTAGAGCCAGCAGCGGGATCAAGTCTCACTCAGAATTCTATCAGCCTGGCGACAATCCATACACGACAATCTCCCACATCGCCGCCTGTTGTCGCGCCAGGCCCCAATGTCCGAGACGTCTCAATAGGTCAATACAGTGACAGAGCATACTAGAATGCATAGGCTTGGGCCCCCACATGCCGGGGCCATTGACCTCCGCGAGTAGCCTTTCACAGTTGATACCCGCCTGCTTAAATTCTGGAAAGTCGAGGGGACTCTGTCTGACACCTGTGCGATCGGATGTGGCTCTAAACTGAAGATAGCAATACAGTACCAATATGGCTCGGTGTAGAGACCGAGGTGCGTGAATTGGTGGCTCCTTTGCTATAGGCAGGCTCTCCAGGGAGCGAAAGGTCAGAACTGCATGGACAGCGCACCGACAGCCATCCCGCGAATTTGCCCAGGCTCGAGTGTAAGACACGTGCCTCTGTGACTCTTCATAACCCTCACGCCCAACTGAGAGTTCCAAGCGATCGTAATCCACCAGGGAAGAGAGGAATGTGACGTGCCACAACGCCTTAAGGCAGAAATTATCTGGGCCAGCGGAAGAACCTCTATGAGCAATATGATTGCAGTGGAATTCCTGAAGCAGACTCTGCTGCGACCGTAACACGGACGAATTGTCAGACATACGCGCGTCACATACAGATCCTGCAATATCATCCAGGGCGGAATATTCTCTAAAGCTGTTTTGTTTTGTCATCGAGTCCCAACGAACCTGGGAATTATGCTTCCGGCTGAGGCTGCGACTCCAGTCTGCTGCAGTTGGTGCGTTCCAAATTTCATCGTCAGAGATGGCGGAATTCAACGACCGGCGTCGCATGCACGGCTCTGCATTGAATAAGTCTGCGAATTCGCTGTCCAATATGGCCAATCCTGCTATGAGTCTAGACACAGTCAGCCGGGGCTCAGTGAACGCTTGGGTAGTCTAACCGGCGTTGCTCCTCTTTGGCAACCCATTTAGTCCACGCTCCCTCTGGGTCGCGTTCAATTTCCTCTATTTCAATCTCATGCGTCGACTGATGACTACGAAGCACCCGAATTCTCCGAACCCACTGGCTGAATTAGTATTCCAAATCAATATCATAGGGTAAGCATACCGTGATTATGGTACCATGGAAAACCTGAATCAGCAGGATATGTCTAGGCTTCTTCCATACGTCAGACTCTGAGATGTGGTCGTTAATGTAGACTTACTTACCCCGCTTAAATAACCAAATACCTGGCCTATCAAAGCCGCCTGGGACATAGACCGGATTTCGGGCTCTCCCTTTGCAATGTATGTCTCCCACTAGGAGTATTAATGAAAGGCACATTTCTCCCACTAAGGAATAACCAAACTTACGGATGCTAAGATCGCCTTGTTGAGGGTTTCGAATATCCTAGTGCCACAGGAAATACCATGTCTGGAGCCTAGAAACAGACTGCCGATTGAGCAGATTGAAAGTAACAGCAAAGCGTTCTCAGTTGAAGGTCGGAATGTTGGCGCATGGACTACAGGGAATATGGGGTTGAATCTAGCAAAATACATCTGTATGCACATATTCTGAAAACGTCAGCTACGCAGGGGAATACGTCGGCTGATACATACTAGGAAGTCTGTCGAGGGCAACGGGTCCGTTGGAACACGATATTGTAGGCGCTCGGTCAAACTTTGTCGGTATGGTTCATCAACGGTAGCTCTTGATGCTTGATCTCGCAACTCATGATCCGTGCCTGGCGCCTCAGGGTGTGTGAACCAGTGACGGCAAACTAGATCTTGGAACTTTTCTGTGCCGTCTGATAGGCTTTCGCCTGTCTGCTGGGGTCGTTTAGCGGACCCATGGTTGCCGAGTTTTGTAACAACGCTGGTATGTTGGTTGATGCATAAATGGCAGCATTTAGTGCGTTGATATCAAAGTCATCAGTAGCGAGCCAGGTGGGAATCTGTGCCATATTTTCAAGTGCCCAATCATAGCCCTGATAATCTAGGCTTCCATTTAGTCCATTATCCGGTGGACTTAGGGAACTTAGAGAGCCACTGGGAGGGCTGGTTGCCGGCCCCGGATGCCGTGAAACCCGTCCGTGTGCCTTGTCAACCGTCGGATCAATTCCGTTTGCTTCTAGCATAGTAAGGCGCTCATTTTCCCCAGCACTCGAAGAAAAAGTAGACGTAGGTACATTCCCAGAATCTGGCTGGTCAGTCAATGATAAAGGCGGCGTATCTAATAATACGGGAGGCGTTTGCAGTGGATTCAACGCAATGACATCACCCAACCCGGGCGTGGTGCAGATTGCATTATCAACTTGGGGAATTTGGGCACAAGTTGACTGCTCTGGAAGTCTGGGCTGCTGGGGAATAGCCTGTCCGTGATTACGCGCATGTCGCAGAAGGGAATCGCTAAATGGTTAGTTGAGGTGACATCTAATAACGGAGAAAGACCATACTGGCGACTGAAAGTTTTGCCGCACACGGAACAAGCAAACGGTCTCTCCTTTGTGTGGGTTCTAATATGGCGAGAGAGATGGTCCTCCTTAGTGAAGGACTGAGAGCACCAGGGACAGCTCCGTTCCTTTCTATTGCGAGTTCGACTTGATGGCATGTTGGCAGCCGGTGTATGAACCAAATTTCACCCTTTATCCATCGATTGTCCCGCGTCTGGCATAGAGTGTATGGCCTGGGTGTCTGGGGGTGGGTGGGGGGTCATTATTGCCCCGCTGCTAGTGATGTTGGGGGGTTGGGAAGTGAGAGAGACATCAAACTAGTCCCCTCGTGATCGACGCAGGAAGCAAGATGCTGTTGCCTGAGGTTCTCCTCACGGCGTCCCGCTTGTCCCACCGGCTTTACGGCTTTCCCCTTCCTCTCTTCTTCTCTCCCCCACAACTTCTCGGGAGATCAACATTCATGCCAATATGTCACGAGGGTTTCAATGTAGCCTATTTGTGGCTCACTGCTTTGTCCTTCGCGGTCTACAACAGGTCATGCAGGTGTGCCTTCAACTCCAGGTCCCGCCGGCGCCGGCTGTTCCTCCCCCACAAGCGGCCTGTGCCCCTTGCCACAGCTTTATTAATCGCTGTTGGACATCTTCACCTCGATCCAGGGCGATATCTGAGGCAACAAATACCTAGGCATGACGGATCAGAAAGACTGGGAAACGACTGATGTCGCTATATGTGGATGCGGCCCTACGGGCGCTCTGTTATCTGCTTACCTCGGTCGCGCCGGTGTCCATAATGTCGTTTTGGAGAAAGAGCCAACAATCACCACCGATCCTCGTGGGATAGCCTTGGATGATGATGGGATCCGTTTCCTGCAAGGCCTGGGTCTGTACGACTTCATTTATACCAAGATAGGCACCTGTGAGTCTTTCCACATTGCCCATATGCTGGAGACTAATAAAGCTGATCAATCAGCCATGGGAAGGTTCAATTTCGTCAGTGGGACCGATTGCAATATGCACAAAATTCCGATTCTGGCAATGGACTACAATATAGTGGGCTCTACCAACTTGCTTAAATATGTACCTGCTGACGATGTCAAGATTGCAGGAGCGACAGGTCATGTTGGCTTCATAGGCCATAAACAACCCGTCCTCGAGAGCCACATCAGGGGCTGCATGCCTTCGTCCCATTGCTCCTTGCGGTGCAACGCGACTGTCGTTGAGCTCGAAGAAGCCGAAAACTGGACATATTGTACCTATCGCGACGCGACCGGAGAGGAGCATGGTCTTCGAGCAAGATTCTTCGTTGGCGCGGACGGAAAGACTGGTTATACACGCAAGCAATATTTGGAACCGCGGGGCGTCATCTTAGAGAAATTCCATGCGTCAGATAACCCACTATTCTGGGCACTGCCTTCGCTGACACTACAACAGGGCCTTCTACGAGGAAACCTGGGTGGCATTGAACTGGCGGATCACCGTTCCAACACCGCAGTCGCATCCCAACTTCCCCCTGTGGGAACGAGGTTACTCACCAGAGCAAGTTTATGACTTATTCTTTCCACCTGAATTTCGATTCCTCTGCAATCCGGATAGGCCAGCAGTTGCCGGGCGCTTTGGCCTCCCAGCTGACAGACTGTGGCGGTTCGAGTATATCATCCACGAAGGAGAAGATGGATATGTAATGGCTAGTCCTGCAGAAATGCGACGCATCGTTTATCCCTACATCACACATAAGGGAAGTCGATATCAGTACGTCTACCTTTCTATCGCGCGGGGCCAATAGCTGACCGTACAGGCTTGCTGGGGACGTGCAGTTTCCCGAAGACTGCATTGAGGTACTTCGCTGTCGCCCGTTCACATTCTCGTCGCGAACCTGCAACGTATGGGCCAAGGATCGAGTGATACTGTGTGGTGATTCGGCTCACGTCTTCCCGCCCTGTAAGTCATATTGATGCTCTCCATCGCACATATACTTACCGTCATTGCAGTTGGCGGGCAGGGTATCGTATCCGGTTTTCGCGACGCAATATCCCTCTCCTGGCGCCTAGCTATGCTCTGCCGCTACCATTCTAACAAGAAAACCCACCATCATGTTTTGAAGGCATGGTACGAGGAGCGTAAGCAACAGCTCAAGATCTCTCTAGCGACAACGGTCGCAAATGGGGTTATGGTATGCGAAACGCATCCACTGAAGATTTTCCTCCGAGACTGGTACATCTGGTTTATCCAGTTCATTCCCAGCTGGAAACGACAGCTGCAGCATGGTCGCAGAAACGCTGCAATATTCCGATACAGATACTCCAACGGAATGCCTTTCATCCCAGATCTCAACGGCGGTCTTTATCTTCCCCAAGTATATTGTCGCCGCACCGAGGACAGTGAGATACTTTTCACAGACGACGTAATCTACGGTGTAGATAATACGACCTCTCTCTTCCGCCTATTCGTATACGTGCAGGACTCATCCGAGATTCCAGCTATCAAGCACGCCCTCGAAGGCATCGAAAACTGGTCCCGTGGCGAATTTAATTCAACCAAAATCCCCTTTATTTCGGAAGGAAGTGATGTTGAGGCGATAAGCTCATCTAAAGGAAGAAACATCTTCCAACTCGCCTCCGCAGACGAATTCGCTAAATCCCCCTTGTGCACTGATCGTCCCAGACCCTTAGATTACGATTCTTTCCTTCTAGGGAATAAAGTGCAGGGAAAATATATCATTGTCCGAATGGACCGAATCGTGTTTGCATCCTGTGCGAACGAGGATGAATTGAGGGGAGCTGTGCAGACTATGCTGGGGATTCTGTATGGTGATGATTCCGCCTGAGTACTACTCGGCGAAATATATAGTAGGGTGTAGACGGGTTGTGGAAGGGATGGTTTGATCCTCATGAACGGATCTCCACTCTCTTGTTGATACTAGACTAGATAGTCTCGAACGATTACTAGTTTTCATTTCTACATTCATATTAAAATTGCCAACAGTTTCAATATGTTCTACAGTAATGTTCAATCTTTGGTTTGGCTGGCGGATAAAGGACCTCAAAACACGCTCTGGAAAGGTCACCTGACCGATGAGCAGACCGGTCGCATTAATGCAGACCATGCCAGATTCTGAAAAGTACGGTGTGCTCATGTACCGGAATAAGTATTAAGGAAGCTTACTCGAGTAGAAAGCGATCTCAATTCTTTCCAGCGAAAACTATTCCAAACGAGGGAGCAAGTAAGTAAGGGATAAGACAACGGGAAATCAGACCACACTCAGCGACCGTGTACTGTGAGTGAGCGCTTCCCGTCCGAAGCCAAAGAAACAAACAAACAGCAAGTTGGCCCCACATTCTGAACATCCCCTGTGGCCCCACGAGCACCACACCGCACCACTTTCACACCCACCGCCTTTTGTCCACACATCGTCCCACCTAACTTGGCTAACACAGGGAGCAGTCTAGCCACTTCCATCCTCAGCACTAATACCATACTTCGTCCGTAGCCCCTTCATAACCAAAGCCGCCACACCAGCTACAGTCTTCGCCTGTGAGATCTCCAGAACAGACGTCTCCAGATCCAAACTACGCCGAATCCAATACTTAACTTCCAGCCCCATGAGCGAGTCGATAGGGAAACTAGCAATTTGCTTCTCGTCGAGCCCGGCCTGCGCCGAGAAATTGCCGACGCGTTTCCCGAGTTCGCAGATAATGGTGCTCTCGCATTTCGGGTCATTTAGGAAGGATGGGTCGTTGGCGATGGCTTCGAATAATCGGAGGAGAACGTCAGCTTCTTGATTGTGCGCTTCGGCTTTGCTGGTTCGCATTAGGGAGGGGATGTTGAAGCGCACGTCTTGCTCGAATGAGGCTTCGCTGTTGTTTATCTCCATTTGGTCCGGGTTGAGGAAGGACGTTACCCCGACCATTATGTCTAGTGGGGAGGCGATAAGGGATGGCGGGTCGGTGGTGGTGTTGGTGTGAGGTAGGGCGAGACGGAATGCGTCAATGACTTCTTTCTCGGAGAGGGAGAAGCGTGATTGCGTTTGGAAGAGCTCGACTAGTCGAGTGTTGCGACTGAAGTTGCCTACTTCTTCGACGGCGCCGAGCGTGACACGGGTTGCTGGAAGGCCTAGAGATCGTCGGTAGGTTACGAAAGAGTCGACGAAGGTGTTCGCTGCGCCGTAGTTGGATTGGCCTGGGTTGCCAGATGTTCCTACGACGGAGCTGAAAAGGACGAAGAAGTCGAGCTGCTTCTCGGAACAGGCGTTGTGCAGGTTCCATGTACCGCGGATTTTTGGGCCTTGGGGTGCCAGCCATTGCGCGTATGACATGTTCGCGAAGAGTTCGTCCTTCCCGAAGTTGGGCAGTTTCAGCACGCTTTCCAGGATTGTTTGGAGACTTGGGAGGCCTACCTGTAGTACTAATGAGAGATTGACGATCCCGGCGAGCTCGTGCTCACTGGCAGAGACTGCTTGCTCGACACTTTCTGCGTCCTCGACACTGCCATGGACTACAGCTACTGTGCAGCCCTGGCTCTCTAGCTCCTTGACGTAGGCTTGATCAGACTCGGATTGTCCTGCTGATCGTGACATTATAACCAGATGCCTGGCGCCGTTGGTGACCATCCATGTCGCCAGCACTCGACCAATTCCTCCGAAGCCACCCACGAGCAGGTACGACCTTGTAGGAGAGAAGATGTATCTCTTCTCGATCGGTTTGTATTTGAGACTGTGAGGCACCTCCGGCATTTTCACAACAATTTTACCTATGTGCCGGCCAGTCTGCATATGTCGGAATGCACTCCCTATATCATCTGCCTCGAACATTCGTGGAAACAGTTGCGCCTGAAGTCGCCCTTCTTGGCAGTAGGTAAACATCTCATTGATTGCTCTATAGAACATTAGCATCCATTGGTCATGATTAGTGTCATTATGAAAGTGGAATATACCCCCGGACAAGGTCTGGGTAGTCATCGAGCATCTCACTCAAGTCAACACCATAAAAGGAGCGGTTGTTAGCAAAGTTCACCATCTCCAGCTTCCCATGCTCTAGCATGTCACGTTTACCAATTTCGATCATTTTGCCCATGGGCGCCACGCAGTCCCAAGATGCGTGCAAAAGTTCTCCTGCCAGAGAGTTCAGGACAAGGTCCACACCACGTTCATTTGTTGCAGCTAGAACACCTCTGCGAAATGAGACACTTCGAGAGTCGAAGATACGGTCTCGTGGAAGATTGAAGTTCTTCATCAGGAACTGAATCTTTTCCTCGCTGCTGACCGTGGCATAGATCTATATATCGGTGAGCATTAAATTACTGACTGGGAAAGGAGCAATACCTCAGCACCAACCATGCGGCAAATGTCGATCGCTGCCAGCCCAACACCACCACAAGCTGAATGGACAAGAACAGTCTGAAGGGAAAATATTAGCAGACAAATTCCAAAGAACTCAGTATCATCTCACCTGTCCTTTGTTCAGATTTCCTATCGTCAGCAGGGAGTAAATGGCCGTTGCGTAGACACAGGGCATCGCAGATGCCTGTTCGAGAGATATACCGCCTGGGATGCGCATACAGTTCGTTTCCCGCGTGGTTAATCGAGTCTTGAATGTGCCCTGCTGAATTACGACCACTGCGTCTCCCGCGTGCAAGTCAACCACTTCCGATCCTACTCTGCGGACAACACCGCTCCCCTCTATACCTAGGGGCAGATCAGTCACGAGTAGGCCTAAGGCAAACATGAGATCCTTGAAGTTCAAGCTAAGATACTTCATCTCCACTTCGACCTCATCAGGCTTGAGTTCCATCTGCCGTTCCTCTTCCACCCACTGGAGCGTATCTAGGACACCGCGTACTCCAGGATGGAGGCGGAGGGGTCCACAATTGCCTTCAACTTCAAGCTGCTTTTCTTTTGATAGACAATTGCATCTTGTTGTATATACAATGCTGTCTTCAATGGTGTATTCATAATCTCTGCCAGAGGGCATGGCCTTCTCATCGAGAAACTCGTTGAACACACGGACTAGAAGGCCCGCAGTAGTATCATTAAAGTCATCAACCTCCAGGGTCCTGAAGTCAATGCCTGTCTCAGCTCTGATGGTACGGCAAAATCCCTGGATAAGGCCATAGCGAGGATCCGAGCACGTTTTCTGGGAGAGTTGGGTGACCCAGAGTGTCCGCCGGGCAATGGAGAGATAATTCCTGAGGCTCGAGAAATACCCTTCCGACAAGTCGTAAAGAAAAGGCCCATCAAGATCAAGGAGGGAAATAACAACACCTTCTTCAACAGAATCACCGAGTACACACCAACGAACGGTGTATCCTTGATTGGCAAGTTTCTTCTCAATGACTGCTACCCAAGGGTGCTGTTGGGTCTGCGGGGTTCCCAGAAGGCTGACAACAGGAGCAGACGGCTTTAACGGCGCGCTCCTTGCTATCATGGTGGCAGACAACTGGAATGGAAAGTCTTCGTCATCTACAAAGTCTTCCATTTCAAGAAAGCCTGCTTTGGTGAGTTCGTCGTTCCATCTATCGACCTTGACATAAGGTCGATCGAGACGCTGGTCTGAGTCTCCTAACCACCATCCGGGGAGGGTACCCTGCTCGACAAGTTAATCGTTTCTTCTAGGCACAACTATAGTGCTATAGAGGGACAATGAAACGAATATTTAACATACCATAACCCAATCAACATAAGGTACATCTGGCCACTAAGAGTTAGCAGGCGCTGAGAGGGGGGTGTATTGATCGTACCAGCAGATAGCTCATGAAGGAAGAACCAGCCACCAGGCCTCAGTAGTGTCTTCACATTTATGAGAGTCTTGTTTAAACTTGGCGTAGCATGTATTACATTGGATGCGATAACTAAATCGAAGCCTCCAACGTCGAAACCCTGGTCTGCAGGCGACAGCGATATGTCAAGGACGGCATATTCCAATTGATTTCCATGCTGCTCCTGCAAGGGTATCAAAAACCCAGGCGTGACATCCGTCACAACATATCTGGCGAAACTTCAATCTCCACTGGCATCGACTAGAGCTCTCAATGCAGCCACCGTGGCGGATCCAGTTCCAGCACCAATTTCAAGGATTCGCAGCTGAGGACTGGAATGTGCGACGAGCCGGAAAAATCGATCCCAATCGAAAATATTCACCGCATACGCATAGATGTCTTTCCATGAGTCACGTGGAGCTAGTACCTGTGCCGCCGATGACTTTCCCGCCATTAGGGACTCCATCTCCGATTCAAGGCAGTATCGCGCATCTGCAAAAAAACCAGACAGTCTGGGATCGGGAACTTTGTCAAGTAGTGCTTTCCATAGACTGAGGCGTTCACCAGGGCTCATGCGTGCCCAATCTCGTGCCTCTTCAATGCTGTGATAATCTTCCGTTCTTATTCGAAGGGCCTCGGACTGAATCCACTGCTGATATTTTGTCATATGGGGCACGGTTGGTGTTGAATCACGGACCAGAACATCAAAATCTGATATTGCCAAAGTGGCAAGCCTAGCTGTTGTTTCTAATCCTGTATCCACACCAGCCCGCTTGATCAAGCCTTTTGTAAGGTTGAGACGGATCTCGGGTTCGTAGTTCATGTGGGAGCAGAGAAACGGCTCTTCGCGTACGATTGCTGATTCACTCTCTAGCGCAAAGAAACGGGCGTCCCACATGGATAGAGCGATGCTGCTATCACTGCGTATCAGACATGAATCTCCCCCCAACCTACCAGACATAGGTCCAGAGGATGTCGGATTGACCACCAATGACATGGTCTCGCTGCTGTGCGTTAGGTACACCGCACCAATATACGAGGGAACACCAACTACACCGACCCCCGGTGCAATACCGCGACATGCCGCAACACAGTGTAACTGCAAGCACTGGTCAATGGCGGTAGGATGAATTAGGTAGCGGCCACTATGCAGGCGTGGATCGTCCTCAACAGTCGCCGCGGCTTCATAAGTTGAAGGACTAACTGTGATATCACGCAGGCCTTGAAAGGTTGTCCCATATTTTAGTCCTGCCTTCTTCAGTTGTCGATATAAATATGGCGACGAGAGAGGTCTTGGGTATACAAGGGGTCTTGACGGCGGCGGTGGGTCGCTGGGCGTGCCAGACATAACTTGGCCAGAGCAGTGCTTTTTCCACGAGTTACCATCATATGAACAAACCGTAAACTCGTACCATGAGGACTCCACTAGGTCATTAACTGTTACAGGTCGCATGCTTGTGAGAAGCTCGTATTCGAGACTCGGCTCCAAAAGCAAGGCATTTCTGATCAGTATGTTTCGCAACAAGATCTTATCGAAACTGGTGATTTGTCTGGCTGCCTCGGCCACCATGGCTATGTAGCCAGCGCAAGGGAACACTATTTGGCCACTTACATTGTGGTCCCAGATCCATGGAACTTCATCGAGGCGAAGGATGTTTCTCCAAGAAGGCTCCAAGTCACCCGATTCCAGGGTACGTGAACCGAGCAATTCATGATGCGGAAATTTGCGCAATCGCCATTGACGAGGGGGTCGACTTTCAGCCCAGCCTAAATCGTCGTATTGCCAGGGATAAGGTGGAATGTCTTTTAGGCAGGTCCCAGGCCCGTTGACAGCCTCAAAACGAACCCGCGAGCCGTGGAGATACGCCTGACCCACGGCTTGCAGAAACGTGGAAGTGGAGTCCTGCCCCCGGACTACGGTTGGACAGTATGTGTTCGATATTTCCACATCCTTGGAGATCTGACGGATAGGCCCCGAAAGTGCTGAGTGTGGCCCAATCTCTAGGACAAGAGGCAGCTGCGGTAGTTTAGACACCGACTTCAACGCTGTACTCATTGCAGCAGTGAACTGGACTGGTGATTCCAGGTTCGCCCTCCAGTAAGCTGCATCCAGCTGGCTTGTATTCTGGATTTCTTGGCCAGTCATGGTCGAAAATATTTGAGCTGCCAACTTCGGCCTGCAGGTCACGTAAGGTCGGATTAGTTCTTCATAGTGGGCTGCTGCGAACATCATGTGGCCTATTAAGCATTAATGCTGATCCTCGGATTGAGACAGCTCAACTTACTAGAGTGATAGGCAACTTGGATAGGAAGCATTTTGATTAGTGTATCCGGCGTGTCGCTGCGTATTCTTGATGCCACCTCTTCCAGCGGTGCTCTGTCTCCTGATAAAGTCACACTTTCGGGGCTATTATAGCAGGCGACAACGATACCATCTGTAATGTAAGAACGGACTTGTTTTGGGCCCATACCCACTGCCATCATAGCCCCTTTCCCCTCACATTGCGAAGATACCTGGCCACGATAGTATGCTAGGATTATAGCTGTCTCCATTGGGATGGCCCCCGATGCATATGCAGCAGCAATCTCCCCGCTGGAATGCCCAATCACTTTGGATGGGTGTATACCGCATGACGCGAGAAGATTGATCATAGCCAGCTGAATGGCGGTGCATAGCAGTTGAGAGCACTCAGCACGGTCCATTGTAGTCTGGTCGCCGTTCATCAGGGTATCTGCAGTCTGTTAGCACATCGCCATGTTTGCGGTTGGTGAAAGGGAAAAGAATACCATGTAAGAGCCACTTTGGCGGAATTGGAAGGCCTTTAAGGGTAGCGTCCATTATCTGCAAATCATTGGAGAATTGGGAATATGCATCAATGAGGCTCCTAGCCATTCCGGGCCACTGTGCACCTTGGCCGGTGAAGGCGAAGATCAACTCCGATGCTTGCAGCTCGGGTAAATGCCCCCTTTGAAACGCATCGGTATTTATTGCATCGCCGTCTGTAACCACAAAAGCACGATGAGATAAATGATCTCTCCTAGAACTAAATGTGAAGGCAACGTTTTTCAACGCACGGGGGTGTTGCTCAATGTACGATTGGAGTTGTTCGATTTTCTTATTAAGGGCATTCGCTCCCCATGCAGACAGAGCTAAGATCTGATGTGAGTATTTTCGCGGGGCTGAAATAATGTCGCGCTGTTGAAAGGCGTCTAATATAACCTGATATCACATCAGCACCCTGCCATGCGGAAAGCTTAAAGGCGTATCCAACGATTGGCTTACATGGGCATTTGCTCCTCCGATTCCAAAACTGTTTACACTCACCCTCGCCTCTTTGCCCTCCGGCCATGGTAATGTGTCTATCGGTACCTCTAATTTGCCAACCTCAAATGGAACTTTGTAGGTTAGTTTGGGAAATGACATGATTCTTCACTTTCAATGAACTCACTCTCCGGGTGTGGTGTCTCAAAATATATATTCGGGGGAATCTGTCTATGTTCTAAGGAAAGAACGGCTTTGATCACACTGGTCAAACCAGATGCGCCTTCCATGTGGCCAACATTTGGTTTTACCTTCCCGAGTTTAACATTAATAAATGCAAATCAACACAGGCACGTGCATAGGGAACATACCGCACCAATAAATATCCCGTTCTCTCCGAAAATGCTAGTAACAGCCTGAGTTTCTGTCACGTCGCCTATCGTTGTTCCGGTTCCATGGCACTCGAACAATGCCGTCTGACAGGGATCGCTGATCTCCGCTCTGCTGTATGCTCTCCGGATAAGGGTCTCTTGGCTTTCCCGGTCCGGGGTTGAGATATTTGGTGTCCTTCCGTCACTATTGGTTGCTGTCGAGCGAATAATGGCCCTAATGGGGTCACCGTTCCGTATGGCAGCATCCAAAGGCTTGATGAATATGGCATTGATGCCTTCTCCGCGCCCGTACCCGTCTGCTGAGGCATCGAAAGTCTTGCATCTGCCATCAGGAGCCAAGACCAAATTATCGGACATTGTTACAGACATTGTAGGGGAGAATATGATACTGCTCCCCCCAACAATGGCCGCAGAGCAGTCGCCGGAGTATATTGATTGACAAGCTTGATGTAATGCAACCAGGGAAGAAGAGCATGCCGTTTTATATGTGATACTACTCACCAAAAGGTCAGTTAGACGAGAGGGAAGAGTGTGGAGTTCGAAATTCTCTAGGGCAACGGAAGGTCAGTGGAATCAGCGTACCTTGGACCTTTTAGGTCGAACTCGAATGAAATTCGGTTGGCAAACGCAAAGTCTCCCGTCCCCATGGCTCTAAACCGGTCTATGTACTGAGTGTCTTTGCTGGTGATTTCGAGCCAATCTTCTCCGAAACTTCCTACGAAACAGCCGATATCGCGGCCTCTCCAGTCCGACTGGCCAGCATTCTCCATACACTCCCACACAACCTCGAGCAGAAGTCTTTGCTGAGGATCTAAACTTCCGGCTTCTGACGGTTTTCCGACAAAGTCTTTATCAACCTTGCCAAGATACTCTTCCTGCAAGAAGTATCCGTGCTTAGTTTTGATTTCATGGGGCCTGGTTGGGTGATAGAAAGAGTCTCCAAGGTACCTTCCTGGAGGGATCTCGCCTAGGGCGCTCCTTTTCTCCACCAGCAGTGACCAAAATTCCTCAGCAGTTCGGATGTTACCAGGGAATCTCATCCCCATGCCCACAATGGCAATGAGAGGTAATGAGCCGCTTGGCTGTTCGTCGATTTGACTCCATAGCGTGGTGGGAGGTTGCTCGGAATGATGTGGCTCCCCGACATCCTCGATGTGGATCGCGACGGCCTCCACCACGTGCTCGCTTCCATTGTTTATGGCCATGTGACTCAAATGTACTCTCGGCTTGGAAGCCCAAACAGCGAGAACTTCTAGATCCCAACGGATATTCTACAGCGGCATAGTTAATATTCTCATTATGCAATGATGGTCATATATGTTAGCTATCCTGTTTCGAGAATTTTAAACTCCGGTCCTGCTAACTCCCCGGCAAGAAAGTCGCCGTATTTTGGGCAGACCTGAAGGACATGGGCCTGCATTTGCATATGCATTCTGCAATATATTTGCACTTCCCCCTATCATAGGTGGGAACTGATTTGAGTTTGCGAAACGTCCACCAAAGCTCATATACCTGCAAGAGTAGCGAGATGAGGAGCGATAATGATGAAACCATAATATCGGAACATGATCACCCAGTTTCGGAGATATTCAAGGCTTGGATGCATCTAGAATCCGGAATCGAATGTGCAATAAGCCCTGCAGCCTATCACACATTGCGTCTTGCCGCATATTGTTCATGTCCGGGCCTTGATATAACAGTATTGCAGGCGTGTCAGAACATATGTGAAGGTGAATAACGACCGAATATCTACCTTTCATTCATAATCATACCGCGAACCCTTTGAAGGATTGAAATACTGATTTAGTAGATCGGTGTCTCAGTCAAATAAGCACTTCGGAAGATAGCAACGCGCCTTGCGGGATTGATGATGAGTAAAGCAGCAGTTCTTCCATACGATCAGGCGAAAATTTAAGCCTCAAAAAGCAGATGAGATTGGGCGCTCAACAGTCAGGTTTCCATTTTCTCCCTGGATCAGTCAAGCTCTGCCGACGCAGGCACCTGAACGCCCTTTTGAGTGGACAGCGTCGACTAGCGCATGTACATCCTTGTACACCCGGCATCTACTTTTCGGGGCTTTTTGTCGGACCTTTATGATCCGCCAGCACAGATTAACACATGCATAACGCTTCTTGACAGATGGACGTAATAAAAGTCAGGTTCGTTGGGTAACTAGCCTGTGCGTCCGCAAGTTGCACTAAGCTCTGCAGATTAGTGCTGGTGCTACGGAAAAGTTCCATACAAGCCCCAATGCAGTTCGTTTCTAGTTGCTTCAGTGGTGCGTGATTCGTGAAATATCCATTACAAACCCGGTGCAGAGTCTCTTATGTTCTGCTGTATCAGAAATCTAAGGAGAATTTCTATTGAGGCGAATATGGCATGTGAGCTGGAAATGTCACGAAACGAGCCAAATTGTACAGAGGGTCATATGAGTAGGTGTGTATAAAACAATTCCTGCGACAGAGAGGCCATCGGTCCTGAGGGGGTATATTGGTCCGATCTTAGTCCGACTCCGCCTGACTGGAGAAATTTTGACTATCGCATAGAGCATCATGGCTTTGAAAAGCACCCAAAGGTGACGAAAAGGCCACGCTTTCAACATCCCCATTAGACCAGGATATAGTGTCCTGGTTAACAGCAGAGCCAAACCAAGAAGGCAAATTTGACGGGGTCTGAGAGTAATCAAGTATACCACCGTCCAGCGGTTGAAACCCCAAGTGCACTTGAGACTGCAATGTACTTACATTCCCTCCTGAATAATTCAAGGTCAAGTTCTCCTCACTGAGAAAGCACCTCGACAGTGCCACAAACTGCTGAAAAAGATTCTGCATCGTAGCGATAGGCTGACTCATTGTCCCGCTGTGCGCGAGACAATTTTCGAGGGCCTTGAGGATCTGAAAATCCCCGTGATGACATGTTGCGACGGCGTTGCAGAAGAGTGCGAAGCATGCTGTGATGGGGTAGTATAGGAGGGTCCTATTCGTTGATTGCATATTAGTGCTGTCTGTTCATGCAATACTATAGTTCAACAGATGGGACTAACCAGTGTAGATAAGCAACCGTCTTCGGTGTGTTATTTGACTCGCAGATGGTTATTAGAGCCCGTAACTCCTGCCGTGCTGATGTGAGGCAGGTCTCTATGGTTACTTGTCCTGGGGCGATTTGGTGTAGGTATAAAATGCTGGTCATTATGGAGTGGTATGAGAAATTGAGGGATGCCATTTCGCTGCTGACGTCAAGGCCAGTCCAATTTGGCGAGGGAGATTCAATCTAAAAGCCATAACTATTAAATCATATCGATATCGCTAAGAAGTTCAAGATCACGTACCTGATCGATTTTCCCACGGATGGCATACATGTCCCGCAGGAGCTGCGACGCGACGCTATTGAAAGCCCGGCAGACATTCCAATCACCCGTAGAGGAGTCAATTAAGAAGGGTATCATCGTGTCCTGGATCTTGGCTAATTCTAAGTATATTAAGAGGAGTGTTGAAATAATAAGTCTCGATGTGGGAGGGTCCACCCTCGTATCAGGTCCCAATGTAAGTATTCCTGGTCTCCCGATTTTCCAGGCGTAGTTCCTGTCCAAAATGTAGCACCACATGAAGCAGTAGTACTCCTCTTCATCTAAATTTTGCATCCCAGTGGCATCCGGATGAAGACCGATATCCATGCATACTCTGCACGCAGTTTTGGTCAACTCTTGACAAGTGCTAACGTCGCCTAATCCTTGATATAGAAATATCTAGTCCAGTTTATTAGGAGCAATATTGTGAGTTAGGTATTGCGCAACTTACTCCACATAATGTAGCCTGTAACAAAGGGAGCGACGACTCCGTAAAGAGAGTAATCTTTCTGAGGGCTCTTTGAGCAGTTTCCCGGTAGAGCAGAGCGCTATGCCGCAGACTCTGAGCCAGAATGGTATCGCTCTCAATAGCAGCTACCGTATCAAGGAACTTGTACGCCACAGAATTGACGCAGACAGTGTAAAGCAAAGCATCGGACGCCGTAGCAGTTCCTAACAAAATAGATAGACCCATGCGCTTGAGGGTTTCGTTACTAATATGTCGAAAAAAGTCCTGGACATAGGATCCAAATCTGTTGCTTCCGATGTCTGCAGAGATATGAATGAGTACATGCTTATATTGTGGAAGGAGTTGAACCGAGTGACATGTATACCGTTCAGCATCCAATACAGTAGCTCAATGGGAGGAAAGCTGTGCAATTCCTCATTTCTTGTTGTTTCAAATAGCATGCCTGTACATCGGCTCATGCCACCTAGCAGTTGGCTTGCAATGGATAGAGCGAACTCGAGAGTCTGATGCCTGCCTCGAACCAGCTCCAGCGATTGTCCTGAATTGGGTTGTTTGATTATCTGGGCGTCCGTGAGAGGAATGAGCGACACCCAGCCTGGCAACTCATAATTTGTGTCAATGGTGGGCCCAATCAGCGGTGAATATAGGTCATCTGGCAAATCCAAGAGTCCATGCTCGATGGGAGGTGGGAGGTCATTCAACATAGAACCCTCACTTGACTGTTCGACGGAGACTTGTCTTGACCGTCGGCCTGTAATCAAAAGCTGAGAAACGAGGGTCCTGTCTCTTGGAATTCTGCTCCCTCTAGTTCGCGTTTGGACAGCCTCTCGCTTCGGTAATTTCGGTAATCGCTTCATGCCCCGAAGTCGAGTGCAATCGGTCATTTGATCCTGGCAGTTTCCGCACGGGTCTTCCTTATCGCACCGAACCTGATATGAAGTTACTAAGATAAGTCATCTTTAAATAGAATAGTGTATCTCTATGGTATTGGAGATGTCGGATCTGTACCTTTCGGGCATGGCATGAATCACACTGTGGGGTATGAATCAGAGCGGTCCAGTTTACTGAAGAAATAGGGAGGGGTTACACACCACGCGACGTCGCAACATTTTGGAGAATGAACGTGATCACTGTACCACTATCGAATTCCGTGTTCTATGGTCTATCAAGAGAGAATTATAAAATCTCGTTTGTCCTCTCCTAGCCACGAGTGCGGGATGAAGCGCTCGCACGCGCCAAGAAGCAGACGAAAATAGTATGCCAAGACCAGGAACATGGCGGAGGGCATCACTGCGCCACTCTCAGAATAGGGCTCGCCAATGGAAGACAGTATATTCTAGAGTGTCCATCGCCTTCGCCGGTTTCTGATTTTGACTTTCGCGGTTCAGCCAACTAGGTTGCTTTTTTTGGCATGGGGAGGGAGTTCCGCTCTGCGCAAGTCAATTAGCGGCGGGTTCCGCGGATCCCGATTGCCAAGAAGTTCGGTTGAAAAAAACAAGAAACAAAAAAAATTCCTCTGCATTCTTGGTGAAACTAAGGGTCATGGAGATATCTAGTGGTCTTCTGCTACGCTGGACAATAGGCCGAAGACAGGCAGACACACGGAATGTTAGAGAATTTCGTCACTGGTAGACGAATAGTAATTATCGAAGCCAGAAAAAAAAATAATAGAGCCTTATTAAAGGGGTTGGCTAGCGCCGGGAGAAACAACACAACAGCCCCGTCTTCCCCAAAAACCAAAGAGCACCCAGAAATCTAAAGATAGATAGACCCGATGTAGCCCACAAGATGACCTTGAAATACCAAGCTGTACGACCTGTCGACGTAGTCTAAAAGCACAATCTTAGTAAAATCCCCGGACGTAAAATTGATAGGAATGAGCATACCGTCAAGCATAGATTCCTCACGCTGTCATTATTGATCAGCAATGCCAACAAGCCATTGCATAAAGTCCACAGTAGCACCAAATTGGTTCGGAAAGTTTTGTACGAGTCCTCCAGTTGCACCTCCTTTTTCTCCTTCGGTTCCTGCCACGGTGAAAGGGCGCGTCGGACAGTACACTCAAAGTCGATATCGATATCGACCTGAGGCTTGTCGACCTCCTCAACGAAGCTTTTCTGCGTTACCGATTTCATCGTCTTGGCAGATGGAAGGGAGGCGGTATCATCCGAGCCTTTTGTTCCCCACGAGACATCATGCCAGTTGCAGAACGCGTAGACATTGAGAACATTGATAGTTGAAGGCATCCCGAGGAAATATGCCCACGAAGATGTCAGAAGATGCCAGGGATCGCAATAGAGTATGCTAGCTATGATGTAAGTCCCATAGGTCGAAACCAGGGCGATCAACACTAGTCCTGTCGTCGAAGTGAAAAAAGAACCCACAAATCCTCCAGCACCGTTATCGAAGTCGAGGTCTATATTTCCACCGGAAAATGCCTGGGCCACGAGGTAAAATGACAGTATGAGGATGTACAGTTGAACGATCGCAAAGTAAAGAAAGGTTAAAATATAGGAAGTTTGGGACCTGAAAGCTGTTAGTCCAAGAATAAATGACAGGTGCAGAACGCATACCCTTTAGGTCGATTCCCGAGCGCAAGGAAGAACTGCTGCATCAAAAATGCCAGGTATAAAGCCTTTATGATGTTATTGACAATAGGTGACGCATCATTCCCAAATGGCCACCCCTTGTTTTTATTCGTCGCGCTTGGAGTTCCAACGATGTCCATGATGACCGAGGTAGTAAGCCAGTAGGAAGCTGTCTTGATTAGCCCCAATCACCTAGCTTACGTGGAAGACCTACCCAGAGAGAACCAAGTCATGGTAAGCTGACAGATATTATAGATTAACTGCACATGCAGAAAAACGAGTCGGAGTAAATTATGGCCACTTTTGTAGATGCGGTTGAAGTGCATGACCGAATAAAGGCTGGCGGCGAAGGACCCATTCAACCATCGCCGCCTTTGACTAAGAAACTCCGGAGGTGCTATATCGCTTGCATTAGTTTCGGGGAGATACGTTGAGGGTGGAATACCCTTACCTTCTGGAACGTCTGTCTCCCCTTTGGAGGCTTTCACATAACTCAGCGTCCATTTGTATCCCGCCTTCGCAACAAGCTCGAAGCACAGAATACGATCCTCAGCAAGAAACATATTCTTCTTGAAGATATTCATACCCTCTATTCCCTTCTTGCCCAATTTCTTGGATAAAGTGTGATCGCCATGGAAATACTGCTCTAAAGGTCGACCCATGATAGCACGGTAGCGGTAAGCAGAAAACGCCCCTGGTAAGACACTGACGTACCCAAAGGCACTCTCTAAAGGTTTGTCCAATATGTTAGATATTTTATACTCGAAGTTTTGCGCAGAAACCAAGGGATTCACTAATTTTTCCCATCGTGGGCCAAGTAGAGCGTGGATTTCACCACAGGCGCCTCCCAGGTGTTTATTATTGTAGAACGCCTCCCAGAGGGCTAGGAGGGATTTGTGTCCAGGCTTCGTCCCTGCGTCGATTAGTATACAGACCTCTGGGTTCAGAATTCTTCCAAATGCATTAAAAAGCCATCGATGTGAATTGATCTTCTTGCTGTTCTTTTGTTTCAAGCAGAAGATCATCTGTACGGGCGGTAAATTGTCAGGATTGTCGACCTGCGGGCGTATTAGCTGCTGAGAAGGAGTTATCGATAGCTGAGTGGTATATTCGAACTAGATTAACAACTCCAGTAAGCACTAAAACGCGTCTTGTAAGCCGGTCGAGGAGGGTACACAGACGATATGTGCCACGGTCTCTTTTCCATCAACATCATGCTTCATTATTCCATCCTGATATATGCCGACCGTGGCCAAGACATCAAGAGTGTTCTTGTCGCAGGGACCAATACCATCAAAAACAAGACAGACAACGATCTTCTGCCACGCAGGCCCTCCTTTGTCCCAGAATTGTGTCTTCTTCAAATTGACAATATCTCGAATATTCTGCATAACTCCATGGAGAGTTCGAGCAGTAAGAACTTTATCTTCGTTGTAATAGGTGATGGCAATGAGCATCTCTGTATGTCGATTGAACATGGCAGCCCGCAGATTATATCCATTGCGTATAGTGAAATCGTCGGGGTCGCAAGTTGCAGCCGTGTCTAGAATACCGCGTCAGATGGAATTTGGCCGAGATGACCCTTGTCAATCTTACATCGTAAGTGAGTGAACTCCTCGGCTGTTGCATCACTTGAATCGCGGTATTTTGCTTCGACCGAGTTGCGAACAGCGCTAGGAACAGGATAGTCGACACTCAGGACGGATCCCTGGACTAGATTGATCCTGCGAGTTGGGTAACGGCGTAGGCCTGAGCTGGATTTCGTAGTCTGTCGTCGCTGCCACGAGGTCTGACTGGCTACTTCAGATTCAATTTTCTGATGCGGATCTTCGGACGAATTGCCTTGTATGGTGTCAGGAGGCCATTGCGACCTAGTAGGAGGATAACGGTCGTTAGGCGGCGCAGGTAGCAGCGATTGGGAGACATCTTCGTTCTCGTTGGATGGATATGAAGTGTACTAGCACGGGGTTAGCTAGTAGTCATTAATGTTGCTTTGGCTGAAAGATTACAATGGGAGGGGTTAGCTGTCGAAGTGAATGGTGGTTACTCTCCAACTCGAATGAGAGAGGGCGTGACGATTGATCGTGTGCATCCTCCATGCTGTCTGATAACACAAAGCTTTCAGGCAGTAGATTGCGAAAGCCCAACATACAGAGCACACATTGAAAGCCGTCAAATATTAGATGGGGAACCTATGAGTAAGCAAATATTCCATTATTGTTGCTCATAGTAGCTGCTCTACACTCACTCACCCAAGTGAATGTCTCAACAGCAGTGCAGGCAAACATACGTTCTGATTGGATATTGAAGGTCCGCTCTTATGCCGAGCCAATGAGAGGCTCTGAATCAAATTTTTAAATATAGCCGGGAATCTGGACATGTCTTCCATGCACAATGTATAGAGTTGATCGTGTAAGAGCGCTACCTTTGGGTAGCCAAAGTTTCAAGGCCCAGGTTTGTCCGTGGTTGGTTTTTTGCGGGTGGGAATGAAAAAAAGTGAGCTGCACCACTGGAGCCGGTCATGTTCTCGGCGCAAAAACAACGATACCAAGCCCGAGTGCAAATGGAACAGTTATTTCTCTTATTTATGAGTACTGATATCCCTCCTGGGTAACTATTGATTGAGAATCCGAGACTTCTAGACATACGTTTCAACGCAAACAAGCGTGTTGTGCATTATCGAGCATGTGCATGCCGTATCAAGTCCAACCTTTGCATCAACATAGCTTCATGCTGTCAAGAGTGGCACGGCTTTTGGGATATCCCTCAAACATGGAAATTCGAATCGAACTCGACGAAAGGAAGCCGTTCTATACAAACGAAGACCGGGTTATCGGCCGTGTCATCCTCCGCAATGATACCGAGGTTGACATCGCCACTATAGCAATTAGTCTATCCGGGCAGGCAATATCCAGGCTAGACTCGGGAAAATTGACTGAATCACACAAGGTATGTGCTGCTATTACAGCACTGGGCTCAAATAAGCTAACTTTACCGAAAAAAAAAAAAAGCTTTTCCAACGAAATGAGCAAATATTCCCGCCCAGCAACTGCGCCGGATGGTTGACATCGGCGTCCGTTACAATTCCCCCGGGAGAACACTCGTTTCCATTTTGTATCATGGTTCGTGTTTGCACCTGCGCACGGTCTTAATGAAAACGGCATCTAATATTTTGTAGTTTCCTCAGGTCTCAGAATGCTACAAGGATAGCACTAGAGATGCCGCTCGCAAGCGGTCGGCAATCCGTCAGCCACACCATCTCTTACGAAAGCTTCCACCGTCCAGTGGGAATTTATACACTCCCGAGGAGATCAGATATTCTCTGGATGCTACCATCACATGGAATGGGCTCCTATACAGAAGTCACGAATCCGTTGAGTCTCCCTTCTCGGGTAGCTATGGCCTGTGCTAACAGTATCAAACAGACCCGCACCATATCCTTTCATCCGGTGTCTGCCATCCCTAAGCCATTACAGAGTGTATCAGTCCGGAAAATTGTGACTTGCAGTACGAAGGCAGCGGAGCTATTACGTCCTCCACTAACTTACGAGATCGAAGTCGAACTGGTGAATGGTCCGTTTGTTTTGCTTGGACACCCAATTGCGCTGGGTGTAAAAGTTATTAACGTAAATGACGAGAAACCCGACATATCACTACGCGACTTCTCCCGAGTTGCCGATGGGCTCAATGCCACCGTAGGCGGCCAGCCAGATCATGATTTCGTATTCGTGAGTGGCGGTTGTGGAGTCAGTGGTGGAGAGGAAGGCATCGTAGGAGACGTCGGCGACGAGGTCGTTGCCCGTGTAGCTAAGATTATTAGACAATAGCTTCATTCGTGACAGGAAAGATTGGCTCACCTCCATTTCCAGGTCGAGGGAATACTGGTGATCGTGCTCAGCTGCTTGGCACCGACGTTCAGGACGGCATTGGGATAGCTCTTGACATAGTCGTCGCCGCCAGCCCAGGTCCACGACGTCTGCCATGAGATGGAGTTGCCGCTGTCATAGTCGAGGTAGGTACACTCGGAGCCGGAAGTGGCATAGTCCTCGCCCCAGAGATTATTGTAGAGGATGAAGTCGTCGGTGGTGATGATGTTGTTCTTGGTGCAGATGGTACCGATGGGGTCGCGGGCCGCCAGACCCGCTAGCGCAGGAACAGCGCTCGCCAAGCACAGGGGGATAGACAGGTACCGGTTCATGATGATAATTAAGACTCAATGGACTGGTCGAGGGTACTGCGTGAGAAATTGTCAACCTGGTCGGATAACTCCTCAGTTTTATTTCCTTGTTTCTGTTGATTAAGGGGGAACAAGGTTTCGCCCCCAACAGGAATGAGTGGGAATGGGAGCATTTTCTTCAACACAATCCTGCTAAAGGTTCACCTAATGCCGCATTGTGGTCGCAGTCGAGTGGCTTAGCGGGTGGCCTAGTCTGACGGCAGCTTAGCGGGCCACATCGGGCATGTTTCGCGGCGATCGATCGATCATTGTTGGAGAAGTTAGTGCTTGAAGCTTGCACTGCCCTCGGAAGTAGTCTAAGCTGCGAGATTAATGGAGCTTGATAGCGCCCCACTGCTTGCGTCCGGGTAGACCGGATGCTGATGTTCAAGCGGTCAGCAGCAAAGTCTCGTATCAACGCATAGTTGGAGTGTAGCAGCTTTGCTTATGGTATATAACCGCTAACGAAGCATGTTATTCCTGATAATGATCTAAACTATAAATAAGTTAGTTGGTCATAGTCAAGTGTTGCAGTCAGACGGTCTCTTACATGAGTTCACCAGTTGATAGTTTCTGGGAAATTAGTCGCTAATGGTGCTTATCAACCAATGGACAAATCCATGCTGAAAAAGTATATGGTATTGGGCGTTGTTCATTTGAGTGGACTGAGATATAACTAAATGTTGGAACCCAAATGCTGCCGATCTTGCCAAGCTTACTACTAGTATCGGCCCCAAATGACGACACGGTCAGAGCCAAGCATGAACCAGGTATTTATAGGTTAGTACTCCGACTTAGTGTGCAGACATGAGTTAGATAGTCGACATAGATGTAATTGAGTATCTGGGATAATACCCCCCCACGTGGCCAGCCTTGGCACAGCATAACTCAACATATCCAGTTGTTCCAGTTGCATAGTGAGTGAGTGAGTGACTCCGAGAATGATGACGAATCCAACAATGACGCCAGTGCGGAATTGCTCCGGACCCCGCATAAGCCCTCAGATGATGGCATTGCCAACTGGCACTGCAGCATTTTCCCCCTCCTTCCTTTTGAACAGTCTTCTCTCACTGAGTCCCTAACTACCATCAATACCCTCAACATCACCATCACCATGTCCATCCACCAAGCCGGCACCGCCGACGGCTGGCACGGCATCGTCCCGAGTACCGCCTTCCCCGCCGAACCCGACCGCTACCACCTGTACATCGGACACTTCTGCCCATTCGCCCACCGCGTCAACATCGTCCGGCACCTCAAGGGCCTCACCGACCTCATCAAAATCAGCGTTGTACGAGCGTACCCGAAGGGAGATTTAAAGGGTTGGCCGGGATGGAAGTTCCCTGCTTCGGACGACGAGTACCCCGGGGCAACGGTGGATCATCTTTACGGGGAGGATTACCTGCACAAGGTATATTTCCGGGCGGATCCAGAATATAAGGGCCGGTATTCGGTACCCTTGTTGTGGGATACGAAGACGGGGACGGCGGTTTGTAATGTATGTATACTACCGACTCTAAGGAATGTAGTAACTGATGCATGCTGGATGCCACGTATAGGAAAGTCTAGAAATGCTCCGCTGGCTCCCCAAAGCATTCAACTCCCAGATCTCGCCGTCGCTGGCTGAGATTGACCTCTACCCTAGCCATCTCCAAGCAAAGATTGACGCCATCAGTCCGTGGATGCAATCGGATGTGAACTCTGGGGTGTACAAGGCCGGATTTACAGACTCGCAGGAGGAATACAACGACAAGGTGGTTCGCGTATTCGGGGCGCTGAACAAGCTTGAGCGCATTATCGCGCAGAATGGAGGCCCGTTCGTGCTAGGGAAAGAGATGACAGAGTTGGATGTGATGCTGTATACAACATTGATTCGATTCGACGTGGTGTATGTGGAGCACTTCAAGTGTAACCTGGGGACCATCCGTCATGATTATCCGGTGCTGCATAACTGGCTGAAGGGGATGTATTGGGATGTGGAGGCTGCGAGAGATACTACAGATTTCAAGCATATCAAGGAGAATGTGAGTCATCCAAGCACGTCCAGAAGGTAGGTGCTAATTGTACTAGTATACGAAGAGCCACTGGCACATCAACCCCAGGGCAATCACACCTCTAGGCCCGTATCCGGACATCGAGGAGGGGGTGGAGAGGGATTGGACCAAGTTGCGCGTCGGAGGGGTGAAGCATCCAGCCGTGTTGGAACATGAGGCCAGTATTCCCGATCTAAGCCAGTAGACTCATTTCCAGGATGATGGGTTATACCGTTAGCCATAACTGCGTTGTCTTCATGAACATTAACGCCAGCCAAGCCGGTCGGACGTGTGCTTCGCAAGCTAGCGAGGATATGATCAACAGATCTGCAGACTGAGAACGTTATTTGAGCGACATGCCTTGATTTTAGCGAGCTGAATTAAATTGTGAGATATTCGATCGGTAATCCGCTATCACAAGTGGACTGAACTCTGGTTTGTCCAGCATCGTACGTGTCCTGAACCAACAGAATGCATCTAGACCAAAGTACCACTCAACCAACCACGACATCTGTCATAAAAATACGATAAGCTAGTACCTTGGTTTGAACGGCAGGTCAAGAATGTAGTCGATCACGTAAACGCCCAGAACATAGTCAAGTTCCCCTGACCCGGATTGAACCGTGGTTCAATACACAGGGACGTGGGTTAGCCGTGGCAAAGCCGACGGCAGTCCTGAAATGAGGTGGGAAAGACAGCCGATTTACCATCCAATGTTCGAACAGGCCAAAGTGCACAAATAATACTATAGTCTTAAGGTATAAAGAATTGAGACCTACAATACGTGGACAATCGCTGTTAAGCAGACGAGCCATCCTTAGTCAACTCTATCCCAATCCAGCCTAATTACATAGCCCCCTAGCACCATCTAATGTAAATCGAATCAAAGATAGATAATAAAACTAAACTTCTATCTAATTCGCCTACCAACTAGCTCACACCTTGTTTCAATCTACCTGAAGCAACCGCCAGATCGATCAACGGCTATCTCAACGGCGGGCGCGCGTCCGTCCCGGCCACCCGACGAACCCAAAAATGGGGTCCCCACAACCCCTCAAAAATGGTAGTTCCTGATCGACAAGATAATGACCATGTACGTATACCATCCATTACTGACATGGTTCTAGACTTCCATCTCACTGTTGAGTATTATAGAGAACTCGAGACTTGCGTGATGAGGAAGAAAGGTATAAATTGACCTTCATGGTCTTCAGATACATCTACCATCATTCTCATCTAGTACCGCTCTATCTATCTCCCTCACCGACAAGACCTTTCCAAATCACTCTACCTACCACTACCGTATGTATTTCTCTCAGAGATATCACCCAGTGAAGACTAACAGCAATTATAGCAGAAACATCACAAAATGAAGTTCATCCTCCTCTCCGCCCTCTCCCTCCTGGCCGTCTTCGCCACCGCCAATCCCATCGACGTCGATGTCGGCGCGGTGGTCTCGGGCGCTGCAGACGCAGCTGCCAGTGTCGGTGCGGATGTAGATGCCGCTGTTGGTGATATTATCTAATTGATTTGTTCCTATATTTGTTGTATGTTGTGCCTTTCATCATATACTACCATTGAGATTGGAGTGAGAACTAACTGTTGTGTAACTAGGTTGAATACTAGGTTTATGACTATATGGGTGTGGGAGTTAGGCGACAGATTATACTACTATGTATATATATATATAAACAGAAATTGATAGAATTGATTTAAATGTCCGATACGTTTCATTTTCTTATTGTTGTTATGTTTCATCCCTATCCTACTGTAGGGATGAAACTGTCTCAGTACAGCTGAGGGAATTCACGGGTGGCGCCGCAGCCTACCTACATTGCATCTTCAACTACTGCCTAATCTGGAGCCTGCCAACATATGATACTGTTCAAAAATGCACATTGTTCCACAACATACACATCTATATACATAAACGGTGAATAAACGAGAGACAAGAATTGAAACACACCATCTATCTAACCCATCGCCCGCGACAGCCAGCCAGCCAGCCAGCCACTCCTAAGAAGAAGTAGGCAACAACAATGGAATGACTTGGTTCATGTACGAGTTATACACCGTATACGAACTCGTATTGCCCAGGAAGATCTGGTCCGAGATATTCCCGACCTGGCTAATCAGTGTCGGGAGATGCACAGTATCCGGGACCGAGTAGACCATGGTAGCCAGAGCGCTGTGGTTTCCGCCCCTAATGCTAGCGAACGAGTCTTCTGACACGGCGCTCATGAACGAGTCGTAGGGCGACTCGAAGACCACCGTGGAGTCGGGAATGCTGAGGTAGGCGGAGTCAGGGACTGTGCCGGGGTTGGTCACCACCTATACATATCATTGATTAGTTACAGCGGAAGCGAGGTGGTAGGGTGAGGACAGGACATACAAAATTCTCCGGTCCCAGGCCGGAACTCTCTTTGATGAGGGTGGTTAGTTGCTGGTAGTACGAAACCAGCTCCTCGCTGTAGGCGTTGGGGGCTTCATCGAGGAAGATGCCGTGCACGGCGAAAGAGGAGTTGCCGGAGGCGGAAGGCCAGCCGGCGTAGGTCTTGATGTCGTTTTCGACGTCTGAAATGGCGCGGGTGCCCTTCTCTGTCGGGACGTAGCCGATGGCGAGCACGTTGCTGTAGCTGGTGAGCCTGGGGACGGCGGTCAGGAAGCTGCTGTCTGGGAGACTGCTGGAGCCGGGACCGCTATCGGGGTTGATGATGATGGTGAAGTGGACATTGGGGAAGGCGGCGACGCTGGGGAGGTTAGTGATGGAGAGATTTGAGTCATAATGTTACAACGTACAGCTCTTCCATGGGGGTCCAGGCGCCATCTTCAGGATAGACGTAGAATGGGATGATGACCTTGGCGGTGATGTTGCTCTGAGTTACCGCGGAGGCCTCCGCCGAGGCCGAGGCAATCACTGAAGATACGGCAGATGGGGCCCAGTAGCATGCGGAAGGGGCTTCAGTGGGAGCGCTGCCCTGAGCGACAGTGATGAGCGTGCTGGCCTGGGGTTGCTGGGTGGGGTTGAAGGGATGATGGTGGCGGTGACCGATGTGCTGGTGTGCCGCCAAAGCCTGGCTGGGCAGGAGGGCCACACAGCTGAGCATCCCCAGGATGAGGCGAGAAGCAGTAGTTCCGAACATGGTGGTAAAGGATTGAGAAACGATAAAGGAACGACAAGAAGTTGGGAAACGAAAGACGAGGCGACAGGCTTTCCAGAAGCTGGGAGTCAACACCGAACCATCCGAGACCAGCCGGATGGGGCCTTGAAGGGTTATATACTGGCCCCCGAAAGGAATGAATTGAGGACAATGAATGAAAGGTGAGATGACAGGTTTTTGGCGCTGAAAATGATGGCGCCCCCATCGGACATTTTAGGTGAAACGCCAGGCGGCGATCCGATTCGAGCACGAACTGGCGAGATGCTGGATCGGGTGGAGATTGCAGGGTATGGCAGTTTGGCCATTAATTGGAATTCGTGGTGGTGATTGGGCGATCTGGGGAATGACGGGGGCGACGCTGGAAATTACACGATCCGCTCAGACTAAAAGAACGCTCGGGGTTGCGGGTAGCAGATGGTTTCAGAATGGCCGTTTGCTAGTTAATATATCATGTCTCTAGTACATTGTAGTACTACACCGTCGGGGATACTTTGGACTTGGTGAACAGGTGAACGGTGAATGACTACCCTGGAAATGAGCTGTACTACTCCTTGTCCCTTCTGTTTCTACCATCACCGGGCATACCGCTGGGAATGTTCCCCACCGCGTCGCGGATGGCCCCGTCCAATTTCCACACCTCGCTGCAGGATTCCAAACCGACCCAACATTTGGACCATACGCGAGCGTGAATGCGCCTTTGTGGTTGGCGGATCCGTTGTTGCCTCATGAACTATGCCTGCATTTGGGGTCCTTGAGCTTATATGAAATGAGCAGATGGTCCAGGAGCAGAGAGGGACCACCACTGTCAGCTGGTGGCTAATGCTGGTTCAGGCAGGTACTGTGTGTCCTGCCTTGAGGGCACCATCGGAGTTTACGCGCTGCTCACTTGACCGAAGATGCAGGTTCAGAATTGATCTGCTTGGTGTGATATCTCCGAGAGTATGCAGATGATCTCGTAAGGTGTAAATCCGGGGATAATGTAGTCAAGAAAGCAATGAAGCGACGGTCAATGATCATGGGGTCGGAGGTAGAGGTACCGGGTGGTGACCTCCAGGTACACCGGGTTGCCGCCATCTAGACCCGGCGATGGAATAGGATCTATCACCAATACCCATAACTAGTGCAGCCTCGTCCCGGGGTGTCTGTTGATCGGTATTTGGCTACAGAGGCAAACAAAGAAATGAGTACAACATAATTTCGGCCGCCTAAGGTAATGGATGTATCGATTCAGGAAGTCTAGGAGATCTCGTTTAAGAGAATGATGGATGAATCTGATATAATTACGTTCTGAGACAGGTGTTACAAGAAACAACATTCAGCTGGAACTCTGGTTCAGGTGAAGGCATTCCCGACCGGATTTCTGCCCGAAGAGGGGTCCGAAAGGGTTCCTGGCGGCGTGCCCTGAGCGAACCCAAAAAGGGACTAGTGCCGGGCACCGGGAAATTTATTCATCCAGACATTCAATTTACTCTTATTTCCTTGAATATTCTCCGAGTCCGATCACACCTCTTTCACAGTTTCACTACAATAATCCCTTTAACAAGGGAATGCAACAGACTGATGGTCCACATGCATTGACTGTCAGTCTATGGGGAAACAAAGTTTGATTGTGCTTGGCATGAGGTCGCGGATCAGTCACAGCGCGTACAAGTGCCCGAGCGCCCCTTCTAAACGGGCAACTTCACTGCTGATGCTGTAACGTTGCAGTAGCATCATCGCCACTGTTGGCTACGCCAGTCACTAGTGGCCTGCCTTGACAGTCGGCAGGTATTACTAGAAAGGGAGCATCAAGCAGAAGTAGATGCATTGAGCTCCAGTAATTTGAACCCAGCAGGAACTTTTTGGCAGTAATAACTTTTCTTTTCTGTGGTGGTTTTGACCGTTCTGTTGATATCATGGCTGATATGATAACTGTTTGCAAATTGGCGATAGTCGGCGCTTATCCAGCCTGTTATCGGGCATGAATCCTCCGTCGTCCGCTCTAGGCTCCAGCCATTGCTTTGCTCACTTTGGTCTGGTCCGGCAGATTTGACCGACAGCCTTTATAGCCACAGTGATTGGTGGATGGGCCACCAACCAAATCCACCCATCCACATTGGCCAGTGTTCCAAGAAAACTGGTGTTCCAGCAAGGCTTCGAGAGCTTCCATGCTCGACACCGTTCATTGCTAGCTGCTGCTAGTATCCTGAACCGGTAGGTGTCACTCCAGATAAGTATTTATCTTAACGTCAGCCCAGCCCAGTACCGACCCATCATGCCACTACTTTTAGTAGTAGCCTGCAGCATGGCATGTTCCATCCCGGTATGGCTGCTTTTGCTTCGGCCATTCACCGAGGAGCCAACCCAACTGCTCCGTCCCCACTGGAATATAAACTGTCGACCCACGACCGGGAGATCCTCGTTGAAAAAGAAAAGAAGGGCAAAGAAGGGAAAGAAAGGGCAAAAATGCGCAACAACGATGACCCGAACAGCCTCGTGAACGGGGCTGACGCCTCCTTTAGGGATAGCGTCGGACTCTGGAAACGCCGTGATTGGCCGAGGGTGACTAAGATAAACCCTCGAGACAAATAGGGTTACAACCTTACCCTCCCTTGTGAAAAGTTGCTATACTCTTTCCAGCAAAGGTTGGTTCCAGCCATCTCAGAGCTTATCACCGGCGGGGTGAAGAAGGGAAGGCATAGAACCAATAAGAAGCATAAAAATAAGAATTCTCCACCTCTATCTCTAGGCATTCCCCACTGGTTGCTGTTCTTATCACTTCACAGTTAAAGTGTGGGTGCAAATCTTTGCCCGCCGCGTGCTCAGGCGCCACGCCCCCCGCGGAATAAAATCCTGCAGCTGCCGTGCACCATGCGACCTCTTTTCAATCTTTAGGTGGCCGGGGTCGATACACTGCGTCCTCTGTCTTTCCTACTGGTCCATAGCAAGGCATCATGGCGAGGTTTGGCAGTCGGGTGGTCTCCGCCCTCGAGCTGGAGTCCAGCCAGGACTCGCGCTGGTCCAACGAAGGTCGGCAACCCTATTAAGCAGCTGGTGCGCGTGGCACGCGACTTGGAACTTACCGTCTCTGCAGATCTGCTTCCCACTCCTCCGGAGCAGTGCAGTAAGTCTTGAACTTGACCCAGGGCCTGCTCATGCCAGTGCTAATGATGCAGCCTGGCGCTGGTGGAACTATGTCTCGTTCTACTGGTCCATTTCCTTTACCAACTGGACCTTGGGATCGGTATGTATTCTGCCTCTTTTTTTGTGCGGCTCTTTTTCACGATGATCATACTGATTCTGTAGACCATGATCGGTATCGGCCTCAACTGGTGGCAGTCGATTATCGTCATCTTCGTCTCCCAGCTCATCTCATCCGTCGCCATGGCATTCAACTCGCGCGCCGCCAGTGTATATCACCTTGGTTTTCCCTGCGTCGGGCGCAGCGTGTTCGGCATGTGGGGGAGCTACTACTTTGTGGGTGCGCGAGCGGTGTTAGCCATCGTGTGGTTTGCCATTCAGAGTATGTGGACAGTCGCTTGGTCACGAATTGCTCCAAATCTATGAAACGCCCCATTCTGACCCTTGCAGTGGACTTTGGCGCCGAATACATGTATAACATCCTGCGGGCGATTTTCGGTCACCACTACACCGATATCCCCAACCACATCCCCGCCAGCGCAGGTATCACCACGCAGAAGATGCTGGCCTTCTTCCTCTGCTGGCTGGTGCATCTGCCCTTCTGCCACTTCCGTCCGTACCAGCTGCGCAAGTTCTTCATTTTCAAGACCTTCATTTCCCTGCCCGCCATGTTCGGATTGTTCATTTTCGCCATGGCCAACACCAAGGGTCAGCTGGGGACCATGTACACGGCTGAGGCACGGTCCACGACGGCAACTGCCTGGATGATTATCGCCGGAATCAACAGTGGCTTGGGGTAAGCCGCCCACCAGGGATCTTGGAAAATATAAGACTAATTAGACAGTAATACGGCCACGTTGATCACCAACCAACCCGACTACTGCCGTTGGACAAAGACCCGCAACGCTCCGCTCTGGACCCAGTTGCTCTCGAACCCGATCGCGGTGACGCTCTCAGCAAGTCTGGGTATTCTGGCGACAGCCGCCATCAACAACAAATACGGCACCGATATCTGGTACGCCCTTATGCCAAACACCTAATATGTTCGATTCGTGCTAATTGAGCAGGAACCAATGGGACATGATGGAGTTCATCCTGAACCATTACTGGTCCGGCACGACCCGATTCGCCGTGTTTCTCGTGGCCTTTGCCTGGCTGGTGCAGATCCTCGGAACCAACATTGCGGCCAACATGATCTCCTTCGGTGCGGATTCGTCCATGCTGTTCCCGCGCTTCATCAACATGCGCCGTGGACAGTACATTGTGCAGACTCTCGCGTGGGCCGTCGTGCCATGGGAAATTCTCACCTCAGCGACGAAATTCGAGGACTTTTTGTCCGGGTATGCGTTGTTCATGGGCGCTGTTGTGGCCATCATGGTGTGCGAGTGTACGTTCCCCTATCTTTGCCTACCATCTACCACTTCAATTTTGGCACATGCTAATGAATGTAGACTTCTGCTTCGCCAAGGGCAACATCTTCCTCTCGTCCCTGTATGACGGCACAAAACTCAACAAAAACTACCGATACTACGGCGGGTGGAACATCCAAGCCGTTATCGCGTACATCATTGCTATTGCACTGCCATTCCCTGGTATGTCTATCCCTTCATCCCCTATAACACTCCAGATGTTAATGTCTATGGAATAGGCTTCGTCGGCTCCCTCGGCGCCAGCGTCTCCACCACTGCGACCCGCATGGGCGACCTCGGGTGGATCCTCTCCTTCACCACCGCCTTCGTGATGTACTACATCATCTGCACATTCTGGCCCACAGAGAACCAGAAATTGATCAAGAAGCAGGGGTTGACGTGGGAGCAGACGGCCAAGGATACGGACCCGCAGGACTTTTATCTGAATGGGGCGGGACTTGGGGGTGTGGATGAGCCGGTGGCGGCTCATCAGCAGGTGGTTGTTGAGAAGGGGGTGAAGGATGTATAATTTGTACAGATCTAGATATGTGGGTGGATATGATATGTTTTGGGAGGTAAATACATATCGAGGCATTACTCTGCTTTGAACTGGATATGAATATAGAAATTTTTGTAATGAATGCTCTTGCTTTGAATGATATCTACCGAAATGTAGGGACGAAACTTGTTGTCTGAAACAGGGCATCACCATCCATCATACCCCCTCATACAGCTCAAATACCATGCAATATCCCGACTCCGAACACGAAGGAAATATTACTTTTATCTCATACGAATAACTCATCAATGCCCTCTTCACATAGCAGACACGAAAGAACCATGCATCCATCATCACCACCACCCGCCAACTCACGACTCCTCAATGCTCTCCACCACCGTATCCATGACCCCAAGCTTACCACATTCATTACCACCAACACTTTGGAAAAACCGATCAACCTGGGCATCCAGACTCATAGCATCCACCGCACCCTCGTCGCTGTCCATAAGATTATCAGTCCCCGGATTGGTTACAGTAGCAAGGGGATGAGAAGGAGCAGGCCCGTTCACATTCCCACTCTGCGACGCAGCCGAACTCCCAGCCTCAACAGAACACTGTTGTTGATGAGTAGCGTTGCTTCTCACACTCCTGGCCCGTCTACTCCTCGACCTCCTAGTCTCAATCCCCCGGATTCTAGCAGGGGTCAGGACAGGCCGGGATCGGGTAAGAAACTGAGATAGACAGGAGTGCCATGATCTACACACACGATATATCAGTCAATATCACTTATACTTTTCCATGAAGGGGGTGAAAAGGTAACACATACAATCCCAAATTCCGTCTAATCATATCCACCACCTCCGTATTCCCCATATACAGCGCCACACGGACAGCGGCCTTCGCATCGGAAACCCACTTCTGCGGCGGATACGCAAAGAACGCAGTAGAAGACAACAACAACTTCACGACGCGGCGCAGGCCCATACACGCCGCCAGGAACAGCTCGGTGCGGTCGTACCCGTGGCGCATCTGCAGGGTCATATCCGCCGAGATAAGGAAGCAGGCTGTCAGCTCATTTTTCTCCAGAATGGCCATATGCAGCGGCGTCACATCCCAGTCTGTATATGTGGTGCGGAGGTGCGGCGCGCGAGTAAGCAGCAACTCGCATGCCTCGGGCGTGCCGAACGCAGCGGCGGAGTGGAGGATGGTGTGGCCTGATTTGGAGCGTTCGTGGAGGATATCCGGATGTCTGTCGAGGAGCAGACCGAGGAGTTCGTTGGCGTATCCGGGGGAGTCGAAGAGGACGTTGAGGGTGGGGAAGCGGCGGATAGGGGCGCCGTATCTGAGTAGCAGACGGAGGATGTCGACGCGGATGGAACTGAGCTGGGGCGCAACGCGGTTGGGGCATTGGAAGAGTTGGTCCAGCTCAGGGACTTCCGGGTCAAAGCTGTATAGGGGGCTGGCGCCTCTGTCGAGGAGGAGACGGGCGATGTCCAAGTGGCCGGACACTAGTGCTAGATGGAGCAGGGAGTTGCCCTCGCGGTCGCAGGCGTTGAGGGGGATTCTGCGGGACAGGTAGTAGTCGACGTCGGAGATATCGCCGAGTTGGATGGCGTGGGAGAGGTCGTCGATGAAGGCGGCGACGTGAGGGTTACGAAGGTGCCATCTACCTGTGGGGTCCATTCGACCAGAGCGGAGGCCTGCTGGGGTTTCGCAGATGGCGTCTGCCCAGCAGTTCTTTCGGACATTGATATATAGATTGTCGATGATGTTCTTCGTCGAGGTGGAGAGCGCCCCGATGCCTTCTGGGGTGAGGAGTCTTCTGCTGCCGCTGGCGCGAAGCTTCTCTGCCACGGCTTCCAGAGCCGGGTTGGTGTTGGGCACTGTGGCTCTGAAGGGGCTGGGCGTGCAAGGCATGGTTGGCGGCAGTGGTGGTGGTGATGGCTGCTTTTTGGCTGGCGATGGCAACGTTGGATGGTCGTGTAACCGGGAGGAATATCTTCATGGTGGTTTATATAACGACAGGGGTATATTGAGCAAGGTTATTGTTGAGGACAGGGGTATGCGAGGTGATGAATAGAGACTGGGGTTGATTGGTTATGGGAACATTGTCTTGGGAGTTGCCGTGATGTAGGCAGGATGGGAAAGGAAATTTGCTCTGTTAGGTCTGGGGTAGGGAGTTTGAGGGCTGCCAAAAACGATGGGGGACAGGGGATGGGATAGCTTCGTCGTCGCATGAAGTGAGTGGATTGGAATTAACCACCGTTTCTGGGGTGCTTAATGGAAGTATCCCGTCGGCTTCAGCCTGGATGAGTTCTGAGGGACCCAGGGCAATGGTAGCTGAGATTCTGAGACAGATGTAACCGGCGACAGCCGAGAGACAGCAGTCATCTGTGCTTGGTGTCCCTGAAGCAGCATATCCACGCTCTCAAATATCGTTAGAAGTCGAATCCTCCTCGTGTAGTTGAACTTTGAGTGCGTAATGTGTTTCAGTGTGGTCATGTTGATCATGTATCGACAGTGGAACTTGCCGGTAACAGAGCCCATATTGAATATCATAGTAGACCATTGTTCGTGACCTGAGTGAGTTGACCCCAGGTACTTTCGAATAGTATGTTGATTCCAAGACATTTCCAGACAGTCTCGTATTCAGAGAATGCCAAGTTACCTCCTTAGCGTCAAGGAGATTCCCATTAAACAGGACCACCACAATGGGCGCGCCGATAAAGAGTATCAACCACTGATTTGAGCAGATATGTCTTTTTACAATTCCGACAACAGGCTGAATATCTTATCCCCACAGGCCCAGTGCATCTTCATCATCCTCACAATGATTCCTCCTGTCCTTGATACTTTTTGAATATACTTCATCAAGAGGTGAACGTGAACGTATTATCCACAGAGACTGATGAGTTATTCTTCGTCTATTTTGAATATTATTGTTCGATCACTCCTGCCGATGAGGACCTTCGAATATATGCCATCAACGAATGATGAAGGTTGAACGCATCATCTCCACACACCCAATTCATCGGTTTCATTATCGTTTTTATTTGGCTTCCTCTTGCCAGTTATTGTCTCCAGCTATACACCCTCAACGGAGTGCGACCATCCTATTTCCATATTACCCAATACATCTTCCTCATCTTCGTCATTTATCGCCCCCTTGGGCGTCAAATATAAACCTTCCAATATCCGACTATAACTCCCAAGTCCTCGCCACCTCATTCGAATACTCCATGGCCTGACCCAGATCCAAATTGGACCACTTTTCCGGGTTCTGCACAGCATCGACATAATGATTCAGAGCCAGAACAATCTGCCTGGCCCACTTCTCAGGCGAGACAAGCCCACACCCCGTCGCAAACGGGGTCATCAAGAGACTATCAATCCTCGTTGCTCCATCTGTTCTCCTCTCGACGTCCCAGTTATGTCTGTCGACGGCGCACAACAAGCTCCAGATACACTCATACACAATCTCCCGATCCCAGCGCACATTTTGCGGCACTCTCATGGTCGGACAGAGCGCCAAATACCTTGTTCCCCAGACATTCTTCGACCGAGGGCCAAACTCCTCCGGGATGGGGATGAGGGTACATGATCCCGGAGGTAAATAGCCCCGATAGTCGCGGTAGAGAATCCCCTGCGTGTGGCGGGTCAACGCGAGGTAGTCTGCCGTTGGGGAAAAGGCACGTGATATGGCGTCGTCGAAGCCACCGTCTAGCCGGCCGTAGGAGTTGGCAGGGGAGATGATGGCGTCGAATTGAATGCTTGGGGGAAGGTAGGAGAGGGAACAGTTGTGAAAAGTGATTTTGGGAAATTGGGGAGATGTGATGGCCGTCGACAGGACGGATTGGAAGGCATGGATGAACTGTTCGTCCATGCAGAGAAGGTGGATGTGAGGAACAGGGGATGTTGTAGGTGGCATCATGATGATTATGGATGATGTGGTTCCAGACAGATAGTAACTGTCTTGGGGATTACTTCGGAGGATCTTGCTATATTTATATTTTCCCGAGCATTGCTGCAGCCTTGCCTTGGCGCCCCACGGAGGCTGAGTTGTTCGTGGTAGTGCTGATGAGGTTGAAGAGGCATTGTGCAGGCAACTGACCCGTGTGACTTGTGCTCTCTATGTCTAAGATGGTGGCTCTGTGATTGGAAACTGAGACAGGCAGATCTTACGTCCTATTTATAATTATGGGAAAAAAGTATTCTAGGTTTATGCAGTTCACAAATTTGCGGCGATTCCCGCACCACTAGGCAAAACCTTGCCCGCGAGTTCCTCGAGAATATCCGCCACCTTGTCTGGCATGCTCAGGTACGGCGAATGGGAGCTTTTCAACCGATAGATCCACTTCGTGCTCAGCATTTCTGCCATCTGTTCCTGAATTGGGGGCGGAAGTGCCCGATCTTCTTCGCAGATGATATAGACGGTCGGCATGACATGCCAGGGCTCAAAGGTCGAGGCACCGGAGAATACCGCAATAGAAGTGTGTGTCAACCGGGATGTCCACAGTTCCCTGTCGACAGGTGGGATATCGTGGAAACCGTATTCAGCTCCTTCGAGACAGTGCACGTAATCACCCTGAATCATGTAAGGTCAAAGCCGCAAATTCGCGATGATGTTGAACTCACCTCCGCCTTCATGAACGGCAAGAACCGGCCCCCCAGCATATCCAGCAGACTCTTTCCCTTTGGTATGGCAAACGCGCTCATGTACACTACCATGATAACTCCACCAGGCTTTCCCTGTTGCGCGCGTTCTGCACTGCCCAACCCTTCTACCGCCCCAGATCCGACAACTCCACCGTATGAATGTAGCATTAATATGATGTCCTTCCCCTTGTCGATCAATGAGACTAACTCGGACCGCAAGTGGGCAACATCATCGGCCAGGGTCTTTGAGGGTGGCTCTGCACCAATGGAGGGGTGGGCGATGGCCGTGGAGGGTAAACCACGCGAGGTTAGAGTAGCACGCAGAGTATCATAGACGACTGGCGTGCACCACGCGCCAGGTACCAGAACAATAGTGGGAGCTGAAGCCATTTTGCGAATGTAATTATTGAAATGTGCCAGAAGATTTACTGCTTCGTACGTTCAGGCAGCGTGGGGAAAGCCTCGAAAAGAGGGCCAAGATTCTCACTTACCGAGGTGTGCCGCGCCCCAGGTCTCGACTCCTCTCAACAGGGTGCGATCTTCAATACGAGTCAATGTGTTTCAAAGGCCATCTATGCCGTTATTGAGGTGGCGAATGATTGGGCTGGTCAGTATTTAGCCCACCTGTCAGCCGTCTTAGCCCGTTCGCTTGGATATTGAAAACCGCAACGGTCCAATGCCGTTGCGTGCACGGATGCGCTATACCATCATTATCCGCAAACCGTTTCGTTAACCAAGTGGATCCAGTATTCGGAAGATCCGGCGGCCGAGTGAGGGCTTTCGTCCATCGCCTTGTCGAAGCAGAAGCGTGGTGTCGAGCTGACATATAGGTATTGTCGGACATGCCGGACAGGAGTTTATATCCACACTATGGCCTGCATGGCGTAAACGCATATGACAGTAATCGGGGGCGTCGTAAAAAATAACACTCAAATTGAGCAGCAACCGAGGACGGCTGCGCTTATGGTCTTGGCAAAATTGACTTTGCTGCTCCCTCTTTAATCGAGGGGTAGAAGGAGTGCCTCGGATGTTGTTGAATTTACACTCATAATGAAATGGATGAAATCCCTTCAATCGCCGGAAGGATCGTAACAATATGATGAACAAAGTCTGCGTTGACTGTTGTCCCTGACTTGATGGATGTGGCCGTCACACTTCGTCTGATAGGCCAGGCTTTCACCAATGGAAGATGCTCTGCCATATGTCGGTTATAGATATTCCTCCATCGAGACTTGAATCAGGGTGTAGCTCCTTGAGGCATTCTGCAAGATAAGTTATCGTCTGCGTAACCGAGATAGGCGTGTGTTGTTTTTAGCCCACCGTTGCTTAGGAAGAGCTATCCAGTAAAGCTTGTAGAAACAATCCCATCGCCTGCCAACTCAGTGTGGTGAGGAGGTCAGGGTTGAATGAAGCCGATGATCAAAAACGAGGCGTAGCCTCTCGCTTGTGAGAGATTCGGATTTTAGCCATAGCGCAACTCAGGATAGCCATATCGCATAACAACCAATACCCACTACTTGAGATCTCTATATGACCATTTGAAAGATCTCTATATGATCATTTGAGAAGGCTCATCTCATTCTGCATTGTGCCATGGCTAGTGAGGGGCTCGGCAAAATTTCCATTTCCTGACAAGATGGTCGACGGCGTATGATGTTCCAGGATGTATATATACAAGGGGAACAAAGTTGAAAAGTATCTTGCAGACGATGAAGATCGAACAAGGGCCTTCGTAGTAACCTGGACCACCCGATCAAGCTGTGGGATGTTTGCATTTCTTTGAGCTTGTGGCTGTAGCAGGGAATGGCATGATCGCGCTGCTTGGTTGAAGAAGTTGTTTTGTGCAGACAAGCAAGTTTTGTATACATATCTTGATTATCTGAATCTGCGGGTAGTGGTATTGATGAAGCAGAAAGGAATGTAGTATATAGAATGCAACAGTAGCATTATGAGAGTATAGGAAGGTGAGGAAGTTCTGAAATGGATCCCTCATGGATAAATCCTCTAGGGTCACCTGACTATTGGAATCCCTTTGCCCTCACTACCCAAGTTCCTGCAACAGTTCATCGGAGCTTTCCCCGAAGGCAGGGAATAGCGTTGTATGTTACTGGGACCATCCTTATTAATTGGGGATATATCCCAAGTACTTGACAGTAAGGGTAGGTTTCGTCCATCGTCAACAGTTTCAGGTACGTACTAGGCTTTGTTCTATATGCGTATTGCGTTCTGTTCATCAAGGGCTACATATGATCTGGGAGTACCAAGACGTAAAAAGCTTTTAACAAGCCCAGGCGCGAAGTGGCCCATCAATGAGGTTGTATAGGAATGTCTGGATTGCTACAAAGGTCTGAAGACGCAAAGGTGAAAGCATTCGCTAATGTATACAACTAACACACAAAGCACCCACGTTGCATCAACGGTAAGGCCCAGCCCTCAGCTAGAAGTATTAGACCAACCTTCCAGGTTGACTGTGATGGGCTTGCGTCCTGCTCTGGTGATCACCCATTCAACATCTTTATCTGATTGGTTCATCTCCTGGTGTTCCGTGTAGCTGCACACAGGTAGGCTCCGAGTCAGTTCACGTACTTATATTAGTTAGTGCCTTACCACTTACGCAGGAATGATAGCAAAGTCACCCGGGGAGAGGTCTTTGCGCTGCTTTCCCCCATCGAAGACAATGGAACCGTGGCCCTTTGCGGCGTAAACCACGGTATCCTGCTCGCCGTGATGGTGGACAGCCGAGCAGGAATGTGGCTCGGCGCACATGACTGGCAGACGTTGTATTAGAAACATTCAACTCCTGGCAAAGGGACTCAACCAACCTAGTGCGCACAACTGATCCGACTTGTCGATGATAGCTCCCTTCCGAACCATTCCCTCTGTCCGTCCCCCTATCCAATGTTATGGTCATGATACTGTCCTCGGATCTCTTGGAGAAAGGCTTAACATACCCGTTGCCTCGTCCAAGTCCGAGGATCTGGTGACGTCAATCTTATTATTGGCCATTTTTGAAGATTTTGACTTATATCAAGTGAACCCAGGATGCTCCTAATCGCCAGCCTGCCCGGAGCTGCGACACGAGCTTAAAAGTGAATTAATGCAACCCCACCATGCTGAATAATGCCATGACATCACCGTCCGACAATTTCGACGATTCGAGCGGGTTGCAGAAAGTCCAAGGGCCACGTAGCTTGCTGCCTATGACTCGGCCGAGTGCAATGCAAAATTCAAGCTTATGGTCATGTCGGCACAGCCGATGGGTAGGAAATTTAAGATTAGTGATAGGGTTGCAGCATGCTAAAGATGCGCCTCAACCGCGCACCGTTCCGGATTGACACCCCAGCGCCATTGATCGCCAAGCTTTGATATTATGCTTGTTTGCATAGTGAATCTGCAGGGGATTGTGACTCGCTGAATTGGAATTGCCAAGAACCTCGGCTCACAGTGTGGGACCCAAGTAGGCACCCGCACGTTGAAGGCGATCCCGCAAAATACAAAAACTCGGTCAAGGCCATATACCTATTGCTGCCTGAGGCTATAGGTCACTTATGTAGTTCACTGGTGATCAGTTCCTTGCTGATTCAGTTGTACACTCATTCATCAATTATGTCCACACAACTGCGTCCGCTTCACAAGCGAGGTCCAAAACCAGAGAGGCCAGACAAACAGTATGATCATTCAGAAGTGTTGACTCAGACATCATACGTAGGGAGACACAAGCACCGGACCAAACCAGGAGACCTCACTTGCATGGATTTGCTTTCGTACAACCGAGGCTGCCTGCTACTAAAGCATGAAGCAAATACCATGCCTTGGGAAAGGTTATACAAAGTAGAACGAGGTATATCATACTAATAGAGTATTAAGCAATCCGAAACTGCAACTTATGCTCGACGTTGGTATAGGTACAATGAGCCAATGCTCACGGAATCCTCAGAGCACAAAGTGAATGAGAGGTGAGAATGTGTCATTTACGCAGCAGTGTTACTGGCAAGCATATCTTTCACGACACAGTGCTCTTTGGAAAACTCCCAAGGAACAGGAGACAGTAAATGGCTGCAGAAAAGTTATGGTGGAAGACGAACTTCTCACTTTTCGTAACCTGCTCCTCATCTACTCTCATCTCTACTTCTCTCCTTTCCTCCCTGCTCTTCCGTCGTCGTTCTCAAAGAGTAGTCAAGTATTGACTTCGATTGTGTCTTTCACAATGAGTCAAAAGACTCCACATACCACACAGAAACGTAAAGGAACGTTTGCTGAAGATGTTGCCGATAAGAAACACATGTCTGGTTAGTCAATGTATTCATCCGACGGGCATGTAGACTCCGAGAAGGAGTCTGGCACGTTGCTTCAGCGGGATTACTGACATTTGTTCCCGATATTAGCCTACTCGGTGGGCCCATTTACGGACTTCCTTCAAACTAGAATGATCGTTCTCAGCACAGAAGATTCTGAGATACAATTCAAAATTCACACGGGACTTCTCAAATCCAAGTGCTTTTCTCTTTACCAGTTCTACATAGAGAAAGCAATATCCACTTATGTCTGCATAGACACACAGGCCAGCACACTCTCTGCTCTCGTCGGATGGGCATATACAAGGGAATACCCCGATAGAAACGACCTTCAGAAAAGTGATATCAAATGCGCAACCAACCACGACGAATCCGCCGAATGCAAAGTAGCTGCTTCAATTCTCAACGATATCCAGCTCTACGTGTTTTGCGATAAATACAATATTCCGGAATTAGGAAGCCTTGCAGTCACACATATGAAGAAAACCATGGCTGGGATGGGAGACAGCCGGATACATATGTCAATGGCTTTTATTCCAGCTGCTCGGCTGGCTCTTTCCAAGTTCAAGGAGAGCAACTCGTTGTTTTCGTATTTTGCGCATTTTGCAGCTTATCACATTGAGAATCTCAGATGCAGTGGCAGCTTTTGCACGCTACTAAGCGACCATCCGAACTTTGCGTTCAGTATTCTTCACTATGCAGGGCCCGCGAAGGAAAAGCCTGAATGATATTCGAGCTAGACTGGAGATATCTGTTGAGTACGGATAAATTCTAGCATTTTTGTACTTGCGATATGTACTGTGAAGATTCTGTTCAAGATGAATCAATCTGTGATTATACCCAAAACAAGCCAAATGATCGTCTGACGTGGGATTTTATTAAGCCTTGTTTCGTTCAATGATATTAGTGAATTAGTTCTCTTATCGTCAAGCACCTCCTTACTAGATATCGTCTATTTCTCCCCAAATAGAAGCAGAACTCAACATCCCCCTAAAAAAAGCCCCGCTTCCCTACTACCATTAACTCCCCTCCACCCCCACCGTCTCACTCAAAAATTGGCCCTCATTTCGCTCTATATTGATGTTCTAGTATATAATATATAAACTACACTAGATATATTACTCTCCCACCATTGTTTCAATCCGTGCCAAAAACAGAAAATGCGCGTTTTAGTGTCGGATACGGAGACGGACGCGGAACCAATTCGGAGATTCTCGGAGAGCAGTCGGGGTAAGCTCGGGAATCTATTCCGATCCTTACAGTGAGTAGATCGGGATTAAACTTTCTAGTTAGGGGGGATGGACTACAAAATAAAACTTGAATTTTGCATGCAAAGGTACATCTGCGCCTTGTATTTTTGGAATTAGATGCGAGGGAACATGTTGTGAGCGACTATCTCAGTCATATCAATCACGAAGATCACAAATTTTATCGCGCGGTTACTATGTACTAAATTCGATTAAATACAAACCTAACCATGTAACACTGGTATTTTGGGTTCCTGCATGCTTCCCACTCCTTACATGCATCGGTATGCGAGACTGGGTTTCTTGGCACCTATATTCGCCCATGATTGGAATAGAGCGGTTCGGCGGAGACATGCAGACAAGCATTTACAGAGATCATCTTGACCCGAGACTCGGAGTCAAGATTTGAAAGTTATGATAAGTATTCAGTAATTTTCAATTAATTGATGTCATTATGCATAGAATAGGGGGTGTGGGGATGTGCCTATGATGGGGTAAATTTAGCTTTTGATTTTACCAGAATATCGTGAGTGAGGGAGTGGTTTGCTACAATGATTGCCTATAAGGAGCAAAAATGCAATTGCTCAACTCGTAAACTGGTAATATGTAGGGCATATTCAATTTTGGAGGCCTGGTGTTCCCTGATTGGTGTGTATGACAATGTCATAGTTTTGACGACCTTACCTGATGGAGAGTTAAGTACGGGTTGAAGTAATGCTAATGAGGAGAAATTGTCTGCTAGCAACTGCAGGCGAAGTGCAGTAGTTCTTGTCTATACTATACAATACAGACATCACAGTCGGCTTGGAGCCGCTCGATCGTCTTCCATCCAGGATTATGGAGAAGCTTCTCACTCGGCTTATTGCTAGAGCGTTCCATTACTTTGGAAGTTTGTATCAGCCTTCACATCCTGGCTCTGCCACAGAACTCTGTTGAGAAGGCATTTTGCGACAGCGGCCTGTGCGTCCTCATTCAAATAAACCAGGTTTTGGGCCACCTTGGTGATGAAACTGCGAGCTGAGGGGCTGAGCAGAAGATCCAAATGATCCCCCATCAGAAACTCATATAGCTCGTGCGAGGAGCGTTTCCATATATTCTTGCTCTTAGACAGCGCTTCATTTAGTACTGCCAGTTTGTCGGTGAAGGAGCGACCGAGTTCCGGGGACGACGAGTAGAGTGACTCTTGGAATATCACAGCAAGTATGAATAAGCAGAGGAGCGTGCGATCTTGTATATTGGGCGATGCGTTTAGCGATAAGTTTGAGGAACTCGCCAGGAATGTTATCGTTTCATGGATATCAGGGTAGGGGCTTAGCCCTTGGGAGGCCTTGGGGTCAACCTGATGTAGTCGAAGCTCGATTGCTGGATGAACGGTGGCGGGAAAATAGTACTCTGAGATTTCCCAGACATGCGCTGGGGAGGAACTTCTTGACGGCTCTGCCAGAGAGAACGCCCTATGCACTCAAAACTCTGGTTAGCGCACAAAGGCTGTAGATATTAGTATGAAAATTATGAGCACTCACAGGAATAACACCATATGAAGACGCCAACTTGACCGGAAACTCTCTACACCACCCCTTGCATTGATAACGCTGACAAGGCCATTTTTATGGGCGCGCCATTGGTCATCGATGGCCCAGTATTTCTGAATTGCGAATAGTAAACCCAGGTGAGTATCGTGGGTGTTTCAACACAGGCTCTGATTTGAAAATACGTACCTCGAACATCAAGAGGCGTGCAATAGCCGTGATCGTGTCATCCTGTGTCGATCTTCTTTCATCGGCCAGCCATTTTGCGATGATGCCCACAGCCAGAGTTCTAAACTTCTCCGATTCTATCGACCTTGTCTGGCCTTGACGATGGGCTACATGAGCTGCCGCATGAGCCATTAGAGCGCAGAATGAGGCACTGTTCGATAGATCCAAAGGCAACCAGATATCACGTACGGGGTCGAATCCGGTACTCCGTGACAAGCCGGGGCCAAAACCAGCATGTAAATCGAGCCCTGAATAGAACTTGACATCAGTTGCCTGGAGAATATTGCTTTTTTTCCTGTGTTCTACTCACATGAAGAGAAGATCTCTTGGTCTTTAGCCGACAGATCTATTGGAAATTTGGGGCCCGGCCCATGAATGATCGAGGACTGCTGCGCATCACCGACGTCTGAAGCTGAAAACTTCGCGTAGGCAGAGCCTGGTTGACCTTCCTCCGCTTGTGATTCAAGGGTCTGACCTGGGGACGCGTCCTGCTGATATCCTCTGCTCTCTGAGCTATAGTCCTTCGGGAGCAGTGTTCTAAGCTGAGGTCGAGTAGTCTGAGGGGAACTTTGGAGGGCTTGGTGCCTCCTTCTCCAGAACTGTCGCATCGCATGGCTGCGGGCGCCTGGCTGGTCTGTACCAAAAACAAACTGGTACTCAGTTGTTGCTGAATCCGAGTCTTGGTCTTCGCTCATGGTGCTGCTGTCGATGGGTAGGTCATGCCGTGTGGAGCTGATAACAGGTGGCTGTAAGAGCCAGATAAATCTAGGAGGACGCTGCTGAAGATCGCTTTCCCGGCATAATCGAGGATTTTAGGTGACTGGGAGTTGGCTTGAGGCTTTGACAAGGGGGTAGAGGCGGGATTGGCGAATGCACGGAGTGACGTGGTTTGATCTGGATTTAACAGCAGTGAACGACACTACGTGCCCATCTCTCGTGGACCGGGGATCGGGTGCTGCCCGAATCCCTGTACATCTGAAACGGAAGTAAACATGATTAGGATAACCTAAGGTACTTCTGCATGCTCTCCTGCCCTCTTTTCCCGTAGTGGACACAGTCGTGGCTTGGGTGGCCGGGCTCAGATATGGCTGACAGCCATCCCCCGGGTATGTGGACGCGCTTGATGACCAAGGTTAGTGCGGGATGGGCACTTACTAGACTTTCTTGGCCGGCAGATCGTCTGATATTGGGGAATTTCAAGGTCGAAAATATCAGATTACATGCAGCTGTTGGGGTCTCACGATCAAGCTGACGGGGAGGGGGTCCCTTTGCAGCCTTAGAGAGGGGCTTCAAAAGTTCGCGCCAGTCAACACTCACAACTCGAACTAGTCCTAAAAGCCATCCACTGGAGCTCTGATTGGCCGAATAGTATTACCCTATTGGGTAATGAGATCTGGGTCCAGTGGACGGTCCGGTCCCGGACGCATTTTGTACCTCCAGCGCCATTGCGTTGGGCCCTACCAGATCCAGGTGCAAACTACAACTGGTCCCATGAGTCCGGCTCACAAAGATCATCTTCTTTCGGGCAGCATCTGGTATGTGTAAGGACCGTGTGCTCGAGTTTCTGACGCAGTGGTCAAGGAGTATATGGCTGGAGAAGCATAAAGCTTGGAAGAGATTGGGGTCTACCGGTACCACGATTGCGTTCCATGTGCTTCCGTAGCCGCTATCTAGTTAGCAATGGGCTATATATGTACGTGAGAGAGCTATGTCTCACCAAGCCAAAGCGATCCAAGGTCACACTGTTCGTCCCACAAATTCCTCTGGTGGAAATAGTATCCGTAATCCCGGATATTCCACATGATGCGTCGTTATTACCGGGAAGTTGTGGCACGTGGAAAAGAAGGAGTCCAACCAACATTTGCAGTTGAAGGGCAGAGCCACGTACGTATTTTTTTATGTATAGGCGCGTTTATGATCCTCCATTCCAGGGTTCCACGGGTAGCCTTTTATGTTGCGAAGAAAACGAGAGTTGACCGAGGGAACCACGACTGCTTTCCGACACAGTCCCGGCTTTTTCTTCTCTTTCCAGCAATCCAGGATGCTATTCAGCTCTACTCAGCTATTTTTCTGGCTCGTAACCACTTTGAGAAACGATTCTCTCTCCATCGACGAGGGTCTTTTGCGGTGAAGACCATGCTATGCTAAAACGCATGAGCCTAATTGATTAGACTCCGAACCATAGACACCCCATCGCTAATAGCCGGAGGTGGCGCACTGGCTACTCGGTTGGTATCGTACTAGGGAGCTCGCTTAATCGAACCTGCGCCATTATTCCGCTCGCCTCCAATTGCACGATTGATTGCGTGATTATGTAGCTAGTTGAATTTCCGATCCGAATGAGCTAGCACTTTGGCCCTAATTGTATCTGCTGGCCTCTCATGAGCTGTCATATTCCAACCTTAAATGTTTACACGATACCAGGGTCTTGCTCTGGCTACACGTCTTGTCCACGCCTATCCGTCATGGGGGGTTTCAAGCAATTTTATGGTGGAAGCTGCTTGATAGGATCTGTGCTTCAGTGTGCATAACATGGATATTACATGACTTCTTCCAAGGGCTGTCTCGCCAATATAGAACTAGAGAGACTTCAACATCATAAAACAGGAGAAATCCCGTCTGATTCAGAGATTTTCTACAGCTGGTTGACCGTTGTGCAACTGCCGTGTCATCAGTGGAACTTCAAGGCCCTGGACCCATGGTTCGCAATGCCACTAGTTGTAGTCGTGGGACCTGCCCGTCATGAAGGGTTCCGCCTGCCTCACCTTCTCCAAATAAGTCTCGTCTTTCCCTTGTATGTTTAATCGATTGAAAGAATTAAACGTTCGTACCCGAGATCTTGGCTCTGAGAGCTGCACATCATTCCCACTTGAATCCGGATATCTCATACATCTGCTAACCCCAATTCAACGTCGATCGACTCCGCGACTGCCAAACAGTCAAACGCACTATCCGCAGCAGCTTCACCTCAGCATCTACAAGACAGTTCCTTGCGTTCCTCCACCAAATTGGGCACCATCATGCTAACGCACAGATAATTGTCTGCAATCCTGCCAGAAATGCCAAATCCGGCAAATTTCGGACCCGGCGCGATGATCACGTCGGTTATCCTCGTCTCCAACATCTCCAGTCCCACCTCGCTTATCACCTCCATAATTGTCCCCTAGGTCACCAACCGAGCACATATGAGTTCTGCACCGACGGAACTGCGGATCTGGTCGTCGGACCTGTCACTTGAGCTTGCCCCGCAGTCCTGTTGGAGGCTTCGAGCACATTGTTGTCATTTGGGCGCTTACTGTACCGTCCCTTGGGGGTCATCAGGCCAGAAAATATGCAATCAGGAAATCCATCAGACCACGTGGTGTGCTCACGGACACTCACTGCTGAGTAACAAGCAAGCTCCAGAGTAAATTTCTTTCCCTTGACTTGGAGACATCCCAGTCATCCCATGCCAGAGATTCGGCTTTGTCGAGCAGCTAACCACCTCTTCTAGGGTATTCGGGGTGACTCTGAAGAACGGAGATCAACGGAAACCCTTTCCCGAGAAACCGTGGCTAACCTCACAGACCAGAGGCAAATCTCCACGTGCAATGCTACTGCAGTTGGCCTTGGACCTGGATCCTTACTTATCAGCTTTCAGATTGGGACGCTAACAAGGTTTTGAAATAGGAATAGATAGCCATCGAACATACAACTTCCTTTGCCCCTGAGCTGTTAGCAACCCAGACATTCATAAACATCACAGCCGCTTTACCACTACAGCCGCGAATAATCCCTGACCTTTGCTCCTAACATCTCTCTCAAGCGACCATCGACTCTCCCAAACATATTCACCACGGCCTCCTTGAGCGGCTCGGGAACCTCAGCCAGCGTCTCAGCAACATTCGCAATCCACTTTCGCCTTTCCGTCTCATCAAAGACCCTATTCCAGAGGTCTCGTGGCTGAACGAAGTCTTCCTCATCAACTGATATCTCATTCTGGCCTAACGCGAACGACAGAATCCGCTCATTGTGTCGTACCTGGGCGTTGCTGCGACTCGCAACACCGGGAGAAAGCGAGCTGCGCACATAGTTTGGGTCACCGCCATAATTCTTCGTTACTGTGGCGAAGCCATCCCTCTCATAGGGCGCGTAGACAGGACAAACAGCGCGGTTAGGCGGAAGCTGGGTGTAATTGACCCCAAGGCGGTAGCGCTGAGCATCGGGGTAGGCGAACATGCGGGCTTGTAACACTACATAAAGCCAGGGATATCAATGCATGTTACACAAATCCGCAGATAGGTATGCTCGAGCCAAGGGAGAGAGAGACATGACCAACAGAAACAGAAACAGAATCACGATGAAGCAAATCAGCAAGGACGCAATGCACACTTACTTGGATCAGGCGTGCCAGCGATCCCAGGCACCATATTCGATGGCGAGAACGCCGCCTGTTCGATCTCGGCGAAGTAATTCTCGGGCTATTCCCACATTAGCGTACGACATTCCACCCCTCCTCCCCAAAGCTCTGCCCAGAATTAGCAAACAGATATGACTTACATTCTTATTCAAGGTCATCTTGCCCACTTCAATGAGCGGGAACTCCTTATGCGACCAAATCTTCGTAATATCAAACAATCCCCGTCCGAATTCCTCTGCCCTCTCAGGCTCCATAATCTGCACATACAGCTTCCAAACAGGATACTGTCCCCGTGCAATAGCATCCCACAAATCCAAGTTGTGGAAATCAGCATCCACCCCGGCCATCCGGGCGGCTTCTTGTCCAGAGAAATATTTCCCCTCGAGCTCAGGCCGGAAATGGAACTTGCAGTAATGGATGGTGCCGTCGGGGGATACGAGCTTGAAGGTGTGTACGCCAAAGCCGGTGACGGATCGGATGGAGCCTGGAATGCCTCGCGAGCCGAAGAGATGGAGCAATGCGTGGACGCTTTCGGGTTGGTTGGCGTGGAAGTCCCAGAACTGTGGTACCCCGGAAGGTGGAATGGTTAGTTCTTGGGTGGTGGGTAGGGGGAGATGTGTAAACAAAGGGTAAAAGACATACCATAGTCCAATCCGGACGATTTGTGGCAGGGTGGCGCTTGTGGCTTCTGTTCAGGGAAGGGAAGCGGGTAGGGTCCCGGACGAAGAAGACGGGCTGTTATCATCACTTAGCACACAAACACACACATCTCCTATGATCCCTTCTTCCTATAACATAACAAGGTACGTATACATACAATGTGGTTTCCCACAATATCATGGTTCCCCTCTTCGGTGAAGAACTTGACCGAGAATCCACGCACATCTCGCACAGTATCCGCACTACCCTTTTCACCACCCGTCGTGCTGAGACGAAACAAGACGGGAGTTTTCTTCCCGATGCCGTTGAGGAACTTAGCGGAGGTTAGGGACGATATGTCGTTCGTCACTTCGAATTCCCCCCATGCGCCGGCTGCTTTCGCGTGGACGACTCTGCAGAGGAACGGTTGATTAGCTTAGGTTGGGCTAGAATAGGGAAATAAACGGTGAAGGAACGGAAGGTACCTTTCTGGGATACGTTCACGGTTGAAATGAGCCAGAGTCTCGAGGAGAAGAGTGTCTCCTAAGGTTGTGATGCCTCCGCCGCCAATGGTAGGCAGGGTGGTGCTCACGGAGGGGTCAGGGATGGGTTGGCCTGACTGGGTTAGAACATAAAATTGAGGGTAGGGTCGAGGGAGGGACCTTCTGCCAGGGTGTAGACTGGTCTGGACATGTTGAGAGATGTTTAGCGATCAACTGTTCTTGAGGTTCAAAGTATAAGAGTTCTTAGAAACTGCTGCTTTGATCTGTCTGTCCAGCAGTTGCTGGGCAGCCCGTATATATATTGCCAGCAGCCGCAGATTGTGACGTCCATGGTGAATCAGCCAACTTAGACCTCTTCTATGTCTCAAATGAGTCAATTCTCCAATTCAATGCCAGACGAGCAGCATCCAGGTGCATACGATGGTGAGGGGAACTATAGACAAGGAATTGATTTCCGGCCAAACTGAGGAGTATTTTTTGCAGCTGGTGGTGGCCGAGCCAATGCCGACCGCCGGTCCGAGCCATTGCCGACCGGTAGCCGAGTTTCCCCCTCGCGCGTGTTTTGCTTTCCCCTCAGAGGCTTGTTTCCCCCTCTTCTTGTTCTCCAATGCTGTCGTCATGGATTGAGGACCGCAGTGGCTTACAGTCTGGGAGTTGTCATTTGAATGATTGACACTGCATAACCATGGATGGGAAGAAAATGGCGTGGTGATGCCAATTGACACCTTTGACAGCTGGGTTCCGTGGATGCCGCATTGCCGGTCAGGGTCTGCTACTTTACCCTCACAAGTCACAACAGAAATGTCCATGCTCAATTGGCATTGGGGTGTCCCCCGCATGAGGGGTAAAAAAAAAATTGATCAAGCAAAACACGATCCAACGTCTAGACCTTGGAGATCGGATCTACAATGCCATCGCAGCTTCAGTAGAACGGTGGGCCTCCCCTCACCGGGCGCTGCCGAATCCACTAAGCCCTCTCAGGCACCGAAGCTGCATGTTTTTCGACTATACGGCGATGACTCGGATGTCGGCAGACGTAAAAATCATCTCAACGATGAAAATATTGAAGATACTGGAATATAAATACGATGGATGCATCGCTTTGTGATGCTCCCTTTCCGTCATCATCATCACAGCTCATCGCATCGCATCTCTACTGTTCTTTTCTACAGTCTTTCATCTAAACATCATCTCGTGTTTCAATCCCATCCATCATCATGGCAATGGTATCTAACGGCAACGAATACGACTTCATCATCGTCGGTGGTGGTACTGCAGGCAACGCAGTAGCTGGTCGCCTCGCTGAAAACCCCAACGTCCGTGTCTTGGTCGTCGAAGCTGGTATTCCCAACCCTGACCAGGTCGACGAAATTACTACTCCCTCCAAAGCCTTCAACCTCCGAGGAAGCAAGTATGACTGGGCCTACAAGACCACCATGATCAAGCGCGACGACTACGAGCGTGTCGAAAAGCCCAACACTCGTGGCAAAGCTCTTGGTGGAAGTTCTTGTGCCAATTACTTCACCTGGATTCCCGGCTCCAAGCCCACCTTCGATGACTGGGAAGCCTTTGGTGGCCACGACTGGACTTGGGACAATTGTGTCGAGTACCTCCGCAAGTGCGCAACCTATCATGATGATGAGAAGCTTTACCCGGCCGAGCTGAGCAAGATCGGCACCGGAGGCCCCGTTCAGATCGCCCATGCCGACTTGGTTCCGGAAATGCAGCCCTTCCGTGACGCACTGACCCAAGCGTGGGTCTCCAAGGGCGAGAAGCTGACTGAGGACATTTACTCCGGTGAGATGCGCGGTCTCACCCACTGCGTGGACACCATCTACAATGGCCAGCGCCAGGGCAGCTTCCTCTACCTCAAGGACAAGCCGAACGTGACAATCCTCTACGGAGCCCACTCAAAGCAGTTGATCATCGACCCCGTCACTCGCATCTGCTCCGGAGTGACCGTCGTCAGCGAAGCTTACAACACTGAGATCAGCGTCTACGCCAGCCGGGAAGTGATCCTCTCCCAGGGTGTATTCGAGACCCCCAAGCTCCTGATGCTGAGTGGAATCGGCCCAGCCGCAGAGCTAGCCAAACACAACATCACTCCCATCGTTGAATCTCCCCACGTTGGCCAACATCTTCTCGACCACCCCATCGTGCCCTTCGTTCTCCGCCTCAAAGACGGATACGGTCTGGAAGACCACATCCTCCGGCCCGGCCCCACCAACAATGCAGCCATTGCCCAGTACAAGAAAGACAAGACAGGTCCCATCAGCTCCGGACTCCTGGAACTCGTCGGCTTCCCACGCATTGACCAGCGTCTTGAGAAGTACCCCGCCTACCGCGAAGCCAAGGCCGCCAATGGCGGACTGGACCCCTTCGGACCAGCAGGACAGCCACACTTCGAGCTCGACTTCGTCGGCATGTTCAGCACCGCCTTCCAATGGCACTATCCCGTCCCGGAAGAGGGCAACCACATGACTGTGATTGTCGATTTGCTGCGCCCCTTGTCAGAGGGTGAGGTGACGCTCAACAGCTCGAACCCATTGGTGCAGCCTAACATCAACCTCAACTTCTTCGGCAATGACCTCGATATTCTGGCCATGCGCGAGGGCGTCAGATGGACCTATGACCTCTTGACCAGTGGTGCCGGCTTCAAGGATCTCGTCGTGTCAGAGTACCCATGGAAGATGCCTCTTCAGTCCGATGACGAGATGAAGCGCGCTGTTTTGGATCGCAGCCAGACTGGATTCCGTAAGTCTCCACAGTCCTCTATTTTCATTGGGCCTTGATACTGACTAAAATTACGACAGACCCATGCGGTACTGCCCGTCTCTCCAAGAGTATCCATCAGGGTGTGGTCGACTCGAAGCTCCGCGTGCACGGTGTGCGCAACCTCCGCATCGCAGATGCGTCTATCATTCCTGTGATTCCGGACTGTCGGATCCAGAACTCGGTGTACATGATTGGCGAGAAGGTAAGTCATCATTTCCTCTCACGGACAATTTTCAATGTTGTCAGGGCTAACGAGTATCCAGGGCGCGGATATCATCAAGGCCGACCACAAGGATCTGTACGAGTCGAAGAACATCCCGTACTTTGTTCCGAGTCGGTTGTGATTACGTCAGGGTATCATGAATATGGCTGTGATATGAGGGTATTGGGAGATTGTATGGATGGATATTGGTGATATGATAGCTTTCTGCATTGATCTTTAGTCCCTACATTATGAATCGATTTGAAGTTGTGGCAGTCTTTACGAACATAAAACATTGTTGTACTCTATACATCTAATAATGGAACTAATGATGAAAAGAATAAAGCTAAATATAATCAGATCTGACATCCCTTCCGACTCCAAAAGTTCAGCGACCTGGTCAACATTCCAACATCAAGCGGCACATATTTAATCCCCGGCGCATCTCTCAATGCCGCAACCGTATTGGAACAATCATAACGCGTCGTATTCTTATGCATCTCGAACCATGACAACCCATCCATTACTGTCTCCTGCAACAGTGACATCAACGGCTCCAACGGGTTATCCGGACCAGTCCTTTCCTGCAACAAATGCACCCAGTCCCAATATTCCACCAGGCCAACCGGGTATCCTGCCTCATTGACTATCCGATACGTCTTCTCCAGGTCGACAGAGTCCGCCTCATCAGGAGAAACCAGATTGTACGTCTTGCCGAGATTGCCATTATTAGCAGCGATATGCAACATCGCATCGCACACATAATCAACAGACACATATTCCATTCGCTGATTGTGCAGATGCGGAAACGCACCGACCTGAACACATCCCCTGATGAACCGAGCAAAGAAATCATCCAGATTCCCACACCCCTGCTCGACATCACCTAAAATAAACCCAGGACGGAAGATCATAGCTGCTAGACCATGCTCGCGTGCCCGCCGCACCATCACCTCCGAGACCCATTTCGTAGCCGCATAGCCGAGCTCATACTTCAGTGCATGAAGATGCGGTTCCAGCGGGCCGTCTTCAAGGACCTTCTCAGTGCCGAGGACGTGGCCTGTTGGCCCGAAGATGTCGATACTGGACATGTACATGAACGCCTTGCGGCGACCTGATGTAGCTACTTCCATGACGTGGCGGGTTCCGAGGATATTAGCATCGTAGTGCGCGGCATATGGCTCGAGGTAGTTGACTTTAGCGGCGAGGTGGAAGACCACGCTAGTCCAATTGGTCAACCAGGTGAACATGTCCTCGGTTAGACCGAGGTGTTTCATGGTGATGTCGCCGTTGAGAACGGTGAGTTTGTGGATGCAATGCGATGTTTTGTCCCAGAGGTTATAGCGCTCGAGCACGGCTTGTACTCTTTCGCTGGCCGATGAGCCGGATTTGCCTCGCACAAGGCAGACGACTTCTTTAACTGTGGGCATTTCAAGACATCGGCTGAGGAAATGGGCGCCTACGAACCCTGTTGCGCCTGTGAGAAAGATGCGGCCCTCTTCGGCGGCTTGCCAGTTGGGGACGGCGTGGAGATCGTCGGCTGTGTGGGCGTCTGTCATCCAGCGGTCGAGGTCGTCGGTGTTGTTGTTTTGATTGGAAATGTTGATGAAGTTGGCTAGGTCTGTTAATCGGGGGTTTTCGTACAATGTGCGCATGGAGACGCTGTTTCCAAATTGCCTTCTGGTTCTGGAGACCATAGCAGCCGCTTGAAGGGATAGTCCTCGAAGAGTGGAAAAGAAATTGTCTTCGTCGTTAATTTGCTGTTGGCCGAGCAGGGATGTCCAGATCCCTCGGAGGATGTTGACTGTGCTGGTAGGGTCTTCATCTGTTGGGTAAGTGTCCCGGATATTGGTGCATTGGGCAGCATACTTCTTCGCTAACGCCTTGCGATCGACTTTTCCGTGGTCTGTCAGGGGATAGTGTGGGCAGAAGGCAATCTCCCGCGGCACAGCGTAAGCTGGTGCTTTCTGCTTGATGAACTCCAGCATGTCTGTAGCTTGAATGGTGTTGGTAACAGCCGGAATGAGAAACGCAACGAGAAAGGGTTCGTCTTCGACGGTTTCTGGCTGAATTTGGCACACTGTCGCGGCCAGTAACCGTCCACTACTGAGGAATAACTGCTCGATCTCACCAAGTTCGACGCGGAAACCGCACTGCTTGACCTGCAGGTCTACACGGCCGACGAACTCTAGCAAGGTGTGATTGTCGGGACGCCACTTGGCAAAGTCACCTGTTTTATAGAGCCGGTACCCTGATTTATCGACGAAAAACCGCTCCTCATTTTCCTTGGGACGTCCAATATATCCTGCTGTTAGGCCAGGCCCACCTAGGAGTATCTCGCCAATGCTTCCGGGCTCGGTAATGATATTGAGGCTGTCATCAGCAAGGAAAAGCCTTGTATCCCCAAAGGGCGTGCCAATGCTGATACTGTTGTGGTGGAGGTCTTCGAAAGTGACCGAATGCATAGTGGACACGATCGTTATTTCAGTAGGCCCATATGTATTCCATAAATGCTGAGGTGGATTGGGCGACTCGAGGACAGCCTTCATGCTGGCCATATTGGCTACTTCGCCAGCAGTTAGGACATGTCTCATACCAGTGAACGCACAGGGGCAAGCTTGTGCAATTATTGAAAACAGCGAAGTAGTCAGGAAAGAAACAGAGATATGTCTTTGCGCAATGAAACTCTTAGCTTCCAACGGATCCGTGATTACTGGCCGCGGCACCATGACCAGCGTGGAGCCTGACATCAAAGCAACGAAGATTTCAAAAATTGACATATCAAAGCCCGGATTGTTGAATACGCTTACACGGTCCGATGGTAGAAGAGGCGTAGCTGGACTTTTGAACATGAGGTGGAGGATGCCACTCTCAGGGATCTGGACAGCTTTTGGCTTTCCACTGGACCCTGAAGTATACAGGATATGACTTCGATAATCACAATTTGGTAGTCCTTTCAGTTGCACGCGCTTAACACTAGCTGTCTCCGGTCTGACTGGCTTTGTGAGGGGGTGGTATTCTCCTCTGATTGGGATGATGACCATGCCATTGTCGATGTCCGGTCTATGGTTGGATAGGATGTACTGTGTTCCGACATCGCTCAGGAGGTTCATCAAACGTCTATTTGGGATAGAGGGCTCCAGGGGGACACATGTCAGGCCCGCCCGGATGACAGCCAGCTGTGCAATGATGGTCTCGATGCCTGCCTCTTGCAAGATGCAAATTGGCTCCTCTGGAGGTAGGTCCAAGGTCTTCAGAAGGGATGAGATACGCTGGACTTCACGGTCGAGGTCTGAATATGACCATTGGTGTGCTCCGTCATCTATTGCAATTGCTCCCGGATTGATAGCGACATTATGAGAGAAAATAGAGTCCATGACTCTGCTCCGTGTGTCCGCCGACAAAAGCCCTGTAGGACTTGAGAGAAGTTGAGAGAATTGTCAATGTGTCTGTAGAATATCTCTAGTGAAAACAGCGATTCCTTTCGTGCATTCCGGCCATATATAAGATACCTTATCACTTTATCGGTAGTTAGCATCAGATGAAATCAACATCACGTCTGACAATGCGCGCATCGTGACGAATTTCGAACGCTCATCATCTTGCAAAGTTGACTTGGACTCAATTCCAGCCTCTCAGATCGCAACTGATGCGCACAGATCGTTATTACTCCGAGGCGGATGTTCCTGTTAGTGTCAATCGTCGGACTGATAGGCCAAACCGATACCCCACGAGGAAGGTATAGCTAAAAAAGAACAATGTTGTGGCTGAACTTTATGGTGACAGGTTCCCCTTGTGGCTTGGTAGAGAACCATGGGTGTCTTGCATGAAATCATGAAACAGCGAGGATTGAGTTTCCCTTCCCGGAAGGAACTCGCCACGTACCAACCAACCTGGAAGCTGCTTCGCAAATATTCCAGTTTAACGTTGCGTTAGAAAACTCTCTTTTGCTATGTTCCTCAAGGAGATTAGCCCAGCGACCGATTGTTTTTTGGGATCTTGATTACCTACGATCAAAGCAAGATTCTCAGAAACTGTACTATTTTTAAGATAACCAAGAGTTGAAAACGACGCACTATAACCAGGCTAGCAAATACTGCGGTTCTTCCCATGGATGCTGTTGCGGGTGATCTCTCCGTCATAAACAAAGCCTAATGTGGCGTCAACTACCCCCCAGGGATCGTCGATTACCCGCGGAGCATTCCTTGTGAGTTTTGCTTGGTGTCCCGTGGGCACCATTTCAGCGCGTAAATGCTCCTTGTGCAAACGTCTGCTGAAACGCTACAATTTGAGGCAAGCATGGAGATAGTCAGATACGAAAGATACCCCTAAATGCGAGTAATGCATGATCCGCGCTTTTCTTTCGGCCGCCGCTATGAGAATGAATGGTCTGTCATGGCAAATGCCGACATTGAGACAGGTGCAGTTTAACAAATAAGTAAAAAGACCTCTTCACTGGCATTATAACTTTGCTTATTCCTTGAAAGTGTGATTGACGTGAGAGGCAGTTTCATGATATGCCTGTGCACAGCACTTCATTGTCCGCAGCTGCACGCTGTTCTATATTCTAATGCAGCCCTCAGGATTTCTTTGTCCGGTTAACTGATTATCGAAGGTCTTTTCCGCTATAAACTATGATATGAAAAATTTAACCCGGAGCAGTTCAATGTACATATAACTACCCTCTTATGCTCTTCTTATCGAGCATTCTTTAGATGTCCAGTCTATTTCCATTTTGCCGGAAGTATAACTTCATGCATTCTCTCTGGCTTATTCCTTCAATGAAACAGACTGGTACCATGGATGAAGTCAGCTGCCAGCTGGGAACGCTCCCCCGCGAGATATTATGGCGGTGTACTCATTATCTGGACCCTTTATCCGTCGTCCAGTTATCAAGCACTTGCAAGGATCTTAAGGCGCTCCTACGAGAGAGATATTCCTGGGCGGCATTTCAACATGCAACCACAGAACTTAAGTATTACGTTAAGTCTTGGATTTCTCTCTGCCCTCAATTGTCCGGAAATCCCCGCCCCACCGGGGATATATGCCGACTTGCTACCCCCGAGGACGCCCCAACAATCGCAATACATACGTTGCCTCGAATACAAGCCGTTGTTCTGAATAATCGCCGGAGCATTCTTGAGGCTTATATTGACGCAGGCATCGATCCCGATGAGATAGTAGTAGGACGCGGATGGGGATCGCTATTGCTTATAGCCGCTATATCTAACAACACTGAGATGGTCGAGTTTCTATTTGAAAAGGGAGCCAAACCCCGGCGAAGTTATATGTGGTTACCATCAGAATCGTCTATATTGGATGAGGTGGCGTGGTGTAACGTTCATGAGAAGCCGGCAGAGAATTGGGAGAAAACAGCTCTATCGTTCCTTGAGCGCGGCGTCATTTTTTCAGGCCTCCACATGGCTAAAGAGCTATGCCGCATGCCAAACGCCCCACATCTTCTTGAGGTTGCACTCAGGAATGGTCTGGACATCCACCGCACATGGGAAAGCAGATCTTTGCTACACATTGCTGCTAGTCGAAATATTCCTCATCTGATGAAGACTATACTATCCCATGCACCAGAACAAGTGAATATTCATGAGATCGTTCGCACAGTGGGAGGATACATCGAAAGACAACAATCGGCCCTAGACATAGCAATTTCTGAGGGTAAGACGAAAAACGTTGGGTTTTTACTCAGTATGGGAAGCAAACCAACCTTTTATTCCCTAGAAGTTGCAATCCGGATAAGCAATAAAAAAAGCGTCTTTTACGGGGATGGAATAGAAGAGGTTGCAGACATTACAGACTGGTTTGCATGGAAGCTCCAATGGGTCGATTATGTGCATATAATTGCAAGCAAGCTTGACCTTGACAGCGAGGAGGCCGCTTTGCCACTTGAGCGGATTTTGCATAGTGCTTGGGGGTCGGCTCAACAGGGAAATGAAGAGGATGGAAGATTATATCTGTCTGTTTTATTCAGAAAGATGAGCTTACGTACCCGGTTACTCTATGCGGGTCTAATTGCGTTTGAGGCTTATGAAGATAGCTTGACTGCAGCAAAAAAGAATATCGAAGAACTCGAGGAACGTTTTTATCAATTGAAGTCCCAGTGGTGGCAGGTTTGGAGGTGCAAGGTATCGGGAGATAGGTCTATCAACCATGAAAAGCTCGAGGATATTAGAAATAATGTGGAGGAACTCGACATTGAAAATGAGGCGAGGGTATTCGAGTATGTTCTCGAGAACGTTGAAAAGCGACTCGAGAACGTTGGAAAGCGACTCGAGGATGTTAAAAGACAAGTGAAAGGACTCGAAGACATCCTGGAACTGAGGAACGAGGCTACCTTGGATTCGCCATAGAGGCTTGCTGATATCTGCGGTTAATGAGGGGGTTTCTTTTGAGAGAAGTTCCAATCTTACTAATATAATGGCGATTTTCTTTCGGACGAAATTGACGAAGACTAAGTATATAGATTTTTATCGTTGGATTTACGGTTTTCACGTTTACTAGCTGTCCCTATAAATGTTCAAGGCAACGTAAGCTATCATTTAGGACCTTATGTTTAGACTTCACTAATACGTGAGTGACAAGATGAATTCAAATACTAATGTATGATATCTAAGATGGTATGTTTCAATATATAGACGGACCACGAGCTGTATCCATCGTGACCGCATAAGCGAGCTTTACAATAATGTGTACAATGATAGAGAATATACGTCAAGGTCAGAACCCCAGGAACAATGTATGGGAGCCCGAGAACGTACTATCAGCTGGGAGAAGCATTAGTTCTACATAAATAACCCTAATACCTGGTTAATCTTTTTTTTCAGACGATTTACGCATTCATTATGTTATAAACTGAAAGGAATCCTGACACGTAATTGTCGATGCCGGCAGTATCGGTGGCTGTATCCCTTATAACGCCGTCCCGGGTCTCTCCGCCGCTTGGTATATCCGTGTGTCGCAGTAAGGAAATAGCAACCCTGAGTAAAACGAAGCTTCGGTAGCTTGCCAGCAAATTTGTCTTCTGTATCTCGCCCATATTCCAAACTGTGGAAAGTATCGTACACATGAAATTATGCATCAAGATACTCAGGGGTTAACAGTTAACAACAGAAAGATGTGAACTGGAAGAGCTTGGGAAAAAGAGCATGGGGACCATATGGTCAGTTACCTGATTTCTTTGTGCGTCGGTGAGAGAAAGTGATGAAAGAGCATCTTATCCCGCAGGAAGATCCCTTATACATTGTACAAGGGAGATGTCCTTATGCCAATATAGAAGATGGTGTATTTTGGTCCCAGCTGGATTTGTATTTCTACTATTTGATTTCTATTATTTGTCCGCGCAACTTGTTTTATGTACATCCGACGGATAAGGTCTTACAAAGGGATAAATGCTTTCGATCGCGTACCCACTCTTTGAAATCGTAAAGAGAGCCACGAGGTCACCTTATTGCAGGAGATCTCCAATATGATATGTGGCTATTGCTGTACTTTGAGGTATTATTCAACACACCTACAAGGGTCATCTATTATATTTAAGTACTGACTTGGTGCTCCATCTAACACTCGCTTCGAAAGCCCATAACAAACCCACTTATACATATATTCTGCGGATCGAGCCTTCACTCGTCTGAACGTCATATCCATCACTCACAATGTCAAAACCCCGATGTCTTCTTTCAGTTTTGCCTGTTGAGTTGGTCTTTGAGTGTGTGCAATATCTGGACACCTCGTCTGTAGTCCACTTATCGGGCACCTGCAAGAGGCTCAACTCAATCCTCCGTCGCAACTGCACTGAGCAGGTAACTAACCATGCTTTGGAGTATATTACCGTTGAGGCCTGGAAGGGCTTTGGGGGCAAGGTTAAGTTAGATGCTGATTCCATCAAGGCACTGCTGAGTCGGGCTAGACACTCAGGGATCTCGTTGTGGGGTACGAAGAATGGCCATTGGGAGGACGAACATCGAGATTTTGTATACTATTTGCCTAAAAGCCGTATCGAAGTTGTCATTTCGTAGAGGAGGAATAGCTGTTTGGAGTCATACTTGTCAGCAGGTCTTGATCCGAATATATATCTACCTGGCTACAGAGATGAAAAGGACGACAAGGACAACAGCGACAACAGCGACGACAACGGCGACAACGGCGACAACGACGTCAATTACAATGGTCCAAGTTCACTGTTGCACAAAGCTATACATTACAAGGATGTCGAAGTGGTCAAAGTTCTGCTGCAAAACGGTGCTGACCCCAGACTAGCTTGCACCAGAGGCGGCCCACCAGGTACTCTGGAAAGATTGATGAATGATACGTGGGGTCCCTGCCCACTAATGGTAGGGGTTCTCCTGGATGCAGATGCCCTACTCGTTTCTGTCGAATTCGCTACCAAACTATGCCAGATTGGTGGATCCACAAGCTCGTTGATTGAGCTCGTATTGAATAAGCATCTAGACGTTCACTGCACATACTCCGGAGTCATAAGATTCACATTGTTTACCGATGCGACAATACTACATATTGCTGCTTCCGAGGGCGATCCTGATCTCCTGGAGGCGATAATTTCTCGTGCACCAAACTTACTACAGGCCAGTGTGATGGGGATGACCGTTTCTTCAGGTACGCGCCCGCCTCCTGGTCCACGCCCTGTCCCGAATGGCCAGTCTGCGGAAGGATGGTATGACACATACCTACCGTTGAACCTGGCTCTAAAATCACACAATGCAGCGAATGCCAAATATTTGCTCCAGTGTGGAAGCAAGACCGATAGAGCCTCATTTGAACTTGTGTGGGAGGACGCCTGTGATTTCACCAAGTTTACTACGGATTGGGTGGATATTTTGAAGCTTATGGCAGCTAGGATTGAGTTCAATTCCCCGGAAGCTATCCCAATGATCCAAAGATGTATTGATAATTTTTTTCATCCAAAAGCTTCCTGCCATGCAAGGTTCTTCCAGAAGCTTTGTTTACCGCCGTTTCTCGGTAATATGAGTCTTCGTACCCGTGCCCGGTACCTTGACAGGTTTGATGTCCAAAGTTGTGAGGCGCATCTCGATGAATTGAGGTATATTATTGCCTGGTGCGAGGTCGCTCTCCAGAACGAGATACATTCGGAAGGGAAGCTTGGACTAGGCGCAACAGATGAGACAACTGAGTGTCTTCCAAGTTTGTTGGCGGGCTTTAGAGAACATGAGCAGGCGCAGCAAGAAATAGTACAACTGTTGTGGGAGGCTATGCTTGAAACGTAACCACCAAAGAATCTCAGCGGGCTTGGTGAGGGATGCTACAATGACCCTTGAATTTTTACTGATGAGCTGAGAACGATATTCGGATAGTATAGATATACAGTTACCGTGTATGTGGAATCTGTTTATTTGAAATGCCAAATTATTTCCGTCAAGTTGGAGCTGCTGAACCTTTACTGGCTACAATGGTATTTTTCATTTGGAGCAATGCCAGGCTTTATAGCAGCATACATGAACTTTCTCAGCCTAGCGGTACATGGAGCAACACACATGCACATAGATATGGAAAGTGACAGTCGCAGAATGGTTCAATATCATATTGGATGTGGTAATTTTCAGAAGGTCGGCTGCACTATCGCGAATTTATCAAGGGAATCTCTACTGGCTATAGCAACAGATTATTGTTATTGTATTTTGAGTTGAATGAGGGGTATTAGCTATTCAACGAGAGCCGTCCGTACTACCATAATGTATATGCCAGCAAAGCTCGAATTAACAATATAAACTCGACTAGAAATGCTTATGAAGTTAGTTCTTCCCACCTTCAGTTGAGTCATTATCCGTAGATGTAGTTCCTTCTTCTAAGAACACATCTGCTTTGGTAATGAGTTCTCGGTAGTCAGGAGTGGCAAACCCCCCACAAACATAAATGGCTGGGAATAGCATGCACAATATCCGGTGACCCTTCAGGTTATCACACTCTCCATAGTAGGCGTGGTTTAACTTGGTTTCTGTATTGGAAGGATCGTAGACCTCTACGATATCGCGCAAGTTCCGGAATTCCACGTAATGATCATCCATTGAGAGCTTCACAGAGAGCTCCGCGGCTTTAAGATATGCTGCATCCAGTATTCTCTTGGAAAACTCAGCCTTCTTTCCGTCCGCACGGGGTCTAAGGAGCGGTTTCAATAGCTCGTGATCCAGAACTTGCGCAACCATTGCTTCGACCATGAGTTTTCGGCGTGACATCATTCTTTCGGCGAAGTCGTTCGGGCGATCCATTACCTTTATATTGCAAAGACGGGCTGTCCATAGACGCCAGGATTGAGCCAATAACGCTCGCTGGCCATCTATACAAGATTGTTGGTTAGCAATGAAACCGCAGATGAAGGGAGGACCACCTTACCATTGTCAAAATCCTTAAGTAACTCAAAGAGTACAGTACCGCAGTGAGTCGCCTCCGGTAAGATTTCCTCGTCATACTCGGTACTTTGTCCTGGATGGGGGGCTATATACCAGAAGGGGTTTCTGAAGAACCGCCCAAGACAATCTTTGACAAGAAACATGGTGACAAGTTCGAACCCAAATACAGGACCCAGCTTGACGCCAGAGAGTATTTCGCTCATGTCTACTTGAGCGCAGTAGCCATCCAGGCTTGTGACGAGGTTTTTCTTGTAGCTCTCTGGAAGGCTTCCCAAGACCGTGGTTTCTTCATAAGCATAATTTGCCGCCCAAGTTTTCAAGGAGAGAAACATTCTGAAAAACTCTTCTTCATACATCTGGTCTGACATGCAGCCCCAGTCACCATGTTGGGCGGCCAAATACTCGTATTTGTGCAGTGTGTCAGCTGTGATGGCTTCCATGTGGCGGACACCTTGCTTCGCATGCTGGTATAGTTCCCTGATCTTTCGGTACTTTTTATTTCTCTTTTTATCTTGCATGTTCCTTCTTTGGCGCTGTTTCTTGGTTCTTTGGGGTTGTTCAGTCATCTTTCGATATTGTTCCTTCAACTTACGGCACTTGTCCTTCGTCTGTCGAAACTTCTCTTGAGCCCTCTGGTGCGCTTTCTTCAGCGCATTGATCTCATCAGGTGTCATTGACATAACATCAGTCTTAGTATCGCAGGCATCATCTGTCTCAGAGTGATAAGCATCGCCGGTCTCAGTCGGATGAGCAGCCGTAGGCCCGGTGGGATCAGTGTCATCCGTTTTGGTAAGACCAGCGTCTTTAGTGGCGGCATCATGGGTATTATCCGTCTCGGTAGGCTGAGAATCTTCGCCCTTTGCAGGATTTGGAAAGCGCGGTGATCCCCGGATTGTGGAGGGGTCCAGCTTTTCTCTTGATGTCCGATACTGTCTCGCACACGAGGGTGGCTTGTATGGTGGGTCTGAAGGGTGATGGGAGGCAGGTTTCTGGACATCGGACTTTAGAATAATATCTGTAATCTGCTGTGGGATGGAAAGGGCAGATGTGAGTTGAGAGTCTTTGTAGTCACCTTGGTGTTCTTTATTCTCCTATCAAATGGTGTTTTTGATGTCATTGTAGGTAGGGACAAATGTGACGACTTTTTGGGTACGAGAGAGGAGAATTATTGGCAGAGAGCAATACAGGTAGGATAAATGAAGCTGCGCGGAAGTATGAAGGTTCGCGAAAGTGGATGGGGAAGGGGAATGGGGGAAAAGTCGCAACCCATGTACAGGGCTAAGATGGGGCATAAGGCTAGACCAGCCTTCAATTAGCCAAACGCACTCCGATTGTCGTACATCAATTCAGCTGGTATTTTCTGGATATTGCAGCGTTTCATTGTTGTTCAATGGGTCAATGGAGTGGTTACATGATCTCAAATCCTAGTCCTTTGTTAGTCAGAGAGGAGAGCGTATAACTACCCTGCCAGTCGCGTTGTCAAACAAAGGAACGTCCGGAACGGCAGGGGTAATGGATAGCTCTTCCACCGTCATGGACTCGAACTCGACAGCAATTCATGTTCGCATGGATAGATGGGGACGAAGGTTAATTTTAGTACTTGTCCCCTTTTTAAACCATCTCCCGTCATCACTTAGAGGCCGAGAGCACATGAAAACTAGTTACCACTGCCCTAAACAATATGTGCACGCAAAACCAGTTGTGGCGAATCAGAACCATCGAATACACGGTCGAACAGAAGAACAAAAATTACCAAGGGCTCAACTTCGGATACAACCATAACAATACCGACTGAGACAGAATTACTTGTCACACCTCTGCCTGTTGTGTAACGGGTCAGCATCACTGGTACATTTGTGACTGCTCGATTCACTCAGAAGGGTTTGTCTCCCCGCCACCATTGTGTAATGTGCAAGATTCCTTGGCTCAGTGCACCTCATGCTGGAGACACATAGCGGCAATCGCATCGTATGACTCCAACTAGGCCTGAAGCTTGATCAGAAGCTATCATATAGAGCCCCCCTTTAAGATATGGCCGACCCCGGCGCCATAGAGAGAATGAAATTCCCCACTCCCCATCAACCTCCTTCCGAGTTAATGCTGTCCATAGCTACCCCAGCTTCAATCATTCTGTTTCTTTGTTCGGACACTCCGATTACATAGTAATCACGATTACTGGGAACGCCGCATCAATGGCTATGTTAAAGACTTGATCACGACCAAAGTTCTGAACCAGTGTGGACTGAATGTCGTTACACCTGCCAGACCGTGCGTGGACTATGTCCTCAAATTAACATGAGACTATGCAAAACTAACGCTTACCAGACAGCCAGCAGTTGTCTATGGTGCCGCAGCCTACGGTCAGAGACACATACTGTCAATCCACCACAGCCCGATCCACATCGGGCTATGTGGTAACAGCTGCACAGTGGAGAAACTCGCACCATACGAGACCCTGTGGACAGTAGAGAGATACGTTGCGGTTAGTAACTTGGATCCTTGTAATGGCAAGTCTACCGTCTTCGTTTTCTTATGTAGCATGGCTGTGCTGATTATGGGGTGTCTGAATGGTGAGAAGTATGACGAGGGCCCGGTGCAGACAGAGGAGCCCACCGAATATTTCCTCAACGGGGCCACACCATCCACCCGTTACATGTCTATCTACCCATCCGACGTTGAAAACCCACCCCAAACCGTCGTGTGTTAGTCAATTAGTCTCCTTGCAGGGATCTCATCTTTCTGATCCTCTTAGGTTTGTTCTCTAGTGATACCATTGACATTTGTTTCGGGGACGTTCCGGCAAAGAAGAGGGAGAACCGAACAATCAACAACCAGATGCAGTATAGGGTTCGTTACAAAGCCACTACCACTTTCCTCTGTATTGAAAACCAGCTTGAGTTTGAGGCAAAAATTGACAATCAAGTGATTGGACGCCTCACGATTGACATTCCGTATTCCTGAATGGTTGTTTTCCTGACATTTACCCACCGCCCCCCCTCTTCTTTTTTACTTTCATAAAACCCGATGTTGCTTTCTATTTTATTTGCTACCAGGTTACTGCATCCAATCTCCTAAGTAAATTGGCGACTTACTCTCGCTCTCATTTGTTGCTTTCGCTTTCATTAGCTACCCAGGGTAATGCCTTAAAAACCAATTGGAAACTTGCTACTTTTTGTCTCTTTCTATGTTGCTTTTCCTCATATTAGCTACTAGGATACTGTACTAAATTTTCTAATTACATTAGCTGCTTTCACTTTCTTTCTTTCTTTCTTTTTTTCTCTATATCGATTCTTTACTTCAACTATCAAGCTACTATATGAAGTTTTTCTAAATCAGATCGGCAGCTGGCTCCTTCATTCTCTCGCTACATTGCTGTTCTTTGTTATAGCTAACAGGCTACTGCACTTGATTTCCTAATCAAATTGGCACAATCCTCTCTCTTCCTCTCTCTCTCTACATGTTGCTTTTCCTTTCATTTGTTAACTTTTTCTTTCTTTTCCTTTTTTCTTTTACTGTTTTTGCCCCGAAATATATAGATTAAACTCATCTATTTTTGTGGGCAAGACGGGACGGCAACTTACTGTAGGCTTACTTGGCATACCTAACTTACTATCACCCTTGAGCGTTGGCTTGACGGCGGTGGCGCGGCTATTATGTAAATGCGCATTGCTTTAACTACTTTTTGTGGTTATGATAGCTGAGTGTTCTGTCCTGATACATAGCTATGCCTGTGTCGGGGCGATTCCATGGGGTGGCACCGTAATTAACATCCTCCGCCATAGCAACGTACTACACCGGGTGTTCATTTAGCAACTTTACACACCACTCTTTTGTTATGGCCACGCCATACAGCGTCCCCGGAGGGCAGTCGTCATTGAGGCCCTTGATGAGTCGAAAAACCGGACTCGACCCCAGACATCCGGATCACGTGATTGACCGACATCGCAGATCGTCCCGATCAATATCCTCCCATTGGCTGGCGCGCTGCCGGATGTCCCCGGAACCGCAAGAGAGAAGCAGCAAACCCTCCGACGATAGTATTCCCCGGCCAGGACACTCCAACTAAGCGGAGACTTGATCTGGCAAACAGTGATAGCCGACCGGTGATGATACGCATCCATTCCACTGGAACTTCTTGATGCTCCCTGCACGTTGCAGCAATTGAGTTCTGTTGTTTGATGATGGGATCGGATTCTTGACCAGGGTTTGATTTCTTCCTCCCGGTCCACCCTGCAGCCTGCGGGGTGCCGATGATAGAGAGGGTGGCGGCAAAAAGACCCTACCAGCCGTAGTCTAGACCATGTATTTATGGATTGTGAGAGTTCTCCGGGGCCGGCCCGCAAGATGTCAGGATGCCAGGCAATTGGTTGCAAAGAGGCGGTCTGGCTATGAATGCGTTGGGTGACCATGTGCCCCAATCACTGGCCTTCGCGCCGGATGGCCGCCTAAAAATCGCGGATAGCTGCTGCTTTAACCTTTCACAACCACCACCTCTTGATTGATTCACCACGCACTTGACTGCATCGGGCTGGCCTGGACGGGCACGGTCCCTCCCTTCGGCTGCTTCCTGCACTTTTATCCGCTTACTCATGCAATTCATCGCTCAATGCAGTCCTGTTCTTCTGTGCAAAAGGGGAGATCAAGGTGATGGTTGAAAATGGAATGGAATGCAAGACGCAGCATGTGAAAGGTATCAATTGAGAATTCCATTCAAGCCCTTCAGTGATAAAACCAAGTCTCCAAGATGAATGTCCCACTCCGCTGTCCAAGATCACCAGACTTCCCGACTAGGGAATTAGTGGAGCACGTGTGGTAAATTCTAGAACCCCAAGGCAAAAGGGGGCAGCCGCACAAATATGTCCTGCCAGTGATGCCCTTGGGCATTTTTCTTCTTTCTCTTCTCATTTTTCGTCGACCATGCACTGTGAGTTGGTTTGTATTTCACGGGCATTGTGTGCATAGTACCGGCCATTGCAGTGGTGTGGTGATCCATGCTCTGCTACTAAGCACCCCGGCCAGTTTCACTAGCAACAGAGCACCAGACTCGGTGGAACACTGTGTCTGACTACGCATCGTAGACTGCTTTGGATTTACAGGGTCTACATCTGACGGTGGTCTCAGTCGCACCGCTCCGACAAATGCTGTCTAAACTGCTCTACGACATTCAGGAGCTCCCGCCTGACCATCGCGTTGTCGCGGGACAGCGGCACCGACGCTTGCTCTATTACGTAGCCCATCTGGCATCATGGACCTCCAACCTTTATCTCGTCCTTCGCCTAGCTCTGTGTTTCTCTGCTGTGCAACAAAATTGGCGAGCCTGGCTAACTCTGTTGGTCGAGACCGTTCTCGCCAGTATGTCTATACCACCGTGAACTGCCGTGTTTCGACACGCCGGCTCCCTTTTTGAGCAAACGAGGACGCGCAAGCTAATATGTTTTCAGTCATTTGGCGTCATGATCAGCTTCTCACCATGTTAGGTGGCTCGGCATCAGAGAGCCAACCACGCAAAAGACTGCGATTACACGGCACCGACGATCTACCGCAGGTGGACATTTTGGTGCCCTGCTGCGGAGAGCCTGTCGACGTCATTTTGGACACCGTGCGTGCTGCCTGTACAATGGACTATCCAGTTTCCAGCTTCCGGGTCCGTGTATTGGACGATGGTGCTTCCACAGAGCTCGAGTCCGCCGTTGCAGCACTGCGCACTGAATGGCCTCACCTCTTCTACCACACGCGCGGAAGGCAATCCGGTAAGGTCTTCGCCAAGGCTGGTAACATGAATTACGCCCTGTTCACCCTGCAAGAAAAGGCTCCACCTGAGTTTTGTGCCATCTTCGATGCAGACTCCATCCCCATGCCTCACTTTCTGAGGGCGACGTTGCCCCATCTCCTTCAGACCCCGGAAGCCGTGCTCCTCACCACCCGGCAGTACTTTTACAACCTCCCATCAGGTGACCCCCTTTCCCAGTCACGCCTCCACTTCTACACGTGTGAAAATGCAGAGCTCGATCGTCGAGGCCTTGCTCAGGATGCAGGCTCCGGGGCCCTCTTCCGGAGACAAGCCATCATTGATGCAGGTGGATATCCGACGTACAGCTTCTCCGAGGATTGGCAGCTGTCGCTTGTTCTGAAGGGGCTAGGCCACCGCACCATCCAAGTCCAGGAGCCGTTACAATACGGATTGGTTCCGACGTCCTTGGATGGACACATTGCACAGCGCAACCGGTGGCACATTGGCCACTCTCAACAGCTTCGGGTGTTGATGCCGCCCACAAACAAGACACTTCCCCGCTCGCTGCAGTGGAGTATTGCACAGAATGGCGTCTTCATCATGGCTGGAGGGTTTGGCTGTTTAATTTCATTTGCAATGGTTCCATTGCTTCTGGCATCGGGTCAGCTGGTTCCAGACGTTTCGCCATTGCTGGCCAAAGCACAGTTTCTTCTGGCTGTTCTCCATATCGCCTTGACATGGGCGTATGGACTTTTGCAAAGCGCGCACACGGGATTCGAAAGCTTTCCGTTTTCTCGTTTTGAAAATATCTGGCTGGCAGGAGGTAAGATACATACCTTTGGTTTTTATTGTTCTGTTGTACAGTTGCGTATTGTCATTACCCGTTCTATTATGGTCTTGAATGATTTCTGGACTTCACCTTCCACCACTTTGTTCCTGATATAAATCACCCTGCGCCCCTCCGAGATAGGAGTTCTCTCTTTCATTCCACAACTCTTCAAGATGAAACTAACAATAACAGCTCATATCCACGCTGTCGCTCGATTCCACCTGCTCGCCAGCCGACCCAAAGGCTCCTTCGTAACTGGCAGCAGCGCCAACTCTTGGAATCGCAGCGCGACCCCAACATCTTTCCAGAAGCTCTACCACAATCTGTGGCACAACGGGATCGCATACAGCATTGTCGTTTTGCTTGCCACTATTGCATCCATCGTCTACTCGATCTACACGGCTATCACAACCACTGATGATAGCTTGTTATCCCGCTTGCTCACCACGATTGCTTGGCCGCCGATGCTTCACATCTGCTACCTCTCCATCGTCAGTTACTGGGCACCAGTCTCATATCTGCTGAACCCACCGCGGTATCCGGAGCGGAAGGCTGGATTGGCTTTGTCGGAGACGGGCGTGGTGCTTCCGAGTCCGGAGGTCCAGCAAGCAGCTATGGTGCGTGGGAAAGCACCGGTTGGGTTCTATCGTCAGTGCGTGGTGGTCGTGTTGGTTCTGGGGGGGTTATTGTTGGGTGGATTGGCGTTGTGAAAGGTAGAAGAGATAGAGTGGGTGCGCTACTAGATTAGATTGTAAGCAAATACGGTAGTGTTAGGTGGTCTAGATATGGTAATTCATGCTATTTGTCTTGATTAATTCTGCCGTAGTTTTATATCCTGTGAACACAGCTAGGAATCGCCGGCCCTGATCCAACTTCGATACAACATACAGCCTCGAAACATTTAATTTACTAGTTCTAGATATAGCCAAAGAACTGGTTCGCTCTATCCTGCTAAACAACAAGATAAGTCAACATGGCAACCCAATTCCGTCGAAGTCCAACCAGCCAGAGAATATGATACGATCCGTAGAATACAATACCGTTACCATACATCCCCCACCACCTCTACAATATACCATCCTCAACCTACACTTGCACCCAGAAAAACAAATCAAAGCCCTCTACTCAACCAACCTCTCCACAAACCTCGACTTCTTCCTCAGTCTCTCCCCGAACCAATAAATTCCCAAGAGTCCCCAAACCCCCAACACACTGACACCTCCCAGGACACTCGACCCCCTCGCCATCCCCAGATTCTGATACAGGGGGATCCCAAAATGCACCGCGCCAGCAGCTAACGTACTCCGACAGAAGTCATTCGCGGCGAACAGACTTGCCGCGTACTCAGGATATATACTAGGTATATACATGGAGAGACACTGTAGAATGATAAACACCGCGCTGGCGTACAATGTCACGCCGATGATGCTGACGATCCAGTGGATGGAGGGGCGGAGGGTCCAGCCGTAGAGGAAGAGGGAGATGGGGACGAGGAAGGTAGCTGGGATGGCGGGGATGAGGTGTCGTTCGTGGGTTGGGTGAGGGATTGAGGTGGATTTGGGGGTGTTGTGATGGAAATGGTGTTTGCGGAGGTAGTTAGGGAGGGAGAGATAAGTGAAGTAGGCGAATACTGCGAGGAAGCACCCTACTAGGACTGACAGGTAGAATACGCTGAGGGTGGTAGAGGATACATTATAGACGGGTGGGTAACCGATGGGAAAGGCGTCGAAGAAGGTATAATACGTGCCGTAGATAAAGGAGGTGTAGATGTTGGCGAAGAGGATGGCAGGGTCTTGGAGGGTGATTTGGACGGGTTTGACGAGGTAGAACTTTAGTTTGGCGAGGGGGTTGTCACTTGTACTATCGTTGTTATTGTCGTTGCTGCTGTTGGTATTGAATGCACTGCTGCGGTATCGTATGGTCGGGGCGTAAGTTTCAGGGAGGAGAAACAGCAGGATGCATACCGGGCCGGACATACAGGCGAGGAGCCACATGGTCCATTTCCAGGAGATGTTGTTGACCAGGCTGTTGGTGAGCAGGGGCCCGAGAGCCGGGCCGCAGTACGCTGCAGCTACCCATAGAGCGAGGGCGTAGGGGAACTGGGATTCGGGGTAGAGGTCGTGCATGGAGGCGCCGCCGTTGGCGAGGCACGGGCTGCCGAAGAGGCCCTGCAAGAAGCGGAGGAAGACGAATGCGCTGTAGTTCGATACTTCGGCGGCTCCGATTGTGACGAGGATGAATGCTATGAATGTTCCGACGTAGACGACTGATCGTCCGATGCGAGGGATCTCGCTGAGCGGGCCCCAGAGGAGGGGTCCGACGCCGTCTGTTGAAGTGAGTATAAGGTTATGGGATAGCATTGAATGGGGTCAGTCGTACACCCAAGCACGTAGATGGACAGCCCTAACATGGCGCGTTGCTCGGGGATGTGCAGCTCCTGCATGACCAACGGAACTGCCGTAATGAACATGGATGACCCAGCATACACCACAAAACTGTACTTTTAGATTGGTACTTTTGTTTGCAAGGTGTGGTTGGGTGGACTTACGTATAGACGTATACTATGAGGGATGTGATTATTGTCTTTGCTAGCGGCCAGTTGTGTGGGTTCTCGCGACTTGTTACCCAGTCCTCGACCGTAAGTGTCTTTTCTGAGTCTGACGAGTGCTTTCGCCGGTGGGCATGCTCGTCGATCTGCTTAGGTGTCTCTTGTCTAGCATGGCACTCTGCGTTATCATCTCTATCGTGTCTATGAAAAAAGGACCTCGCAAAGACAACGCAAGGTAGATCCGGCGACATGTTGACAACGATGAACACACAAAACAATAGGTGGGGCAGACAGACCGTCGGGTAAGTAATACGGCGATACGGGAAATATAAAGTACCCGAAGTGCGAATTATCGCCACGTCCGAGGTACAAGCACGCTTTACCAAAGTCAAACCAACAAGGTTGTGTAGCTTACCATCGAGACACAGCATGAACCACGTGTAGGGATCCTGTATGACATGTGTCTTTCCCGATGTGGTAATCGACCACCTGGCTGGGGAAGGTGCAGCTGACCCTGGCACAATGAAGTCTATACAAGGTTTGCTGCATCATGTTGAGGAATGTGGGTCCCTTTCAGTGTGACCGGTTCACCTCGTCGTTAGTCTCGCAACACCTTCCACAGCAGTGGAACAGTGGCCTCGGATGCTTGCATGCGTATTGACAAGGCTAGAAAGCTTAACAGAACAACATCTCCTGCCGGATCTTACCTAGAGGCTGCTCGGTCCTCTGCTATATACTTTGGGTGAAGACTTGCTGCCCCAGACTCAGATCAGATTAGCTTCATAAAATAGTCATCTCAGAATGCAGATCACCTTCTCACTTGTTTTGGCTGCAACCACCCTGTTGAATTGCCGAAGCCTGGAGTGCTCGAATACCTCATCGCCAGTGGCGACCGACTCTCTGAAGAAGCATGGTGTAGTTACTGCGTCTTCGTTATACCGAGCATACTACCTCGCAGTGGGCCTTTTTCACGCTCTGCTCATCATTCTTCCACAAGCACAGCAGCAAGCACTTTGCCCGCATTTAGAGCATGTCCGACATGATCATCTCACTCTCACATACAGAACCGTAACTGCTCTCGCGCTCATTTGCCTCGGTAGTTTCATTCGTATCTATGCCTTCTGGCAGCTAGGCTCATGCTTCACGTTCTCTCTCTCGAAGCCTGATCGCCTTATTACTACAGGTCTTTATTGTTATATTCGCCACCCAGCATACGTGGGGTTAGCCATCCAGGCCCCTGCAGTTCTGTATTTCTGGGCAAGAGAGGATGGTGTTCTTGCATGTTTTATGCCAGGTCTTACGAAATTGCACGTATTGGCAGTGGTACATTGGGTCCTCTGGGCCATAGCTCTACCAGTGATCGGATGGGTGCGTATTGAGGAAGAGGAGGCATTGTTAGAAAGGACATTCGGTCAGCAGTGGAAGGAGTATCGTCAAACGACGCGTATGTTGCTGCCGTTTCTCTTCTAAGTAGTGATAAGCGGTGCGGAGTGGGCCATGCCTTTTTAGAAATAGCTTGTTGCATATGGTACACGCAACCACCGTGTTTCTCAAGACTAGCGGTAGTCGGCTGGAAATTCTTCCATGACAGTTCCATTATCGGTTGAAACTGGCTTCCTAGCTCGAACTAGTCCTTTCATGGAGGAGGAAATACTAATGTTGTGTTTTCGATGGCACCACCGTTACAACTACCCACAGATTATTGTCCAGAGCCAAAGTCGGCTACATTCTTTGCTATCTACTACTACACGTTGGCTGCTAAATCTGTGAACATTCCCTTCCAATAGGTTTTACGGGGAGGTCAATGAATCTCATGGCTTAGTTCTGTTTGATCAATTTGGTTTAAAAGCTCAGCTGGCAGTGGTTCTTCGGTGCACCCCTTTGCCGGCTCAACTGTGAATATATATATATTTCTAGCAACGCGCCGTGAGAGTATTGAATAAGATAAACCACGAAATGCCTGCTATAGGATTTTGCAAAGTAATTATATCGGCAATCTATCAGTTCCAAAAGTATTTGCAGTTGACTATGTTCAGTATGATCCAACGCTAAGATCGCTGGCGTGCGCCTAGGAGTAGGTGCCATGTTCTGGCAATTATCCTTGCCTCTAGACCAAAAAATAAATGAGATGTCACAACTCAAGAGATCATCAGATGCTAGTAGCAACCTGAGACACCTTGACTAACAGTTACTCTACCCCCCTACCATGTACAGAATGTATTTGTCCCATTTTCGGTCAACGGCCGAGGACGCTTCCGAACCGTCGGAATTACAGTGCCACTCAAACTATGGAAATAGACTCCGGCACCCCGACCGAGGCAGCTTCCGTTGTGCACAACCGTGCATTTAAATCTGAGCACAGAGATAACGCACATACCATGTAGCACCATGAAGGATCATACAGCCTCCTCGGAGCCGAGCCAGCAGGGTCAATACGCCGAGTGACATCACGGACACGAGAATGGCGCCGCTACTCCGTACCCCAAGCTGACTTCGCTACCAAACTGTCAGGCTAACCTCGGGGTATTCCCGTCTCATATAGAGCAAGTGGTCGCAGGGGCACGATGATGGCACAGACAGTCATCTCCACAGTCGATGCAGTCGGTTGAAGGATCATCCCCACGGCCAGCCATCGGCCGTAGCTTATCTGGCAATTCGGCTTTCTCACTGGCCGATCAATTCGAGTCGACAGAAAGATTTTGCAAATAATTTCTAGAAGCCTTCTTTATCTCGGCTAAACGACCCACAATTCTGCGGCGCCCCCGAGTTTGCCGACCGACCATCACCATTTCTTCGTCCCGTTCCATCCCGATCGCGCCTCCAAGCCCTAGACCGGGGCCTCCCGATCACAAAAACGTCCCCTTGACCACGCGATCAATTGCATGCAATCTTTTCTTATCTTTTCTGACATGCTGCAGCCACAAACCACTTATCTTGATAGCAGCAGCAGCAGTCATCGCACCCAATCACCCAAACGAACCATGGTGGTCACTTATCTCCCCGAATATGAAAGCGATGAAACACACCCCCAGCACCATGGACTCGAGCCCGCCATCCCGCCCTTCGCGGGCCGCATGGGCGGAAACCAGGATTTCGTGGTTGACAGGACGGACCCTAAGAACTCAAAGGTGTTAGAGAGGATGCCCGACGCAGCACCGTGCATGACACTAAAAGAGATATTCGATTTACGGGGGTTCCTGAGCGTGGATCTATGGAAGTTCGCAGTGTTAGAATGCATAGGTAATTTCCCCGCCTGCTCCGAAACCCTAAACAATGCCATGAATGTTTCCCGAGCTAATAAGTGTATAACCAACAGCAAGCATGATGAATGTCTTCATCACCTGCTGGGTAACAACCCACCCACTATCCGCAACAACATCCCCCAAAGGCCAAGCCGGCGTCTACGGAACAGTCACCTTCTTCTCCCCAACCTTCGGCGGCCTCACCAACCTCCTACTCACACCGCTGCTCATCTACACCTTCTCCCCTTCCAGTGGCGGCCATATCAGCCCCACCATCACCCTCGCCACCTTCTTCGCGCGCATCATTACTTTCCCGCGCATGATCCTCTACCTCGCGGGCCAAACGCTGGGAGGCGCACTCGCCGGCTTTGCCATGCACTCCGCGTACGGCACGCGTGAATTCACCGTGGGAGGATGCCACATCGACACGACCATGGTGTCCGCAGAAGATGGACTGGTCATTGAGTTCTTTGCGTGCCTGATTTTGATTTTCTTGGCGTTCGGTGTCGCGTTAGACCCTAGACAGGCGAAGGTGTTTGGACATGCTGTTTCGCCGTGGTTGGTGGGTGTTGTATTGGGAATTGTTACGTGGGGAACGGCGTTTACGAGGGAGGGGTATATTGGTGCTAGTGAGTATTCTAGTTTCTCTATTGAAGTGTATGAGAAGATGACTAACGAAGTGTTAGGCGTTAATCCTGCGAGGTGTTTCGGTGCTTATGTGGCGAGTGATTTTCCCACATATCATTGGATTCATTGGGTGAGTTTCGTGTCTGGTTCTTCTGCTTGATGTCGAATATGATACTAATAATCATAGGTTGGTCCCCTGGCTGCGGCGGTAGCGCATGGGTTAGTTTATTTTGTTGATCCGCTTTGGAAGGATCCTCGCGCGGAGTAAATATTTTCTTAAAAGTCATGGAAACGGAGTGTCGGATTGTATATAGAAGTGATGGATTTGTACAAAACATATTATAGACCTGTGAATACTGCTAAGAAGTTCTTCGGAACGTCTGTCATGTTGAAGTGACAGTTGCGATGGCCGATTTCGATCACATACTTGCTGTAAAGGAGGATACTGCTAAAGTCGAGCACAGCATCCCTTTCCATTAACCGCAGACAACCTACAATAACACGAGGTTGTGATAGGCACATCAGCCGATCCCATCGCAATATCCAGCTGCACCTGGATAACACGAGCCTCATCCATCTTCCCAGAAGCCACCAGACACTCATGCAGCCCATGCAACCCCCACACATTGTTCAGCCGACCCTTACGCCGCGGAAACCCCCGTGCCATGCCCAGGTCCTCCCGAAAGACCTGCTCCGCCTCGGGGACCCGCTTCTGCTCCAGCAGCAACCCACCTAGGGCATGCCGCACGGGCTGCATCCACGCCGGCGAGTCACAGTACGCCAGGCCATCTTCTAGCACAATCGCCCGACGCAGTGTCGCAAAAGCTACTCGAATATTCCCCTTGCGGTACTCCAACTCACCTGCGAGCATCTTCGATGCGATGGAAAGGAAATCGACCTGCCGAACAGGCAAATTATTTATCCGGGATCTCGGGACCCGCTTGCGCGCCTCCTCAAACTCCTCTCGGGCGACTTCTGCTTCCCGAATACGTCCAAGAGCGCTGAAGGCGAGACCCCTGGCGTAAAGAATGTTGGCTGTCTTGCAGCAATATAAGGCCCGGTCCTGTGGTGCTGGCAGTTCTAATTGCAGGATTTCTTCCCAGCGACCAAATCGCACCAGGACATGTGCGTGACTGCCCAGGAAACTTTCTGTCCAATCTGCCATTGGGGGAGATTTAGTAGCTAGCATTTTAGTATTAACTACCTCGTCCAGCTTATCTGCAGCCAACATGGCTTCTCGCGACCGACCAGACATCAGAGCGCAGTACAGCTTCGTGACAATGTTATGTACCCGGTACGCGACATACAACGGCGATGCCTCCAGTGTCTTGAAGAACATGTCATCAGCTACGATAGCATCATCGCTGGAGACAATTGCACGGCGGTAATCCCCAACAGCCATGTCAATGTGCGCGGGCATATGCACCATATGCGACGCATCCGGAGTCATTCGACGCAGTCTATCCGCAGCAGGCAGGGCCACCTCCGGGGTAGCTGACATCTCCATGAGATGGATGTAAAGATGGCACAGGGCAGGATGGTCCCGACCCTCCGGAAATGCCATGGCAGTATCAATTGCCGCCTTTGCCTCAAGAGTATGTGCGCTGCTCGCTTCACCGTTGTTCATATCCCACAGCTCGCGCGGATTGACGCAGATAAGCGCCCCTATGAACAATGATGCCACGTCGAGATCGTCTGGGTACGCCTCATACACGACGCGCATAGCATCTGCATAGGCCTGGTTATACTGTCTCATCTCGGTAGGAGTGGGGATGTTGTCCAGGGTTGGAAACCGGGTAGCGATAGCTTTCAGCAGCATGTGGAAGAGTGGAGAGGCCTGAGTGGCATGTTTCTGGGCAGCTTCAAGCGCGTCCCATGCCTTTTGTACGGTGGCTAGCAGACTAGGGATATCGAAGAAGCCCCAGGCTATATTGTAACTTGGTCCGATGGCATATGCGATGCCCCAGTAGGCTAGCGCGCAGGTGGGGTCGCATTCAACTGCTCGTTCGAAGCATCGTGCTGCTTCGCCATGACTAAAGGAGTAGGACCAGAGGAGACCGCGGTCTAACCATCGCTGGGCGTCGGGGGAGGATGTGGCGATGGGTCGGTGGTAGGAGCCGAGATTGAAGTTCGGATAGTCGTCTGCCTGGGACGAAGTAGTTTCGTTTCTAGGATGTATTAGCATGAAACTGTTTGGATGGTCTATGCTCACTTGTTCATCGTGATTGTCATTTGGGGAATGTAGAGTGGACGCAGACTGACACAGTAGAATGGAAGGAGTCGGAGGATTCTTAAACTACTTTGGTATGTGAAGTTACATTATGGCTCCTGAGGGGTTGTCTAGGTATCAAGTAGTAGGCAGGGAGTAGCGGGGATGAGACACGAAGAATCTCTCAGACATCCAACTTGGATGATTCACATAGTCTACAGACCTTCCTATAGGCTGCAAAAATGTTGTGATACCTCCTAGTACCACATGACTGTTCGTCGACCAACTCCTTGCGCCAAATACTATAACCATCAATATCTATTGTGACTATCTTATGAGCACCCCCAAAAAAATGCAAGGAAACGTAGTATGTTCTGTGATAAGTCCATGCAGATCTGATGTTGCGCCTGTGCTTATTAGGCCTTTGAATGATGGCTGCAACCACTAAGATGTAAGGCCAACGAAGGCATATGACTAACTGAATAGAACTATGGTGCAAACCCCTAAATATTCTTTTGAAAGATTCATAGCACCATCAAGCCAGCTCGCACTCTATCAGACTCTCCACACCCCTCCGTACGGTCCATATACTGGTGATCTTGAGGCCAGCCGATTCCACCAGCGCTCGCCACTGCTTCTCCGTGCGTTCAGTCGACGCAAAGTCCGCCATCATGATGATGTCAAGACTGGTAGTTTCCCAGTATGCATTTGTGCTTGGGATGACATTCTCATTCAGCAACAGCTTGCTGTGCCCCCGCTTCATGGCAGGGATAATATTAGCCAATATGCGACGGCAGTCATCGTCTGTCCAGTCATGCAGAACAGAATGCATGTAGTATGCACGGGCGCCTGAAATAATGTTAGTCATTGCCTTATAGGGCTTTGTGTCGCGCTCACCCTTTATCGGTTGTTCGGTAAAGAAGTCATATGTCATAAGCTCAATGGCCGGATCCATATCCATGCTTTTGGCTTGTTCCACAACCTTGGGTAGATCTTGGAGGATAAGCCGACCTGGAACCTGTGGCCACTTGCTATGGAACTCTGACAGATCATGTCCCAGGCTTCCACCAATGTCGACAAGTAAGACATCCTGATCACTGATATTTGCTTCGGCGACTAGTGACAATACCGGATAGAAGCCAACGTCCATCCAGCTTGGTCGTCCTTGGTGGTATGCCGACATGTGGTTGTTAAATTGAATTGCATGGATGGGGTTCTTTTCGAGAAAACCGAAAAAATGGAGAGGTGTTCTGAAACCACGCTGGAAGGCACAATTCTTTCCATCGCTGGGGTTGTGGTAGTTCGTTTTCTTGAGCTGAGCGGGGAGAGCAAGGACGCCATCGGTGATGCAGCCAGTCCTAATCACAGTTAATAGTCATTATAGCCAGGATATTAGGGTAGCCTACATGCAAGGATAAGAATCACTGTATCTGTTGGACATCATTGCGATGGAAAATCCCGTCCGACGGTATTCATCAGGCCCAGTTTCCGTAATTACGCCCATAGCCGCGAGGTGTTTCAGGATGCGAGCTGGGCTGTTAGCTTTTATGGCTATTAAATTTATGAGTCTATTTACCAATCATTGTTGGGTCAGCGTCGGTCGCTACGGCAAGGTGGCCGGCTGTCTTCGGTTTGTCGTCCTGAGATAAGACAGTGAAAATCCCCAGGTCGACACCGGTTTCCACAGCTGCATAAAGCGTGCTCTGCCATGTATCTTAGCATGTGTCCACTTTTGCTTATGTAGTAGGTATGGCTCACCTGGGACCAGCAGTGCCGGATGATAGCCTCTCGGGGAGTCTCTAGCGCGTAGACCAGTGATCGTGCTGCATCGAGAATTCTCGTTCGTTCATTTTCGTCACTCTCTGTCAGGTATGCTTCACCATGCATTGCTATTCGCTTTAGAAGAGTGGGGACCTCTTCAGGGGCATTGGGAGAAATGGCGACGTTGTCATCAACAAAGGCCTGCTGTAAATGGTCTGCCTTTCCGCCGCTTGACTGGCAGCGGCTGTTGCCATTGGAGCTAGTCTCTGCTGCAAATGTCATGGTGGTGTTTGGCGTATTTTGGAGAATGAATTGATCCAGCTGAGGGGGCTTTGTAAATGACAGTCCATACTGAGGACGAGGGCTCAATTATATTGACAGTGGTTGGCCCCATAAACCATGACCTGCTATTGACATAGCCTACCGGAAGTTACAGTAAAGTAAAAGGCCTAAGACCTAAATTGAGGGTCAGGGTGGAAATGACTATCCCGAAGGGGGTATTTCGTGGCTCTCCTTACTGAGCTCCAGTCCAAGCATTGCCTTTCTAATTTAGGGGCTTGACCGTTAGTGACACAACGTGGCGGAAAAGTGCCGACAGAAGGATCGCGATCATCATTGGACGCGTACTCGTGCCTCGTTGAACTCCAGGGGACATTTCAGATAGCTGAACACGCTGGGAATGGTTCTTGTTGGGGAGTCTACTGGTAGGCTGCGCCTTTCCGATTCAAGCATCAACACATGCTGCCTAGCATGGTAGCCATTCCCTTTCCTGTCTGAGATAACTAGCAGATACAGTGATTCGTGGAATACCAGCATAAAAATCGAATCGAGAATCAAGTATATGCACCGTTGCACCTAACCCGATAGATGGGTCTTGACTTGACAGGGGGGCAATAACAAACTATACCGGTAATTAAGACGCATCGTTGCTGTCGGTCTAATTGGGCGGTTATCCACTAGCCAGATGGCCCTAATGGCGTGACCCAGCCGGCGGGTGCGACTTGGGATTTGGACTCCCTAAAAGTGTCCTAAATTCCTTTCAGAACTAGCTAGCGATCCTTCGACGTTTGAGTGCTTCATCCGGAACCTTTCGTAACATGCATGGCCGATTTGATGGCTTTCAAACATCTACACTTCATCCTTGACAGTCGTATCCCGGAACAGAGCTTTAAAGCAAGGACCAGCAAGAAGTACCACCTCAACATTTGATTACCCTGGCCGTAGTCTTATGACTGGGTAGAATTAATCAGACCCATCACAGTGGCCCGGGGTATAATGGTCATGTTAAGCTTCCTCTCAACGGCGTGGCGGCCCCACTACCCGTCTTGGAAACTGGCCATATGGATCATGTCCTGCCAACCAGACATCCATATAGTCACTGTTTATCTTGTGTATCCACCGGTGGCACTGATCTACTGTAAAGGTACCGAAATGGACAGACCTGAGCTAGTATGGACCAGCTAATCCCTGCCAGCATCAGCATCGTATCATGCCCTAGTCGCCAAGCGGTATTTGCAGCCCTCCTGGCTCAGCTTTGACCCTGAAAATTATTGGCCACGGACACCTTTAAAATATATATAACAATGACTAAAAACAAAAGACCAGTCACCGGAAGTAAGGGATGCTTATCCGTCGTTGGAATTTCCCTACAAGGAGTATTTCTGTCACCCGGTCATTGAACTGATCGCCAAAGGAAGGTGTAGGCTGAAATCTTTCGCTTGTCGAAATAATACTATCAGTAGTTCCCTTGCACACCCTGCAAGTGACCGTAAATGTCGGCATTCTTATTCAGACTACGACTTCCTCAATCGATTGTGTGTCACGTCTCGGATATCTTGTGCTACACGCAACAATGACTGCGTTGAAAGACGGAAATGCCAGCGACGACAAGGGTCCGATGATCCTATCAGTGCTGTGGGCACTGACAGGCCTCACATCCGTTCTTGTCATAGCGCGCATGTACATCAGAACAAGTCTCTTGCACAACCTCGGATCGGACGACTGGTTGATCACAGCGTCGTTGGTATGTATGTGCCATGCGAGGGATACAACCGCTAACTCCAGCAGGTAATGGGAGTTGTCTACTGTGCTATCACGACAATAAATGTGGATATGGGATATGGGAAGCATGCATGGCTATTGAGCGAAAGAACTGTGGAACATGCTACATTCCTCAACTGCTTGAGCTTCCTTTTCGGGATCATCTCATTCACGGTTCCCAAGCTGGCGGTGACTGCGATGCTAAATCGGATTCTCAACCCAAGTATGGTGCAGCGGATATGTTTGTGGACGTTGACTGGATTCGCTGCGGTTGTGTCGGGAATATGCATTATTGTGCTCTTCACGATGTGCGACCCACCGGAGGCATTGTGGAAGACACATCTGGTGACAGAGGGAAAGGCAACCTGCAAAGACGTCTGGATTTTGATTGACTACGCTATATTTACTGGAGGTTGGTTCATGCAACCATTCTTTGTTGTAACAGCTAACAGCCCAGCCTTATCCGCCTTTGTCGATCTAACGCTGGCCGTATATCCGAGCACGGTGCTGATGAAACTTCATATGTCGTTGCGCAAACGGCTCGCTTTGTGCGCAGCCTTAGGTTTGGGCTCTGTGTATGTATATCATTGTCCCTCAGTGGGCCACAACTGACTATAAAGTGCTTCTGCAATGGCCATCGTCAAGTGCACACAGTTGAAGGGATTAGCTGACAAAACCGACTACACCTGTAAGCATATCCACCACTAGCCAAAGGGAAATTCTAACATCAACAGACGGCACTGCCGAGCTAGTTATGTGGACCAAGTAAGACCAGTCCTACCAAAGAAAGAAGATACGCATCTAACAGATGCAGCATCGAATCCAACGTTGTCATAATCGCCTCCTGCATTCCGACCCTCCAACCCGTCCTCGAACTGATTCTCGGCAAACGCACCACAAGCTCCTACAACAGTCGCAACCGCTACAAAGGGAGTTCGCAATTGCCAGATTCCTCCAACGACCATAGCAAGCTGTCCAAGCCACGAAAGACCGACTACGAGATCACAACGGTGGGAAGTCAAGAGAGCATTCTCCGGGAGGATGCCAACGGGCGCATCGAAAGTCATCCGATGGGAGCAATCAGACGGACGGATAATGTGACGGTGGAATATGAGAGTCGGTCGAGAGAGGATCCGGCGGAGCTGCGGGTGTCATGGTAGTTATCTTCTCTAGTTTTCCTGTATACTAGTATCTGAAAAACACTTCTTTTCACTTCGATCTTTATCCGATGACGTAGTTATCAGGCCAGGACGCGAAATTTTGCGACCTAACTACGCGACATATAGAAACAGACTTCGCTGCACCATCAACTAACGCTAATTAAGGATTAACGACTGGAGTACGACAAAATAAAACGCATTTTAACAGATCAAAATGAACAAAGAACTTCACGATCCCTGCAATTCGGTCTATCAATTATTACAGCCAAACCTTGAGCAGCAATCAATCGCCCATGCATAACCCACGGACCCGAAACCACGACACAATCAAAACCGAAGTTCCACACACCCCAATCTACAACACGACAAAGCAAGTGATAAAGCACAGTATTATATTATCAATCGGTGCTAATACTCTTCTCTGTTCGTATCCACAATGTTCAATTTCCTGGAATAAAAACCTGGCCGTCTGATGGATGCATGCATGCTACTGCTACTTAGTCAATAGTGGGCCCGGCACGCTCATCCGTCCAATAGTGCGATGTGAAATAGATCGAGTCCGTTTCACTGTGCTACATAGAGTTTACTGTACGTTGTTTATGGCGGGTTAGGACAACATGAGACTGCAGCAAAAGTCGGAGAGGATGAAATAGTTCGCTAGTGGAGAAATACTAGCATATGTTTTGCACTTTATTGATTGATTGTTCAAACCATGGCAAGTGATTTAAATCAATTGTCCGGATATGGACGTGGAACTTGTTCAGGGGAGCACCCTTGTTTGCCGAGTCGGTCATCTGGGGCAGAGCTTGACCATGTGTAGATGCAAGCTTCAAGCTTCCCCTGTCTGTTACTCTTTCTCTGTGATATACCATGTACCGTAGAAACTTCCTAACTGGATACAGTGTGGGCAGGTGGTCACGAAGAATTTGGATGAGCCCGAGAAGGATTTTGCAGACCGTCTTGAGTTAGATCCTTCGGCGTTTGCTCGGGATTGGGCATTATTAAAGCGCAGGTTGACTTATCATGAATTTTTGGGTCCCCGACTAAAAGTTCAAGCATTGACCATCTGTGGGGAACATTAGATTCTCATTCTACATTGATCACACCATGTATGTCTTTCTAGCCTACAAAATAATTTACTTCCCAGCCATAACCCGATACCTCTCTGCAGTTGCCCTCCTCATCCGCTTGCCCCAAATTACCATAGGGACAATAGTCAAAGTGATTGCCAAGCTGATGAATCCACATGCAATGAACATGTTTTGCGCGCCTGATTGGGCTAGCCACGGACTTATTGCAAAGGGAATGCCGATACTGATGGCATTTCGCATGAAGGCTACTCCTGTGAAGGCGTCCCCGGTGATCTGCTCGTGATAGGGCAATGAGTAAAAGTGTTCGAGTATCATGGAAAGGTAGTAAAGAGCGGCAGGTTCTTACATCACGATAGGAGTCGATAACCAACGTCAGTGCTGCATCGCTGATACTGCCCAGTCCGAAGCCAAACAAAGCACCACCGATACTGGGATAGATCCAGTGCATGCCCTGATTGAATTCCATTAGCTTGTTCCGGAACGACATTAAACAAGCTTAAAGGCTTACCCGTGCAATTGTGGCCCCAAACATTATCAGTCCCCCAGCCATTGCCAGAGCCGGCAAGTGAAGAATATACAATCGCATCTCAGGTTCATAGTATCCCTTGTTGCGCTTGGAAAAGAACAAGATCGACCAATCACCGAGGAACCCACCATAGACCGATCCGATCAAATTCCCAATGAACGGGCCAACACTCATGAACCCAATCTGCTCCGAAGTGAATAGATAGGGCGGCAATGGGAATACTAAGCTCAGGGTGGAGGATAGGATAGTCAGCCAGACCACGCCAAAGGCATACTGCAAGGCACAGAAGAGGACGGCAGGAAAGGAGGCCACAACGTAGAAGGGACGATAGAAGTAGGGCCAAATGGACTCGGGGGTGTATGTTATCAAGGCAAATCGCTGTCTCCATGTTCTCATCGGAATCCTAAAATCTAGCTCGTGGTGGTCTGCTGGTATCGGGCTTGTTTCGGCTCTACTGGTAGAACACTCAATATCGCGTTTGTGATCGGCCTTGATGCTGTCTATTGTAGCCTCTGGGGATTCGTCGACCCCGGGAATGATTGGAGTATATTTGGTTTCCTCGTAGAAAAACAAGAATAGGACGAATAGAACCGCGTTAGTGATACCAAGTGCTTGGTATGATGCCCGCCAGCCTTGGTTTGTTGCTTGAGTCCCGGCTGCCATGGGGGTGAGAAAGCTCTGTCAAGGGATCAGTAAGTATTACAGGGTCAGGCAGATAATAGTCATTGCCCAAGAGATTTGACCTACACCGATCATAACCATAGTCATATACAAACCATTCATCCCCCCGCGATGGTGCACGAAGAAGAGGTCAGAAATCTGTAGCAGTCAGTAAAGGTTACTTTAACCGGAAAGGCTGCACTACCGTAATCTGGACGATCGACTCATTTGTCGCTCCAGCTAACCCCTGAAGCAGATTTGTGGCATACAATTCCGCAAGAGACTGCAGCCTCGACGTCCAAAAGGAAGTCGCCAACATGAGGGCAGTCGAAACGAGATACACGGGCCTTCGTCCGAACTTCTTCGCTAGGGGAATGAAGAATACGCAACCCACGGCAAGACCAACGAAGTTCACTGACATGGCACGATTCAGTTGTGTATATGTCACATTGAGATCCACCACCATCAATTGCCAAAAGATTGTCTGGATCGAAAGCCTATCGACCACTATTAGATCAGTGCCATTCATGACCCATAGAAGTAACCCACGCTGTGAATATGAGTGCTGTCACTGCGAGAACGAGGGTAAAGTTGCATATTTTTCGTGCTGTGCTCCAATTCTATGACTGTCAGGGAATTTGATTGCTGCTGAAACTTGGGATACCCACCAACGGTTCATTGGGATCGCTGGATGGTACTGGATTGAGCATAACCTGGCGGTTGCCATTTCCTCCATGTTCGTCTGAATATTGGTTAGACTTGTTCGACATGATCTTAGGCTAGTCTCTTCATACCCTGGATCAGAAGGAACGTCCCTGGTGGCAGATTGTCGTGTGGGTCAAGAAATGGTGGGTCGCAGGGCTGATGTTGTGCCATTGAGACTTGCTACCGAATGAACACAATGACCGAGGAAAGCGTTAGATAGTCAAAAGATGGGTTGGATCATTTGCTGATACTAGATAGCGGCCTATACGAGTGTTCGGGGGAGCCATAATCGATATATATCCTGTATATCGCCTTCTGAGCACTGATACGCACACCCTACAGATAGCTCATGGGTAACAATTAGAAGGAAGTCAAGTGCTTGGTATCAAGCCGAATGCGGGGGTATGCATCCAGGCGAGATAAGAATTGGCGCCAAATGGAGCCGATCTGCCGTATGCTGGAAGGACGAGACCAGTGCGGGATGGGGTCGACCTGCCTAGAAGGGAATGGTGAATTGCGCTTCCGCATATCACCTTCAGGGAACAGTGCAAGCTGATGAATGTGATCTCCACGACATCATTCGTCCAGTTGGCCGAGTGATTAGCGAACGGCCTTTTGTAATGTTATCAACATGCATCGGAATCAAACTCGGAATCCAAGACCGAAAAAGCAGGTTGACCCTGCTGTCTAGCCACAGGCCTCCTCCTCGGCACCAGCATATTTATCATCCTGTACATTGAACCCAGATTTACGCTTCGTTGGCAACTCTAAATGATGATAAGAATAATCTGACGCCTGCGACTGATATGAAAGATATCAAAATCAATTGCAATGGCCGCCAATCAGACGTTGCGACTCTTCCGTGTTCATGACGGTACGTCCAACCCAGTCACCTCATCGGTGCCTTAACTGAAAATATGATCGATATAGAGCGAAATTCGATATGCGCAGTCGCAAATACAATCACTACATCCTTTGCTCAGGACCCTCTGATCACATGGTTACGCCCTCGAGTCCCTCCCTGGACAAAAGATAACACCGAAACATTCAAATGGCAATATCGTCGGGTCCAGCGAGCCGTCGCAGAGGGTATAGTTCTGCAATCGGGACCAAGTTACCAGATAGGACGATTACTTCCTCCCAGGCCTTCTGAATCGTGTCGTGTTGAAGCAGACGTAAAGGGTTCGGTGGTCGAGGAGAGCAGGAGCGAGGATGGTGGTGAGGAAATGGATGCAGGAGTAGTGGCGCTCTTGTTTCCTCCTCGAGGTGCCCAGGAATGGTCTTTTTCCAGATTTATGCTTGAGTGCAAGTTGCTTTTCCTTGATACTTTTTGCGCCCGTCGTGAAAGCGGGACCAATATACAGGTATGCTCCGAGAATCAATGCGACAGTGAGGATAATTAATAACAACTGGTTCTATCAGAGACTGGAAATCATGATGAATAGCCATGACAAGACTATCTCTCGAGTTAAAAAGCTGCATCAACTGTGCGACGTGTGGTATTTGGAGGTTGTCGCTGTGCATCCCTCTCTTCAGGGTCGGAGCCTCGGAAAGAAGGCTATGACATGGGTGTTGGAGTATATCAACAACGCACCAGTTTTACTGGAGTGTACGAGTGAGAGTAATATCTCCTTCTACCAGAAGCTGGGGTTTGAGGTTGTTGAAGAAGTCGAGTTGATGGAGGGTGGTGAAGCAGTCAAATTGTGGTTCATGCTACGGCAAGCTCCGGGAAGCGGACATGGTAAATAGCAAACTGAAATAAAATGCTAATTCCATATTAGAATAGCCCGAGTTCTATTCCTCGTGACTGCGCAATCTGGTGGATATTAATTGTGTTTTCAGGGTAGGTCCAGTATTCTTCCAGCAGGTCTAAAAGTAGTCGATATTGCTTGTTCCAGAAAGGTCCCTCGGCGATCGCCACCAGAATCCTCCGGATAAATTCCCTTGAGTCCGGGTTTTTATTCAGAGCATCAGTCTGAAGACCAGCGACGAAGACAGGATAAGGAATCGCATTGATGGTTAATGTGTCCTTTCCCTCGCCTTCTGAGGACGCCCGATATATAGCGTCCACGCAGCTGAGAAGTCGCATGATAATCACCGCCGTCGTTGGAAGTGCTGATCGTCTTTTGTTTTGCCCTTGCTGTGCCGGGATATCGTTTAGTTCAGATGGCAGGCGCAGTGCACCATGTCGGATCACCAGCATCCCGGCCAACCGATATGCTTCCCAGAGCTGACACTGCAGAAAGCACCCTTTGGAGCCGGGCCAATCCCAGAAATCTTGTTCTGTTGCGCCCTCACCAATACAAGAGAAGATGTCAACCAAGGATCGTGGTAATCCACTCATGACCTCCACATCATACTGTTCAGATGAGTCCGGCGTCAATCGATTGCGACAGTGCTGCCGCCAGAACCCCAGATACGGGTGTATTCTACCGATTGCAAATGTGGGAAGATCCATGATTCCCATGACTTCTAACAAATGAGTTCGGAATGCAGAAATCTGATCACGCGACCTTCCCATACTGTGAAACTGTAGGATGTTATACATCCCTCGCAGATGCATAGTCCACGGTATCCCTTGCATGATCTATATTCACCTATCAGCTAACGATGTGTGATAACTCAGAAGATGAGGATAGAGAAGGATGAGACGTACTCCAATGGTACATAACAGCAATCCAGCAGTTAGTGTACCATCCTCTAAATAGGCTTCGCTCTGAGCCAGCTCGCTACGGAACTTGTTCAAGGCCGCGTCGAAATACTCGAAGAATTGAGACTTCAAGTCCAACCGTATAGAAACCTGTAGTGTGATGCATATTTGATAAAGAGCCTCCGATTGTTGACAAAGTCCCGGTAGCCGTACTTTGAGTGGCATTTCACCATCTTGAACGGTCGTGGAGTGAAGGACGTTGATGCCCGAAGAAAGGACTGCCCTCATTGATTAGTTTTCAGCAGCCAGTAGTGATCCTCTATCAGGCCTTACAGTCACTGAACACCTCCGCATCATGATTCGAATTCCAAGGTTCGGAAAGCAACGCGCCAAGTTGTAATTCTAGCTCAGTGGAGTCAACAATCATCACGACGACATGCCAAGATGCTACATCCTACCTTCAGTTCCCTCTACTAGGATCCCAGAACCAGGAGAATGTTCGCACACTTGATCAGCTATCTGCAACTGCCGCCTCCTCTCCCGAAGCAGATCTCTCTGTCGTCCCTGCAGCCTCGGTGGAATCGACGACTCGGCTGGCGCATCGGCGCCGGTAAATCGCCCTCGCGAGGCAATCCCGGTCCCCCAGCGGAGACGCACATCATAACCCTCACATGCCACTCCGCGTTCAGCACAAACCTGACACGTCGGGCGAGTACGATCACACTTGCGCCGGCGGGCTTTGCAGGTCCAGCTGGGCGGTCGCGATCAGTTTCACGGCAAGTGGAGGAAAATCAAGATTGGGTGTAATCCTACCATCCATGGTGGGTTCGGCGACCGGGGGTCGACATTCCTAATTTGAGTGGTGATCGGATAGAGATGAATGACTTCGCATGGGACAGCGGATGGGAATTAGCTTAAAGCACAAATGCGGGGAAGATAACAGGGCAAAGTCTCCACTCGTGATTGATTAGGTTGGAGGGTCGACCTGCCAATTCAAGTGTAGCTTGGAGATAGCTAGCTAACCTTTTAAACCGCCGTCTAGGGTCGGATAAGGAAAGCCGAGGTTCTGATATGCCCTTAGATAGTGCAAGTCTGTATAACACGATGTATATAGCGAGTGCGACTAATTGACACTGCCATCCCCATCACCTCACCATAATTAAAATCAACCAAATTGTAACAATGTCATTCCAAAGCCCTGCCACCACATGCACGACAGAAGTTCCCACGCTCGGACAGCTGGAGGGATTTCAGTTCGCGAATGGAGTGCAACAATATTGTGGAATTCCATACGCCGACCTGCCCAAACGATGGACAAGATCAGTTCTCAAGACCACCTGGGAAAATTCTAGGCACGATGGAACAAAATTGGGGTAAACCACTTTACATCTCATGTTTGCCGCAGATCAACTAACACGCATGCAGCAACGACTGTCCTCGGCCCTACTCCGAAGGGGACGACAGCGACGACCTTGTTCCTGTGCCACCAGCTGCTCACTTTCCAGTTCTTCCTAAGACAGATGAGTTAACTGGGCTCGTGATGAACATTGTTATTCCTTTCGCGCCAACCTCCAAGAAGCGAAGTCTTCCCGTCATGGTATATGTCCACGGTGGCTCCTTACTCTACGGAGGCGCAAATCTTCCCATCTTTGACGCTGTAAAATCTCGTTTCAAAAAGTCTTGAAATGGGGAAGCCGATTATATGTGTAAACTTCAATTACCGCGTCGGACTAGGAGGCTTTCTCGCCAGCGACGCCATACGCCGTGATTTGCGAGACGACGGCTTTCAAGGCTGCGGCAACTTTGGCTTCACTGACCAGCAAGTCGCATTCGACTGGGTACAACGATATATCGCGGCTCTCGGTGGAGACCCCGATAATGTCACTGCTGTAGGGGAATCTGCTGGTGGGATCTCAATTAGTAACCAGCTTGCAGCTGCTCATCCACCGAGATTCCGGCGCGCCGTCTGTATGTCTGGACTTTCTGTCTCCATTCCTCCTTGGACTATGGAGCAACATGAAACTCTATTCCAGGCTGTTTGTCGGTATTTCAAGATAGACGCGTCACAACCTGATGTATTGGATCGGCTCCGGCAGATTCCACAGCAAGACATGGCGAATGCGACCCCGGTCATCCAGGGCGTCCTTTCGGGAACGGGCAACCCTTGTCTCGATGGGTGGTTTTATCAGACTGACCCCTGTGAGATACAGACAGCACCAAAATGGCTTGAAGCATTGATGGTGGGAGATACGTACCACGAAGGGGTCATTTTCCACTTGAACCTTCTCGACGACGATTTTGCTTCCATTCGCCGAATATTGTTAGAGCATATCAATGATGACGACGAGACGGACCAGATCCTAAGGGAATACGACATACACCCGACACTTCCACATGACATGCTCCTCGAGCGCGTCGAACACATGTGCGGAGACGCGGTTTTCAAGATTCCCAACTATGCCACTGCGCTGGCAAACTCGGCGCTTCACGACAGGGGTTCTCTATTCCTGTACCATTTCGACCAGCGCTCTCGCCTTAAAAGTCCACTAGAGGGAACGGCGTACCATGCGCATGAGCTTTTGTATCTTTTCAGAAATCTCGAGACAGAGATGGATGACGGGGAAAGAGAAATGGCGCGGGGTTTTGCTGCTGCTTGGATCAGATTCTGCAATGGGGAGGCACCATGGTCGGCATCCAAAGCGGAGTGGAAGGTTTGGGGACCAGATAGTGTTCAGTCTGTTAAAAGCGAGGAGGAGGATGAAAACGCCCGATCATATAAACGAATGAAGCGGATTCTGGGAATGGGTAACGGGCAGACTTGGAAACGATGGCTAACTGGAGTGGATGTGCTGGTGAACAAGAGGATGAACATGGGAAAGGCGGCATAGATCTTTAAATGGAATAGCTTTTGACTATTGCGATTTCAGATGCTTAGTGAGATATGTGTGATCTCGCCTTGTCAAAAATTTCAACTCGCTTATCAATGGCATTTCTAATTACATTTCACCTATTGTACTACAAGTGGGAGCGTTCTTGCATATGACGCATTAAAACAGCCTTCTTGACCCTATCTTCCGTCACCAGCATCTGCTCTGGAAACCACGAAAGATCCGTAGACTTAGACTCGAGCAAGTCGTTATCATGGATCAGCAACATTGTCGCCAATGCTTTGCCGCACAGCCAGGCCAGCACCATTCCCTCCCCTGAGAAAGCAGCGGATACCCATTCAGCACCCTGTCCTTCTCTATGAGGTTCCCGCTCTGTTGTCGAACCAGGAAGCCGTCCGACCCAGGGAAGTCCATCTGCACTAAATCCCATATTCCCTGTCCACATCTGCTCCACACTCTGTTGGGCAACACTGCCCCAATTGTTACGGCCAAACACCGCACTCAGCGCACCCGACAGATGAATATCAGCATACAGACTAATTTCCGAGTCCGTTGCGATGCCCATATCAGCAATTCCACCTCCCTCTCCCTGAGCAAAACCTCCACCGAACATCATCATCTGCCCAGCCTCTGATTGTGGCAACTGGGTGAGATAGTCGAAGCCACGATCATAGTTTAGGATCCATGAGTGCTCCTCTCCCTGACACCGGAATTTCTGACCTGGGTGTTGCGCCGACATCTGCCCGCGTATAGGATAAATGCGGCCTCTCAAACCGGGCACGAGGTGGCCAACATGAGCATTTGTACAGTGGATGACATGACGAGCGCGAATAACACCTCTAGATGTAGAAACCAGGTATCGCAGATGCGAATCGCCTCCTCCATCCACCTCCTCGATACCAGTCACAGGCGTATTCGTCTCAATCAGCAGATCCCGCGAAAACTCCTTCTTCAGCTGGTCCAAAACACCAGTGACAAACCTATAAGGCCAAATAGCCCCTCCCGGACCAGCAACAATCCCCAACGCACGAGAAAGACAAAACTCCTCTGGGATCTCCCCCCTTTCATACACCCTCCATTCCTTAGTCTCTTCTGGCAATCCCGCCTTCAACCGGCGTACCCGCTCTCGAGCATCTTCCCATCCATCCTCATCAAAATAGACACTTAGGAACTGCACCCTTCTCGCCTGACACTCTTTAGTAAGACCATACTCCTCCGCGGTATCAAGCATTTCGCGTAAATGTGCCAAGCGAAATCGCATGATTTTCTTCGCGGCGTCGGGGCCGTGCTTATCCTCCAGATCGGCAAATTCCTCCGCCGTCTCGAGAATGTGTCCGCCATTTCGGCCTGTAGCGCCGCTGCAGATATCGCGTGCTTCGAGGATGACCACAGCTGGCCTTTGACTATCACTCTGGCTCTTCTTCGCTTTTCGGGATTTGAGAAGGGTCCTTGCGATCGAAGTGCCTGTTACTCCAGATCCAATGATCACGACGTCCGCTTCCGATGGTAGAGTCGCGGACTGGGCTTTTGCCAGGTCAGGGTGCGGAGAGCGCAACCAAAAGGAGGATGTAGGATTTGTTGATGGAAGACCGGGGTCGGCAAATGCTCTGTCGAGGGCTTTTTGGCGGTCTTTGGCTGGGATTGCTGGGTTGGAGAGGAGGGCTTGCACGAAAGCCATGATGGACTGTAATGATGGGGTGCTGTACTTGATCTGGAGTTGGCGGCGACGGAATGATCTTGCTCCTCTTCAACGAACGCGGGGCATCTACGGTAAATCGTATCGATCTTAGTAAGGCAGGATAGGATTAATAGTACCCGAATATCGGAATCCGCGGAGAGCGAAGACTCCGTTGATAGCGCAAGGAGTTTGTGATAGTCGCATGGACCTGGTGGTTACGGTTAGGAAAAAAGGTTTGATCCGGCAGGTTCTACCGAAAGGCTATCTCTATCTCTGCCTTTGGATATCATTTTTGAATATCTTGTAGCCTGTTAACTCCCTTATCGGGGGTCGACCTACCAATTAGGGTGATAAGCTATCCAACCCCGCTATGGGGAGTCCAAGCGGGGTCAACTCGACAATTATATTATGTATTTACCATGCTAGTAAAACTGGGTTATGAGCATTCTGGGCGACATATTGGTATTCTGACATTGACGGAGATCGTATAGATATTCCTGTGGTACACGACAACCTTGACAGATTTAATTTACTCTCATCACACTATCACAATGACTGCGAAAACCGCCGAATCCCCGGGGAATACCTACTACCCGAAGAGTCCTCCGATGCGCCGCCCAGGCCTTACTTTTCTGTATCGACTTGAATGTACCATCGCCGCAGAAGAAATCAACGTTGGGGCACCCCACGGCGCAGGTATCATCCGAAGCATTGCAAATATTACCGGAGGTACATTCAAGGGACCAGAACTCGAGGGCACAATCCTCCCGTTGGGAGGAGCAGACTGGGCAACAGTCATTGAGGGGACACACGTGAATCTCCTCACCATTGCTATCTTTGCTGAAGAAACAACTAACAAAATCAGTCTATGACCCTGGACGCCCGATACACTATCAAAACCATAGACGATCACCACCTCTTTGTGCAGGCGCATGGGCTCTACCGTCCTGGACCGGGAACAGAATACGCGAAGCAGGTCGCAGCTGATCCGGAGATGAGGCCCCCACCAACCGTCACACAGGATGACGTTGAATTCTTCTCCCATTTGCGAATTGAAGCGGGCGGAGGTAAATATAACTGGTTGAATGGGCTGGTCTGTGTGGGAGTGATGAGTTGCGAGAACGATAGGATTATTATTGATGCGTATTATTTGACGAACTTTGCGGGCGCTAGGCCCGATGATGTTGTTGTTAAGAAGTCATCTCTTTAATGCGTTGGATTATTGCTTGGTGTGGTGTTATCTCGAGTAACTCGTGTTCTACAAGACGATAGTATGTTTCCACTTGCTTCTTCAGTTCTGGTCAGTATTATTAGCGGCACATGTCCCGAGGTTGATACTCCCGTCCTCATAATGTTAACCGATATGAAAAGCCGGGTACGTCTGTATACGTCAATGCGTCAACCTAGCCTCTTCAGGAAGGTCGACGCACTTATCCTGAGCTACCTGCACAACGGGGTATTTCATTAGTGATCATGCTAACGACTCGCAAAGCGGAGCAACGAGAATCTACAATGAGGGGTTACAGATAACCATCCCCGCACTATATAACCATAAACTGCATCAATTACATCAACCCACACACATCAATCACAAAATGACCCAAACAACTTCTATAACAGACGACTGGCGCACTCTCGTGGCCAAAAAGCGCAAACAACTAGACGCACAAATCCCTTCTGAATGGCGTTTGACCGATGAGTTTCTTGCGGCGATTCCCACCAATGGCCACCTCATTGAAGCCGATGTCGTCCGTGGCAGTGGTATTCTTTCTGAGAAAGAGCTCAGCATGACAGAAAAGTACTCTGCGACTGCGCTCTTAGCGGAGTTGTCAAAGGGAAATTTAACCTCCGTTGAGGTGACAACTGCGTTCTGTAAGAGAGCTGCAATAGCCCAGCAGCTTGTATGTGACTCTATCTCGAAAGTCTCCAATATGTGGCCATAGTCTCACTAATATGGCTTAGACATCATGCCTGACAGAGCATTTCTTCCAACGGGCTATTGAGCGTGCTCAGTTCCTGGACGAATACCTTGAGCGGGAAAAGAAACCATTCGGGCCCCTGCACGGCCTTCCGATCAGCATCAAAGATAGCTTCTGTATTGAGGGAGTTCAGAGCACCGTTGGATATGTCAAGTTTCTTGAAAACAGCCCGGCTTCACACAATTCAGCTATCGTTGAAATGCTACTGAATCTCGGTGCTGTACTCTACGTCAAGACAAATATCCCGCAGACGATGATGGTCAGTCTACCACTACTTCTATATCCTGCTCCTGGAATAATGCTAAACACGAAATAGACAGGAGACTCGGAAAACAACATTTTCGGTCGAACCCTGAACCCCCATAACACTAATCTAACTGCTGGCGGTTCGAGCGGAGGCGAGGGAGCTCTAGTAGCATTCCGCGGCTCAATCCTAGGAATCGGTACAGACATTGCAGGATCAATCCGCATCCCCTCCCTTTGCTGCGGTGTGTATGGCTTCAAGCCTAGCATCGACCGCATTCCTTGGGGCGGCCAAGTAGCCGATCTGGCCATGGAAGGGATTCCCGGTCTCAAACCCTCCGCTGGACCACTTGCTCATAATCTGAATGATATCGAGCTATTCATGTCAACCATTATAAACGCCGAGCCCTGGAGACACGACAGTACCGCAAGCGCAGCACCCTGGGCATACCACAAAACCTCAATTGAGGAGCCCCGTCAACTCACTATCGGCATCCTCCCCGAGAGCAAGGACTTCCCACTCCATCCACCCGTCAAAAGAGCACTGCAGACCACCATATCCGCTCTGGAAACCAAAGGCCATCGTATCATCTACCTTTCAGAAACCCCCGCCACTGATCTTGCGTATGCGAACCGCCTCGCCTTCCAATATTTCATTTACGGTCCACACGTCGACCACATCGCAGCTAGCGGTGAACCACCCGTGGCATCAGTAGCGAAGATGTCCTCACCCATGTTCACGGGTCCATTCCCAGTGGACATGGATTTGCCGCCATTCGAGAAAATAGACGCATTACACAAGGCGCGCAAGGCATATTCTGAGGCTTGGAGGAAGACGTGGGTTGAGAACGACCTGGATGTTCTTCTTGCGCCCGGGGCCCAGAATACGGCCGTTCCGCATGATAAATTTGGATGGCCGCCGTATACAGTGGTTTGGAATTTGCTTGATGTAAGTGTACCCGTATACTTTTGAGAAAAGTGGACTGTAAGGGGGGACGAAGGGTGGCTAATGATGCTGCAGTACCCTGCTTGCATTATTCCGTATGGTAAGGCTTCGAAGGAGCTTGATCCTGAGCCGATGGCTATTACTGATGGGGTTCAGCCTAGTTGTGAGTTACGCCCCTACAGGGAAGAAAGCTTCAATTCGAGGATAGATTGGGCTAATTGTGGATGTCTAGATGATCCGGATGCTGTTGATGGCGCTCCAGGCGCAATCCAGGTTATTGCACCTCGCTTCCAGGATGAGATGTGCCTCGCGGCTGCGAGAGTTATCGACCAGGATATTCGATGATGTAGCTAGCATTCTTTCGTATTATGTTCATTTTATCCTTTACCCCTATTATCACATTCGAGAACATCATTTAGGCTATCTTACTATCTATGAGCAAGTACAGCTACAGTGCACTGCCATTCAACCGCTTCGCTGTGAACCAATTCCGGGTGAAGACAAACTCATACACCCAAGCCGATGTGGTTAGTAGAGCCCAACCAATATATATATATCATTCTTCAACAGCATGTTTTATAAAGCCTTTTGCAATGTCATTGTTGAGGGTGCTTTCATAATATCTGCAGGAGATTTATGGCCATTCCGGCCTCAATTGTAATTCTATGTAAACAAATACAAAGTTATCATACTTGAAAGCACCAACTCTAGAGCATGTACCTAAATGTAGGTGACTTGTCTCCCATCTCACCAAGTTCCTGTGCCGAGTATTCCGGCCGAAGCTCCACCAATTTATCCACACGCTGTCGGTTGATCCGCACGTATGCAAACCTCGTGATAACGATAGCCACCACGCCCATAATTCCAAAGGCAAGTTCCAGCGCATGGCCCATGATGTATTGCGGGGAGTCGCGTGTGCGATAAAAGTGGGAGGCCATTGCTAATAACTATTAGCACGTTCTCTTCATCAATGGGAATACAGTAAATACCTCCTGCGAAGTTTCCAAGGCCAATGTGGATTGCCATTCCTGCTGCTCGTTTATGCTCCGCGGCGAGATTGCTGCTTAGCCATGTTATGAGGGCAGGAATAGCAGGATATATTCCTTTTTCGTGTTAAATACAGATGACAATAAGAGTAACATCGCAGAGGGCATACCTAGTATTGCAAGGAACACACCGAAATATACAAGTCCCGGAACCCATCTTTGCGACCCTGCCAGACAGACGAAAAATCCGGCGACAATGCAACCGATGTGGAAGAGAAGAAGTGGTGAGCGCTCACCATTGCGGTCAGCAAACCATGCTGCTAAAATCGCGGCCACGGAAGCTGTAATGTATGGGGGTACCTAATCAGTCAGCCGTGACACCAAGTGTGGTTGTTGATTTCCAGAGTCATTACTGTAAGTAGCTGCGCAGTAGAGGACGTATATCCCAGATCACGGATAATGGTAGGTAGAAAAAACGAGATCCCATATAGCGGACAGACGGCGGAGAAGTATACTAGAAACGGTCAACAGAGACCTCAAAAGGCCTGGCGGAGACGCATACCAAGAATCGCCATATAGACCTGCCAATCCTTGGCCGCATCCCACACATATTTCCACTTGAAGTCACCAGCCTCCGGGACCACATTGCCATTATTAGAGAATTGCAGACTCAGGCGGCGCAGAATCCAAGCTCGTTCGTCTCGGGTCAGGAAGGATGCCGTATCAGGATAGTCGTAGAGCAAGAAGTATGACATCACAGCCACAACAACTGTCGCGAGCCCTTCGATAATGAAAATCCAGCGCCAGCCGGAGTACCCGCCAACGCCGTTCATTTTCTGACTTGTTAGAATTGCACAGCATATAGGGATCCATAACTTACACCGATAGCAAATGCAAGTAATCCCGAAAAGGCACCGGCAATACTCGCTGCGCTGAAGCATAAGGCTTGGCGGAACTGAGCTTCATGACGAGAGTACCACATCGTGATATAATAGGCCACCCCTGGGTAAATACCCGCCTCTTCATGGTGTTAGGATCGAACATTTCTTGTGGTTTGTGGAGATCATACCTGTGGCACCGAGAAATATCCTCGCGATAAGGAGACCGTTGTAGTTGGTCACGATACCCATCAGAGTCTACGGACAATTAGAGTCGTACTAGCTCGGCGAACGGGAACGAACCATCACCGTCCCCCACGCCACCATCAGTGATGGTATCCATATTGAGGGCCTGACTTTCTGCAAGATAAGGTTCGATGGTAGTTCAAAAACGGTGTACGTGAAGAAAAAGACCGTCACTAAAAAATCAGAAATCCATCCATCAACAGTATGGCCGGCGCTACGTACGTGCCCAGTTGTACTGTGTCCCTCCTAGATGCAGATCTTCCTCCATGCCTTCAATTCTGGCGTTTCCGATATTACCCCGATCGAGGAATGAGAATAGGTATAGGAGGGTTAGCATCGGCATGAGACGGAGGTCCATCTTGCGTAGGAGCTTTCTCTCGTCGATGTGGTCGAGATTACTTTCGACATGATGTGAATCGCGGCATACCGGTTGAATTCCATTGCGTCGCTTGGACGGTTTCTCGGTCCTCATGTCGAGGTCGAACAACTGCCGTACTTTCCTTGTGAAGCCACGGAGGTTCCTTGGTGGCCTTGAGCCGTTGAAGGTCCCATGGGACAGTCCATGAGTTTTGATTGATGCAGGGCAATTAGTGTGGCTGAGAAATTATGTAAGGGGCTAGGGAATGTGGAAAATAAAATGATTGTCCCATTTGTTCCTCACAGAAAGCTTCCAGCAATAGGCTAATTATTCAACGAAGATCATTTTCGCGTTGGGTATTCCATGTGCATGGGTCCGTTCCCGCCATCCCGAATGTTTAATGCAGATCATATGCCCAAGGCAAAGGCAGAAATTTGCATGGGTGAGTATAGTCATCGTTTAGAAGTGAAACAAGTTACGTCTTCTTTGGTATCCCAGAAGGCAAATAGAGTGTTGTGATCTGCGAGTAATGTTTGCTGATCGGCCGATCTTCACAGAGCGGTACTTGTGTGCATATTTGCAATGAAAAGGCCCTTTCCTGTTCATCATCCAAAGTTCAGCATCTGACGTACTTCAGTTCCAGCGAGACTTTATCCGTTCAACATTAATGATTACCCATGATCCGATGGGCAGTGCTCAATTATTAGTGGACATCTAGCGATTGTAGAGACTGATCTGCATTGATTGGCCTTGCCTAGTATGTGCAGGGATGGATGACATATGAGATCTACCAGTCCCGATCAGTAGCGTGAGACAATGATCGTCCTTGCATCAAACCTTGCATATACTGGTCGGGAGTGTCAAGTAAGACCTTTAGGGGCTGGGTGGCTGGCTACGGTCATTTCACCCTTGACGTGTGTAGGTAAAATGAGCACATCGTAGTCTCAAGCGCTGTGATTGCTTTGCTCATTCAAAGATAGTTGTTGGAGTTGGGATTCCGGGGACTCCCATCCTGCAAGTCTTCAGTGAATCTTCAATTATAACAGACAGCTAAGGACAAGCATCGATGGCATCAAGACGGATCCATCGATGAATGTCAGAATATGCTTGGTCGTGGCTCGTCACTCACGATCAGACATTATTGCAGTAGATGCCATAATATAAATATACCCCAATTGAGGGCGTAAGATTCACTTAGTTACGCAAAGTACTTACTCTTACTGTCCCATCCGTTATCATGTTGGCGGGCAACATAAGAGTATACTCATGGTATCTGGATGAGCAAGGGAGAAGAACGGGCGACAGTGGACTACTACAGTTGACAATTGACCTGGAGACCGTTTGTGTCGTCCCGTCATCTTCCAATCAAGCGCATTAAGGGCCGTGCCCCATATCATTGACCGCCAGTTCGCGATGGATGGCGATAAGATAGCAAGCCCCACCGCGGACCGAATCCCTGGGATTTCGATTTTGTTCGAGCCAAACCCCTCCGCTTTGTCGGTTTGCCACATCCCACAACCAATTGAATTTCCTACCAGAAACCATGACGAGTTGCTAGAGCCCGCTTTATTCAAGCTTCTATCCACCAGAGGCCATGTCTGCGCGGAAGGTCCCTCCACCCAGCCGACCCGCCAGTCTTGGCCCGCCAGAGGCTGCAATTGCCGGGCGAGCCGACGGGAAGGTTCTGATTCCCCGGGATCGATCGAGGATCGTACCAGCTAGCACACAGATACGTACCTCTCGTGCTTGCGATCCTTGTCGGCAGCGCAAGGCCAAATGCAATGGGGGGAAACCGACATGTACCCAGTGCGAGAGGTTCGGGATCGAATGCAGGTACTCAGAACAGAAGCGAACCCAAGAGAAAAGAGAGCTTGACATGTTGCGGGCAGCTATCAAGCGACACGAGCGGATGCTGCAACTTATGTCGCACCGCCCGTCCGGCGCTGCACTTTCCACCCGTGGGGAGAGTCCATATGTGAGCTTCATTACCATACCACTGATCTCTGTAACTGACGGCCATCTACTAATCAAGTCATCTAGGCTGTGGCTTTACCACAGACAGAGGCGCTAGCTACCCAGCAAACGCTGCCTGGTCAACTGGACCGCACGATAGAGCTTCTCCAGACCCAGCTACGTGAGCTGCATTATGTGTATCAGAATGTTCACGATTGTGACCCCACACTTCTTCCTGCTGTGGTGGACACAATCCGTAGGAGTTCCTCAGTGCATGAGGCAGCCAGCCTGCTGAGTCGGCAGATGTCGTCACAATTTCCGGGTATAACTCTGGAGAGGATGCAGAGGTCGTGGCTGACACGGCTATCGGGAAAGCCGGAGCTGGTGAACCGAAACCCCCCCTATAGCGTGAATGCTGCAGAACGTTGGACGTCAATTGTTGATGATGCGGCCACTTCGCATCTCTTCTCTTTATTCTTCGTCTGGGATAACCCAATTTGGCATATCGTTGATCCAGTGTCATTCCTGGATGATTTTCAGCATGGAGGGACACACTTCTGCTCGTCACTCTTGGTCCATACCATTCTTTTCTATGCGTGTGTACGTATCCCACTCGCTTTCTGACCGCGCTGACGGACTAGCACCTTTCATACGACTTTGGAAAGCCGTGGGACCGGCGCATGGAAATGTCTACCGCCAAACGGCTTCTGCGGGAGGTGGAACGCCTGTGGCATTGTGATAAGATGAAAATTACAATACCCACCATGCAGTCAGCCCTTCTCTTAGGGTTGTTCTTCTGCGCTACAGGGAAAGACAAGATCGGAGTAGAGTATATTCGATATGGCGCACGAATGGGATTGCAGCTGGGCCTGCACAAGTCGTCGTTTGGGACAGTCCAAATCGATCCAGCAGAGGCACCTCGCATTAGACGAGCTCATAAGCTCATAGCTAGTGCAGTTTATGAGGTGCAGACGTAAGTTACTAATGAGTATCGTATGCAACCCAAGCACTAATTCGATAGTCTTTCTGTGCAATTGGCAAGGATACCGTCAGTATGGCCGGGACCATCGGAGCTTGCCTTTGCTGAAGAAGAAGTAGCGGCGGCGGATGTCAATCAGCAGTGGTCACCGTACCCATTTACCCACCCTATCCACAAGCCTTTCTTTTATACGGCGTTATGGTGCAGAAGAAACCTATTGATCATTGTTAATGATGTGGCGAATTTGCAGCGGCGTCTCGGTGGACAGGTTGACCTCTCCGGATGGCAGCATGGTGCTGTATTGTATCACAGACTTCTAAGCCTCGAAAGGAATATTCCTACCGTCCTAGGGGTACAGCGCAACAGGACCCCCCACAACCTATGTTTTCAGTGAGTGATCCAAAGGTAGTCGTGGCTCTGTGCTAACAAAAAACAAGCATGTATTACCACATGACAGTAGTCAACCTCTGCGGGCTCTTTATATCCCGTAATAGCACTGGACCGACGGAGGCGCTAATACAATCCACCAAATTCGATCCTCAAAGGATACTGGGCGAAGCGATGGACTCGATTGCCACTTTAATATTGCTCTATCGGGTATGCCATGGTTGGAAGTCCACCCCAGTGGTGATGGCTCACTACTTTATGGTGGCCGGTGTACACGCGGCCTCGCACCTGGAGTCGTCAAAGTGGCGCGAAGTGTTGATCAGCTGTGTCTCTGGTCTCTGGCATATGGGCCTGGTTTGGAGGGTCTGTCGACCATTTCTGCGGACGATTCAACTAGTACTCCAAAGCAAGAACGAGACCTTGATTCCCACCGAAACAATGGCAATATTGCGTGAATTCAACGAGAAGGTGTGGAATCGGAACGAGGTAGACGCACTGGCAGCCAACTATGTGGTGCAACACCATCCGAGTCAACCACTCGCGCTGGACCAAGACAGTAACTTTCAAGGCAAAGGTCTCGAAAGCTTGATACGAGATTTCGAGAAACTAAGCACGGATGGTTAGGAACAGGAAGAATGAAGAGAGGGAGAGGATGAAAAGAGGAGGAAAAGTACCGGTCTGTATACGGATGACTGTAAAATAATGTTTGTTTATGTTTGATGATACCATGCAGCACACGGAGCGGGTCACGAGCTATGAGAATATTCGACTCAGGCAGCAATCTACCATTTATTTTCCACTTTTACAACATTTTTTGTTATCGTGCAATTTCGGTCTACAAAGCTCTATTTGAGTCCAGCTCTTTCACGTACAACACAGCCGTCCCATATATACAAGTAGTTCTACCAGATACATCCTCCACCATAACCACCAAACAGCCGTCACTACGAGACTTCGATCAGTTCATCCCCTACCCTCCGCGTCCACTCCATCCAGCTCCCATCATACACCCTTCTAGATCCCTTCGCCCCAACCAACCTCAGAGCCAGATCTAGTGATGCAGCCGTGACCCCCGAATTGCACGTCAAAATGTACGGCATCCCCTCATCTTCTTCCGCCAACGCGCCCGCATCCATCAGAACACTCCTCAGTTTTTCGGGAGCCAGTATGACTGCATCCCCATCCTCCAATAGCCTCGCCAATGGCACATTGACCGCTCCAGGGATGTGTCCGGACCTCAAACTTGGATCCATTTCTGGCTGCACACCTTGAAATCGACCCGGTATTCTCGCATCGACAATCCTCACCTTTTTCTGATCCTTCCCGAGAACGGAATTCTTCACGTCCTCGAACGATATCACCCTTCCGGTATCAAAATCCCTCTCTTCCACAACATACTCATCACCTTGCTCTCTTCCAGTCCCGACCACTGGAACCTCTATCCCCTCAGACCCGGAACCTACGGGCAGCCCCATCCTCACATACCGCCTCAGGTTATCCAAGATATGCACATCCTTATGTCCAAAGAGCTCACACATGAACGCTAGCCGCGGGGCATGGTATGTGCCTATCTCGTCTGCATCGTAGATAACTAAAATATCATCCTTGCGAATACCGAGGGCAGTCATTCCAGCGGCGAAGAGGGAAGGTGAGGGAAGCATAGAGGGGTAGGGAGAGGCGGTGTCGCGAATTTGGTCGAGATTGAGAAACCTAATTGGTAATAATTCTATTAGTATGGGGTGATGGGGTGTATGGGGAGCGGGGACACGGAGTACTTTGAGCCTGGAAGGTGGAAGGATTCAAAGGACGAGTGGAGCGTGGGACGGTAGGCTGCTAAGGGGATGATTCGCCTAGATCCGGTGGCGTTGTATGTTGTGGCATTGTGATGGTATTCGGCTGGAGTTATGAGAGGAGAGGAGAAGGGGTTCATTGTATACGGTTGGGGAGTGTAGAAGGTGAGGAGGAATGAGGGGAGACATGAGGGGGATTGCCGTTATCGGGATATCAACTTAGGCATTGGTTATGCAGTTATGCACATTTGTCAGCTATACACTCCACATCCCCGGTCGGGATAGTCAAGGCAGAATGGAAAGAGCTCGAGCTATGACCTGATAAGGCAGTACTGCAGGATATGATAGATTAATTCACCCCATAAATAGTAAATAGCAAATGTCAGTTACGGTTAGAAAGAGTAGTAATATCATCGAAATAGGATACTCGGTAGGTGGTCATGCTAATAGCATCATAATACAAAGTTTCCCATGTTTTCCGACGGCAACTATCATGATATATATTTCCAAAGTGGAGGACGGACAATTTGACTGTACGGCTGCTATCACTTAGACTTCTACATATCTAAGTTATGATCAGCAGGCAAGTGTATGAAAGAATAAAAAGAAAGGAATGATATGTGTAAATAGACCTGTATCTGTTTTGAAGAGAGTACATACAGTGAGGAGTAAAAAAGGAAAGAAAAAAGAAAGGTCGTGCCCGGGATCGAACCGGGGTTGCCGGAAATCTGGTATGATTCAAAATCCGGAGTGATAACCCCTACACTACACAACCAGGTGCTTGTGAAAGTTGGAATTGCTGATGGTATATAAGATGCCTTTGGTTAGCGAGGAGAATGTAACTGCCCTGGAAGTTCATCAAAACAGTTATCCACACCAGCTGTGATGAACCAACAATATCTACCACGTCCAAAAGGTTATCTACACATCATGCTTATGATTAAGGGAATCTTTCGTTTTGTCAGGACAGAATTAAAATATTCCCAGCCAACACTTCGGAATAGCCCATTTCTAGAGGGCGCTCTAGACCGACAATCGGAAATTAATTCAATAGGACTAATTGAGTTCTGGTGGTTATGGCCGTGATCACATACAGGCTCGGAGTTGAGGGATAATGGATGCATTTGGTTGTGTTTGAAAAACACTCCGATGACGGCATTCCTTCGAGCGGAAATCCTTGACTGTTTGGGATAGGCAGTCAGCGCCGTCGATCCGCGCAATATTGGGGCCAGATGGTGTTGACCTCCTATATGATGGAATCCAGCTTTATCGAGTTGCTTGGCCATGCAGAGGATCTAATACCCATATGCATGTCCTGTTCAAACCCGTTTTTCTTGAAAGCAAGTGCATGTCAAGTGTTTGTTTACCTGGACAAGATATCCTGAAGGCTGCTATGCCTGGTCCCTGGAGTCTCCACATCCAGCCGCACTCCACTCACGCCAGCAAATGGCCCTGAAACCACCCAGTCAATTGCTTCAATGACGTACCAGGACTAAGCAGCTCCCATTCTACTACCAAGACCGTCAGCTCTGAACCACGGCAAACTGCATCATACGGCGTTTGGCCTGCATAGAAGCCAAGAACCGCGCCTCGAAGCTAGTGATGTAATACTGCACGTACAGGATTTGGATGATCATTGTTTAAACCCACTTCGCAGCCCCAGGCTCCGATCCGAGTCAACACGGCCGAATATATATTGCCCTGCATTCCCTCCTAGTCACGGTGGTCGCATCACTCCAACACCTGCCACTAACATCCAGGCCCAATTGATACTTGCAGCCCGGGGGCTTCGTCGCGTCCATTCATCATGAGGTTCCTTACAGGTCTCCTCGTTGCCACTTTATCCACCACAACGGCATCCTACCAGTTCAATCCTCTCCACCATCTTGCCGGTATCGCTCCCTACTTCAGCTCTTATGATCCCCCGATCAATCCAGCTCCCCCCGCTGGCTGCAATGTCACACGCGCGGCCTATCTCGTCCGCCATGCTGCCATCTACGCCAACGACTTCGACTACGAGACTTACATCGAGCCGTTCGTTGAGAAGCTGCGCAACACAACGCAAAGCTGGGCCAACACCGACTCGCTCTCCTTCCTCGTCAATTGGACCGCGCCGATCACCGAGGACCACCTCGAAAAGCTGACTCGCGTCGGACTCCAAGAGGCAACAACCCTAGGCGTTAAGTTCCGCCAGCGATACTCTGACTTGCACACCGACAAAGTCTGGGCCGCAACTGCTGAGCGGACGACCAAATCTGCCCAGGGCTTCATAACCGGCTACACCAACAACAAAACGCACGTCGACCTTGTCAGCGTTGCACAGAGCGACACGACCGGCGCGGACTCCCTGACACCTTATAAATCCTGTCCAGCATACAGTTCAAGCTATGGCAGCAGTTACGAAGATGTAAGTCTATACCTGCCCCACCCCCACTCCACCCAGTGACTTTAACTAACGGTGTCCTAGGAATTTATCGAAAATTACACAGGCCCAATTATCAAGCGGCTCAATGCCCTGGCCCCAAAATTCAACTTCACTTCTTCCGATGTTACCGCTATGTTTGAGCTCTGCGGCTACGAGACTGTAATCCGAGGCTCCTCGCCATTCTGCTCCTCCTCGCTCTTTACCAACATCGAATGGCTCTCCTTCGAGTATGCCAACGACATCATGTACTTCCACAACACGGGCTACGGCCGTCCAGTGTCGCCAGTGATTGGCTTCCCCTGGGTCAATGCCAGCTACAATCTCCTCTCCGCAGCTACCAGTCAGCAAGACATCTACGTATCCTTTACACATCGCGAGGTACCGCCAACCATTGTCACAGCGCTGGGCTTGTTCAACAACAGCGCCTATTCAGGTGCGGATGATGTGAATGCTACTATGCCGACGAACGAAGTGAATTATGATCGTGCCTGGAAGAGCAGTAACATCCTGCCGTTTCTGGGGAATATTGGAATTGAGCGGATGGAGTGCAGTGGTACTCAGAATGGATTTGATGAGGGTGTGTACTTCCGGGTGTTGGTTAATGAAGCTGTTAAGCCGCTGATCGGGTGTCGGGACGGGCCCGGGGAGAGCTGTAGTGCGGACAAGTTTGCCGAATTTATCAGTGAGAAAGGGAAGAGGTTTGGGGACTTTGGCGGTATATGTGGAAACTCTTCTGCTTTGGAGACTTTGGATATCTATAGCTAATTGGGGGGGTGGTACGTACATTGTTCAGTAATGTCTGCGATGCGATAAAAGAATGTTTCTATGGGATACTGATTTTAACTGTATTCTAATATTAAATAAACTTCAACTATAATTCGATTGCAAATGAAAAATATACGACAATAAGAGGAGCTGCTATACAAGATGAACTCGGATTAAACATTACATCCACCTCTCCATCTACCTGCCAATCCGCTCCTCTCCCCCTACCCGGGGGCTTCCTCATCCCTCCCTCCCTTAAAAGTATCCTAAAAGCCTCACCTCCTACTCAACAGTAACAGACTTAGCCAAATTCCTCGGAAAATCAACATTCAGCCCCTCAGCGACCGCAAGCCAATAAGCCATGAGCTGCAGAGGAATCACGTTCAACAGACCCTGCAACGCATCCACAGTGCGAGGGACCTCAATCCTATCGGTCTTGTCGCTAGGAAACTCGGGGTCACCAGTATTACAGATGACGATGGGCCGACCGTTCCGTGCAACGACCTGGTTGTAGGCGTTCAGCGACTTGGAGAAGTTGTCGTCGCGGGTGAGAATCATGACGAGGGGTAGTGCCTCGTCAACAAGAGCTAAAACACCGTGCTTGAGTTCGCCGGACAGGACGGCTTCACAGTGGAGGTAGGAGATTTCTTTAATCTTGAGGGCGCCTGGAAAAGGGATTTGTTAGCGTTCGGGCTATTATTAGAGAAAGGGGTGGGTTTGTTAGACTGACCTTCAAGAGCAGTGGCATGCTGGTTACCGCGACCGAGGAGTAACAAACTTTTCTGGTCCTTGAATTTCATGCATAGGTTCTTGATCTTCTCATCCAGCATGAGTACCTCCTTTATCTGCTCAGATATGTTGGCTAGCCCCTCCATAATATCTATACGGCGCTGGCGTTTGCTTGTGCGGTCTTCACTAAGCGCCAAGGCGAACATGACCATGCAGACGAATTGGGAAGTGTAGGCCTTGGTCGACGCAACGCCAATCTCAGGGCCAGCGTTGATGTGGACACCGCAGTGAGTCAAGAGGGAGATTGAGGATCCAACAACATTGACAATACCAACGGTTAGAGCACCGCGACTAAGACAGTAACGTAGAGCCATGAGGGAGTCGGCCGTTTCTCCAGACTGAGAGACAAAGACACATGTATCATCGCGGAAGACGGGAGCTTGTCTGTCGAGAAAATCGGAAGCTAGTTCAACAGAAATTGGTGTCTCGGTCAATTCTTCGAAGATCCCGCGAACTGCGACGCACGAGTGGTACGAGGTGCCGCAGGCGATGAAGATGATTCTACGGGAGCGTCTGATGGTCGAGAGATACTGTCTTAAGCCGCCGAGGGTCACGGTCTTTTTCTCGGCATTGAGACGACCTCGCATCGCGTTGACGATGGATTCTGGTTGTTCGTAGATCTCTTTCTGCATGAAGTAGTCGAAGTTGCCTTTCATCATTTCTTGCAATTCGAGCTCGATCGTTTGGATAGCACGGACACTAGACGTCCCAAGGTCTTTCGAGATACGGTGAATGTTGAGCTGGCCGTCGTGGATGTGAGCGATATCATCATCTTCGAGATACAGAACCTTCTTAGTGTGTTCAATGACAGCAGCTGGATCGGAAGATAGGAAGAACTCTGCTGGCATGGGCACCCCTTCGTCCGACAGGAATGCCCTCGATTGCGAGTGGTGAAGGAAGTTCTTGTCTGGGGGTGCGAGGGAGTTGCCAAGAGCGGCACCACCTGGGCTCAGTCCTTGAGACTTGTTCACTGCTAGGCTTTGAGATGCCGTCTCGGCAGTCATAATATCCTCATGAGCACTTTCGACATCAACGAAATCGACTTTCATTTTGCCCTGGGTTCGTATCCCAACAACTAACGGGGAGCCTTTGCGGGCGGCGATAACCTCATGAGGGTAGTGAACGGATTTTATGAGCAGACCGAATGCGCCCTCAAGCTCCTGGATAACAGCCTTGGCGAGGGTGGTGAACTCGATGGTTGGATTTTCATCGTAGATGTATTTAGCTAACTTGGCAATAGCTTCAGTATCGGTCTCAGTTTCGAACTTGAAGCCCTTGCTCGCGAGGAGTCGCCTCAGCTCCTTGTAGTTTGTTGTAATGCCATTGTGAACAACAACAAACTCTGAGGTAGGATCAGACCTAGATAAAGGGATCAATTACGCCGCCTTAGAGGGGGACTCCCAAAGCTGATTGCATACCTATGGGGATGACAGTTGGTTCGCGATGGTGCTCCATGAGTCGCCCAACGAGTGTGTGCAATGCCAGCGTGAGATTCGAAGGTCTTAGTGGGATCGGGTTTCTCCTCGGCAATAAGCTTCCTCAGGCCTGCGACCTTCCCAACTTCTTTGTAGATGAACACTTCTTTCTTTTTGTCACCGTCGATCGCGAGTCCAGCTGAGTCGTAGCCACGATAATCTAGACGCGAAAGACCTTTACGTTTATGGTTAGTAACGTAGAGTCCAAGGATACTAGGGGTTGTCGTTATACCATTGAGGAGGGTGTCGAGAATCTCCTTGCGGTTCTTCTCTACGAGATAATTCACGTAGCCGAAAATTCCACTGTTTTTGTCAGTGGTGGTGCAAGATTAGCACAATTCGGAGCATTTCCACTCACCACATGCTTGTCCCTGCTTGCTGAAAAGGAAAAAGGAGGAATAGGTACCAAAGGAGGATAGAGCAGCTGAAGAAGTATGCAGCTGGAAAAGAGAGACTGAATGGTAATGAAGTGCAAGCAGTGCGATTGGGAGGCAGCGCAGGAAGTGACTTTATAGACTGCCCCTGCTGATGCACCCTCAAGCACAAGATGCTGCTTACCTGCCACTTAGTGTTATAATAGTAGCAATATGCGGCTCTATCTGCTGAATATACCGAAGATAGCGTTCGATAAGGTTGGCAGCTGAGCAGTGGGGCGCTTTTAGTGCCTCCGTCGGACTCCGACCTAATTTTAGAACTAGACAATGTGTCCCTGAGAGTGTAAGCATGGCTCGTGCTTATTTTAGAAGAAGGCTGGGTGGGATATACCTTCTATACATAGGCTAGCTATTCTATACTAGGTCCTAGTTGGCTAGATTTGGAATATTTTTAGCTGTACTAAAGATATACCATTCGGATGGAGAGAGTACGTTATTGAGCCGTGTTATAAGCCTGAGTTGGCCACTGTAGTAAATATGAGATTTTTAAGTGAAATGGCAGAGGGAATAACAATTTCCCATGGTTACTATCAATTCACAAGGCTATCTCGATTCGAAAGGTTTGCTGCATTGTGGCTGTGTTCAGGATTTGACAGTCTGGACAAAAAGGCGAGATTGCCTGAGTATGAGTGGGATCATTCGTGGCCTCTTGCAGTGCCTGTAATACAAATAACAAACTATAGTGCGAAATAGGGGGTATCGGCCATAAGCCCTGACTAATGGTATAGAGTTTTCCGAGCACTATAGCAAGAACCGGAAACCCTCCGCCACTGCCCGGCCAGGCAAGCCATTTTCTTCATTCTCACGAGCCTGCACGAGAGTAACACCTTCTAATTCGTCGAGCTGCTTATTTAATCTACCCAAATAAATGCGAAGGATGGTGGCAATCACAATTGTCATCGCGAGCAAAGCGATATTGACACTGAAGGCCGCGATATAACGAGGAGAGGCGGAGTCTATTGATCACGACACGGATTAGCATGTTGTATATGACAGGAGATCATGAAAGCTTTGGAATTACCGGGATACAGGTATGGCATGTAGATCTGGCACACATTGCTGAGACAGTTGATGAAAGCCAGGGCGGCGGCTCGCTTTGCGGCTGGGCGCGGGAGGACTACGCTTGTCAGTACATCCATAAGCATCCCCAGAGAGAAGGATGGGGTCCTTACTGTTTGAGATGTATCCCAAGGATACGACGTAACCAGCGTAAATGCCACCAAGCATTATACACATTGCCCTAGAGGTTTTTGTTAGTCGTTCTAAAATCGGCAAGACCTATTGAGACTTACACATATCGGGCGGCGAAGTTGTTGCCTGCCATAGCTAATATGAATGCTACAATAGCAACGACAGGTGGAAGTGATATATGAAGATATCGCTCGCCTGTTCTATCCGCGTTCCAGGCATGCACCAACACAACAAGCGTAGCGATCAGGTATGGAGGTGTAGTCAGAAGCAAGGTATCAATGTTGTTACGCCCGAGTCCAGCCATCACACTATATACTCTCAATCAGTATATCAGGTTCCCGAATGAGTAGAAAAGAGCTCATACCTGGGAAAGAATGTTGTTACGCATCCGGCAGAGGTACAGCCGTAGATGACACCGAGCATTAGCCAAGTCTTTATGTCCCTGTTGCACGATGATGAGCATCATGACCAAAGCAAATGGAGAACTGAAGAACCTACGTGACAGCGAGCTTTGCACCCTTGGTCATGCTTTGATGTTCATTATCCACCCAGTCATCTTCGCCAATGTCCTTTTCTAGTCTCCATGCCGCAAGGACTTTCTCATCATCTGTTAGCCACGTAGTGGTTCGGGGTAGATCCGGGACAATGAAAAATGCGATCAAAGCCACGAAGATCTAGGATGATCTGTTACTATTACATTCAAGGCTCGGAGGAATGGTGTATACCGTTAGCGATCCTTCGATGATGAAAAGCCACCTCCATGCAGCGATACCTCGTGCGCCGTTCAAACCACTCGTGATACCCGCGGCTATCAGACCGGAGAATGCACCCGAGATTAATGAACCCGCATATAGCAAGGCGGTCCGTTTTCCCAACTCTTTCCTGGTATACCAAGCTGATAGAAGATATAGGCAACCGGGCTGAATGGTTAGCGAATATCCGGAAAGTAGTTAGATGTTTCTCACAAAGTATGCAGCCTCGACGAATCCGAGTAAAAACCGAACGACGATCAAGCCAGCAAAATTGTGGGTGGCAGCAGTGCAGCACGAAATAACACCCCACGCTACCATACAGCCAGGTAGATAGATTGAAGGCTTTCCGAGCTTGTTGAGGATCAGGTTCGAAGGAACTGCGCCAATCAGCTGGTCTGACCACAAAGTTAACAGAACAGGAGTACTGACCCTGCATGAGGAGATACCCGACGAACAAGATACTGACACAGACCTGTGGCGTGTCAATCCCTCGAATAGACTGTACTTCTTTTGTATGGTTTGTTGACTCTCATACCTGGTATTGGTCACCTCTGAGGTCCAGGTCCTCTTGCAAGCCAGCCAACTTTGCTGCTGCGATGTTGTTGCGGTCCAAGTAATTCAAAATGTACATGATCAACATCATGATAAGAAGCCTGATATCGATCTTCCTGACGAGCTTTACCTCCCGCCGCTGTATCTCTTCCGGCGTCAAATCTAGCAAAGATGTTGGCACTGCAACAGTGCCTGGGTCCTTGAGTGTGTCCCCCATCTCGGGGAATTCGATGTGCTCGGTCCCAGAAGTCTTGACATTATCCATAGAAGGCAATTGGTAAATAGAACAGCAGGTATTGAGAAAGATAAACTGTGGGATATGCAGGGGCGAAGCTGTATGCCAAATGAGAGTAATGGAAGTGAAGAGAATGGTTGAGGGTATGCCAGTTTGCCCTTAAATGCTGGAAGATTCATGGACTTGGCCTGCTTCTGCACGAAGCTACCCCGTGGGGTGGTAAACCACCAACCGGGTTCGAGGATGGGATCCTCTTCGGATATCTCAGGCGGGGTTGACGCCCTTGGCAGCGGGAGCAAATAACCTACTTTAGGCAGAATGGACATATTGCATATCCGATAATTTTCCGGACGCAGTGCCTGAGGACCAGGAAAAAAGGGATGCTTCTACAACAAGTTTAATTTAGGTTAATGTATGCTGAATTTCCATTATAGACTCAATGTCAGAACTGAAACTACGGGTCAACAAACGATAAAATGTACGCTGCATGAAAAAAGTGATGCGTTTGTGAGTGCTCTCTAGCACGTGTTACAACTTTTATCAATCCGCTCCTCGTACCCCTACCCTAGCACACTTGTCGCCATTGTCATATATCTAGAACGGTTCTGTGTATACAGTAAGAGAGAAAGACGCTCCCCAACCCCAATCCCACAAGGACCACCATATGTGAAAGGTACGCTAAAAAAAAAACATTACTTCTTTTGATTTGCGTCCAAAAATTCCAGCAGACTTTGTGCAACAGCAGATGGTTGCTCTTCGGGAAGAAAGTGACCACAATCATAAATAGCGCCTCCTGAGACATTGGTTGCGAACTTCCGGACCAAATCGATCATACCCGCACCAACAGAGCTCTCTCCGCCCAAAGCCAAGACAGGAATGTCAAGTGGTGTCTTTGCGAATTCCAGGTTCTGCTTCGAACTCGTCTCAAAAGCTCGATAGTACTCGAAGCCCCGACTCATTGCTCCTGGTCGCGAATAGGCTTGGATATAGCGTTCAAAATGATCTTTGTGCATACCATCGGGATGAACTGTCTTCAAATTGAAGAACCAGGTCAAGAGCTCCCGCTCACGGCCGCTCGTCAGGATTTCAGGTAACTCGGGAAGCGCGTTGAAAGAGAATTGCCAGAGACGCAAGTTGGTCTGCTGAGACAATGGGAACTGAAATTGTGGCAAGAAACCCGGCACTGAAGCGTCCAGGATACTGAGCGACTTAATTCTGGACTGAAATTGAGCGGCCCAGGGATACGCGATCCATCCCCCCACATCATGGCCAATTAGATGATACGGTTGTCCCTTCAAAGCATCATGAATGGCTTCGGCCATGATCTTGCTGACGTTCGCAGTATCATAACCATTGGCGGGAGGAAGCGATTCACCCAAGCCAGGGGGATCGAGTGCGAAGAATTGGTAACTTTTTGAAAGGGGCTCGAACATGTCACTCCATGCTTCTGCTGTCTGTGGCCAGCCGGGAATGAGTACCACAGGAGGACCTTGGCCGCCGACGATAGCTCGGACGCCGTGAAGGAGACGGGTGACTTGCCACTTTGCCGTCATGTTGTAGTCGTCCGCTGGTCTGAGTGGGGAGGTAGATTTTCGAACAGCGGGCAATTATCGGCTCATATATGTCACCTGTACACACATATACACTGAACTGTGCTGAAAATCATTTGTTGTTAATGAGTCACCGAGACTATGATGAGTCAAGGCAAGGGGATGGTGCTAAAATCTCATATCTAACGCTACTAACTGTATCCAGTCTAGGCCATAACACAAGTCCGATATAAGAGTTAAAAGGACAGATCTCCCTTATAGTATAATATTGTTTCAGACAAAACCAGAAAAGATCTATTGCTACTTCTAAATGAGTGTTATGAGATAAAACGATGGCTACTGAATTGCATACGATGTTGTTTTCACAGGAATTTAGAGTAGGCAGAATTGCCAGTCTTTAGCGGAGCGGGCCCCACAACCTGGCTGTCAATTACGCCGGCATATAAAGCTTAGCTGGGTAGCCTAATGCCATGCTCGGAAAGATGGGTCGGCATAGAAACAATGCTATCCTCATGAGAGAGCTCTAATGCCCTGGTTCTATCTCCGATCTGCCTCTATTGCCGGCCTCAGTGCCTCCTGCGGAGCCGTGGTCACCCCACCACCGAACGCTCTATTCTTTGCTTGTTATGGGCGTCCTTCCCACAAACTGACTTGCCTGAATATAGAAAGGCCGTGAGTATACTAAGATACCCTAGTTCATGAATAGGGTGGCGTAGCCATTGCTAAGCTTGAGCGATCGACCCAAAGCTATAACGGGAGCCAATGGTAATGAAAAGGACGCGTCAACCCAGCCTACGTTGCTTCGCACGCCTAGGTTATACTTAGGTCGCCTTGGGGAACCAAGGTTGATATTGGGAATCTAGGCACCTTTCTACCAGAGTCCTGGATGCTGTATGCATGTTCAACGGTAGGCAGATGTGACAGGTGATGTTTATCTTACCAAGCCTCACCTTGAAAGAATGGAAGCTCTCTTTGCCCCCTTTCTTCTGAATTGTAACAATCGGGAGCGCCAAATATTGTTCAACAGTTTTGCGACAAGGAGTACAGAACCCGGGATTGGATCCAGAGGCCACCAACGGCACTGGATCGATGAATTGAGAGTATTGATGGTCCCGAGAATTCAAAGTTCCTTTCGATGATACCCTCTATGTTGGTTATCAGTTGTGAACAGCGATTGACCGTACATTCTTTTCATGATACGCCATTGCTTAGTACATAGAACTAAACTCATGCTGCATATCTCTGATTAGGGATTAGACTCTTACTTAATCCCGTGGCCCCAAGTGTGTTATACAAGAAGATGAAGCAAAACCATATATAAGGACAACTATTGTTGCGGATAATCGGCAAAGAGAAGCCTGACAGGAGATAATCCGAGGTTTACCCCGCAAACCTTCCTCTGGTGCCGCTTCCTTTGCCGATCAATAGCACCCTGATAGTCGGATATGAAAATGGCCACCCCCTCTCCCGGAAATCAGTGGTCGGATAATCCTTTCGACACGCGTCTGATCAATATACCAAATGGAGCTGCATAACAGTCCAACGAGCAAACGGCGGCATCCCAAGAAGCGCGTCCGAGTTACGCGGGCCTGCGATGCCTGCAAAAGGTGAGTGATTGCTGGGAGCCTTCGCGCCTAAAGGTTCAGCTAACAAAGTAAACCTAGGAAGAAACTGCGCTGTAGTGGGACATTACCCTGTCACAGTTGCCTGAGAACTGGTAAAGCTTGCGAGTACACAGCCGAGTATAACAGGGGCAAGCCCCCTCAGGTCCGCATCGCTCAGCCATCAGTGCAAGGGGATGGGCAGCAGCAGGAAGCTGCAGCTGAGGGGGGCAGGCCACCTCCTTCACCGTATACCCATATACCGGAGCATTATAACATGCCCGACAGTCAAATAAATAATCCGCCCTCTCGTGCCTCGCCTGAGCATCAAACGGACTTGGAGGGTCACTATGTTGGTCCTTCATCAGGAATATCCTTTCTCCTCCGAGCGCAGCGGAAACTCCACAAATATGTCGCTCTACCAGTTAACACGCCGATATTTACGTTCGGTGACTCCCCACTACCAGAGGTTGAGTCGACATTCATGATATTACCTCCACGGAACGAAGCAAATGCGCTCCTGACCCGGTATTTTGACTTTGCCTTCCCCACGCACCGCTTTCTCCATCAACCTCAGGTCGAGGACTGGGTCGAAGAATTATATCGCGCCGTGGAAGAGTCGCAGGCAGCCAGTCCCGGTATGAGGGGAAGAAGGGCAGTGGTTCTGATGGTCTTCGCTCAGGCAAGGCAGGGCCAGCCTGACAGAGATCATTCGTCAGTCCGATCTTTGACCAGTAGGTTCGCTGGCCCAGAATCTTTGCCAACAGGTTCGATGAGACTCACGAACGACTAGTGCAGGCTACTTTGCGGCCTCAGAGCAACAGCTCTCTGCTGAGACAGGACCCGTACGAATAACTAGTGTCCAGGCACGGCTGGCCCAGTGTTTCTACCTTCTGTCTCAATCTCGCATCAACCACTGTTGGAGTTTGTTCGGAACAACCGCTCGACTTGCCATGACTATCGGTCTGCACCGTTCGAGGAGACGCGAGTATGGTGCCAAAGTCGACCATATCGAAGCTGAATGTCGAAAGCGCGTGTTCTGGTGTGCCTATAGCTTGGATAATTATCTGAGTGCTGCTTTAGGTCGACCTCGGATATTTCATGATGATGACATTGATCAAGACTTTCCTACTGTCGCTGACGATCTGCACATCCTCCGGGATCAAATCCTCGTCCCAGTGTCCACATCCCAGAGTATAATGGTTGCCCCACTGTACCATGCCAGGTTGTCTGTCATTATTGGTCGCATACTGCACGATATGTATGGCGTTCACAGAGGTGGCTCACAAGCAGAAGTATCTGCAGCCGCTCAACATGGTGATGAACTTACTCGCTGGCGCCAGGAAATTTCCAGCTTCCTTGACACCCCGAATGTTGACCTTTTGATGTTGACGTACCAACGCCAATACACAGTGCTTAACTTGGCGTTCTATCATGCAAAAATTCTGCTCTACAGGCCTTTCATCCTGCGAAACTTTGGGATAGTAAGTCGCGAAAGACCACGAGATGACTCGTTCAATAGACCTGTCAACGATTGCATTGAGATCTGTCTTGACGCGGCCATGAAAATCGCCGCGATTATGCGCGAGCTTTGCGAAAAGCGGCGGATGTATAACACATTTTGGGTTCGTAGGTGTCATGCCCTGGCTGGTGGTATAAGCTGATTTCCGACAGTTCACCCATTACTACGCATTCTCAGCAATTATGATACTGTATATCCGAGTCATCCAGCTGTCTGCACAGAGAGGCAATGCGGGGGAAAATTGTCTCAAATACCTACAGACAGGGGAGTGTGCACAGAAAGATCTCGCCAGCTGTAGCTCACACTCGTCTTTTGTTCAGCGCTATGTCGTTGTTCTCGAGGAGCTTCGCCAAGAGGCGCGAATGGCCGTTAATCAGCCTGTACCCCATCATCATAAAACACCACATATTGCGACCTCAGACTACGAGGAAATAGTCCTCCCGGGTGAACCTGCACTGAACCACACTGAAGTAGCCAGCCGACCACATAGTGGTAGCTTGGCACCTCCCATACTGGAGTACGATCTTTCCCAATGGGGAGAAGGGATGCTTGAAGATAGCTTTCCTATGCCAGACATGACGGGATCCGCAGACTGGGAAGGTCTCGACTCTCTCGCTATTGCAGGTCTTGGTGAATTGGATTTCCTATTTTGTCATGCAGAAAATTGATTACCGGAATCATGTCGATTTCAAACTGATATTATTTTAAGACACGTACGTAACTTTCCTGCTAAGGCAGTTTCTGACCCTTCGTAGCCTGTAGAATAGCAGCAGTGGGTGTGGGAAGATTCGGGCAGCAAGATATAAGTTGATTATAATATCTAGATCCTTATTTTATCTTCGAAGAAAGGATTTAGAATATGTGCAAAGCCTCTGTCTCAGTATATGAGTCTAGTTCCCAGACCTGCTTTCTCGAAGGCATTGCTTTAACATTTCCGACTCCAGGTCCGTGGCTGACAGGCTTCTCCGGGTAGCTTCATATCCGACCGAGAGCCCGGAAAAGAACTGTCGGATAAGTACAGTTTGCCGAACGGGTATCCGTTATGATCCTTGATAAGGATGATCACCAGTCTCGCATTATATTCATGAGGCTCAATTTCTACCTAGTCAGCTATATCGTTCCATAAAACGTAACATGTACCTTCACGAAATCACTATCTTTATTTGAAGTGTCGGTCGCATGGCAAGACGGTTAGTTTTCTACAAGTCTCATGTCATGCCTCTCCCTCGTCATCAGCGACTTCGCACTCAATCACGCTTTCCACCCCAGCACCGGCACTCCAGATCTGAACAATCCTCAGACCAGCCCCTCTCTCGACCAGGTCATACCACGCTGCTCGAGTACGCTGTTCGGAGGAAAACAGCGCCAGCATCATCATATCAAGCCCGGTGATTTCCCAGTGGGCCCTGGTCTCCGGCACAACAAATTCATTGATCAGGAGCCTGCTGTACCCAGGTTTCATAGAGTCCTTGACACGCTTGAGTAGTATTTCACACACATCGTCGCACCAATTATGTAGAGTCGAGTGTATGTAGTAGGCTCGAGCGCCTGGGAATATTCCAACCTCAAGTTAGCTTGAAACGCCTAGAAAGAATCAAAAGAATGAACGCACCTTTAACAGGCTGCTCTTCCCGAAAGTCATACTCCATACGCATGATAGCCGGGTCCAGATCCTTGATTTGGCGAATCATCATGGGCAAATCTTGCAGGATGAGCTTCCCCGGTGCATCTGGATATGCGGCATTGAACCTTGCCAGATCATGGCCGACGTTACCACCTATGTCCACGAGAAAAGGTGCATCTGAGCTAGGATTGGAGCCACTAATGAGCCTCTCATTCACTGGATAAACATCAGGATGCGTCCACCACCGGCGGCCGAGATTGTAGCCGCCTAAGTAATCATTCAAGTGTTTCCCATAACCTAAATCGTTCACCCAGGCGAACAAGTCTTTGTCAGTGCCATACGCATACATCAGAGATGTGTCCTCAGGGTTTGTTGGATTTGTCCAACGACGCTTCCGAGAGAATTCATGGAATCTTAGGCAGCCGCCACTGGTACATGCAGTACTAGTTCGCAACGAAATATATTAGCTATTACAATCTAAGAACCTACAACCGTAGAGTACTCACAGCCCGAGATATCCATTCCCAATCTGAGGGAGACTGAGGGCTTTGGTATAATTTGTGGGTTGGAACTCGTCCTCATCGACCTCGTTCAGCAGGCCCATAGCGCTGAGGTGGCGCAGGAGCCGACCTTGATTTGTTTTAGTGATACTCATGGTACTGGGTAATAGGAAATATACTGAGAAGTTTCGGTTCAATCTCGAGGCTCGAGGCCAGGTCTGGAACTTTCTGGGGTTTATCTCCATTTTGAACCATCAAGACCCACAATCCAGATTCCACGCCAAATCCTACTGCCATCATGGCCCCTATGTGACCCCAACAGTGATCGGCCATGATCTCTCGAGGGGTGGATAGGGCCTGAAATAGTTTCCGACACTTGAAGAGAGCGTCTTTGCGAATGTCATCCGAGTCAGTACTCAAGCGTTCGACATCTTCTTTGATTTCCCTCAATAACTTGGGAACATCGCCAAGATTGCTAGGAGACGAAGCGACAGAAATGTCGACGGTGGATGGATTGTGTAGTGTGTTTGTCATGTCTACGTTTATTGATATGTAATGGTCAAATAAGACAAAGGAGGTCCCACAAAGACCTTATATGATGAGGGGTTGACGCAAGAGTCTGCTTGCTACCTTTGAAGCAGCGAGAGTATGTGGGGAAGTAAGAGACAGAAAGTTATCGTCCTTGGGATCCCCTGTCCTGCTTGATGGAAATCCTAACTGAAGTTGGTAATTGAAGCAGCATCCTCCATTTCCCAGTTTTGAACCGTGCATCTCGGCTACGACACTAACTTGCACCAGCATCCGCAGCATTTCCCAGCATCTGCTTGCGCGGCCACCAACCTCTCCATGCGCCCATCCCAAAGTAAAGACCATGTTCCGTCCAATGACAAAGCGATATGGCTCGGAGAACAATCTTGCTCTTTCAAAAGACTCCAACTTGTAATGGTCTTATGACATAGCATTATGCAACGTACCTCGTATGGATGGTCCAGATATCCTGTTTTAGTTATCGGGAACTTCGTCTACGAACTAGTGGCTATTACTTCGCTTCATGCACAACCGCTATCGTATGCAGCTCTCCGTATGATTAACAAGAGATCTAGACGAGAAAGACCAATGCATGAATACCGAAGGTCTCCGGCTCTTTCTCATTTCTTGTAACCTCCATCAACCACACCATGCCACTTATGGAAAATGTTCTCAGGATCATAGATGTTCTTCACCCTCTTCAGCCTCTCCAGATTGGCTCCATATGCATCAGCAGGCTTTACTGGCCCATTTTCCATGTTAAGATAACGCCCCACTGGACTTGCCTCGCAATGCTCCCCCTCACAGTAACGCCGACGCTCATATCCGCTGGAACTTCTTATCATCGTGCATAAATCCGAATTGAATTGACGAACAGTCACATCAAGGTCGGGATTTGTCCATCCAAAAATTGTGACAACATCATAGTACGCCCCACGATTGGCGTACGCAGTAGCATGCTGAGGAACCTCGCGGAGCTTGTGGGTCGAGAAAAGTTCCACTGCCATGGAGCAAATGGTTACGTTCGGATGGCGATCATGAAACGACCAGACCATATCTGCCATTTGCTGAATGGCTTCTGCTTGCAGGGGCATCGTGACATTTGCGGAGCCTTGGTGACGGCGTATTCCGTATTCGCACGATGGGTTCTGTAAGGTGTTGACCTCAGCGATGGACATCATTCTTGTCGAGTTCATCATAGGTTTCATATCAAGCAGTGGTGAAAAGAACTCCTTGGCCTCCTCCTCTAGGCCCTGATAAAGTGGGACAGCAGTGAGTATACGGGTCACTCCATCCAGCGTGTGACCCACTCCGATAGTCAAGCAGTGACCTTCGCGATTATCTCGATTGTGAAACTCATTGGCAAATGCCACCAGTTGAGGTAGGGTTTCCGGGCCAAACGCGAGGATACCACTCCATACCTCTTCCTGGTGGTGGACACGGTACAGAAATCGCGTTACCACCCCAAGCTGTGCGCCAGCCCCGCGGACGGCCCAAAACAGCTCTGCATTTTCTGTTTCAGAGGCGTCAAGGATGCAGCCATCAGCCGTGACAATCTGGACTGCTATGAGGTTGTCAATTGCGAGGCCATGCTTCGCTGTCAGCCATCCATGACCACCACCTAGGATCAACCCTCCAACTCCCGTGTGGTTCACAGCACCCCCGACAGCAGCCAATCCACGGGCCTCTAAAGCCTTGTCAATGTCCGCCCACAGGCAACCACCCTCAAACGACACAGTCATGTTAGTATCATCCACTTCGACTCTTCGCATATTACCAAGGTGTATGACAACACCTTCTGATGATGACGCCCCGCTAGTCGAGTGACCACCGCCACAGACGGCCATGGGGAGCTTGCTGGCAGTGGCAAACTTCACCGCCGCAGCTACCTCCTCAGCACAGGTTGGTTTGACTACAACGGCCTAGGAAGGATTTAGTATAACATACTTACAATTAACATGACGGTTGGGCTCGTTATTTGGAAATCGGGGGTCTGACTGACAGAATTGACTTCAGCTGCCTTGCTCCATCTCCTAAGGCTGGCAGCATATCCAGCATCATCTGGCATCAAAACTTGTCCTTCTGCAATGACTTCGTATAGTTGGTTCCATTCAGACATTGTCAAAAATTATGTAGTGTAACTTGAATGTTAAGCTTAAGAGATTTTGCTAAACGATGGTAGCCCGACGTGGTGCTTTTGTGTGTGGGTAACTGAGCCAGAGCCAACTGAAGACTGCCAAAATATGTTGATCGGCTTCCGCTGTAAGCTCATCCCTAGAATCGGACTACTGCACGCTAATCTGATCTTGTATATTCTTGCTCCCAAGCACTAATCTCACAAGTCTGCCGAGTCAGCCTGTACAACCGAACTTCATCTTTGATTGGCGACATGAATTCTCATGACAAATGACATATTCTGTGCAGCCGCCGCCATTCCTGTACCGTCAATGCGCATGAAGAAAAGCAAGGACGAAGAATCCTATCTCCCAAGTTTGTTAAAATGTTAGTAAGGGATCATTCGGCACCCTATCGGATGACCTCGTCATTGTACAATTTGTTGAGGGCTGCAGCAGGTAGATACATTCCTACTTTCTTTATAGCATTTTGAGTAGGGATCACCATGCCGATGTACATCTATGCAGCGTGTTGCCCCTACTTCTTGATCATGTGTGTTTAGAGTCTGCGATGCCCATCCATTCTTCGAGAGAGTTAATCCTGTCAGTTGCTGACCCGAAGAGCAGGCCATCCTGTCGTATTCTGCTACTTGATCGACACTCAATTTGCCTGACAGAATTGGTTGTGCTCGTGTTCTGGATATACTTCGTATTTATATAATGTGCGACATCAGAAAAAGAAACACCAGGGCGCTTGACACGCATTGATATCTGCCACCTTGATATTGATCTCTGAATCCAGACGAATGATAGAAACGTTCATCCCTAATCTTGTGTGAGAAAGAACAGACAGAAACAGACCTACCATTCAAATCGCGGCACTCCACCATTGTTCCAACAATGTCACTGACAACACCGAAACCCGATATGAACGATACCGACGTATCGAGCTTCCAGGAGATATCCGAGGGTGATCTGATCAAGATTTGGCAATGGAACAAAATATCACCATATCCGATTATGCGTTGTGTCCACGAGATATGCGAGGAAAAGGCACGGAGTCAACCTGATGCACTGGCTATTTCAGCTTGGGATGGCGAATTGCACTACGGAGAGCTGGTACAGCTCGCCGCGAAACTAGCAAATTGGCTCATCCTCTCTGGAGTACGACCAGGCATGGCTGTGCCTCTCTGCTTTGAGAAATCGCGGTGGACAACTGTAGCTATGCTGGGTGTGCTCAAGGCCGGTGCGGCATTTGTTATGCTTGATACATCACTCCCCAAACAGCGTCTTCAGGCGATTGTTGAAAGCGTGAACGCAGACTTGATCCTGTCATCTGTTCCAAGCAAGGACATGGCGGTATCATTGGCTAAGACCGTAATTGCCATAGATTCGACCTTCTTCAAGGCATTGAATAAGCTCGAAAGACAAGACCCTCCGCCGGTGCACCCATCGTCAGCCATGTATTTAACCTTTACATCAGGTTCTACTGGCGCACCAAAGGGATTAGTAATAACACATACCAATTATGCATCATCTCTCTACTACCAACTGCCACTCCTGGGATTCACAAAGAGAACCAGGTTCTATGACTTCTCTTCCTATGGCTTCGATGCTTCGTTGAGTCACAACTTTACGATCCTGGCCGCAGGGGGTTGTTTGTGTGTACCATCAGAGCAGGACAGGAAAAGCAACTTGGCTCAAAGCATATCGTCTCTCTGTGCAAATGCTATCGGTCTTACCCCGTCGGTTGCCAGAATGCTGAACCCTGCTGACATCCCGACTGTAGAGATGATCTTATTTTTTGGTGAGGCTCTATCTCTCGCAGACGTTCAACGCTGGTGGGGTAAAGTGAAAATTAGCAATATATATGGACCATCCGAATGTACTCCCTACGCCCTCATCAACACCGGCGCGGCGAGCCCGCAGGAGGCTACTCGAATAGGCAGAGGTGCAGGACTAGTGACATGGGTTGTCGATCCAGATAACCATGACCATCTACTACCCCTTGGTGAAACCGGTGAGCTACTTCTGGAAGGACCACTAGTGGGTGAAGGGTACTTGAATGACGCGGAAAGAACCGCACAAGTTTTTATTCATGACCCAGTATGGCTACGGCAAGGTGCATCCAATATTTCAGGACGAAGTGGACAACGTCTGTATAAAACAGGGGACCTTGTCTATTACAACGACGACGGAAGCCTGATATATGTCGATCGCAAGGATACACAGATTAAGATTCACGGACAGCGAGTGGAACTCGGAGAAGTAGAGGTCTGCTTAAAGCAGCACATGCCAGAAGCGAAGCAGGTTATTGTCGATACAATTACAGTCAAACGGAAAGAATCAAGTACAGTGCTGGCAGCTTTCGTGCAGCCACACCAGACCTCAGCGAATGCGAAGGGACCGGAAAATACTCCCATGGAGATATTCCATGTGCCACGAGACGTCATACACATACTAGCTGAGAGCCTGCCAATATATATGATACCGTCTATTTTCTTGTCTATACGCGAAGTTCCCAGAACGATGTCAGACAAATTAGACCGGAAAAAGCTCCGGGAAATGGGTGCTTTGTGGTTCCAGCAATTTCCTAGGGAGCAAAACCACGTGGTCAAGGGGAAACCAACATCCCACGTAGGAATTGAGCTGCAGAAAATTTGGGGTGATGTCCTAGGACTTGATCCAGAGTCCGTGGGGCTACGAGACAATTTCTTTCGGCTGGGGGGGTGACTCGATTGCAGCGATGAAGGTCGTGTCCAAGGTTCAACAGGCTGGCCTCGGGCTGACGTTTTCCGAAATCTTCCAGTATCCTACATTTGGTAGTTTGGAAGGTCGGTGTCGTCCTGAGCGTGAAAACCATGTGGAGACAATCTCCCCTTATTCTCTCTTGGAAATTGGATGGAATGAAGCACTTCTCCAGGAAGATGTGGCCCAGTATCAGCTTGATCCCAACACAGTGGAGGACGCTTATCCTTGCACACCCCTACAAGAAGGCCTCCTGTCTCTATCCTTGCAAAATCTGGGAACATACATGACGCAAAGAGTTCTGGGATTGCACCCGACTATAGACACAAGAGACTTCTGTTGCGCGTGGGATAAGATGGCCCGGAGCACGCCTATCTTACGAGCAAGGATCATACAACATGGCGACATGGGCTTCTTGCAGGTGGTCTTGAAGGGAGACATCCAATGGATCCATGCGAAAGAACTACAACAATATCTTGCAAGAGACAAAATAACCCCGATGGGCCTGGGGAAACCTCTTGTACGCTGTGCGATCGTCACAGACGACATAGTCAATCGCCGCTGGTTTGTGCTGACACTTCATCATGCTGTTTACGATGGATGGTCGATGCCACTCTTGTTCGAAAGATTGAGCGATGCATATAATGGCATGCCCGAGAGACCGACTCAGCCAGAGTTCAAGGCCTTCATTAAGTACATTCAGGGTCAGAGCCACGAACGCGCTATTGAATACTGGAGGGATCACCTTGCCGAATGTGACTGCGCACCATTCCCATCTCTTCCCTCGGCTGCACAGCGGGTTAAGACCAACAGTGAAATCACACAGAAGCTACCATCGATAAGCATACATACACCTGGAGTTACGCCCGCTATACTTGTCCGATCATCCTGCGCTCTCCTCCTCAGTTGCATGACCAACTCTAAGAAGGTTGTGTTTGGAATAACAACATCAGGACGGAGCGCACCTGTTGCCGGTATTGAAGGGATAGTAGGCCCAACGATTGCGACAATACCACTCTATGTAAACATACAGGAGTCACAAACGGTTACAGAATATCTCACAACCATGCAGCAGCACATGACGAGCATGATACCTTTCGAGCAGTTCGGCTTGCACAACATTGCTAAAACCAGCTCCAACGCTCATCAGGCGTGTATGTTTCAGACACTTCTCATTATCCAACCACAGGAAACTGGAAGGGTCGACAATATCTTTGGGAAGTGGGAAGAATGGCACAAGCCGGAATGGGACGACACTTATGCCCTTGTACTGGAGGTGCAGCTTGGGACTGGGCGTGTCAACGCTAGATTCGATTCCAGTGTTATCAGATCGTGGATTATGCAAGACTTACTAGATGGACTCAACTTTATGATAAAGCAACTCTGCACGGCGGTACCAAATCGAAGGATAGCAGACATTGCACCAGTGCCTCCCCGAAGCCTTGAGCGCATATGGGAGTGGAATGTAACCGTTCCATGCCCGGTGGGAACTACTATGACTGAGATGATTAAGAAACAGGTGGACGAACAGCCGACCGCTCTGGCGATTCATGCGTGGGATGGAGACCTAACATACGGTGAGCTAGATCATCTCGCCACAAGCCTCGCAACCGAGCTCGTCAAACTTGGGGTCAGTCCGCCCCTACTGGGTCCAAATAATGTGGTTCCACTCTGCTTTCAGAAATCAAAGTGGGCAATAGTATCCATCCTCGGGGTCCTGAAGTCTGGCTCAGGATTTGTATTGCTCGACCCTTCTCTACCCGAATCTCGATTACGTTCCATACTTCGAACAGTAGGGTCTAAAACGCTGCTTTCCTCCCAAGCCTGCATGGATTTAAGCCGTCGGTTATGCAAGATGGCAATACAAGTTGGTCCAGACTTGTCCACAGTTTCAACTCATTTGAGAATTCATTCCAACGGTGTCATGGGACGAACACAACTACCCTCCAGCCTACTGTATGCTGTGTTTACGTCCGGTAGCACCGGGACACCTAAAGGAGTAATGGTGTCGCACGAGAACTTTTGCTCTGCTCTCCACTCTCAATTAAGGCTTTTGAACCTTACGGCGAGGTCTAGAGTCTTGGATGGTGCATCATATTCGTTCGATGCCGCGATCCATAATATTCTAACCACACTTGCGGTTGGAGGGTGTCTGTGCATACCATCGCAACAAAGCTACAGGAGTGATATTGGCAGCGCTATAGCTGCCATGCGGCCTACGATCTGTAACTTAACCCCAACGGTAGCCCGTCTGTTAGACCCGGAGACAGTATACGACCTCAAGACGTTGATACTCCTGGGCGAGCCTGTCACAAGGTACGATATTGACCGATGGGAATCGAGCAATGTTCATGTGATTAACGCCTATGGCCCTGCTGAGTGCACACCGATAAGCACTATCAACGCTAGTCCGTTCAACACAGCAGAGGCTACCCGGATTGGAAAAGGTGCGGGTTTGATCACGTGGATTGTACATCCTGAGAACCATAATTGGCTAGTACCGCCAGGATGCACCGGTGAATTACTCCTCGAAGGACCTCTTGTTGGCTTAGGCTATATGAACAATCCAGGAAAGTCAGGAGAAGCATTCGTGGAAGACCCCGAGTGGCTGCTCTTGGGATCACCACGTCATCCTGGCCGCCGTGGCCGCCTTTATAAAACTGGCGATCTAGTGCAATATAACGAGGATGGCAGTCTGACCTTCATGGGGCGTAAAGATAACCAAGTCAAAATTCGTGGCCAGCGTGTAGAGCTCGGCGATATTGAGTATCACGTTCTGGCTTCTTTGCCAACGAAGGCGATCGAGGTTGTTGCCGAAGTCGTTGGACTTGAGAATGACGGAGAGCCGAAACCGGTGCTAGTCGCTTTCATCCACATGGATAGCAATGGTATGCCTGCCAGCGAGGAACCGGCAATGGCTACTAAGCCATACCACCTGACCGATGTCGTCCGGGAGCGGATTTTGTAGAGATAACGGACCCTTCACCGTCTTCATGACCGGCGCCAACGGCTTCCTGGGTACCCAAATACTCCGCCAACTCCTGTCGCACTGCCAAGTTAGCCATGTAATTTGTCTAGTCCGGGGTGATACAGATGACGCTGCGAGACAGCGCACCATTCGTATGGCTAAAGAAGCCCTCTGGTGGACGGATCACCACGCAGAGAAGCTAGAGGTTTGGCGGGGAGATCTAGCATTACCCAAACTCGGACTTGACCCCACCCGCTGGGAAATACTCACTTGTGGTAAAGCAGTAGATGCCATCATACACAACGGCGCCACCGTGCACTGGACGAAAAGCTACGAAGCTCTAGAGGCCGCCAACGTTGGATCAAGTATAGAACTTTTGCTAGTCGCACTGAGATGCCCCGCGATGAGGTTTGTCTATATTACAGATGGCCGTCCATGGAAGGCTCATGAGGAGGGAGATGTTGTGGCGGAGCTGTCCGCTCCCGATGCCATCCCGTATAGCCAGACGAAGCTGATCTCCGAGGTTGTGATCAGGCGGGCCGCAACGCGCAGTTTACCAGGAACCTTTACTACCGCTGGAACAGACAATATTGCTGTTATAAACCCAGGGTGGGTGATTGGAACACCAACCGAAGGTTATTCCAACACTACGGACTATATATGGCGGCTGGTGGCTACATGCGTCAAACTGGGAGTATATAACGCCGAGGACGCCGAGGGATGGCTATCCATTTCCGATGCTACTACTACTGCGGAGGCAGTTCTCGAGGCAACATTCAGCACGAGAAGTGATATTCTAGGTGATGAATATGCTACACATGGCATGGCCTGGAGGGAGTTCTGGGCAATACTGGAGGATATGGGGTACAAGCTGGAAGGGGTAAGTCTAGCTTCGTGGATGGATCTTGTCGAATCAGATCTTGAAGATGCAAGAGAGCAACACCCGCTTTGGCCATTGAAACATGTATATGGATGGTTGCAGGGAAACGAGAGAGTGGCTGGAACGAGGCAAATGTGGTGATACTCCGGTGCGGTTGAAGATGGCTGTTAGGATGGGCGCTGAGTTCCTTGTCAGGGTTGGGTTTTTACCTGTGCCTCCAGGTCCTGCTTCAAGGAACGGGATGGATTGGAAAGAGGGCATGAGGCAGTTGAAGTTTAGTTATGAGAACAGGTATTTTGACGTGACTTGAATTAGTACTAGTCTCCAAGAAGAGGACGGGTTTAGTGTGCAGGCAAACAATCGTATCTAAAACTCTTAGCGCATTGTAGTCTCTAACTAACTAACTAACAATCTTGTACTGATTAATCATCACATGAAGATGGTCGCAATCTTGGGTACCGGACATCCCCGAGCCGGGTGGGGGCGCTGATGCAGCAGTGAAGGACGCTAAGGCAGCTGATCAGCTGCGCCACTAGTTTATATTTACTTTTTTATGACTACTCTGTACGCCTTGCTTGCTTTTACTGGATTTCAAATTGTGATTAGCTACAATGACAACCTTGCTACGTCAGAGCATGCGTTGCTTTATGATTACTGCGAGTTTGAGGAATTCGGCGGTGTCCAGGGCCATATTTTTGCTTCAATTGGTGAAGCACCTGCATAGCTAGCATCTTACATAGCGAGCTCGATCAGGTGTAAGAATAGGAATCGAATTGAAGGACCGTAATCAGGATGAATCGCACAGGACGTATCTGCCCGCAACCCCTGTCTTTGTGCGGTTTCCCAAAGGCTAATCCACGCCAAAGAGGAACCACCGGACTATTGCCTGATCGGTGTCATTGGATGGGCGGTACGGAATTTTACATATCTTTGAGGGACAGTTGGATATCCTTCTCCCCATCCAAAATGCACCTGTGGGGCGTCCTCAAAGCTGTCCTTAGGGAAGGGTGTGGACGGACCTTGTTCGATAGACGCGAGATTTCTAATCATCTGCAGAGTGTTCACGGCAAAATTCTCTCCGAGAGTAAGCCATACCCCTCAGATTCATGTCCTCCCCATGCAGGCAGACAGACTAATAGATTATCACCGGTCCTGAAATTGTCGATCTTGGCCCGATCGAGACGGAGCGACAGATTTGGGGAAGCACAAATGACGCAAGAGCTGAGGTACATAAAAGCGCCAGCGCTGAGATGAGGTATATATCTTCTGTACCATTTCCCTCTTTTCCATCGTCAGTATCACAACTCTTGATCTGTCTCCCATTGCCAGTCTTCCTACCACACCATAATAACCGCACACTATGACCAAAAAGGTCGAGGTTGACCAGCTCCACGAAACTCTCTTCGAGGAGGGTATCAAATTACGCCGCGCCGTCGTTGGCGATACCTACGTCGATAGAGCCTTGGCTCAAGGATCCAGCGACTTTTCGCGTCCTGGCCAGGAATTAATCACAGAATGGTGCTGGGGGCATATTTGGACTAGACCAGGACTTGAGCGGAAGCAACGAAGCCTGTTGAGTACGTGATAAGCTTCCTAGACAGAGTAAGCAAAGCTAAATCGGATTCAGATCTGGGTATGTTGATTGCGTTGAAAGCCTGGCCGGAATTGGCTCTTCATACTCGCGGCGCTATCATCAACGGCCTTACCGAGAAGGAGATTAGCGAGGCTGTTTTGCAGGCCACTGTTTACTGTGGCGCCCCTACTGGGATCGAAGCAACCAAGGTTACGGAGAGGGCTATCAATGAGATGATTGCGAATGGGGAGTACAAGCGCTCATAAACCTATGTGTCGTTGATTGTTGTTTTAGAGGAACAAGGGCACACAGTATCTCAAAGGATGTGAAACGTCTTCTTTTCGTAATATTTAAGAATGCTTTGGAATGGGCAGAGCAGGATACTAACGTGATAGAAGGCACATCACCGGTTACAGACCTGCTCTGGACGTTTACTCTGCACAGAATAATCCGATCCCAGAAAGGTAAATGGATTCAGTCAATGGAATACACAGATCATATTCGGTGTTATAAATCTGCCAATGCAATCAGGGTCATCCTCACTCTGCCTGAGTACTCTTTCCCATGATAGTAGGCAGTAGAAAGTTTTGCCATTTTACCACCATCATAACCCCTCAATGTCCATATTTCTCCACCATGATGCCCTCCCAGCCTTTGCATCTGTAAATACCCGCAGGCAATTCCCGAATTGCAGCTATACCCGGAACACCTCCCGGATGTTTCCACGAGCACAAACATCCATGTCCAATATGATCGAGTTGTGTGACAGCCCATGCAGCATGGGAAATTGGGGGAGTAGCGGGGGTGATACCAAATCGAAGCGTCACTCCCCTCTGCGAACTTTTCCCGACTTGGTAAATATTCTCCCATCACAGTTAGAACAACATCGTCCACCAAGGCGCAGACACGTTTGGGTGTTTAAATCATCCCGCCTATTGACCAGGAGTTTGTGTACTCAATGCACAAAATGAGGAAGGCATGCTTCCCCACGTGGACCATACCATCATCTATAAAAGATCTATGATGACCGTGCGCTAAATTTCCATCGTCACGGATGGACATTTTAGCAGCATGCCGATATAGAAAGGGATGGTAACGCTGGCAGATATTTCACGCGTTCATCCCTTCCGTAGTGTGCAGGGAAGCCAACCGTTTATAAGACATATAGGGGCTGTTTGGGTGACACTAGGGTCCAGTGATGGGTGGCTCATGTGGCCGACAATATCTAATGGGCACATTGATATGGGCATTCATGTCCCATGTGTGATTCGTGAAGTGTCCTGACCCTCAGGTGCCCACCGGACATGACATCCACTTTGAGCAAGCTTCATAGATGTCGTCCATGTACTCGGATCCCTATCTTCGCCAGATGTTCCAGGAGTTCTAGATAGCGGTAGATAAGACAATCTGTAGACCCTTACTAATTGCGATTTCAGTCGTTGGCGCCGGTTCTTGGTAGGCGTCTTCGGGAGTTAAGAGATCGCCGAGGCAGATCATTTGGCGCAAGGCGCTCACCAAGAGTACTAACAAGCCCGCCAGTGATATTTGGGGCGCCGTGTTGCGCAGATACTCAATCCATGTCCCAGTTGTCTCGGCGCTTTTCTTTGGAACGTCTTCAGAGGGAGATATTGCGACAGTGGATGTTCCTTGGAAATTGCTGCTGGTGCTTCAAACTGTTCTGGAAGAGACAAGTTGTCAGACCTTTCAGATGATTCCCTTATTACTCCCTGGCACCACCACACATGGGGTGTGAGTAAGACTAGCTAGCCAGTGGACCCTCGGTACCAGAGCTAAGAGCGGGTATATCAACGGGTTTCTTCTCTAGTATGGCCCGTGAAAGAAAGGGGATTTCAAGAAAAAAAATTCAAAATAGGCAATATATAGCTCGTCACATTTCGAGCACACCTTCGGGCACGGAAAGATTGTAGACCAAGGATACAGCACTGAGAGGTTGTGCCAGTGTTAACGGCAAGTAAATCGTCTTAACACCGTCTGTTAGCGATAGCGTTCCAGAGTATTGGAATGATCCTCGATAAATGCAACGGTACTTAGATAAAGCTGTGGAACATGGTCATGGACATAAGGCCGAAAGTTTGGGCTGCGATGCTTGGATATCGCCATACTGTTGCTGATACCGTTCAACGCGTTCTACTGTTAGGTAGACTCACAGATAAACGCGAGGTTGACTGTCAGATCCTTTAGAAAAACTGTAGCGGTCTGGAGATTGGTGGGGACTCCCAATCCTTTCCCAATTCATATTCTTCTCCACTAGTATTATTTGTAGGGGAAGAACGCAGATGAGTGGGAGCTTGTGTGTGTGGATGCTGAATTAAGGTTGCTGTATGCACGTTGGTGATGTCCTGCACAATGTCGTATCGTCTAAAGGGTGCTCAGTAAACCGGGAATTGACATTGGACTCCTGCTCAATTTCTGACCACGAGCTGATGCGTGGTATGGATCGGGTATAGTGGGTTTCCGGTATTGAGATTTATAGAAAGAGAACCACACGACCTATCGTATGGGTAGAATGTGCCCGCTCGACCTTTACCAGGAATTTAAGGTAGATGGCAGAATGGCATGAGTTATGATTCTCATAGTCATCCATAGCACAATACTGCACCTCGCCATGCTCATGGTTCTGGCAATGGATGATCATTTCTGCCGCATCCGAAACATATCAGATGGGCATGCCATAAAAGGGCCTATATATAGCAAGGAAAAGGTTGCTTGACCGGCCTTCAGATTGGTGGATACCCCCTACAGAGTCGGTAAGTCCCCGATGTCCCTGCGATTCTATGGAGGCTCCACCTAAGGGTAATCACAATAATATATGATATGTCCTGACGATGGCGACACACTAGGTAGGCTCCCATTATTCAGGTTGGATTAACAGGAGCAACTTCGGCCATGTCGTCGACGATATTATAGATAGACTGAGTGATACAAGCATCTCCGCATAGGCCTTAGTGGAGTATGTGCCAGCGGGATCATCGAGTCGAAATCTATAGGGTCGAAGACGGCTGACCACGTCTCTGAAACGACAACATGGCGGCCTTTTCTAGCGCCTGTGCAGATGTCGACCTGTGAAGCCCTGCTTAATATGGAAGTACATGTTTGGATCACCATAGCTGCCGTGATTGAAGAATTTGGCAGTAGAAATGCAAAACGATTGGCACTTGTTCTGTCTTTTGACGATCTCCATCTGCCAATATTCAAGCTGCTGCACCAACACGGGTAGCATGATATACCCGGAGGCCCTATATAGGTAAAAATAGTGGTAGGATGGGAGTGTCATTGAATTGGTGTACCTGAGGGACTTCACCGGAAGTGATGGAAGAAATGGTGCTATCAGTGCGATTGTCGCGATAGAAAAGATGGCCATCCATCAGTTTTCTTCGCCATTCATATTGTCGCCTAGTCCGAGGAAGCAATTGTTGACTCGGTATATTTTGTTGTACTCAGTAGAATGTGCTGCAGGGTGCATCACGATAATCTGAGCGTGAGGGGCGAGCAATCAACTGCGATATTGAACCGGTGATCCTCGTCAGTGGAAGTATAGATCTAGCACTGAAGCCACAGCATCGGATAAACGGAGATTTAAGAAAAAGCAAAGAACAACAAAACAATCATGTCTAGCGTGTCCCAAACGTATCCATGTGTATGCCGAGCATATTGAGGGAGAATCTGGCCTCTCGGATGGTTGAGTGAAAGGGTAATGAGAGGCCGGACACGATTTGATAGTGTGAAGTAGCCCGCAACCATCTGAAATCTCGGACCCATACTGGTAATCTTATGAGTTTTGACTCAGCCATCAATCCCGTCACATGCTTCAGCGCAATATATGATATAGCCATCTTTCTCTCATCAAAGTCGGGCACTTGTAAAGTCGTCAAAGTACTCCAATGCGGGCACACTATCGTCATCAGTGTGATTTTATGGACCAGGTCTTAGTCTAAGGCATGATCCAAGCGCCACTATTTCCCTGGAAATGTACGCGAGAAGGTTAATTCCGTACTTTAGATTCCCGGGGACTTCGGCAGCAAGCTACAAGATGAGATAACAAGCTTCACTTGCTCGCCCCGAGCCTCCTGTTTCTTGTCGCAAGAGTACTTTCTGTCGACGGTACCTTCCATGGTGATTGTTGATTTGGCCCGCCGATGTCGCCCTCGTTGGGATCTCATTGAATCAGAAAGGGTATAGATGGAGCTTTCTCGAAATCACAAACCACCGCTGCTGCTGAGCGGTTTCGACTGTCGAGTAGACTCGAGGTATCCTTTCATGATTATACTCAATGACCTCCATGGATATGGAAGAACTTATTCTTTTCTGTCTTCCAATGGCAAGAAATGTCTTGTAGACCTCGGCTGGTCTTGACCTTGCGGTTTGAGACTGAAAACCTATCCGCTGTTTAGCCACTGACGCAGGTCTGAACTCTAAGACTTACTTTCTGTTAGGCCAACCACCCTTTTGCTTCTCAGAGTGCTCATGTGGCTCTCCGAGATATGAGAGATTAGGTTCATACGTGAGCACCCTATGCACTCAGCATCTTCAGGTAGCTGTTATTTTGCTGAACTGTGATGAACACGTAGAGTTCTGTATCGAGAGCCCCACTGGCAGATGGCAAGTAGCTTGATACCATCAGGCTGAATAGCCTTCTGACTAGAACCGTATTCTGTCTTCTCCGCAAGTACCAACGAGGGTGACTGCTTCATCATCTCCTTGATCAATGATGGTCAGGTATCCAGCGGATAAATACATATTAGCCAGGATGAAACCTGCTCACATAACAGTTTAAAATTACTATTAATTCTCTTTTATTTCTTTATTAAATTAATAATAGATTTTATTACAGGATTATCTTCTATTATTTAATATAGAAAAATTATTAATACTATTTTTATTATTATTAATTAATTCTTGAAATACTGTCTTTTCTTTATTATTTTATTAATAATAACTGCTCCAGATTTTACTAAATTATTTTATAAATAAGTTGAATTAATTTTTAGACCCCCCAATAGAATAGTATTTAATTAAGAATTAATTTTTATAAATAAATTCTAATTAAGTCTAATCTATAATAATTATATAATTTTAAAGTTTTTGACAGCATTTTACTCTTAAACTGATAAATAAATAGAAAAAATAAATTAAATCCTAGAATACTATCTCTGATACTATTTTAATAAATTTAATATTAACTGACCAGTACAGACATGGCAGGGCTCGCCCGAAAAGCTCGGGACCGCCCGGCTCAGCTCGTGCC